GGTTGATGACCTCCGGCGCTACAATAAAAACACGAAGTTAGATTTTTTTTAAAAAAAAAGGAATAAATATGATAAAAAGAGAACGTACAGTTCTTACGGGGTCGTCCACGTTTACGAGGAGGTGGATTAGCAATGAATGACTTGTCCGATTGCCCATCCTCTCCTTCTTCACTGGGGCTCCGCTTGCGTTTACTCGCCTTGGATTTCGTGCTTGGCGCAAGTACGAGCGTATTCTTCATCTTGGCGAGAGCCTTTGCAGGACGATCACGACGTGTGTGCATCTCCACCTTAGGAATATTGAGGCGGGGAACCACGAGGATCGTCGGAGCGTTTGCAGATGCAGCTGGGAGAGGAGTGACAGGCAGCATAATGCCAGGAGGTGGCGTGGGAGACAGGAAAAGAGGGATAGGCGCGTCGGCGGAACCCACGCCAGGAGCACAAGAAGGTCCGGCAGCAGGAAAGCTGTGGGGCGGAGTGGGCGAAAACCGAATTAAATCGGGTGAGTCAAGAAGACCCACACGACGTTTCTAAAAAGAAATGTTAGAAATCAAATGAAAACAATGAAAGATAAAAACTTACGAAGGATGGCGAAATTGGCTGGACAGATTCCTCGCGAATGGGCGATGGAGTATGGACAGGCGAAGGAGCGCGTTCTGCAATCGGCGATGGGTGACGACGAGCAATAGGCGTAGACGGCGCCAGGAAAGGATTTGCCCTGACGGGCGCGTCACAAATCGCAGGGAGAACTTGAAGAAGTTCATCATTACTCAAAGGAGTAATGATGAAGTCTCCAGTAAGACAATCCTCCTAGAAATATAGAGGTTAGACTAGATAAAAAGAAGAGATAAAAAAAAAAAGAAAAAACTTACCTCAGCATAATATTCGTCTTCGAGAGGTGCCTCGAGCATCCACTCATCCCAATCCGGATTGGCGTGATCGGTACTCAAGACGGCCCACGCATTGTAAAGCGATTTACGAACGCGAAGGTCACCGGGAGTTTCTTGAGAGCCATCATCGAGGGAACGGACGTAGTGAATCTATAGGACGAATATTAGCATAAGAATAAAAAGAATGAATGAAAAAAGACGACGTACCATAAGCGGGTGAACAATAGTCAACAGATTAGCGATGTCTTCACCATCGCAGTCAGCGAGACCCTCCTCGTCGAACAACGAGCAAGCCGAGTAGTAGACAGCATGGGTAAAGACAGAACCGTCGAAAAGAATTTGCCAGCTTGCCATGATGAAATAAGAGATGCGAAGGGAAGAATGGGGACCTTGAGAAAGAAAAGACGACCAAAAAGGGGTCCTCTTTTATAGCACGAGAAAAACAAAAAGGTCACCATGTTCCAGAGGAACTCCGTGTCCGATTTGTTGCGGTTCCTGCAAATCATTGAGAATCGAAGAACTTAAGAAAGTTTATTGGGCGCTTGCGTCTAAAAATAGAATTTCGGAAGCTTTGAGCTTGACGTGCGTGAGATGCATACTATAACGGGAAAAACGTCGGTGTGGCGGACATTGACAACTTCAGAAATTGTCAGTCGTATGTCAGTCGATCCTGGAAAATCTTGGCGATCCGTCGCTACAATATGAAAACGTGTGAACCACAAGACAAAGTCCAGAGAAAGATGTCCTCAGCGGGGAATCTTGCAATGACCGAGGACAGTCAGTACTATAGTGGGGGGGAGATGATACGGATGAAACCATCTCACCCGTATAAAATTCAATTTTAACGATTTTACCGATAACAGGTCATCTCTAATAAATACACTACATACAATTGCAATGATACAAAGAGTCGATGCGCATACCCGGCGCAGTTGACTAAAAATGCAAATGCGTGGAATCTGAAAATAGGACAAAGGCTTTGGAACTGGCAGCAGTACGCGTCGTGACATTATACTTGGATCCTATCTAAGATTCACCTACCATGAAATAGAGCACGAAGAGGTTCTAGAGTAAACACCCAACGCAGGGAGAAGAATTGCATTACTACCAAAGGGTTTAGAAACACATAATGGATTTATTGTGAAAACTCGTGCTTATACAAGAAATACAGAAAAGACGACATAGATGCTTAAACGGCATGTCTGAAACATGGAAAGACTAAACTACACCTAGGTAGTAAACGTATGAAGACTTAGCGTGGCTCCCAGCCATTCAGAAAGTCATGTACGGCAGTTCCCGCATACGCATCAAAGACTGATGCGTCTGAACGTCACAAGTACAAACATGAGAAAAAGACACATTCTATTATATGAAATATAATAAGAACCCCCTGACAATTAAGAAAGACATTTGAAAACACCTTCGGAGTGTCTCCCGACCTCCGTAATGAAAAGACGAGCCAAGACAAGGCATTTTAATTAAAAACTCGGAAGCGACGGAAGGCCGAAGACTATTGGTAAACACGTACGCATGCGCATCAACGCATCAGGAAACGTTAATCATTTTGTGATGTCATCTGTCAAACCGGTAAACCGGGCCATAGAAAGAAACACGCGAGATCATGCCAAGCTAAGAATAGCTACGTCGGCTAACTCCGTGTACGCATCAAACACTTGATGCGTTTGAAAATGAAAGACGCGACACTACAAAATCTGTAGTGTTCACAGAGATAGACTACAAAATATACCACACGTTCATTAAATTTCATATTTGTAATTCGGACCGAAGTATCCCGCATTAAAACACATGTAAAACATAGATAGGGGTTCCTGGAGTATATAAGGAGCGCGCTGGCAGGTCAAAAGGGAAGCAATCGTCCCCCGTTGACCAGCTAGTTGCACTCCAAGTAGAGACTTAGGAGGTGGACAGTTGTAATCAATTAAAGGAGATTTCTTCGTGGTCAAGAAAAGTACAGTGTGAACGAAGCCAGCGTGCTTGGGAGTCAACTTGCTTGGAGACTTTTGAATAAGAGGTTTTAAGGACACAGTATCATTTTAGACGAGACAGCGTACTCGTACCCTTGGTTTTGGAGCGTAGTGACATAATAAAAACTCACGGGAGTCATAAAAGTCAATTAAAGTCGTGTTTTGTGTTAATAAAAGAAACTGTGATCAAAGAACTTTGCATTTAAGAGACCAAGTTCCCAGAAAGATATACTTTGTTCTATTGAACTATTCTAAACCACACCTTATAATAAAAACCCAATTTTGAACGAAAACTCTTGAGACTTGAACCTAAGAAGACAAAAGTGGTATTTCTTAATACCAAAGGCCCTCGAACTCTTGCACCGAGATTGTGATAGTGTGTGTGTGTGTGTGTGAGTGAGTGTTAGGTGTTTAGGGTTTTCCCCCGACGCGCTTGATCCTTGTTTGCGTGTTTCGCACTTTCACGTTCATCCCCGTGCAAAGCGTATCACAGGCCCCCCATAGCTTAGGGGATTTTTATCTGGACATTCTACTCATGGATTTTTCAAAATTTCTTCAATTTTCCTCCAGACAGGCCTGAGGCCTGCCTGGATTTTTTCCAAATTTTCCTCTGGATACGGATCAGGGATTTGACATGAATTTCAGGGGTCCTATTCTTACAGTGTTTTGCATGTGAGATTGCACTGCAAATCCCACGAAAACTTGTTTGCATTTGTATTTCGTGACCTGAAGTAACCATTTTGGGTTGATTTTGGGTGTAGAACGCATGACATCAACCACAACCTACAAATGCAAACAAGTTTTCGTGAGATTTTGAGTGCAATCTCACATGCAAAGCACTGTACTTACTATGTTTGTTCAGGTGTTTGAAACCCATCAGGTGTTTGAAACTGTGGATTATCTTACCTTCCACTTGCCTTGGGGCCTCAGAATTTTGACAGAAGGTGTATTTATGTATTAAAGTTATTGTCTCAAAATTTTAGAACGAGAGCCAAAGATTTGTGGTCTGGGGACATGGATTTGTGGTTTTCATTACACCAGACAAACAAAAGTAATGGGATGTTCTCTCAGATCCCTCCAGATCGGCTTGACTGTTTATTCTAAAACTTTCCAAATGCATTTGAATGGCATACTTAAGTTCAAATAAAAAAATTTAGATAGTGAGGTGAAGTTGTTGTTTCAGGAAGGGCAACAGACCAAATTTTGCTGTCTCAAAAAACATGACATTTGCATGACATTGGCACATCATCCATCAGCCAAATTCATTGTTACCTAGTGTGACACGAGCTTCAATCTCCTGATATATCTGAACCCTGAGCACTGGAATGCCTCCGACAGCGAACACAACACATTTATATTTTAAAAAAGTAGATATTCATATAGAAGAGAAAAAAGATTATTGGCTTGTAAAAATTTAAAGAATTCGATGAAGTGGTGAGGCAGAAATCGCACAGCAGTGAAAAAGTTTCAAACACCTGAACAAACATAGTAGTTCGGGCTCAGGTGCCATGTCTGGAACAAAATAATGCCTAATCAGGCGTTATTTAACACCCGTTTGGGAACAATCAAAAATTAACACCCAATTGGGATTGCCATCAAAATTAACACCTGAATAGGCAGGCAGCCCCTAACACACACAATCTTCCACAAATCCATAATTTGTGCCGCAGGCTGAAAAAAAATAGCTGTATTCTATGTTTACCTCTACTTATGTGGTCAGTAAAATTTGAAATGTTTGAAATCACAGTAACATAGTTAACACCTGTTCTGGAACCTGGGAAATTTTAACACCCAATTGGGATTAACGCCCCGAGCAGTTCACCTCCCTACAGGCCAGAAAAATATTTGAATAGCTCACTTTACTTGTGATAAATTGTAGGATACTCCAATGGGAACCCAGAATGCAATTTTGAACCATTGGGAAGAAAAATTGTGCTGTTCTGAGCATATAAAGTCAGTTCTACTCAATGCAATTGCTCATCAAAGTATGAGTCAATGCTAATAAAATATTTCAGGGTATGTGGAAGCACTTTACATACAATTCTCCTTCCTAATGGCATGTTGCCATGCAGCAGGCAACAAAAAAAGAATCAATAGGTTAAAAAAATTGTTGTGCTGCTATCAAATGCTGATACATGAGCTACTGGTATGTTATTAATATTTCCTGGCATTGCCTTGACCTTCATGTGCAAAAGAGTTGTATTTATTTGAAGATCTGGACTGTATTACAATAAATCTATCTAAAATTGTAAATAAATCTGTCAAAATTGAACAACTCTTGCTCTTGATCTACAATTTTACATATGTAGTCAGGGTAAAGTACCCTACTTCTTAGATGCACATTTTTGAAAAACCATTGACTGTTCATGGCTCCAGAGCCGTAGTTCGTTTGTTCGTTCGTTGTGATCGAAAGCCATCAAAACGGTTCCTGGGTCTCGGCTAATGGGCTGAGTTCTAATTTTGACCGCATTTGGTCTGAAAGCTTCAACTTAGAATAATCTTTGAGTGAAATGACGGTGCGACGCGTTGTCGACGCGTGCAGCTTGTCCAAGGTCCAAATTAGCATCTATGGTGCAGCAGACACAAGAAACAGACCTCGATGTATTTATAGAGGTCAGCCTCAGGCTCGAGCTCAGCTGTGGGTCAAAATGCTGTGTAAGAATGCTGTTCTCTCCGAAGACTAGTTATTACTCTTATTTTAAAGTAATCCCCGGCTTTCGTCTGTACATGTTTGCCTCCCCTCCATTTCTGGGTCCGGAAGCCAAAGCTGCCGAGCGCAGGCTTGGCTCTCTCTTGGTTCCTTTCGTTCGTGCTCTCTGAGTAGCTCGTTTATATCAAGTTTCCTCTGTTTCTATGTTCCGAATCTAAATCTATTGTTTGGTGGCTACCTTTCCTAAACTGTCTTACTTCCCTCTGTTGTTCTCTTCCTCGAACTTTATATGGTGCGCATGTGAGTTTCTATCTATTCGCTTTCCCCATCTATTCATCGCCCATGTCTTCCCTTCTTATCATAGGTTTTTTCGCGCTCGCTTCGGGCAGACGCCTTGCGATCACAAAGCCTGGTGCTAAGTCCAGAACTTGGTATTGTTACTATTCCACCACCATCCAGACCTCTACAGGCAACATACTTCCTGCGGACCTTCGCATCTACAGCCCAATCAACGACGTCGTTCATCCTGACAACACCATTGCTTTTGTTATCGCAAAGGCTTATATTCCTCCCAACGACACCACTTTCCTCGATGTCCTACACTTGGCCATCTGCCCTGGTGACCCCTCCAGCGAGAGTTACGAGGAGTCTCTTCCTGACTGTCCCTACCCTTGGATCTTCGGTGTTGGTCATGTTCCTTCAAAATCCGAAACCTTAACCGACACCAACACGAAGATTTTCCCCGTTTCTCACACCGAATATGTTCGTGAATCATCTAGAAAGACCACAGACCGCGGTTTTTTGCGGTCTATAGACCAGTTTCGGTCTGCATCAGTTTTAACCGGTTTATGACCGGTCTTTAGGCCAATATTTTAAAATTATGAATCGGTAAATTTATTAACATCTCTAATAGCTTCAAAACGAGCCCAAGAACGTTAAATCCCGTTAGGTATTGGTGCTTCTATAAAATAAGTCTGGTACATCTATTATTCCCAAAAGTAATTTACATTTTAATTCATATCTCTCTCGTTTTTTTACCAAATCGTACGTTCTTGGGTGCGTTTTAAAGGGTATTTAAGGGGCTACAAAAAACCGGTCCAAACCGGTCAAGACCGGTTCACGTTAACCGGTCTTTTTGCGGTCTTTACATTTCAAAAATAAAAGACCGTAACCGCAGGTCCGGTCTTTTGCGGTCTTGGTCCGGTCTGGTTATGGTCTTTTTCCAGTCACGAGACCGGACTTCCAAACACTACTCCAGCGAGAGTTACGAGGAGTCTCTTCCTGACTGTCCCTACCCTTGGATCTTCGGTGTTGGTCATGTTCCTTCAAAATCCGAAACCTTAACCAACACCAACACGAAGATTTTCCCCGTTTCTCACACCGAATATGTTCGTGAATCATCTAGAAATTCTTATGTTATGTTCGTTCTTTGATTCTTCCTTTTTTCTTGACTAATATACTTTCCTTCAAGCTGTGCCTACGATGGCGATGCTCCTCGATGGACCAATACACCCGCCCCGCTTCCTCAGGCGTGTGTCCAATACTTTGGCATCTGTCACTCCGTCCTTCCCAATGGCCATCTCCATGTCAATGTGGAGTCAATTATCCTCAGCCTCGTGCCTCTGTCAAGCCCAGATCAATCTACGATTTCCACTCCAACGAGGAAATGAAAGTTCCAGGCTATTGCATCACCATCAACGGCCAGCAAAATTACCATGTACGTTTTTTGCCCATTTTCCATTACTTGGGATTAATTTTTCGCATAGAAATTCCATTCCACCTGTTAGTGCTTCATCATCGTATGTTCTTTCTTGGTCGTTCATCAATACCTCAATTCACATGACCTTTGAGCATGTCGGTTCCATCAATCAATGCGTCCTCGGCGACTCTGTACGTTCATCTTTTTCCATCACTCCTACCCCAACTGACATTCGAAATACTCAGCATCTCTGTTCCTCTCAATAAGGATGCTTTGCCTCTGTATGTACCTGTAATTTTGCACATACAAATTACAGCTAACATTCTGATCACACAGCATGCAGGTTCCCCTCGGTAACCCTGCTTCGTCATCGTACATTTTTTTCTCTTGAGGTTACATTCCACGTTTGACATATTTCTCAGAGCATTGACTATGCCCAATTATGGTGCTTCGTCGTCGTGAGCTTATTTTTCAAAATATATTTGTATTACAGCTCACATCATGACCTATCAGGATGTCGGTTCGCCTTCAGTCTGTGCCCCCCGTCGATATCAACATGCACCCTGATTCTGGAGCTGCACCTTCACCCCTCAGCACCATCGACGATTTCGAAGCAGACGAGTCTCTTCCCCCTGTTGCTTCGCAATCATCAAAGGCAAAAGGAAAGAAAAAGGCAAAATTTTGATCATTCGTTATCTATCTTCATCTCCAATTAACTGTACTTTACTTGATTGTACGATATGTAAATAAGCAATGGTGAAATTGTTTTAGTACTTACAATTCTCTGTGGTTCGTTACTTGGGCTGAAACAAAACAAGTGCACGACATAAATAAACAATTGCCTCCTTATGTCGTACCGTCATGGTTCTTTTGTTCTGACAATACCCGGATCATGATTTTATTTTAAATGTCGATTATGAATTCAAATGGCAGGTTCCATCCAACTCGCATCCCTGTTTAGGTTCCCCTCGATTGAATCTTCGCGTCGATCTTGGTCACCAGACAGAGGTGGAGTCTGCACTGTCCACCGAGCCGATGTAGAGCAAAATCTGCCCCTTCATGCTCGTTCCACACATCTATGGATAGCTCCTCCACCTTCTCCCTCTTTTTCGCTGATCATGCAGCTGTTGGGGGTAATGCTTTTTTACGCTCTCCATGTTCTTCCACCACTCATACTATTGAAGATCCACCCTATTCTTTGTGCTCAGACAAATCTCCCTCTCAAACCCACAATGCTATTCTTCGTATTCTAAATGAGATCAGCAGTGATAATCTCCATCCGTCCCTTTCAGCTTTAGCTCAACTAATCACAGTATGTATTTTTTTGGTATTTTATCGACATCAGCTTGATCAACTGCCAGCCCAAATCCAATGTCTATCGCACAGACAACTTCATTGACGGCATTCTTCAGATGCGACATACCAATGTGATCTTTGTCTGGAAGAATATTTCACAGGTCTTCTCCGATTACAGTCCCTTTCCCAATGCAGCTTATGCTGTCTCAATGTTTATTCCAAGCATCGAACCATTCCACTCCCTCGACTTTGCTTGGGCACTGTTGACCTTCGTCAATAGCCACTTCAGTCAGAGCCATACTCGATTTCGTGTTGTTTCACTTGCCTTTGTTCTCGGACCTCAAGGGACGTATGCACTCATCCTTTTCGATCGCAAGTTCCGAGCCACCTATGTTAATGCACACTGCAATTCGAATGGTTCCCCTGTTCAACGTTATCAGGGGTGTCCTGTCACATTTCTACCTTCGGCTCATGTTGTTCCTCTCTTATCTCGTAAAGTCCTCGATGACCTTGATGAAAATGTTCGGTATGTGTCTTATCAATCTACATTATTATTCGACTGACTCTCACATTTTTCTATCAGATATCTGTCGTATACTTAGTAACTCGATTTTATCTGTTTCTTTTTGTGTTGCTTACATCTTTATTGACGTTAATTGTCTTTCTAAATAACACAACCCACATGGCTGTATATAAAGTTGTGAGTGGTCGATGTATTTCTCATCTTCGATGACTTCCTGCACTTTCATTCATTGCTTATTTTTGCCACACTTACCACGAAGAGGTTTCCCATTGTTTTCATTTCTCATGCCGATCTCTGATCTTCCCTTTGAAGTCATCAACCTCTATACTCAAACCCCTGACATTATTGTTTTACCACCATCTGTTCGTCACGAAATAATCTCAACAGTGAATAATGTTTGGGATATTGGCATTGCCGCGTCATTGGCTTCTTTGGCTGCTTTGATTACAGTGTGTTCCAATGTTTATGACTTTATTTCGTATCTCATCTTTCCTGCAGCCCAACACAGCCATACATCGGACCGACATTCAATATGACGCCGTTCAAAATGTCACCTCTTCACAGCCCATCTTTGTTTGGGTTGAAACTCCATTTATTCTTCAACGACACCTCTACCGCTCTCCTTTCGCTGTCATATTCTCCGTGGATTGTTTACCCCCATTTCATTCCCTAACCCTCGCCTTTCTCATTCTCCGGTTTATGGACATCTACATTCGCGAGGGTGACTATCGACGATTTCAACTCCTCGCTCTGACCTATTGTTTCACTCACACTTCTGTTTATGGTGTCCTTTTCTTTGACCATCGGCTCGCTTTTGTTTTCAACATGGCACATGTGTGTGCTGAATCAAGATCCGACTGCCATCGGTTTTCACATTCTCTCCATCCAATCACAAGTGTGCCGGGGCAAAGTGTCTCACTTGATTTTGTTTCGGATCTTATTGGAAGAGCAAGGTGACCTTCATTATTTTATTCATGGTTCAATTTTCTAACCAGTTATGCAGAAGACTTACTCAAGGCCAAATTTAACCAGCCAAAATATCATATTTTGTACTCCCCTTTTGATTCTCCTGATTTTGTAGCATTTGCTTCGGATCTCGTTGTAATAAATTGAAGGTGACCATAATTATTCTATTCATACTTGGACCTTCTGATCAGTCATGCGGAAAAGCTTCCTCATCGTCGAATAAGCAGCCAAGATTTGTCTCAGATGTTGTATTCCGGGCCTTTCAGTTTTCTTATGTTCGTCATATCTATTTTGATACTTTCGTGTCACTTTCAAGCGATACACCAAGTTTCCCTCACTTCAGCCCCTGGTCTTCAACCATGTTTACAATCCTATCATCGGGTATGTCGTCAATTATTCTTATGGTATCAACCTATCTCTCTAATCTTCTTAACAGCATTCAAATTCGTCTCGACACTTTTTGCCCATTTATTCAATGTCAACTCTACCGTTAACTCTTTCCCATCATCGCAGGAGCATACTGAAAAGGTATGGTGTTTCCTACTATACGAAACATTCACTAATTTATTCGTCAAGAAATACCATGATCATGACATTGTCTTCCTGTCAGAAACAATTAACATTTTATGAAGTCTTTCTGACATGCCAACATCTCCAGATTTAATGGCATGAACGACGAGAAATCAATTGTTCTATGGGATGATTTTGATTTTGATGTAAGTGAAAAAACCTTCAGGTGACGAATGACGTGCTCACGATATTTTCACAAGATCCCCCCCCCTCTCATGTATACCACTGATCTCGACTAATTCTGAATAAGAACTCTGTATCATGTATTCAATCAAATTCTACGTAGCATTACCAGTTGTAATCATATTGAAGAATTTCATATGTTGTGTGCGGGTGAGCCATAGCTAATTAGCATTTTGTTCTACGACTCGCACCTTCTACAAAATGTCAGCCCTCTGGACGATTGGTCCCATTTCCACACCTCGACTGCAGTGGGGAGAGATTCGCCATGGACATGTCCACAAATGCCCGACCTGCGATGTTGTCCTACTTACAGGCGAATCCCCAGGTTTTTGTTGTGGTCCACGGGGATCTAAATTCAATGAAGTTCAACCCCTTCCCCCACTTCCTGAAGAATATAATGCATTCATTAATCATCCTGACATCTCACAGAAATCCCATTTACTCAACCTGATATTTTCATTCGCCTCTCTTGAAACGACACATGCATTTCCTGATATTGCCGGCCCACCTGGTTTTGTCGCAATTCAAGGGAAAATTTACCATCGAATACGACCTACTCATCAAAATTCAGCTGTTCGATGGCTGTTACATGATGGGTTCATGATGAATACCGCCCCACATCAAAATTCGGATTGGGCATCTGCATTGCCCGAAGTATGGAAATGTGCCTTTCGTGATGCGCTCCTTCGTGTCAATCCCTTTGTCACAGCTCTCCACAACCTCAGTGCACTCGATTCACATGAATGTCCCCATGCTCACCTCATCCTCGATGATACTGGATCAACAGCTGAAATAGCTGCCATCATGAGCTATGATAACACCACTCAGTCTCAAATCAAAAGTCGTCGGTTGACAATTTCACGTACAGGCGGCACCTTCCAATCCATTCCTACTATCAGTAGATTGTGGGAACCACTCGCATATCCTCTTCTCTTCCCAAATGCGACTCTTGGTTGGGGAATAGTTGGCAGCCGAAGAGACATTCGCCACGATGTACTTACCATCTGATCCTACAGCTGACTGTCCAACCACACAGATGTGGCACTACCGTGCTCGGCTGTTACGCGAGCCTCGGTTCCAAATCTTTGGTCGTTTGACAAATGAGTACATCGTCGATATGTTCACCCGTGATCTTGAAACAAGACTAAACTATATCCGAGCGAACCAGGTCCGCCTGCGAAGAGAAGATGCTGCTTTGATGGGTGTTGATGATCTCAATTACAGCGAAAATGTTTACTTACCCTCATCCTTCCTTGGTTCAAATCGCTGGGCATCCGAGCAAATTGCCGATTCCCTTGCTATTGCAGCATCATGTGGCAATCCAACATTCTTCGTGACGATGACTTGCAACCCAGATTGGCCAGAGATCACAAGCCGATTGCTCCCTGGGCAGTCCTTCGCAGACATCCCTGTCATCGTGGTGCGAGTATTCAAACGAAAACTCACCTTACTACAGCAGGCGATCCGGTCCATGTTTACAAATGCTGGACGACAGGTCTATGTGATCCACTGTGTTGAGTTTCAGAAGAGAGGGTTGCCACATGCCCACATCCTCGTGAAGTTCGCTAACGACTGTACGATGCCAGACGACATTGATCTCGTCGTCTCAGCTGAGGTCCCCGCCTGTCGAGAAGATGCTACATTGGTCAGAAAATTCATGTTACATCATCACCCACGCGAAGAAGACACACTTTCTAAATATTGCCAGCGAGAAAAGGACGGTCACCGATTCTGCCGCTTTGGATATCCTCATTCGCTTCAGTGTACAACAACCATTGATAATGAGGGTCGAATTCATTATCGGAGGCGACATGATGATGATAGATGGGTCGTTCCATACTGTCTACCGCTCTTGAAAAAATTTCAGTGTCACATCAACTTTGAAGTTTCTAATACTTCACACATTTTTCAATATCTCTTCAAGTATATCCACAAAGGTATGACGCACTATTTCTTTATATATGATATCTTCATAATCCCCAACCATAGGCCCCGATAAAGCAAAGTATTATATTGGGCCCGAACAGGATGGTGCTGCTGTCGACGAGATTGAGGAATACTGGAATGCACGCTATCTTTCAGCAGGTGAAGCTGCATGGAGAATTCTCGGTTTCCATGTGACCAAAAAAGAACCTGCCGTTACATCTCTTCCAATTCATCTAGAAAACGCAACAAATCATCGACAATATCAACGCACTGCCGGTTCTGAAAGCTCACTTTCCCTACTTCATCGCTATTTTCTTCGACCTGAAGGCCACTTTCAAATTGGGACCTCGTGGAGAAGCTTCGCCGAACTAACCTACACCGAATACTATAGCCTCTTTCGATTAGCTCCTTTCTCTCCAGATAAGGTTGGCCATCCAGCTTACTTTCTCGAGCATCAAAACCCTTTCCAGTACCCAAGAAAACATGCCATTCTTAGGTCGTTATCGCATTCTCATATAAGCCGGATTCAGTCAATACGGCCTTCACAAGGGGAACTGTTCTACTTACGAACAATCTTGCGGCACCGACCTGTCGAATCTTTTACAGATGCCCGAACAGTCAATGGTGTGGTGTGTCAAACTTTTCAAGATGCTGCAATTCAACTTGGGCTGTTTGCTGATCAAAACGAAGCTCAGTATGCAATGCAGGAAGCTATCGAGACCCTACATACCCCCCGACAAATCCGCATTTTATTTGTTCATCTGCTCGTCAACGACTGCATCGCCGCACCAATACAGATGTGGGAAGACTTCAGGCAGAGTCTTGCCCTGGATCTTATCCTGCAGAATAATGGAGTCGAAACATTAGGATTCAATCTGGCTTTGGAAGAAATCGACCATCACCTTGAGGAATATGGCAAAACACTAGGTTCATATGGACTCCCCAATCCAGAACACCACATGCGAGAGCTCATACACGAAATGCAGCGCTGGGGCCGAAATCAAGAAGAGCTGGGGGAGAGAGCGGATGCAGCTGTCGTAAGATTCAATCAAGGCCAACGCGCGATTTATGACCGTGTCATGGCAGCTGTCGCTAATGACTGTGCAGATTACCTCTTCGTTGATGGAAAAGCTGGTACAGGGAAAACAACTGTCGTGAAGGCAATCTGTGATAAGATTCGATCGATGGGCAAAATTGTGTTACCAACAGCGACATCTGCATTCGCTGCACAACTGTATCCTGGCGGGAGAACGACACATGCTACATTTAAGGTAAACATATTTAGCAACCTCAAGTTTATGCCTCACTTACCCTACTAGGTGCCCGTCAATGAGAGAAATGAAATGTTGATATCGTCAATCAAAGACAATGATAGCCGCGCAGAACTTATTGAACACACTGTTGTTATCGGCTGGGATGAGGCTCCAATGGCGAATCGTGCTGTGTTTTCGTGTGTCGAAGATATCTCCCGTCGAGTCATGGGAAACGATGAACTTTTCGGTGGAAAGATTGTCATTCTTCTGGGAGATTTTCGACAAACTTGCCCTGTTATTCGGCGAGGAACAAGAATTCAGGTTGTTGATGCTTCATTGAAATCGTCCCCCCTCTGGCCTTCGTTTAATATTATGCGACTTACAGAACCAATCCGAAATGCAGAAGATCCTGGATTTTCAAATTTCGTCAATGCAATTGGCGATGGAGCAGGTCCCAACATACCTCTGAATGGTTTACGGATCGTGTACACAGCTCAGGACCTCATCGACTTTGTTTACCCATCAGATATCCTACTCCACCCTCACCACTGTCTGCAGCGAGCAATTCTTGCACCAACAAATGCTCAAGTTGACATGTACAATGATGCTATTCTGCGGGCATTCATTGGCCAGACACAGACATATTTAGCAGCCGACTCACTGAAGGAAGTCGATGATGCAGGCCTCATACCCCCCGATAGTGTGCTAGATTATGTTGAAAAAAACACTCCCCCCGGTCTCCCAAAACATGCTCTCACAATCAAGAAGGGTGGTGTTTATCGCTTGCTAAGAAACCTGTCATTAGACCGAGGACTCGTGAAGAACATAAGAGTGGTCGTCACTGACACAGGATCCCGGCTGATCACTGTAAAGCTACTCCACAGTTCAGATACCATTGATGGGGGCGACGAGGAGATTCTCATACCACGGATAACATCAGGAAAATCGCATTCCATGTGGTGGGTGTGGCACCATGCTTACCACGCCGGCCACGACGCCAGAAGTGCGTGTGGGGACATTATACTTGCGGTGGCGGCTTCAGCGCCACAACTTTTTGTGGCACCACGATCCCAACTTCAGTCACTAAAATTTTGTTGTTATTCCATATAATTTTGTTATTCTGTATCTCCTACCAAGCGCTTTTAAGTACTGAAGATTGTGTTTATCTACTGACTCTTAGAGTCTTCGTTGTCGGATTAATGTAATTACAAAACTTTGGTACTTAACAAGACTTGAACTCAAGATCTCCTGGAACAAGGTGGAAGATATGCATACGTGTTAACTCTTAGACTATGTGACACTTCAAGACCAGCCTAACACCATGTCCTACCAGCTTCACCACTGTTCCAACCTCCAAAGAAAATTCCGGATATGACGAGCAGGATGTCGGACCTGGGACTTGTTGAGAGGGCGGCACAGGAGGGACCAGGTGGTCGGTATCTACGATCATGCTGCCGAAGTGGTAGGGGGATGACGATGCCCAGGTGGGAGGTCGATTCCCAGAGGGTCGATGTTGCTGCAGAGGCAAAAGGGAAGTGGGCGCCGTGGGGTGGGTAGAAAGGGGTTGATCTATGAATGAGCGCTCGCCGCTCAGGTGCCAAAATTAATAAACAGACTTCGAAAACTTACTGGACACTGTTCATCCCACTTAACATGTCATTCCAATCCATCCAACGATTCGCAAATTTATTCCATAACTGGAATGGAAGCGAGCAAAATGATCCGTCGATGTCAAAGACGATGAGGCCGAGGTGAGTTGTGTGATGCTTGCCAGACTTGAAGTTGCGTGAGATTGACTTGTAGGAGAAAAGTGAGGATGGTGGCAGTCGTGGAAGCGTGTTCGTGGTGAATAGTTCGATTGTGGTGAGTGAGAGCAATCGTGGCGACGACGAAGAATTGTGGCAGTTGTGAGAACTTGTGACGAGCAGCTCCCACGCTGCCACATCGATCACGCATCCCACGAGCCGTCACGGTAGTGTGATTTTCCTGATGAACATTCTCCACCGAGCTTTCTTCTGGTTACACATTGCTCCGCCGCCAGTTTCCACTGGCAATCGCATATGCAACAACATTTAACAGCTGTCAAGGCCTGACTTTGGACATCATCGGTGTCGAGCTTACCCAGCCTGTATTTTCGCATGGCCAGCTTTATACCGCTTTGTCAAGAATTCGAAACCGAAACCACGCAGCGATCCGTTTGCGTGCTGGTGAGACCAGTACAGAAAATGTGACTTTTCAGGAGATCCTGGTGTGAATCACAGAGAGCATCTGACGGTAGAGCGTAACAATTCCAGAAAACAGTTTTCTGGGACAAAATCCACGACATTAATACTGCCAGCTGCATTAAAGCTGTTACATAAGCGACATTTATACGTATACACAAGCCTTATGGGCCGAAGCGAAGCGAGGCGAGGCGGGTCTTGTATATTGGTATAATAAACGATTATCACTGAGAATTTCAACGACAAACGACGACTCTCGTCGAATGTACAGATAATTTGGATGTGCCGTCGACGTCGACGGTCGGAGTTCAATTTGGCTATCGCCGTTCAGTCAGGGATCGTTTGATGGGCTTTCGATCACAACGAACGGACGAACGAACTAAGAATTGAGCAGCCCTAAAGGAGGACCCTGGAAAGTACCCTCAGATGCCGTATCCCAAAATGCCCAAAACTGAGCGATTTTTATCCGGTCAGTTTTGCCAAATTTCTATCCGGATATTGGATTCGGCCTTCAAAAAGGCCAATTTCTATCCGGTTCCGGCTCGGGCCTATAAAATTTGCTAATTAAATAACATTTAAATAAAAAAATTAATTGGCATGAAAGGAGTGAATTTTGGCTTGGTGCGGACTCTAAGCGGACTCCTAGGTATTCTCTGGAGGTCTGCACATCAGGAAAAAGTCGAATATACATGAGTGATGTAGTATATGAGGGAAAAAATATATAGATCAAGGAAAGATTGTTCACTCTACTCAGAAAGAATGAAGAATAGGGCGAAAGAAAGATATTTTATGCACATAAGTTGGCGGCAGCGCTGTGGCCATCCCAATTTTCGAGCTCAGCTTTGAATCCCATGTCAACAATCTTTATAGGGCAAATTTCTATCCGGACATCGGCTCAGGCCTCGCCCAGCCATACCAATTCCTATCCGGAAAACCGCCTCCGGCATTTCGCCAAAATAGCAAAATTTCTATCCGGACAGACCTACGGGATTTCAAAAAATTTCGTCAGTTTCTATCCGTTTCTAGATACGGCATCTGAGGGTACTTTCCAGGGTCCTCCTAAAGGACTGTTCTATTACTTAGGCATGAGAGCTCGAGTATGTCAAGCCATTGCCGACCTACGTGCCATTATCCGATTACAATCACATAACGTAGAAGCACTAGCTGAGCTATTTTCTCTCCACCGATCACTACCCTTGTGTCGTCAACGCCTAACCAACCTACTACGACCGTAGTTCTGTGTTGTTGGCGCGATTAGGAATACATAAACCGAAGAAAGCTATACCTATGCCCTCTCTGAGAACGAAAGCGGACAGTCGGAAGTTGAAGATCACTACAGAGATTGAGGGGGAATGTGCGCCGTATTCTTCTTGCGATGGGTATTCGCTGCGCAAGGCTGATTGAAGATGAGGTTTTGGTTGGATGGATAATGGAGGTGCCCTTTTGCTTCTCGGGACAATCATTTTGGGTTATGTGAAAAATCATTCTACATCGCTGAGGCAAAGCATGGTCATTCTACAAGTCCAGGTCAGTTGTCATTCTTACTACGACGCCCTCTAGGCTCTTCAACACAGTCAAGCTTTGCCTAGGCGCCATTCCTATCATCTGGCCAATGCAAAAGGAGGCGTTGGGATATAGCTAGGGATACAGAGTGGAGAGAAAGCACTATTATATGAGGGATATAGCACGTCCATAAATAAATATACGACACAACTACTTGCGAGAATCACTACTAAAATCGAGAGCAGAATCTAAACCCCTGACAATCCTTTCCAAAGCACCAGGCTTCTTCTTCTTAGAGGACGATATCGACGGACCCACCACGGGCGACGCAGCTTCATTCACAGACTTCAAACTCGAGCCAGATTTAACGCGTCGCAGGATCTGCTTGGCAGCCGCCATCGTCGGACTCCTCACCTGCGGGGAATGAGCTTCTGAGGAAGTAAGATTTTGACGAGACGACGACGTCGCAAGCGACAACTTTGGGCGCTGCAGTTTCCTTCCAGACGCGTCCTGTCTGGCTTTGTGTTCTTTCTCCATCTCCTTCGCGCGCTCTTTCTCCTTGGCTCGCTCCTCCTTTTCTCGAGCCTTGTCTTGCTTCTCTTTTGCCTTTCTCGCTCTGTCCGCGTCCTTGCCGAGATCGCTCTCCTTCTTCCGTAACAGACCTCCTCCTTTCGAAAGTACGCTTGTTGAACGACTTATTGATCCTCCAGCCAGAGGTCCAGCCAATCCAGCCGAGCTTACTCGTCGTGGAGTTGTAGCTGGCGTGGAGCTAGAGGAGGGGGGTATATCCTCTTGCTCTCCTGATACTAAAACTGGTATATTTGAAGATGATGCAGTGGGTGAGGACGGAACCATGGCCAAATGGGGGGTTTGGATGGTAACGCTGTTGAACTGGAAAGGAGAGGTTGTCTCCGACGTAGCCAATGCGGTAGTGCGTTCGGTGATCACAAATCCTTGTTCCCGTTTCCCACCAGGCATACGAAGAGGCTCACTACTCGTCAATAAACCGACGTTTTGCTCGGCTGTGAGGGTCGGCATGCTTGGACGACGAGGAGGCGGTTCCTGAACCAGACGGGGATCGTTCCTAAGGCCTGCATACATGGATGTCGAGTGGTGAAGGGAAGAGTGTCCAGTATACCGGTGATGTCCCAAGAAAGTTTGCGATTGTGAGTGAGAATGGCCATGGTGCGAGAGGCTCGAAGGAGGTGATGTTGAAGCTGAAGAAATGTCAACAGGCGAGAACCCAAAGCTGAGGGCACCACGGCGATGGACGGCAAGGGATTCATTGGAAGACGGCGATGATAAGGTTGTCGTAGTCGCAGGACGTGATGAGCGTTGTCTTCTCAGGTGTTGCTGGTGGTGTAATTGCTGATGATGTTCATGCGATGTAGCCACGAAACCGGGAAGAGCGGTACTTGTGTAGAGAGAGGTAATGACACCACATGGCTCCATATCCTTTTTCCGTCGCCAAAATTTCCGACGCTCAGCTTCCGGGTTAATTGGTGGATCGTCCGAATCATCGCTCTCTCTTGCCTTGGATGATACTTGGGCTTCCAAAATCGCCGTTTCGTCACGTTGTGCACGGACTACGTTTTGCCGATGAAGGTCACCCATCCATCCCCGCCATTCTACTTCACTCATTTCCTCCTCGCTATCGCTGACTTGGATGATATCATCACTGCCATCATTGACACTGCCCTCTTTTTTGTCGCTGTCACTACGGATTGTTTCCCCGTCGTTGACATGCGATGGCCTTCGCATAGATAAGGTTGTTACTGTTGACCTGCGCGACCTAGAGTCATAACTTTTCAAGCTCTTCTGTCTCTTCGACTCATCCATTTGAAACGATGGCCGATTACCAAAAAGAATCAAATCCAACGGACGTCCTCTTTCACCCATCCCAGCCGCTTGAGCCCGCTCCACGACTTCTAGCCTCCACTCTGGGTATGGTAAGGGTTCGAAGGGCCCTCGACGATTTGTAGTATTACCAACGCCAAGGGAGGCAAGAATGGTAGGATGTCTTGACTTTGATTTAGTGATACGGAAGGGAGAGCTTGCAAAATAATCGCCATCGTCGTCTGCATCAGACTCCTGGCCGAAAGCTCTATGTGAACCAGATGCCAACCCAGCATCCGAGGTGGCGCGTTTGCGGGTTGTGGGAGAAATTTCCTCATCGACTTCCTTTTGGGACGCGAGCGTGGTTGAAGACCAGAACGGAGGGTGGCCTCCCAAGGGACGGCCAGGACTAGTCGGTCTTTCAAATGGTATAACAGGGACAGAAGGGGTGAAGGAGGAAGAGGAGGGAACACTCAAATGGCGATGAAATATACGAAGGATGCTCGTGTAGGCTGAGGTTGAAAAGCCGTCTGTAAGTACACAGAGATTAGAGATTTGAAGCAGAAAAAACCGACCTTGCTCATTGCCTAGATCCAGGATAATCCATTCTCCATGCTCGTCGTCCTTCCGGCGTTCATAGTTGTGTGCCCTATCTCTCTCCTTCCCTTTGTCTGGTTTTGCCCGATCGAATGGTTCCTCCTTTGGCTGTAGTTGATCTCCGCCTTCTCCCTCCCGCTCGGTTGGGTTTGGTAGGGGTCCTGATTTCTCCCCTCTCTCTTCCCCATGCAAATCCACCTTCCCAACGCGATCATGACGATACCCATAACGATAGCTGGGTCTATCTTTCCCAGCCCTCCCCAGCCCTAAGCTAAGATCTGACTCGCTGCCTGAACAAGTACTGTGAGCAAACACAGGAGATGACAACGCCGAAGACTCGGCCGTGTCTAAACCTCCGTGTGCATCTGGCTCAAGACTTCCACTAAGTACTTCTGAACCTGGTATGGTGATAGGAGGAAGTGAAGTTCCACGATTGAGCGGAGATAGATAATTATTTTCTGAGTCTCCAGCAGGTTCATCGTCTGAGCTAGCTTGAGAGGAACCCATCCCTCGGTCTTCTTCCTCGAGATTTGCTTCCAAGCGACTAACATCATATTGCGGTTGATGCTGGGTGACGTCCAAAACCGTATCCTCCTCCACAACATCGGAGTTGCCTCCATCACTATGGGCAGGTTCAACAACAGACGTGGTAAAATCAGTTGAAAGACCTTGTCCTCTGTCACTTGGCTTCCACGTCTGTCCTGTACCAGTTCCACGTGAAAAGCTTTGGTCCCTCCCCTCCCTCTCTTGCTCTTCCCTCTCCGTCTTGCTTGGTTGCCAGCTCAAACCAACTTCATCATCTTCCTTCCTTGCCTTGCCTTTGTCTTTCTTCTCTTTTGGCGAGCCAAAAAAGCCACTCACAAGCCCACTTTTGCCAGTGGGGTGAGCACTCGATCCCGCATTGAAATTCGCAGTGGAAGCCGCGGGAGATGACATGAAACCAAGACCGAGAGCAGGAAGGCTTGATTTACGCGCGTATTGACCACGAAGCTCGTCGAACAAGCCTAGTTCATGTTCCTTGTGCTTGGATTTGGCTTTTACTTTCTCCGCTTCTCGCCTCTTTTCCCGCTGTTTCTCCTTCTCTCTGTCTCGCACGTCCTTCCTACCGGGTTGGACTGAACCTCCCTTCTCTCCTCCTAGTCCTACAGTCGCAATGGCCACCATCGCAACTCCGGGTCCCCCACCCGTGCTTCCCCCAACACCGCCCGCAAGCATTGCCAGACTAGGGCCAGTGCTTGTATATTGCTTTCCTTCGGTCCCTTTCTCTTTCCTGGGGGCAGGTTCTTGACTGACCTTGCTAGATCCTTTGATGGTACGAAACCTAGCACAAACGACCCTCATTCCCGCACTTTCCGCCTCTTCGTGAGAAAAAGGGATATAGCTCCTGTCGAACCTCTTATCAGGCCCACCTCGAACCCTCAAAACATAACTTTCCCCAGGGAAAGACGATGAAGCTTCTGCAGGAAATCTACTCCATGGATCCCCATGTCCGTGGGCAATAGAATTGCCGTGCCGGTGAAAGCGAGCGTCTTCCCGTGGCGAGGATGGTGGAGAAGGTGCAAATGAAAATGGCTTTGAACTACTTTCACCGTTTTTCCGTGCCAGATCATCCCACTTTGCTGGCTTGTCATGAGGACGCAGACCTTCCTTGCGGCCCTCACGATCCGCATTAACTGCACTTGAAGGTCGCACATGTTTACTGTGAGGGTGTCCATGACTTTTCGACGATGGGTTGGTCCGCGCTGAGCGCGCAAGGTGCTCAGCTCCACGTAGCTGAGTGAGGGAAGAGAGTGGCATGCGGTGGGTGGGTGTTGGGTCCTACAATGCGAGTGTAAAATCAGTGTCATTTAAACAGATGTAAAAAAGGCAGTCTTGTAAGAAGAAGCAAAATCAAGCATTAAATGAGAACTTGTGTGAAACTGAAGCCCACCTGACGGTCTCTGGAAAGGCTCACAATTCCATCCCTGATGACGACCCACCTCTCCCTCCACTCTAATCTTGTCTTGCGCCTCTTTCTCACGTCGCCAATTTCCTTATGATTTCTCTCCCCTGTCACGCTCCCTATCTCAACGGTCCCAGCGACTGCCATCGAGCCCAGCATACTGGCAGAGGACGTCCCATGCTTAGAGTGATATGCCCCAGAAACATAATCAAATTCATCTTTGTAGACCACACGAAGGGCACGAACCCAGCCTTCCCAGTAAGGTTGGATGTATTTCAATGAAACGTGACGGGGCATTGGGATTAAAATCCGCGTTTGTGATTGTTGATGGGATTTAAAAGACGTTGGAGGGGGAGAAAGTATCAATGCATTTTCAAAGCATGTTTTGAAAGAGGTTTGAGCAGCGCCAGAGGCATGTAATTCGAGCAATTCGTGAGGTGCAAGCTCGTACCACGATATATGAAAGTCGTCTTCAAGGATTTGTCCGGTCGTAAATCGTAATAGTGTATAGTTCTCGTGGGTTGTGCTGTTTAAGCCCAACGGTGACGGCGGTTTGTTGGGGGACGCGGAAGAAGCTCCCCTACGCTCCCTATCCAATACTCCAAGAGAGGATATACTTCCTGAGCTCTTAACGTGGCCAAACCGTCGTGGGTTTGCTGATGGGATCGAGGTCCCAATCGCTGTCGTCGATGAACCCAATTTAACCAGGCCACCACCGCCTTCATGGCTGCCCTCATCATCAAAGAGATCATCATCGTCATCATCCCACTCATCGTCCTCTTCGTATCCCTCCCCACCATCATCCCCACCAGGCTCCGTGATTGACTTCGCTTCTACAGATCCCTTTGGGAGGCTTGTCGAAGCAAACTGGATGGGACTGATAGGTCTGAAGCGAGGATCAGGCGCAAATGTAATTGGAGAAGATGGCCGTCCCCCTTCTCCACCGTTGTCTGTACCATCAAGAGCCGCAGACTTGGCAGGAAGAATAGGTGGAATAAACGGTAATCCGACGCATTTAGCCAGCAAGTACCGCTTGACGTCTTTGACTTTCCACTGAGGGTCAAGATGGGCAATGAGCCATTGGTCGCGTTGAACTAGATACGATTGAGGATAAGACGAGGATGAGGACGAAGGCGGCTCACTGAACCGGCATGCAAGAGGCAACAGCTTTCGACAGGGTGATGATGACGACCCCTCCATAAAAATGTTTCCGCAGTTTCTCGTATCTTTCTACAAGCGGATTCTCCTAGATAAGAGCGCCGTCCATCATGAAAGTTGTCGTCGTTGCTCAGATGGAAAGCCAGTGGAAAGCTACAATGTGTTCAAGCAACTTCGAATTCCGCGCGGAGTTTGCCAGCCAATATTATAGGAAAGGAATTATTCCTACTGTTCTTTCTCACCTCCTTTGCTCATGAACATCTCATAACGGGCCTTGGCAAGGCCTTGGGCGACGGAAGTTTACGAAGGAGAAGTTACAGACTTAGGCCTTCTGTCTTGGAATTCACTCGGGAAAGAGGATCCCAAAACGTTAAGAACGAAAGCTGGAGAATGTTCGACATCGCATAGTTCAGTAACTGGTATACAAAGCAAAAGGCATAAATGCGCTTCCATGGTGCTAACATTTCAAAGAGCCGCGTTCCAAATGCTTCTTCCATTGGCAGTCGAAAGAGGAATCTTCTCAGTAGCGACCAACACAGGATCAGGAGCGAACTTCTCGCTCAAGACGGCCAATTTAGACCGGTACTCATCCACGCCGATGTACGCTCCGCACATACGGCGTCGACCATCGAACGCTGAGCGACCATGGAGAACACGGTGGTTATCCACAACTGTGGAGGGTTATAAGTATTTTGTTGTACTTTGGATTGTGAGCAGAACACGAACCGACTGCTGTGCCAGGTTGCAACTGGACCCAATATTGAGAGTCTGGACTTGTTAAACACTTGTTCCATGTCCTGATAGCATCATACCTAGAGTGCACTGGTATCAGTTATCATTTAAAGGGTGGAGAAAGAACGAAGCCTTACCATTTCTCAACAAGATCCGAGGTCAAATGACTCATCACACTCCTGTCATCGTTGTTCCAGCGAACCTGCGTGAGCTCGCCCGTGAACGCGTCGTGTCCTAAGACAGGATAGCCCGAAGGCGGACTGGGCCGATACAATGCGGAAGATTCACCAGCTGCATGAGCTGGAACGGGTATGCGTGACAGCAAATCATAAGCTTCCGGATGGAGTTCCTTCATAATGTTTGCGACATAAAACCCGTCAACGAGTAACGTGGCACCCCCAGTACCTCCCGTATGAGAAAGAAGATGGAAAAGTTGTAAACCACATGGGTCCGTCTGATGGAAATGAACTGGGTATCGAGGACGAATAACCATGCAGGCTACGTACAAAGTAGGTGTTGTCCGTATGTGCACCAAGAGCCAGTGTCGTATAAGCCGTGTCGCCTTTGGCAAGGTCGGAAGTAATCTCCCAAAAACGACCATCTGTTTTGAGTGTCAGACTCGTCAACGACGTCGAAAGGATTGTCTCATACACTGTGTTTCTCGAATAAAGCCGATTCGCTCTGACAGCGCCTCTGTAGCTTCTGGGGTTTCGGGCACACCACTCACAAACGAGAATCCAAATCGGTCCTTGTCGCGATTATTGATAAAAAGGAAGGCAGGAGATATTGGTAACATACGACATTTGAGAGCCACTTGAATAGTCCTTGATCATCTTTTGCCATTACTTCTTCGTAAGCAACTGTTGGGGGTGACTTTTGAATTGTGGAACCCCACAATACTTTTCTGGTATACTTGAGCCTTCGCTAGACGTAACAAATGGCTGACATTCTTACTCCTGCGAGGCATCTTTGCCACTTAGCGAAGGATCGTATGAATGTCGTTGAAGCCAGGACCAGGGATACAGGGACACATGCGGGTCTTGCGAGGGCCCTAGTTGCGTATGCTAGACTTAAGATAAAATGATAAAACCATGAGAAACGTACAGGTGACTTCGAGTCCCTCAACCTTGGCCTCGATATGTAAGGGGGCAATGTCAGTTGGTATCTAAATGCGTCGATCAGGGAGATAATCAGAGAGATAAAAAGTCATACTTCAAAGGTATCGAGCAACCGCTGCTTCGTAGCTGGATGGAAACATTTCGGACATCGGCAGTGGTCTCTCAGCCAGATATTGTGACTGTAAACAGACGTGTAGGGAAATCTAAAGGAGTTCATATGATACTTACAACCGAGACCAAGTGCGCGTATCCCATCCTATAGCAACCTTCCCAGCATCGGCGCTGATGATGGGTAAGTCATGATCGTCGCTTGTGACAACGGAAAGGCGTTGGGTTGGGCCCAAATGAGGTCTCGGTGCCACCGTCGTTGCCAAAGAGGCAGTTGAACGGGTACATGCACTTTGAAAAGAGCCATTCCACGACAAGGACGTAATCTTCCATTGAATAAAAATCAAACAAAAACTCGAGAGATATAGGTGGCGGCGCACAGGTATGCTCCTCGACGTGTTAGCAACCACTAGCCTTTTATTAACAAGACCACCATGAGATCGCCTGGACAATGTAGCGAACAGCGAAGGCCTCCACATTACTTAATGGTGGAAAGGTCGGGAAGGAGTGGCCGGTGAACGTGAATTCCAAATTTTGACATCAAAAATTGATTTTTTGTCGCAAACCTCGAGAAAGTATGATACTGAGAGGACGAGGCAGGCGGCTTGACGAAGCTTGACGGCTCCGCTATATATACCCAACTTCATTTAAAGTTTTGACTGATCTCGATACTAGACCCAATTGCTTATAGTGAGGCCGCTCTCCTGAGTGCAGCGGTCTTATCACGGGTGGACAGGGTGGTGGTACAGTACGTAGAAACTTGACAAATTTTTATACGTTGCCTCCTGTACGGGACTTTGCTTCGACTATTCATTCAAGGTGTCCGCAATTGATCGGCCGACATCGGCCGAAGCCGTGACTCAAAACTTGCCCAACTTTTCGTTCAAATTTTGTCCACTCACCACCATGGCTTCCCTTGCTCGCTCAGCCTCGCAATCTCTTCGCGCCTCTGCTCGTCGTGCCCCTCGCTCTCTGGCCAAGTCTGCGGTGCGGCCCACACAAGCTGCGTCTTACTCCCTTTTTGCTCGGGCAGCTGCAGCCAAGGTTGCACAAACCTCAACCGCCAAGGTTCGTCAGATGTAAAATTTATATCTCGCTGATATATCTCTAACGCGTTGTATAGGGCGTGCGTGGCGTCAAGACTCTCGACTTTGCTGGCACCAAGGAGGTCGTCTATGAGCGTAGCGACTGGCCCCTAGCCAAACTCCAGGACTACTTCAAGAACGACACTCTTGCCCTCATTGGATATGGCTCGCAAGGTCACGGACAAGGTTTGAACGCTCGTGATAACGGTCTTAACGTCATCGTCGGTGTTCGCAAGGACGGCGAGAGCTGGAGACAGGCATTGGAGGACGGCTGGGAAAGTTTTTCTCCAGTTTCGGAAGCAATTCGTCAGACTTACATTCCGTGCAGGTGCCCGGAGAGACCCTCTTCCCCATCGAGGAGGCTATCAACAAGGGTACCATCATCATGAACCTTCTGTCAGATGCTGCCCAGTCACAAACATGGCCTCAGCTGGCACCTCTCATCACCAAGGGCAAAACTCTTTACTTTTCGCACGGCTTCTCCGTTGTCTACAAGGACGACACACATGTCATCCCTCCCAAGGATGTGGACGTTATCCTCGTAGCCCCCAAGGGTTCCGGACGCACCGTCCGAACCCTTTTTAAGGAAGGTCGTGGCATCAACTCTAGCATTGCCGTGTGGCAGGACGTCACCGGCAAAGCGAAAGAGAAAGCCATCGCTCTTGGTGTTGGTATTGGCTCTGGATACATGTATGAAACCACCTTTGAGAAAGAGGTTTACTCTGACCTTTACGGTGAACGTGGAGTTGTGAGCAGTCTTTCCGTTTCCGAACCATTATAGATTTTGACGTAGTTTTTTTTTTTTACTAGCTTATGGGAGGCATTCGTACGTTCGTGACATTGGTGTGGCTGTAGTGTGACTAACATTTTCTTCACAGAGGGTCTGTTCTTGGCACAGTACCAGGTCTTGCGCAAGAACGGTCACTCGCCATCAGAAGCCTTCAACGAGACTGTCGAGGAGGCAACACAGTCTCTTTACCCTTTGATTGGCCAGAAAGGGTACTTTTGGATTTTCTTCGCAACTAAATGGAAACTGACGGTTTCATTTCTAGCATGGACTACATGTACAACGCCTGCTCGACCACCGCCCGCCGTGGAGCTCTTGATTGGGCTCCCATCTTTGAAAAAGCCAACGTCCCCGTCTTCGAAGCTCTCTACGAGAGCGTACGAAATGGAACTGAGACTCGCAAATCGTTGGAGTTCAACGGGCGCGCCACATATCGTGAGGATCTGGCCAAGGAGCTCGCTGTCATCGACAATCAAGAAATCTGGCGTGCTGGTGGGTTTCCTGTCGCTTACACGCTAACGGTTCATGGCTAAGACTATACTTTATAGGCAAGACTGTGCGGTCATTGCGTCCCGATTACAAGCCCGAGTCAGAGTAAGAACTGCTTTGTGGAAAGATGGAAAGGGAGGATGAAAAGTATCCTTGGCCCCGGGTACACTACGCTTACTATCTCATGACCATTTTTTTGTAATTTATATTGATACCAATCATTTCGCACATGAAATGAGTCAGTGATTTGGATATTGCCATCATGTCTTTCATCAACTCCTACAAGCCACCTGTGCTGCAGAGGGTCACCAGCACGCTATCCGACGGGCCCTACGACGTCAACAGCAATATTCCAATCCCGCCGTTGTTGGAAACAGAGCAAGTCAAACTCGTACCATTCCTGCCCCCCCATGCAGAAGTATTCTTCGCAGCGTATAGCGCAGCACCGGAGCTAGAACGTTATCTGCCCACTGCATGGCCCGACTTTCCCTCTCTTCTCACATTCCTCGAAGAATACCGTACCAAACCTGACGCCATTTTCTTCGCCATCCTCGACAAGACCAAAGGCGCAAGCCTCGAGAAGAGTCTGGCGGGCATCATCGGTTTCATAAGCTGCTCACCACAAAATCTGGCCGTCGAAATCGCGCCCGTCATTATTCTGCCGGCGTTCCAGAGAACGTTCGTGTCGTCAAATGCAATTGGATTGATGATGAGATATGCGCTGGACCTGCCAGAAGATGGGGGTATAGGGTTCAGGCGAGTTGTGTGGTCCGCGAACCCGAATAACTTGGCGAGCGTTAAAGCGGCTGAGAGAATGGGTTTTAAGCTAGAGGGTGTGAAGCGTTGGTCTTGGGTCCTTCCTCTGGGGAAGGACGGGGGTAAAGCACCTGTGGACGGAAAGAGGGGACAAGGTCAAGGAAGGGACAGCGTAGTATTTGCCATGTGTTGGGATGATTGGGAAGGGGGAGGAAGAGAGCATGTGGCCAAAATGATTGATAGGGTATAAAATGATTGATAACTGCGATGATAAGGCAGTGAATATCCACCAAAACATTGACGAGTAAAAACGCACTGTAGACTCAATCAATGCATGGGATACCCATCCTCCACCATTCCTCTTGTAACCCTCCGTCCCATACCGGGAGAGACGTGCATGGGCATGCCTGGCATACCCCCACCTCCCATACCCATTCCACCCCTTGGGTGACCGCCGCCCATCGAATGATCCATCATATGTATGTTACCCATAGAGCCCATCCGCACGGGCGTAGAAGGAGCTTCTCCACCAAAATACTGTGTAGGAGGGTTGAAAGGTGCACCACCAGACGATGGATAAGGCCCTGGCCCTCCTCTAACGTTCATAGCTGGCGAGCTAGGATATGGGTAATTCGGTGGAGGTGCGTGATGCCTGTGTGGGGACGACTCGTGTCCGCCATAGCCCATATGGCCATGCATACTCGACATATGGAAGTCTCTATCCCGATGCGGGGTTCGGTTGGAGAGGGTTGGTTGTTGGTTTTGGTTCACTTGCTCCTCCGGAGTTTCATCTTCTGTCACTTTTTTTACAGCTTCTTGAAGAGGAGTAGAATCATAATACAAGTCGGAATATTTATCAACTAAAAATCTGGCAGATGGTCATTGAACAAGTCTGCAGTCGTGAATTTGTTACTCACTGTTGTGTACCGACATCCCATTGTGGACCACGTTCAGCACGAGCGGTCATTAGAAGAGAGTTCCATTCTGATGCGCTTTCCTGTATTGGCCCGTCAAACCTGGGCGTCCTCAAGTTGGAAGAAGAATACGCACAATGGCTTGGGCCAAGTCAGGGTTTGGTTGGGAGGTTTCAGCACGAATTCTTTTCGCTTGGGCAATACTTTTGACCTCTGCAGTTAGTTTCAAGCCTATCCTTTGAGCGTTATGACGGGGAACTTTCAGCTTGATGCTTTTGGTTGGTTTGCTAGGCGCCATGGCAGTTCAAGTTGAAGTGTTTGCACGTGGCTTGCTTTCAACTCTGTCATTAACCCGACGCGCTACCCATCTACTCACAACTTCTTGCTCTCTTATCGTGCTAAACTATCTAGTTACGCTTACGCGTAAGCCCGCACATAACGGGGGCTACTCAAACTTGTTGATTATAGCCGAATGTCCCGTCGCGGCGGTTCAATATTCAATGGAGCTCCTTCGCTAGAAGCCTCCAATCAAGCCCAAATTGAGGACCTCGTGCAGAGAAACCGCACCATCGAGCATACGAACAAACGACTTTCCGAACAACTCACTCGCGAAGTGTCCCGTTCAAAAGAGGCTCTGGAAACAATGCGCCAGGAATGGGTCAATAAACGCCAAGAATGGCACCAAGCATCCACCGATCTGCTTGCGCTATGCCGCATAGACCAGAAGCGTGTTGAGGTGGAATTGGAGAGGGAGAGATCGAACGCTCTGCAAGAAATGAAGTTCACCCGAGATGAGAAGTTGTTGAGGCTTCAGAGGGATTTCAGAATCAAGCTCTTTCAGATCAGAGAAGAGGAATTGGAGAGAAAGATAGAAGAGATGGAGGCGGAGAAACGAAGGAACAAAGGCAACAGTGACTTGATTGTTCGGAAATTGGAAGCGAAGTGCGCAGAGTTATTAATCCAGCTCAAGGAGGAAAAGGAAGAGTGGGCTGTAGCTGAGCGCGAGAGGGATGAAATTGAGGTGCGTTTACCCTTCTTCTATCAATGTATTTAGTACAGATGTCTTCACAGAGAGTGCTCACTAAACTGCGTGAAACACATGCTACCCTCCAAGGATCAAGCGAGTCGATGAAATCAAAGCTCGAACGCGTGAAACTTCAATTCGAGGGCTCTCAAACAAAAAATACAGAGGTTCAACGTGCAAATGACGACCTGAAACGAGCTAACGCCGATCTCATCCGCCAATTAGAGAAATGGCAAAATCTCGAGACAAAGGAAGGTGAAGTGGCGGACTCTGAACGAAAGAAACGATTGGCTCTGGAACTCGAAGTCAAAGGACTCAAAGAGGACCTGGCCAAGAATGATGAGGAGAAAGAGAAACTGGAAGCTGATCTCTCGAAAGAGAAACGTCGCGTGGAAAGGATGAAGAGTACTGTGCAGGAGTGGCAGGTCAGCGTCTCACTTTTTGTAGATGAGCCCTGTTGTTGTCCTGAACTTAGGCCATTTTATAGGCGGAGGCCAAATCTCATGAAGAGAGTTCGGCGCAGTTGAAAAAACAGCTATCAAATGCCCAGAAACAACTCCACAAATTGAAAAACGACCTCGAGGAGGAACGAGCCATGGTTGCATTACCCAATGTGCGTAGCCTGCCGCAGTAGCAGTAACGGCACGGGCTATTGGTTGACAATTAATCCCACTTAGGAAATTGAAGAAGATCAGCTTGAAGTGGAAGAGGTAACCGAACTAATCGAAAACCCATCCTCTCCTCCAAGTGAACCTGCCAAACCTGCTTCCAAACAAGGTCGGCGTCCGACAGCCGCCCCTCGCAGCAAACGGGGTGAGGTCCCTGGAAGTGAGACGGAAGCAGGCCCGTCGCGCGCCGCTGTGCGTCAAGAAAAAACGAAGAAAGCCACAGGCGCAGAAACCGATGTAGAAGAAACCGCAAAAAGGAAGCCTCAGAAGGTCGCAGCGCAAGATAGTGATGTCGAAATCATTGATGCGAAGAAAAAAGGCAAAGGCAAAGCGAAAGTGATAGACCTTGAGGACGAAGAAACAGAGGCGGTACTCCCACCCAAAAACAAACGGAAACGTGCCACTCATCAAAGCCATGACGAGGATGATGTCAAGATTGTTGGTGAGAAACGCGCGCCCCCAAAGAAAGGCAAGCCGGAGAGCAAGGGAAAGGGAGCATCTGCCAAACCTCCTAGCAAGAAGAAAGCAGAGAGCCGGGCCACGAGCGTTCAACCTTCTGGGGTAGATGAAGCTGATGAGGGCGCGGAAGAACCTGCGCGGAAGAAAAAGCGAAAAATCAACATATTTCCCGCCACGGCTGGGGTGTTCAATTTCTCGAATGTACGTTACTGCTTTCATATGGGATGCGTCGGAATCTGATATTTCTTGTTCTGTGGCAGTCTAAGGGTGGTCTGGATATTCCAAGTGAACTGTCACCCGTCAAGGATTCCGAGCCCGTCCCAGGCCGTAGTATCACCACTAGCTTCATGAGTTCAGTTATAAGCCGCAATTGGGGTGGAAAAACATAGATTAGGTCCTCTGACCCATCCCGCATACTTACTTATTGAATAACCTGAAATTACGACCAAATCTCCACTGCTTAGGCCAGGGTATGAACATAAAGAGTTTTCGAGGCAAATTATATTGAACAAAGATACACGAGGAACTGTCGCCGTCATCATGAAACTCCTCTCTACGTAGAATGACTGTGATTGGAGCGATTAAGGAGGCTGTATAGTCTGTCCACCACATCATTAAAGGTGCGCCTCGTCCGTATTTCCTTGTGAAGCAAAACGCCAACATGAAACGAGGGAGCCGCTGTGGTGGTACAACTTGGGAATTTTGATTTAAAAATTGCGGCTTTATACATAATCAGTGCCGGCAAGTACCATTCCCACGGCATTCACTGCAAACGTGATGACGTTGTGAATTTCAAAACGTGTGCACTGCGCGTGTAGGGATGTTGTTATAATTTCTACTAGTAACTACTATACTCTCCCTTTTCCCATTTGATAAACGTCCACCATGTTTTCTTGGTTTTCAAATGTTTTCGGGAAACCACCGGTTCCCGCCTTGGACAAGATGCGGCTAGGGCCAGAGGGCGCAACGCAAAATCCACTCATGGTATTTTTTCTTACTCTACCCACCGTCGGTCCACGTCAATATATGTCTAGATCCAATTCTTCACTTGGGACGCCTTGCACGACACCCTGAGCTGGTGGAAACACGTCGAGGCTGAAATTCCACGCCTTGCCGAGCTTGGCGTCACTCAAATTTGGCTCCCTCCTCCTAACAAGGCTGCCGAGCCCGTATGTCCTGAGTACTATTTATATACGACAACGTTAATTCCGCTGTAGCATGGTCGCGGCTACGACGCGTATGACTTGGTGAGACCCGCCCTGCATTGCATACTGGTGGTGCTGAAACCCTGGCAGTGGGATTTAGGTGAATTCAACCAGAGGGGGACAGTGAAAACTCGATGGGGAACGCGAGAGGAATTGCTTAGTGCTTGCAAAACCGCGAGGGAGCATGGAATAGACATCCTCATAGATGCTGTCCTTAATGTGCGTTACACTTTTGACAGATCCTTCGTCCTCACATACCTTTGAACTCCCAAAGCACAAACTCGGCGCTGACGCAGTCGAAACGTTCTCCGCTGTTCCAGTCCAGTCGGAGAACCGACTGAAAAATGCTGGGCCTGCGAGAGAGATACAGGTGACCCCTTCCATTGTAGAGGCACTCTCAAATAACTCAAAAATGAAAAGGGTTGGACAGACTTTCACTTTCCAGGAAGGACAGAAAAGGTGTGTTTCTTTCAGATTTCGCGATCCAGCCTATATATGTGTTGGGCAGTACAGCGCCTTCCGTTGGACACAAGCTCACTTTACTGGTAACTTCTCTTGTCTTCTCTTTCTTCTGAACGGCAACGCGTTAACTCTGGCTTAGGGGTAGACTGGGATGATCGGAGCAAAACTAATGGAATATTCCGTCTCGTTGGTCCTGGCCATAAAGGCTGGTCGCGTCATGTTGATAGCGAACTTGGGAACTACGATTATTTATTGGGAGTTGATGTGTGTGGAGTTTCCTGATGATGAATTTCACCTTGCTAAAGCCGCCACAGATTGACCACCGTCACCCTGCTGTCCGAGAGGATCTTCTTAGCTGGGGTAAATGGATCCTGGAGGTCTGCGAAGTCATTCTCCGCGGTATAACCAATCTAAGTTCGATATCAGACTACAGGCGCATCGGGTTTCCGTCTTGACGCCATTAAGCACATAGACAAGAAATTTCTGCTTCACTGGGTCAGTCCGGACATTTCTTCTGACCTTCAAATACCGGACATCGTTTTAGATTCAGTCAACACGAGCAAGCTACGGAAATCCCAAAATGTTTGCTGTTTGTGCGTTCAATATATCCACTCTCGGTTATGCACAGGAAGCACTGAATCCCCCTTAGCCGAATACTGGTCTGGAAAGTGGGTTCTGCCAATGCCAGTTCATGATAGTCTGTTCATTTCATAAAGTCTCAAGTTGATTTTGCCGTATATCAAGGCGTTCAAGGGAGAGGTAAGTGCTACTCGCCATGAATATGCAGACAACTCAAGTGTAGTCGCAGACGGCGTTCTTTGACGTGCCATTACACATGAACTTCAACCAGGCTAGCCGACAAAGAGCTCGCTACGATCTGCGAAACCTTCTGAAGGATACCATCGTTCAAGTCAAGCCTGGCGACGCAGTGACTTTCGTGGATAACCATGAGTGAGCAGCATTTAATTGCTCCAAACATCATCTCAAACATTATTCTTCTAGTACTGTAAGCAGACGTATGTGACTCTGTGTCGTGTCTTGTGACTGAAAATCTTTCAGGTTGAGGGACAGAGTTTGGAAAGCTGGGTACATCTTTCGATTTGAACCTATCTTTCCTGTATGTCTCAACACATATACAGGTCGAAAGCCATTTCAAGGTGCAAGCATACTCGATCATCCTCCTCCGTGGTCCCGGATACCCGTACGTCCGACAGCTCCTCCCTACCCCCAGTATTGATTTCCCTGTTCCCATAGATGTGTCTTCTATGGAGATCTATACCCGAACAAAGAATGTTACAACGAAGAAGTTGCGCGGAATATCAAGTTGTTGATGGAGGCTCGGAAAATGTTCGCTTACGGAAATACGGAAGACTATTCTAGTGACAGGAACTGCATCGGCTTTATCCGAAGGGGAACTGCGACGCATCCTGGATGTGCTGTGATATTAAGCAATAAGCAAGAAGGGCTAGTCTCTTTTTTATAACCAAATTTCATTCAAGGCAACTAAATATCTTGGGATAGGTCAAAATCTCATGTCCACGAGCTTCGCATGAATGTTGGTAAGGTAAGTCATAACTACATCCGCGTCGTCTTGTTCAGTTGGCTGAACCCACTCCAGGAAAATGGAGGTTCAACTTATCGGAGCTACATGACGCAACATGGCCGAGTCGAGATAGATGCAGAAGGTTGGGGTACATTTTCGTGTTTCGCGAATTGTGTCCAGGTCTGGGTCAAGCTGGAGGGAGAGGCATAATTTGAACACTTCGATTCGTATACCAAAGTGCCTTATAGGGTAGATCCGATTTCGATGATCTTCAGACATTATATATACCAGCACTGAGCTCTATTATACCGCCATTTTATCATCGCCAGCTGGGCTAGCCCGACGCCACTCGCTATACAGATCTCGTATCTTCAGATTCTCGCCGTATTCGTCCTGAACTCCACGTCGTTGCGATCGCGTTTTGAGCTTTGGAAGTACCATGACTCTGCTCAATTCTATTGCCGCTGACTCTCTACCCAGCGCCACCAAATTCTGTCGATGATTTTCACCGTCAAAAAGTGCCGCAGTTTCTTCTAACGTCCGACCTGTGCAACAGATATTTCTTGATGCGGAGTGGCAGCAAACAACGTGGAAGGCCTACCTTTGGTTTCCACAATGAAAATTGCGACGAAGGCAAGCTCGACTATAAGCCAGGCACAATACACAATGTAGTATTGCCAGCCGATGGAAGCAAGCGCCCAAGGATTCACAAATTGGTTGAACGCTACAGTCAGCATTAACGTTATATTCTGATTGAAAGTGAGCAAAATATTATATCCATTCAGCATAGCAGAATGCGCACCATGACAGCAAAACCCTTCGCTCTGACTCTATATGGTAAGATCTCGAGGGTATATGCGACAACCAAAGGAGTATAGGCGATATCGTAGAAGAAATAGAAAATGAAAATTAGGGGTATCGTGGCTTGACCAAGGAATCAACACATTAACATGGACAACAACGGAGAAATTCTACCTATTGCAGCTGCGGAGGTATGGGCTGTGTTGTAGAGTGCTGTTGAGATCGTCCAAGCGGAAAAACCTAAAAGTTGGGATTGTTAAAAAATTGCTAAAGATGATTCAGGCGAGGTACGGACTGATGAGCATTCCACTGTTCGAAACTATAAAAAGTGTTCTCCGCCCTGCCCAATCGACCAACATAGAAGCTGACAGCGCAACCAAGAAGTTGAAAATCTGGACGATGAGAGGTAAGTTGACAAATGTGCACAAATTTCATAGATTCAGACCTGAAGGTTGCCATTGATTACTCCCTTAAAATATTTGTCAATGGCCAACCGCGAAAAATGACAAGAGACATACCTTTGCGGCTGTACTCGTGATACCGACACCATCCAATACTATATTGATGTAATAAGAGACTAAACCGTTGCCACTATAAGAAATCAGTTTATGCACGTCCGTTCAAAAAATTGATCCAAAAAAACAGACCTCCATTGCGAAAATATGGCGATGGCCATTATGATCATCATTCGTTTCCTATTGCCCGGCGTCGAGAACAGAGACCAGTATGACGTTCTCCGGTTAATCTCTGCCTCCATCTTGAGTGCATGCCGGATTTGAGCAATCTCAAACACCACCAATGGATCATGTTCGTTTCCACCATTTGCGTGATATTTTGCGAGGACTTTGCAAGCTTTTTCTTCCTTATTCAGTTGTTAGAAAATGACGGTGAAACAATGAAGGAGAATCTCACCAGTCCCCTGGAAATGAGCCATCGAGGAGACTCAGGAATGAACCTGACAGTGACGTAAGTTGTAGACATACCACTGACTATAACACCACAACTCACCAGACTGATGCGACTTGAACCAAAGGAAGAAAAGCTTGGACGAGGGTTGGCACACGCCACGACCACATACTTTCTTTGGTGTGTATATATGACCCGTAGCACACCTCGAAAAGGTTAAGTAACTGAGCCAAGAAGCCAAAGGGCAAGAGCTTACCCATGCTGAAATTATGCTGCCAAGATACCAGTTAGTGTTATACATGGAAGTGATTTTCCCGCGCTGATAAAGAAACGCCATCAATAAATGTAGAAGTCGAGGAAGGTCTGGTCCAAACCTGCGTTGGATACGACAGCTCTATCAGAAGAAGGGGAGCAGCATTCGAACAGAAGCATAGACCGAACCCAACTGTGTTAGATGAAGGTAGGATAAGAAGAAAAGGACATAAAAGGTCTGACTTACTTATTATCCGGGCACCGATCAGGGTTGCGACATTGGCAGAACCCGCCTGCAAACCCACCCCAGCAAACATAATTAATGACCCCAAGAATAATCCTGCGCGTCGGCCAAAGATATCAGAAACAAAAGGCGCGATTGGCAAGCCCTAGTGAGAGTCTCGTGAAAAGTTTCAGCAGAGGTCACAAATACCACGTACACATAGATTTCCAATAAACTGAGCAGAGTTGATGAAACCTGGAAAAAGTTATAAAATTTCTCACAGAGGCACATCGTTCAAATGGCGTACCCAGGAGCTTGCCTGAGGGATGGTCGAAATAACGTTGCCAGCCCGGCAAAATTTGTAGGCCTATAGTAATAGTTGAGTGGCATTGAGAGGATTCTTCTAGTGATCCTACCGTTGATAAGAGATGAATCGAGACCGTTGACGGCAGAGGTCATAAGAGGAATTAAGAGACATATGTTCAACATTATAATACCTGCATACCTTGAGTTGAGATCATGATATGCCAATATTAGCGCGGGTACACTTACCACGATTCCTCCACCATCTGCCTTTGTAGGTGAAGTCCACCACTGACGATTCAGGGAGTGCTCTTGAAGTCATATCTTTACTTTTTGCTCGCCAGACGGGGAAGACCTGCGCGTTCTCGTCGGGGGAGACCCTAGTTGAGGTGTCTAGCAGATTAAGAGAGTAGAGAAGAGAGCCAGGGCTTCAATTCACTGTCGCGCCATCCTCGCATCTCACTCGGATATACCTCGCTCGCGCGATCGTTGAATGGAGAGAAGCGTGACACGGTTTTTTATCATTATGGTCGTCACCAGCAATTTATTCGTGTGGTTGGTCCGCGTATGTAAGGTACTCGTCGCGAGAGTATGTAGAACAATTGCGATTTGACGGTTTTGGATGGACCTGCACCGTTCAACGTACTCAGCTCCAAGTCGATACTAGTAGCGAATGGGAGCTGCCAGTATCTAGTAAGGTTTCCAAATCGAGTTGTGTAAAAAGGCGTGCTTGCTCCTGATCCATATTATTCGCCGTTACCGTTCGTCAAGGGGAGGAGAACGTTGGGCGAACGCGCCATGATTTTCGGGAAACGCCTTAACCGGCGGTCATGTGAAATTGTGCACTGTGACGTCGTGACTCGGCTTACCCCGCGTCAGTCTTGAGCAGCTCTGTTTAGACCTTTATAGAGAGATGCCGGCCAACGGAACTTCAATACCCTCCTTCACTCTCATTGACTACCACCATGGGACAACCTACAGCAACTCCAGACTCGGTCAATAGTCTTACCGTGCACGACAATCGAACCGGGAAGGTGTACAATATTCCGTATGCGAACTGTTCTCGTGGTGCCGTTAGAGCTGCCTGACGTTTATGACAGGATAGTCGACAATAGTATTCCAGCGACTGCCTTCAAGACCATACAAGCACCGCGTGCGCCTGGCGAGAGGGAAGAGAACGAGACGGAGAAGGGTTTACGCGTTTCGGACAAGGGTTTCCTGAACACCGCTGTGTTGCGGAGTGAAATAACCTTCATTGACGGAGATGCCGGAAGTGAGTGTTTATTGTTTTTATTCGCGCTTCTCGCGTTTTTGACACAGATCAGTCCTTCGTTACAGGTATTATCTTTACACATTTGACATGTGGACCATGGTGTAACATTAAGCAGGGGATATCCTATCGAACAGCTCGCCCTCCACTCGTCCCATCTTGAAACAGGTAGCTTTCATTTTTATTTTCTATCGCACTGACCTAACTAAGTTACTCTTCCAGCATATCTACTCATTTACGGATCACTACCCACCAAGCCGCAATTCAAGATTTTTGAGACCGAAGTCTTGCACCACGGAGTAACCCACGCCGATGCGGAGCAATTTTGTCGATCCTTCCGGTGTGTATAGTTACATGGTGACATCCGACCTATTTCTTATGCACCCTTTTGTTTAGCTACGACGCCCATCCTATGGCAATTCTGACCAGCGCATTTGCCTATCTTGGTTCTTACTATGGGGAGGCCAACCCTTCTTTGCAAGGTTTTTCAGAAGTTTTCTACACTTCAATAGACGTAAACCTTGTCCTTAGGTCAGAGCCTCTATACAAGGGGCAACGCAGCCTCCCTGGAAATCATGGACAAGCAAATTTATAGGTTGATCGGAAAGGCCACTACGCTTGCTGCGTATGTTAATATCCTTCAGGTCTTGCTATTGTTAATAAGAGTACAGCATGGCGTACCGCGTCCGTCAGGGCCGAGAATTTGTGACGCCCCCCACAGGGTTGAGTTATACTGGCTCGTGAGTTTTGGCGTTACTAGATGTTACCAGGTCTCAAACTATCCCTCAGTTTTCTGTACCAGATGGATCATCTCGGGGAAGAAAACTATACCCCAAATCCCATTCTCGAAAAAGCTCTGGATGTTCTCTTCTTATTACATGCTGACCACGAAATGAATGCGTCATCGACAACGGTTTTGCAAACTGGAAGTTCCCTTGTCGATCCATACTCTGCCATTGCGTAGGTTTGATAATCATGAACTCGAGGTTCGGATTTTGAACACCACTTTTGCAGGGCTGGTTGTGCATCATTATAGTAAGTCTTCTTGACCCTACAGTCGGATACACGTCAATGACGTAAGTTTAGTGGACCCCTTCATGGTACTTTTATCGTCGTTATCTCCTGAACGAGTATTGATTGGAATAGGTGGCGCGAACGAGGCTGTTATTCGCATGCTGATCTCTATTGGAAAGTGGGTAGCGCATCATCATATGCACTGTCGCGATTTGACTACGTATGCAGGCCCGAAAATGTCCCCGCTTTCCTTGAGGCTGTCAAGAAGAGGGAAAAGGTGCTATCCGGATTTGGTCATCGAGTCTACAAAACCGTGAGTTGTACGCTGCAACGACTTCGGGCTGCTGCTGATTTTACGATGCAGTCGGATCCTCGTTCATTTATTGTGAGAAAAACTGCGGACGAAGTGTTCAAGATGTATGCATACCTGTTTTGACTTGGACATCAGCTCTGACCGTTATAAATAGCACAGGCAAAGATGAACTCCTTGAAACGGCCATGGCTTTGCATGCTGCCGCTATGAAGGACGAATACTTCATCAAACGCAAGCTAGCTCCCAATGTTGATTTCTGGTGCGTGTGTTAACGATGCTTCGCCCGTTTATTTTTAACTGATGACCTTGTAGGAGGTAAAGTGGCCTAGTTCTAGTGAAAGGACAGTCGCTCACGAAACTGCAGTGGTTTGATCTACCGCGCGATGGGTGAAGTCGCTTATCCCTGTGCATCACTCGATACTAACAGCGCCTGCAGGTTTCCCTCTTGATTTTTTCCCGGTTTTATTCGCTGTGCCAAGAGTCGTTGGATGGCTGGCACATTGGCGGCAGGTAGGCATTGCACAGCTCTCCTCGTCTATTCGTTCATCAAGTTGATTGATCTGTAACAGATGATGCTTCAAGAGGGCGGTGTAAAAATCTGGCGACCGCGTCAAGTGAGTCGATGGATATTTTTCCGTGCATTCTCGATAAATAATCCCATCGACATCAGATTTATGTTGGTGCAAGCAAACGTGATTATGTTCCGATTGACGAGCGGGTTGCTGTTGAGGGACTCCGAAAAGGCCCATCTGCCATTTCACACTCGGGGTGAGTAGTCCATGCAGCAAATCACCTTGGCAGTTAGTGACCATGGCAACATTTTGTTTGTTTATAGAATTACGAAGAGGACAATGCTTGCGACATTCAAAGGAAAGGCGACGGCAAAGCTGTAGACAGTGTAGCAATGACAATGCATGTCGTAGAACACACCTATCTGAATACTCAGTATTGAAAAGGGAGAGAATGGGGAAGTGAGGTAGTAAGGCACAGGTATTGTGCTGTGTTTGTACGCCAAGTGAGGTATAGATTGGACAACATCAAAGTTTGATTTTATTCCTTCTTCTCCCAACGTCCTCGTCCTTCTTTCCGCCGCGAGCCCCTCCGAGTTTCCTCCTAAACCCTCTCACCCTCCTCTCTGAAGAAATGTACTCCACACTCCTTACTGTCGCTCTCTTCGTCGCCCCCCTCATTCAAGGTGCCCTCGCCGACTTTGCCATTAGCTCTCCAGCTCTCGTTCAGGTGAGTTTATACCCCACAAATTATTCCTTGAATCGCTCAAACTCAAAGCCCATCTTGTTCACTCCAGTGCCAATCCAGCAAGATCTCATGGTCAGCGACCACCGGCCCTTATAACCTTATCGTCGTTGCTGCCGACCAGCCTTGCGGTGACGCCCTGTTCGTGTCACCTTTCCAGAAACGCGTCTGGAAAATAAACTGACGACCTCTGCGAACTCTAGAGTGGACATCGGTGATTTCGACGGCACCGTCACTAACTGGGTTGCCGCTCTTCCGGCCGGCAAGCAGGTCGTCCTCTCCCTCGTAGATGCCCAGGACAACGAGGCATGGAGCAAAACGGTAAGCTTATATTTACTTCCGTTTCAGCGTTTTCTAAGTTTCATATCATTAGATCACTATTGGTGCAAGTAGCGATACCTCCTGCCTCCCTGCTGCGCTGAAGCCCGCAGGTTCCTCGTCCACTTCGTAAGCAGGTTTATCCGTCAAGTTCACTTATATTCTTATTCTCTTTTAGCAAATCTACCAGCGGCTCGCCCACACCCGGTGTCGCAGCCGCGGCTGCCTCTAGCCCATCTCCTTCCCAAAGCGTTGTACCCGTTGGTGCTGCCAACGCCGGAACAAACCCCTTCTCAAGTGGAGCCTCAGCGCGCCAAGCCAGTACGCCTGTCATGGTCCTCGCCGCAGTCGCGGCCGCCATTGCCATGTCGCTCTGATGATACCCTTTTTGACTGGATCATGGTGTAGTTTCCCTTCTCGCCTGACTCGGCGCTGGTCTTGTTGTTTTTCTAGGATTTCGCTAACGGCGCATAAGCGGTTGTTGTTAAATACGATTCTGATCTCAGGAGATTCTTGACGACATGATGACGATTTGTACGAGGGTTTCATATGGGTTATTCTCTACATCGCATCCACGTTGAGCTGGACGACCTTTACATTTCTATCTACCGCACCAATAGCTGGTTCTTCTACCTACCTATCTTTATTTTGCCCATATACCCCTCATTGATTCTATCCACATGTCGCATCGGTAGAAGTGCAATTAACTGTACCTTGACGATCGAATTTTGAACGCCTCTGAACAAAATAATTCTGACGCTTTGGATTGAACCACCATGACATCGGAGACCGACTGGCATACTGTGTACGCGATTGCTTTCCAGGCATCATCTTAAGGCTACTAACAAGATCGAGGCCCATCCAGATCCGTGAAAATTCCACTCGCCTCATCGAAGCATGCTCTTATCGCAAAGCAAGTCATTGAGGTTGACCCAGAGCTTCAACCACAGGCTGTAAAACGGACGTTATCAGTTGACGACAATCTTCTAATCGCGTGGGTCTCGCCACTACGCCATATTTTTCTTCTTGAGATGAATAAATTGTTGCAGAACGTTCCAAACTCTCACTGTACGATTGGCTCGTTTGACGCTGAATGCCTTTTTGGAGAATGTAGATTTGGTGATTCGTACGATAGAACATTTTGGTGAAGAGGCAGAGAACCGACCATCGTAGGACTAGTACTAGGTCACGATTCATTAGCAGAAACGCAAGAAACATCTGAAAAAGGACGATGGTCCGTCTGCATGCAAAGTACAGAGTAGTTATGTGTGCGCAAAACAATAGTTGGTGGTGATGTTATCTTCTCTTCATCTGTGATTGATTCTCTCGCAATGCTTACTCCTCCTTGCCCTCCTCTTCGCTCTCAGCCTTCTTGGCCTTTTTCTTGCTCTTCTTGTTCTCCCGCAAGTTCCTTGCGAGCAACGATTTCAATTCCTCGTCCTCTAGCTCCTTTGTCGTCTTCACGAGGTCTGGCTTGTACCACACGGGCGGGTGCGTGATTAACGAAGGCCCACCGGGGAGAAGCGCAATCGTAAAGTGGAAACCAGCCACGAATGTATTCGCGGGAGTGTAGCTGAACGTCGAATTAAATTGAAGGAAGCGCTGGCAGTAAAATGTACTTACATCACTTCGTAAGGCTTCACGAGACGATGCTGGACAGCTTCTTGCAAGCCCATGCGAGAACGTTTTTCGTCTTCGAGTGTACGGACATTGAAAGGGAAGGCCCCAGCTTTCTTTTGGACTTCAGAAAATACCGCGCGCGAGTTTTTCATCTTCAGTTGGTATGTTACGGATGAGTCTCTTTGATAGATGGTCGTCCGCGACTCTTCGGAACGAGCCTAGGTTAGAATAAGTGCTCTGTGTTTGACTGCAGCTCATAGTATTGTCATACCTTTCCATCTTCACCGGAAGAGATTAGGATATCGATACCGTAAACCTCACCTTCAGCGAAGGTGGCGGCTTCAAAGTCACGCTTCTGCGATTCGCTTGGGTTCAGAATAACGCGTTTTTTCCCGTCGATAACGTTCTGCGTTTGTTGACAGGAGAGCATACCTGTCAAATAAAATTTATAAACGCTATACGTGACTCGAAATGGCACGTACCCTCGACGGGTTTGCAATCCCAAGCCGCGGAAGTACGGCCAACAATTTCAGTGACGGCCCAATTCCTATTCCCAACCTTGACGGTTCGCATAGCAGCTTCAGCGGCATGCCAAGCTGCTTTGAGGACATCAGCGCGACGACCCGTGATGGGATTTTCAGCGCTGGCTCCCACAACGATGGTCTCCGCGCTGATCGCAGCAAACCCATCGATGTGGGCACCAAGTTGCAGCTTTACAACATCGTCCTTAGCAAGAACTTGAGTTGCCTGAGGATCTGATCTGAAGAAATCACGTAAAACTGCGAGGTCAATACAAGCGAGACAAAATTGAAACTCGGACGACTCAACGCAAGGGGGGAGAAGTGCGCAACGGCGTTGTTGACGGAGATACAGGTGGGGAAAGCAACGCCTAACGTGTAGATTGCTTAGAAAATTGCTTGGGAGATGGCAGGCAAAAAGAACACACCTTTGGTTATTTTTGTACCTTTGACTGCCTTGTTATACACCGCTCCAGTGCCCTGTTCAATAAGTTTATCGCCCTCGATACATAGATCGATGACTTTCGCTCCTTCAACGATTAATTCTATGAGTTTCTTGGCGACCTGGTTGACGATGTCTGCTGCTGTCTAGATAGAATACGATTAATTTTCACTTGAGCCAGATCCTAGATCACGATGATCTCACCTTGTATTTCGTCAGATCAGCCTCAGCGATGGACGGAGCCTTCTTCTCGACAACTTCGGGTGCAGCGGGCTTTTCAGTATCAGACATCGCGTCTATATTGTGATAAAAGTGGCGGTCGTTGGGGGTAAGATGGATGGAAAGTTGGAGAGAACACTTCCATATCGGGACATCGGCAACGGACGCTTGTGGACCGTGCTGCTCTTGTGACTTGTTAGTAGGCTCGAAAACAAAGCATATTCCTGAGGATACAAGTAAAGTGAGGATATATGACGCCTACTGGTACACCTACGATATAGATCCGCATTAACAACAATAAATGACAGTATAGCAATATGCGACGGAAAGCAAAATGACAGAGATAAAGGCCAACGGGTCAAGCGGTCGGAATCTCATGAGACGTCGGTCATGACTTGGGTTTCCAAGCCACAAAAGCGCGAATCGATCTGCATAGATCTTCAGAATCGGTGGGTTCTACTGAAGGACCGTTTAGAGAAGACTTGTTATTTTCCAAGTTAGATCTCCAATGTCGCCAGTCTGGCCGGTCCCCAGGGGTTTCGGGCCACGAGATACCGACAAGATGGTTTCGCATGCTAATACGGTCCGTCATGTCGCTGCGTCCAAAGTCAAAAGCGTGATCGGAAACTGGAATTGCTCACTCACTTTTCCCAATCGAGCCAGTCCGCGTCAAAGAAAGCGCGAGGGGAGGGATCAGTTGAAGCATCCTGACTGGAAAGGTATCGCTTTGTAAGTAATGATGGATCGTCATGGTACATTGTCTCATATTCTTCCCAAATGGCGTCTTCACAGGCTTTTACGGTGTGGAATGTCTTGGCTAGATGCATAGGTGCCCTAAGTGATGTGCTAGGTTGGGCATCGAGCTGGGTCGAACGAACACAGAATCCATCTGCCTTCATCGACCTTGATGATGGGGATGGCTTCAAGTCGAAGGGATTGTTGGAGTTTGCTCGTCGTAGAGGCATGAATGAGTCATGGGAGGGTCGTGGTTTCAATTGGGGAGCGGTCCCGCTATTCGGAGGAAGGGGTACTTGGAAGAGCGGAAACGTCTGTACGTTGACAAAAGAGGAGCTCGAGATGTAAAATGGGAGAACAGAGAGAAGCTTTGACGGAATAAATCGACGGGAAAGCATGGCTTCCCACGCCGCTTTCAAGAGTGTATGATCTTGTGGATGCTTAAGCTCCCTGGATGTCGTGCAGTCGGCACTAGAAATAAGGGTGATGTTGGAGGATAGTTGATCGACAGCCATGGACTTTCTTTTCGGATCATCAAGTTTCAAAGCCTTGTAAATTTTGTTAGCTGTCCCACTTGAGATGGTCCGCCACCGCTCTTCAGGTGATTCAGGGCATAGAGTTGTCGAGCTTGAGCATGAGGCCACTGAAAGAAAGGAAGAAGCTTGTGACAGATGCGACGGTTGTCGAGGACGAAAAGTTGAGCAAGGAAATATGAGATCTTCTTCTACAATCTTAAAGCGCATGTTAGCAAATGGATGGCTAATAATTTTAAACGAACAAACCTCGACTACTGCACCAGGCTTCATGACACGATAAACTTCCTAAATGGTGGATGTAAATGACTGTAAAAGGCAAAAAGCAATCCATTAAAAATACCTCCAAGAGATGTTGCCACTGCTCGGCCATAAGTAAGAAGAACAGCAGGTATTATGCTCGAGCTCACCTCGTCTTCTGGTACACCAAGGCCAATGCCAACAATGCGGACATAATCAAAGAGTTGCGGAGGGAAGGGAAGGCCTTCTAGACTGTAAAGCCACGACTCTGTCAGCAGGAACTCTTTGGGACAAACGAATTCTTACAAATCTCCTTGCTGCCAGAAAACGCGTTTCTCAAATTCTTTACGAATTTTGCGAGCGTCCGGGTACAGGTGAAACATATCAAAGCCAGTAATTTTGCTGTTCTAGACAATACGGTTCAGACAAGTAAGCGATAGACGAGGATGGAGGAACGAACGGGCCACTGCTTGGCGGCTTCCATGACCCAATGGCCACCTCCACAACCCAAATCCAAGACATATTCCGGCGGAGTGTCGAATTGGTGCATAGTTAAGCTTCCACGGCACCCGACAAGAAACATATGGTACCAAATGTCGCTATTCAGCGCGTCAGATACTCGAAACTGTGGATGCCAGTGCTACTCACAAGTTGACCAGGTCAAACGAATATTCCAGAGGATACACGATCTCGCCCTGCTTCCGGTTTCGGACTTTGCGCTTGAGAAGCTGCTCTTCTACGTCTCTGGACATGATGTCGGGCGGGAGGGATTCAAGTTGAGGATGTCAAAGGGCATCAGGAGCCATACTTATTATGTGTAGAAATAAATGTGATCAATTTTGCCTGTGTTGGAATTCTGGAAGACAGGGTCTGCTTGGAAATGTAAGGGCTCTGCGGCACTTTACTTACAAAAGGGTTTGCAAAAGCGTAAGGGTCTTTCCGAACCGCGTTAGCTCACAAGTGGTGACAGACCACGTGCTGAGTTCCCCGTTCTTTCACTTCCGCAGCCATGTCCAACACTGTGCTTCGTCGAGCAGCACTGGTTGCTTCGCGCCCTTTTGCTCGCACAGCTTCGTTTGCAAGGGCGTACGCAACGCCGTCTCAGGAGCCTGATCCACAACTCAATGGCTACCCGCAATTACCCTACATCTCGAGGCAGTACCTCCCACCTAGACCATGGCAGGACCCACTTATGAGGCGCAATTTTGGTGATACGGTCAGTCGAGCTGCCCTCGGATGCCTCGAAGTTTTACGAACACTTCCCCGATATAGCTTCCAGAACAGGAGGAGGTTCTATCTATGTGGGGACCCGATATCCCTCCGATTGCCCCCCAAGCCGCCCTCCGACAGCTGCTTCTAGCTTTTGCTGGTTTCGCTACATTTGGTTTCGTTGTGAAGAACTACGTGGTACCAGACGCACCTGCGATTCGTCGAGAGTATCCTTATTCTGGTCTTGTCCAAGAGCTGGGTGGTTTAGAAGAAAACAAGGTTGGTATTTGTGAATCCCTGGTCTAGTTTCATTCTAATCATTCTAACAATCCTCTGTGTAGGCAAGGGAGGAAAGTCTCGTAGATTAAAGGATGGAATGAGTTCACTTGTAGATATATCATCCATTTTTGATGCGCCCAAAAGAGGTCCGATTGATTCGTGGGTCTAGAAATGGAATGTTTGAATCCATCCTTGACGATCTTTCATTTCAATCCGTTGACGGAAGCGCCCAGCTCTGAGGAATCAGGATGACCGTTGCCATTCCTCGCGTTCACCCACCCTACAAGGTCTTCTCACGGTACTCACCACCCTTTTCTCTTGTGAATTCTGTATTCCGTCACTCCCCTGTACTTACCGCAGTAGACCTCTTTCAATACCCACCGGTTTTCAAAGGTGGCCAAGGCCTATTCAATGATTGCGGCTTCTGTCAATTCTGGCGGCCATGTGCACTCCCGCAACTTTCTGCATTCCCGCTTTCATTCTCTTTCATTGCTTTCCTTTATGAGAGTTTTTGCCCTATTTGAAGTTCCAGGGTCTGGCTTTTGGTCGGCATGTGCCAGATAAAGGTGGATTAATAGCCTGCCAATTAGTTCCTTTCTTCCAATTTCCCCTGAGTCCCCAACTCCAACACAGGGACACGAGTCTCTTTCTGCACTCTTGGCGCTAAACTGGGGTGTAAAAAAACTGTGATGAAGCTGGAGGTACAGGGTGCCACAGGCACCGCAATCACCGTGTAGATATACTTCCGGATCGAGGCAGGACAGGGCGGTATAGCGTCATGGCACAAGACTCATTCAGACCCATTCCTCAATAGCTGGCATGGGAGACACCAAATCGCGTTCTAGCCGGGAGTCGGGACACCAGCCAAATGTAAGTGCTATTCGGTCCAGTTGGGATGTGGGTAGTAAGATTCATTTGTTACTTATCTACTGGTAATCCTCGCTAGATATCATCAGTGTGATTTGAACTCCGAAATCACAGCACTTGCCTTGAAAGTTGAGACCAACTGTGGATTCCGAGTCTCGACCTGAACTCTTTGACAACCTTTGTTCCAACTTTTATTCTGCCTAGCATGGCTTCTGGGACAAGGAAGAGATATGCTCTCGACCTTGACGATATAATGTCCTTTCCTAATGCTGACACTTTGCCTGTATTCCCACCAAAAGAAGGGGAGAGCTGGATAATGCTTATGGAGGTACAAATCATCGTACCAAAGTCGGAACGTTCATTAATATTGTCACTGACTTAGAATATGGTTCTTCCATTCTAGATCACTGCAGACAGATCTCTCTTGCGTCCAGTATATGCAGTAAGAGATGTTACTCAAGCCAAATTCCTCGTCGCTCTGCATACACCCAACCCGAGAGAGGATGCCCAGAACTTTAAAGTTGGCCACACGCTTTGCATCACTGCGACCAGAGCACGTCCTCCTCAGTACTTGGGTGGTCACGGGCAGATTGGGTACAGGATTGAGGATCCCAGCACAATTCAGGTATGAAGAATTAATACTTCAACCCAAATATAACCTTAGGTGACGGCTTATGATATTTTTAGATTCTCCCTGTATCGCTCGCTGGGCTCTGGGAAATCAACGCATCACTTAAGGAACGTAGCGATAGAGGCAATCTTCTCAAATGCAACCTTTGTAATTCCACATGCAAGTCGGGTTGCGGTACCTGCAAAGCACGCTACTGCTCAAAGGTTCGTTCAGCCTCAGCCTTATCCCTTGCTAAAAGATCGACATGAAACGGAATCTTTAGGAATGCCAAAGAAGTGATTGGCCACAACACAAGAGAAAATGTGTTGTTATGAGGGCGTTACATGGGTGGAATAGGACTGATTTCGGCTAGGGAAAGTGAAACCCCACTGAGCGTTCTCTTCGTCGCAAAGGTTAAGGTTAGCGGATATCATTAGACCCAAGTCTGATGTTATGTATCTATCACGCTTGGCTGTGTCATCGCGGTGATCTCTGGGTAATCCTCGCTAGATATCATACATGAGTCTCTCGGTCGTGAATCAAGTAATGAGCAACGTTATTTGAACGTTATACAAAAGAGTCTCGTAGTAGTTGCTAACACGTGAACTAGCTTTGAGAGGATTCCCATGATCAGTTGCTCCGAAAGTTGGACCACCATTCAAATAATCGAGTTGAGCTGTTCGTATGACTACGCAGGCGCCTTTTCTTCCTTCGACGTCAACTCCTCAGTGGGAGCCGCGCAGGAGCAGCCCCAGCACTGGCTTTGTGACCCCGCCTAGATTCCAACAATTGCAAGCTCAGGCTGCCCAATCACTCGCTCAGCAGCCAGCCCAAAATCACCTTCAATTTCCCTCATCTAATCACCCTTCTCCCGCCAACAACTTTTCCACCGACTCATCCTCGGACATGCCACCTCACACACGTTCCCCATCTTTCTTCTCGCCATTTCGCCGGCAGTCGAACGAGTCCCAGCCGAACATCAATCAACGTGCAACCTCAACTAATGGCGGAACGAACCTAAATGCCCCAACTTCGCAGCAGCAAAACGCGCCAAGCACCCCGATGCAGCAAGTACAGCCTCCTCCGCAAACCAATTTGTATGGGCAGCAGCAACAAACGCCACAGCAGCAAATACCACCGAATTCGCAACCTGCGATGGGCCAACAACAAGGTGCTATGGGGCGAACAACTACTGATGTTCAACCTCCACCGACCGCCCCTTCACCATCAAAAACACAACCTCCAGCCCCCTTACATCCTGAAATACGCTCAGTTGTTCAACTTACCATCGCCCACGCACAGAAGATATATTTCTCTGGGCCTCTCGTTCGGCGGATAGAACGCCAGGCTGATGGACAGCGGCCCACAAAGGACGAAGGTTGGGTTGACGTCTGGGCGCAGTTGGGTGGCACGACGCTCAGTGTTTGGGACATGAAAGAGATACAGGAAGCGAGCAAGCAGGGAAGGGAGGTCCCTCCTACGTATGTGAATGTAATGGATGCTGTACGTCCTGATTACTTTTCTACCAAAACATATCTTCATTATTTTTTTTCAGTTTGTTCAAGTCCTAGGTTCAGTGACCGTCCCGGCCACTGCTACCTCTGGCCCCAAGCGATACACGAACGTATTAACTCTCAATACTGCTGGGTCAAATCTCCTTCTCTTCTCATGTCCTTCTACAAATGCTCTCATTTCATGGGCTGCCGCACTCCGATTGTCCGCTTGGGAAAAGTCGCGCTTAGAAGAGATATACACGGCTCATCTAATAAGAATCACGCTCAGTGGTAAGTCGTTTTCGTGGTAACATTGATTCCCATAATGTCTCAACGTTTTTGATTCCAAGCTCGTGATACACCAACAACGCTCGTGCGGGGCCGCATGGAGGGTTGGGCGCGGATACGCATTGCGGGACAAACTGACTGGAAACGAGTCTGGATGGTGGTCAGTGCCTCGGTGGACGGCGCTGAGGGATCAGCCTCACCACCTGTTTCCAACCCAACATTGAAGAAGAAGAGAATGTCAAATCTGTTCTCGCGTGATCAGAGCCAGCCTCAACCAACTGGCCCTACCAAAGCATCGATGTCGATGTACTTGTCTCCCAAACCTAAGGACAGGAAGAGAGCGCTCCTCACAGTCACTGATATCACACAAGTGTTTTCTGTGTATCCTGAACGACCCGAATTGATCAGCCGGAGTACACTGATCAAGGTGGAAGGTCTCTTAGGAGACGAGGAAATCGCTGCAGGGATGAGGTCGCGAGAGGGTTGGCTATTGGTTATGCCAGAGTTGGATCCAAGTGGTGGTCAAGCAGCTGAAATGCTCAAGTGGATCGTGGGTTAGTACTAACATACCAAGTTAATTTTTCCTGGGTCAAGACTAACAACCCATTTTCAGCTATGCACGATGCTTTCAGCCTGTATGGACGACCAAAGGGATGGACTTGGGATCCACGAGATCGGACCTCTTTGATGTTTGCGTATCCCGTTGGTCCACAGAAAGAAGTTTGTTTATGCCTCACATGGATGCCGTATACATATTGACTCATGTCCTAGTCCTTATTCCTGGAGCGCGAATTGGTGGAATCCTTGGATCCAAGAGACGATCGCACATCTGTTATAAGATCCCGCCTGATTGATCTGCTGGTTGAACATATGCACCCTGCTGTCCAAGCTGTCCCACAACGCCCGGCGGCGCAGCAAAGCTCCGCTGACACCCCTCCATCCCTTCCTCCCATTGGTGGTGCTGGTGGAAATGGTTTTGGTATATCAAGCGTGGGTGGGACACCCCCGATGTCTACCACACCGACAAATTCCGGGACGTCCCTTCAACCACAACCAGGGACTGTTCCAACAGGCCCCCAACTTCCGCCACTAAACTTTAATGGAACGCCCCCTGCGCAAGAACGTCTGAATGTGGCATCAATTCCAGTGGACACCAGTGTTACTCGCGCGTTATTGGCGGGCACCTCAAACCCACCCAATGCAGCGAAACCATCTGAGAATGGACCATCTTCTGCGCAGAGTAATGGGCCTACCCAGCCTCCAGACAACGGGCTCTCCTCACAACCTCCCAGTAACGTATCACCCGTGCAACTTCTAAATAATGGACCATCCGCGCAATCCCTAAACAACGGACCCCAACAACACCAGAGCAACCAACCTTCCAGTCAGACGCAAAACAACGGAGCTCCTGCGGTGCCGGAGAAACCAGCAAGTCCCCAATCACCCACCTTCGACCAGCCGATGTCGAATAGTCCTCAGTCAATGAACTCTGCGCTATCTTTGCCTTCACCTAAAACCGGGCTTCCTCCGCTTTCCGGAACCACACTCGCCAGTACGAGCAGTGGTCGACCAAGCATGCAATCTTCGAATAGCCTAGACAAACCAGGGCTACCATCGCTGCCTCAGGGTTATAATAAACCTCTGGAAAAAATGTCAATAGGCAGTGTGGCCAGTGTTTCCAACATTGCCCCGACGACGCCACTCTCTCCCAACCGGCTGGGGCAGACAAATCCCTTCGCGGCGCCACAACCACGGATGGCGACTAGCCCCAGCGCTATCCCTCCTCGTTTTATCGCAGAACAGACCCGTGCCAAGACTCAAGATAGTTTCGGAAGCGATAGTATTTCTGCATATTCGTCTGATTCCAGGTTGGAGACGCAGCCCAACGCTGCACCTCAGCGTGAAAGCCCAGAAGCATCATGGCAGCAGCCTTCATCACCACCCGAAAACGACTTTACTACTGAGGCTGGTGCCCTTTACTACATGCAGCAAGCCGATAGCGCATCAAGTAGCAAAATTCAGGCCACGAAATCAGCAGAGGAAGATGACGACTATTCGTCTTCGGACCATGGATCCGGTACCCCGGCCGGCAGGAGTTCTATTAATAACCAACAACCGCCGGCCCGGCGGAACACTCCGATGTCTTTTGCCAACGAGCCCTCTGCCAGCAATCCAGCTGGCACATTTGGCACCGATCGAGTTAGCTCAGCGCGGTCAGTTCTTGGACGTAAACCATCAGGTGCACGTGCTCCACCAGCCATGCGTATGTACGCCGGTGATTCCGTTTCTTCCTCTCTGCGCGTCAACGAAGAAGAGTCAGAACACGAAGAAAACATGGATACACGCAATGAAGCTCCCTCCAACATGCAACGTTCAGGGTCTTTCGAGGACCCAAATGCAGAGGTCCTTGCTGTGCTCTCCTACCTTGACGTCGACGACGCTCCGTCAGCCTCCACATCCCTCCAAAAAGTCGAACCTCTCAAAGTTCGTGACCGGACTGGAACGTCGCCTCCACCTGTTTCAGCCCCACCCCAAGCGACATCGACGGACTCAGGGCCACCCTTTAAGTCATCGTTCGCCCCTTCAAAACAAGCTGCTGAAAGGAAGGCCAAAGTACAAGCTCAACAGGCTGCTCACCAAGCTGCTAAACATAAACCGGGGAGGAACGGGAAGCGAAAATCGAAATACGCAGGGGCATGGAATGAGAGTACGGATGAGGAGGAGGAGGAGGAAGAAGAGGAGGATGACGCAGATTCGGATGGGGAACCGGTTATGACGCGAGGACAAAGTACACCCTCTTCTTCTTCTGCACCCTCCATCAAGCCCCCTCAAAACCAAGGCGGTCACGGTGACTATGGTCAACCTGAAGCACCGCAGACGTATTCGCATCTGAGACCTCCAAGAACACTGCCACAGATACCTGGCGGTCGGCCTCCTCGTAAGTTTAATTTTCTCCTTGTGTGATCTCCTTATTCAGTGGTGTTTTTTTTTCCAGCTGATGACTACCATCATCACCAACCTCAACCTCGACGTGCAGGAACTGATCCATATATAGAGTCTGGGCGGCGCACATACTATGAGGAGAATCCACAAATTAGGTCCCAAGCGGAATACCCTCAACCGGGCGCTGCTCGTCAGTCAATGTGGAGTCAGGTATTGGAACCTTCCGGACGTCAGCAGGTGAATCAAAATGAACCGCGCGACACTTTCGTGCAGCTCGAGCCCTCTGAAACTATGACAAAAGCATTCACGCCTCAGGGCTTGCTCTCTGCTGGTATCCAGGACAAACAAGATAGGTCGGCGAAAAGACAAGAGGAACTCGCTCGCGAGACTGGTGCTTCCCTCATTAACGTTCCCAACAAACCACCTCCACCTCAAACTGGGTTACTTGGCGCAATCACTGCTCACGAACGCGAACGTAAACGTGAAGGAGGCGTGGGTGCCGCACTCACGGAACGTGAGCGAGAAAAACGAGTAGCGGAGGAGCGGCAGAGGCGATTTGATGAACAACAGCGCCAGGCTTTGGATCAAATGGCACAGGGCGGATCGATGTACGGAGGTCAATTTGGTTACAATCCCATGATGGCGAATCCGATGATGATGGGAATGAACCCGATGATGGGCATGAATCCAATGATGACGGGTGGGATGAACCCCATGGCACCCATGATGACGGGAGCGGGTGGGTTAAATCCTATGATGACGGGCGGGGGTGGGTTAAATCCTATGATGACGGGCGGGGGTGGGTTAAATCCTATGATGACAGGTGGAGCGATGGGCCAGATGAATCCGATGATGACTGGTCAAATGGGATTCCCTGGGATGATGCCTGGGTTCAACCCTCAACACATGTTTGCGGCACAACAGGCGGCGCAGGCATACCAGCAAGCTATGATGGCTTTCTCTGTTGCTGGCTCTCAAGTTGGTGGAGATGGCGGTGCAGAAGGCCAACAACAAATGCTCAACCCCAATATGACGGGTGGTGGGATGAGCATGGCTGGGTTTGACCCTCGAATGTCGATGATGGGTATGCAGATGATGGGTGCCCCGCAAATGGGCGCGCCGATGATGGGTGCTCCGCAAATGGGTAACCCCGCGCCGCTGGGGATGCAAATGACAGGTATGTCTGGCTTCGACGCGCGGTTCTCGCCAGGTCAGACCAACCAAGCTCCAAATCTGAACGAATCCAACCTTCTTCCGCCTAATCAAAATCAAGGCCAACTGTCTTCTCGCACGAGTTCACCAGCTGGTCGGGGATCACCACTGGTTCGAGGTGATGGGCAATTTGACACTGTCCGCCCTGCACGCCCTGCTACCCCAAAACACTAGACACTTTCCTTGACTCCTTGGTTTCCAACGAAGTTACGACACGGGACTATGCCTATCTTTTTTGTTTTTGTCTTGAACCTGCCGCTTAGATCTTACCAGTCGTATCGCCTAATTATGCACCTTGCAGCCTTACACACTCCTTTTTATTTTTTGTGTCTAGTGTGGTTTTCTAACATACCCCGGGAAATTTGGAATATATAGTCATGAACAGAAAAGATCCTTCGATGATCATAAATTACTCGGACTGTCTTTATTACAACACGCTCACTTTGACTTTGCTTTGACTCGACCAATGCACGTATCACGTCCTTGGATTGCTGGGCTCTAAGTCAAATTTCTACAACCGTGTGACTGGTAGTTCATCCTGGAACATTTTGGTTCCGCAGTGCCAAAGTGGATGAAGGATGGGTGTCAAGTCTCTTTGGAGTCTTTTGTCTCCAGTTGGCCGACCCATAATGTTACGATGCGCGCTCTTACTTTTCGTGGGCTTTGGGGCTGATGTATTCAATCAGGTTGGAGACAATGGAGGGAAAGAGCCTGGCCATTGATTCAAGCATTTGGATTTACCAGTTCCAAGCTACAATGCGCGACAAGGACGGTCATGCTTTGATCAACGCCCATGTCTTAGGGTTTTTGAGACGTATCTCCAAGCTTCTGTTTTACGGAATCAAGCCAGTTTTCGTCTTCGACGGAGGGGCCCCTACGCTGAAAAGGTCCACTTTGGTGCGTTTGGGCTGCCAAGCAGTGTTCAAATACTCATTTCAGGTAGAATGAGCGCAAGAAGAAAAGGGCGGGGGCTGCCGCCAGTCATGCGAGGATAGCAGAAAAGCTTCTCGCTGCTCAAATGAGGCGGGAGGCGTTGAACCACGCAGGAGGTGCCCAGTAAGTATGTACAATGATCAGCATGTTCAAGCTGATCTGATTTCCATCAGAGCGAGCACCAAAGGGAAGGGTAAAAAGTCATCCGCTGAGTTAGATGATAATACCGTCTACCTTGAAGATATCGACGGTTCAGTTCCCAAAACACCTTCTCGAAGAATAGCTCCAACCCCGTCGTCCAGCTCTACGAAGAAAAAGGACAGGGCTCACGAACTCGACCGCTATTACCTCCCAGAGGTTGACTTGGAAGAAGTTGTCGCAAAAGCAACACGGACGGCAGTCCCCGACCCACGCCTCGCAACGGAGGACGAGCTCCGCGCTTTTATCGAAGACATGCGACCCGAAGACTTTGACGTGAACTCTCCGGCCTTTCGCGAACTACCCACTGAAGTCCAATATGAAATTGTTGGAGATTTGCGGCTCAAGTCCCGTCAAACTTCTTATGCGCGACTGCAGAAGATGCTCAGGAGTGCACCTACCCCTCTTGATTTTTCTAAACAGCAAATTAAAAACCTTCGGCAACGGAATGCTTTAACGCAACAACTTCTTATGACAACGGACAGCATTGGGAGTGCACATATATCCATCCCAGTCCGCATCGCAAGCGAGCGGAACAAGGAATACGTCTTGATAAAGAATGAAGGTCATTCGGGAGGCTGGATTTTGGGTATCAGGGATTCCGGTACACGAGAAAAACCAATTGAAATTGATCACGAGGATGTTAAGGGAAACGATAAAGATGATGACAGCGATGCTGAAATGGAGGAGGTAGAAATGTAAGTTTTGTCTCTTCTCTATTGTAACTTGGTCCACATTACCAATCAGCCCAGCTCCCCCTCCTGCCGATCCAGACCTACGCAGTTATCAACGTGAGATGGCCTTATCTGGGCTTGCCAATCGGCAAACCTCGACAGGTTTAGCACCGCTTTCTACGAAATCTTCCGTCAACCGCAAAACCAAGTCAATACCTCTATTTGAGCCAGAAGAGGATGAATTACTACCGCATTCTTCATTACCTGAATTTGACGAGGACAACGACGAACTGGCCTTCGCGATTCAGGCTTCAATGGATGGGAGGTCAACAATTGTTCAGCTTTCTAAAATAGCACCAATTGCTAAGCCTCGAGAATTTTCGCCCGACGACGACGATATCTATGCCTCACCCCGGCGGCTAGACACCGTGCTATCTATCGCTAATGCTGGTCCCTCTCGCATACAGGCATCACCCTCACAAAAAAGAAATTCTGTTCCCACTACTTTTGGAAAACCAACATTGCTAGCTCCTACCTCTGCGCTAAATATCTCAGACTCTGATGACGATTGGGAGGAGGTCGTACCACAACACAGAGTGGCCGCAGCTTTAGTCAGATCCTCAACGGTTGAAATTGAATCTATATCAGCATCGAATGTTTTTGACATGACCACAATAGAGGTCTCGGAATCTACAACATTTCAGAAGCTAACCATGGCTATGAGCGAAGAAAGGATAGACTCGGATGAAGAGGTAGATGCAGATGGAATGAGCCTACCCCCCATCCGTTCCCCCGAGCATGTAAACAAGTTGCCTAAAGCACCAGCCATAATAACCGATTCCGTTATCGACACCGACACCGCCATCACATTCACCGCTAGCAACCAACAGCTCACAAGACCACATACACCATCCCCCCCACCTCACTACGATGGGTTTGAGGAGGCAGAAGCTTTCTTCGCGCCCTCTCGCTCACCGTCACCCTCCGAGCACATTCCAGAAGATTCAAAAATTGAAAGTTGGGATGCTGCCCAGGAAATGGATCCTCACGCCGAGGAGGGTGAATTTGCAAAATTTATGTCTCACGTCAAAGGTAAAGACTTGGACGATGTCCGACGTGAGATTGATGTTGAGATCGAGACTCTTCATCAACAACGGAAAGCTGCTATGCGAGATTCAGAGGACATCACGCAACAGATGATAACGCAGATCATGGTGTGTCTCTATTTTGGAGGCCTCGTTTTCTGGCTGACTTTAAAATAATAGACAATGTTGCGTCTTTTTGGTATACCGTATATCACTGCCCCAATGGAGGCGGAGGCACAGTGCGCTGAGCTTGTCACCCTGAAATTAGTGGATGGAATAATCACGGATGATTCTGACGTTTTCCTCTTTGGCGGCCAGCGTGTGTATAAGAACATGTTTAACCAATCGAAGACTGTTGAAGGTTTCGCACTCGCCGATCTCACAAGAGACCTAGGACTGGACCAGGACGCCTTAATTCGCTTGGCCTATCTACTAGGAAGTGATTACGTGGAGGGTCTTCCTGGGGTTGGCCCAGTCGTCGCTATGGAACTCCTTCAGGAGTTTCCTGGCAAAGACGGACTATACAAGTTTAAGGATTGGTGGACGAAAGTTCAAGCAGGGAAGGACAAAGGTGAAGACAATAAGTCGAAATTTCGTAAATCATTTGTGAGTACTCCAAACTTGGAACCTGAGATTAACCCAAGATTCCTTTCAGAAAAAGAAATTCAAAGATTTGTATTTACCGAGCGACTGGCCAAATTCTGCAGTCGTGGGTTGACATTTATATCAGCAGAGAAATTGACGCTCACGGCGATCTTCAGCAAGATGCATATTACCACCCGATTGTGGATAGTTCGGAAGAGCCGTTTAAGTGGGGGTTACCTGACCTTGATGCACTTCGAGAGTAAGCTTCTTGCATCTGTTTGACTGCGAGGTATTAACCCACCACACTGTTAGCTTCTTAAACCAGGAATTAGGCTGGGGCAAGGCAAAGGTCGACGAGAATTTGTTGCCAATCATACAAAAGATGAACAAGCGTAGCCAGGTGAGTTTCCACCTTGGAGAGCTGGAGCTTAGCTGACACACTCATGCCTAGGCTATGGCTCTAAACAAACAAGGCAATCTTAATGCATTCCTGGACGTGAGCGCTGGTAGTGGTACACGGGCACCACGGCAGCGTCAAGCGTATGCAAGTAAACGACTTCAGCGAGTCATCACAGATTTCCGCAAAAACCAAAACGCTGGGTCGACAGCCAGTTCCGAAAAGTCGCGTTCGAGATCTGGATCTGAGAGCGAAAAAGATTCAGGCCCTGAAAAGAAACGGAGGAAGACGGCACCCACTGCAACTAGCTCTGCAAAGGGAACAGCGAAGCGAAGCGGGAAAGTCGCAGGACAGAAGCGTGCTGGGAGCTCATCAAAAGGCAAGAAACGATCGAAGGGTAAGGAGGATGTTTCAAGCGACGAGGATACCTTTGTTGGATCTGGAGGTGATCCTGACGTTGTGGATATTGAGGTGCCTTTGGCTGTCAAGCTGCGTCCACGGCCGAAACCTCGGCCAATACGCAAGGTCGCGAAAACAAATGAACCATCTCCTGACGATTCTGAGGCGGAGGTGTGAGGTTGGGAGTATATTTATTCTACTGTATTATATATTTGTTTTGGAGAACATTTATTGCTATGACCCTTGGCTCTTCTCAGACACTGGAGACGCGGCTGGACTGCGAAGTTCAGCCTTGGGCGCGAGTTCGTACCCGCCAAAACCTAGCGAGTCCTGAATAACATCTTCCGGTGCATCCGGTTCTAGTTGTCCATGTTCATTTCTCCGTGCTCTGCAGCAGTGTCAGTGGTGTCTTCGAAGGATAAAATAGTTAAATCACTTACTTGAAGAAAGTGTATGAAAGGACGACACTGTCGACATTTTTACATGCAGGGTCATCAAGCATGTCTTTATCCAAGAAGAAAAGTAGAGGCATGTCCACTTCTTCTCCGGCCAGCAAACGCTGTTCTTCGAAGCAGAAACATTCCACTTTGGAGAAGTAAGGCGCAATCTATGTGGTTTTACATCAATGTTGTGCCTTGAAAGAAACGGATGAAACCCACCCTATCTGGTGTAACATTGTACGTCGCGATGCCAATGATATCCCGATCCGAAGTATTTTTTGCCTTATAGAAAGCCAGACTTGTCTCCCCAGGGAGAACGCTGACAAACTTCTGCTGAGGAGTGAACGTCCAAGGCAATTGTTCCGACTTGTCCGCGTTGAAATGTACTTTGATTCGACGTGCTCCCTCGACGGGAACCAATCGCTCAGCCTCGAACCGGCCTGTGCCGACTTTGGGTGTCCCCGCAAAACCAGTTGCGGCACAAAACATGCGGTAGAGGGGGACCGCAGCGTAGCTTGCACCGACGGCCATGATTATCTGGAGTGGAATGAGCGTAAACGATGGCTCGAGAATGGGAAGGGTGGGACGCACCACGGCGGAAGAGTACATGAGTAAAGCCCTGTTTTTAGCAGCGTGCACTTCACTGCGCGTCTTTCTCTGCCCAGTATTTGGCGGTCGCATTGGAGGAGGGGATGTTTGGGTCGACATTGGCCGCCATGAGCGTTGGGTTGACTCGTTGAAGATCGATCTAGGGCGTAATGAACGACATCGGACCAGTAGCGTCGGCCTAAACTAAAAGATATTAGCAACAGGAGGCTTGCAGTGAGTACCAATGACCTACGGACGGCTGAAGGAACGACCGTGAAATTGGGCGGAGGAAAGACATGGCGACAGTCACGATGCACGTGCCACAACTACTTTCTCTCAATTACTACCACCTGGAATGTCTACAGCCTCTTCTTCAAAGCAAACTTCCACTTCAGCTGACTTAGATGTTGAGAAGCTTCTTAGCCGTGAGGCTTCGGCTTTCCAGCGCGAGCTAGAAGTTGAGCGCATTCTCAAAGCGTTCAAGTTCAAGTCGGTCCCTTTCCTCCCTTATCAATAGACCTCACTTGACCTTTTTGCTCGTAGTCCTTATGATATCCTAGATTTAGACGAACTGGCTACTCCTGAAGATATCAAGCGGAAATACAGGCAGATATCATTATGTGCGTTATCAAGCCAACGTCAGCGTCAAGCGACTAACCCAACCCCACCATTTTCAGTCATTCACCCTGACAAGTGCCCTCATGCTCGTGCCCCAGAGGCTTTTGATATCCTGAAGAAGGTCCGTCTAAAGTTATCACTCCGACTTTTGTCCCCCTGTTCACATATTTCTCTCTTCAGGCCGAGTCCGACTTGTCCGATAAAGCCAAACGAGAAGAGTTCGATGCAGTGATCACCCAAGCGCGTAACATGGTTCTCAAGGCTCTCAGCCTGCCAACGTCAATCTCCGACTCAGATCCGAGACTCGTAGGCATAGAGCCCCCTTACAAGTTTCGTGTCAGGGCGCAGTCGAAAGAATTGCTGATTGAAGAGGAGGTTCGGAGGAGAAAGTTCGTATGGCTCTTTCAGTTTCGTGGATTTGATTGATTGAGGGAGCATTGCAGGGCTATCAAGATGAATTTGGCGAATGAAGGTCTAGAGGCGAGGAAGAAGGACGAAGAGGTGGCCACGAGAAAGCGAAAGGCGGAAGAAGATAAGAATTGGGAAGGTAAGCTTCATATCTTCTTCCTCTTTTTACCCGTTCACCACTCCCCTTTGCAGAGAATCGAGATCAGCGTGTCGACAGTTGGCGTTCCTTCTCCAACACCAACATCAAGAAGAAGAAGAAAGCTAAAGTGGCTATTCTTGGATGAGTTCCTTCTTTCTCCTCACAGTTGTTGATCTCTTTTCCCAACTTTGTAATTCATCGTGTATGTAGACCACCAGTTCCCTGTTGCGCCCTTCGTTTTGACGACCATGGCCACGACAAATGATATTTCTTCGTCCTAACTTCTCTTCGACTCCAACAACCTAAATGCTAAGTGTGTCTCATTACCCGCGGTCTGAGCTGATTCGCGATTCAGAGGGTGTAGAAGAGGTCTTCAAAGCCGGCGAGAAACAGTAAGTATAACCCCTCTTTAGTCCCAATCATATCAAGTTCCACTTCATCAACATTTCCCAATTAAATCCAAGGGAATAGCCTATTCTGAATCAGTCAAATCAAGGATATCATCTGGATTCGTGGCCAGTATGACGGGCCTCCTGTCCCTTCTTTGACTTGGTCCACCAAATCCTTCCCAATCGTCTTCGGTCCGTCTTCTGACGTGCCTAGTTGGAACAGGGACGTTCTCCTTGTCTTCAGTACTCATCAGATCATCGTCAGAATCAATGCTGATCACTTCAAGGGGTGCAGATAATGCAAGGGTGTCTCTCGTCGCGACGCCTCCCGTCTTCCTCTCGACTGCGGACCATGATGATCCAAGGCCCGACGAGGAAGAAGAGGTAGTAGCAGGCGCACAAAGACTGCTTCTATCTGCAGATGCCTCTGCTTCGTCGAGCTCACGCCAGAAGTCATCGTTCATGTTGTCGATACCGTAATCGTCAGAACTTGGAAATTCGTCCGATAATTCAGCTTTGGTTTTCGTTGTCATCGCATCTGCGGCTCGTCCTTTGCCTTTATTGCTATTTGCAATTGGCTTGGAGGGCGGTTGGTTCTCGTCTAGTTCATCAAGCAACTCGAAGTCGAAACTGGCCTCGTCAGGTTCTTGTGTGGGGGGAGAAGGGAGGTTGGGAGCTGTCTGTCGGATTGTAGGTGGCAAGTTAAGACCCATGCCTCTCCCCTTGGCCGAACGCGCATTTTCGACGGAAACGACGTTGATTTGTGGACCAGAGAAAGGGAAATGTGGTGAAGTGCTGTTGCTCCCTACCAGGGTTGCGGAGCGAGCGGTCGATACGCCGCCAAGAGATGTGAGTGATGATGGTAGACCAGCTATCGGCCGTGACGTAGGGATGGACGACGATGGGGAGTTGTTCTTGGGCACTTTACGGCGACGTGGCTCAAGGTCTTCGTCGTCGTTGCGCTGAGGAAATAAGGGGGGTGAAGGTGGTGGAGATATCTCGCGGAGTGGGGATCGCATGATGGCCGCCGCTTGTTGTAGAGGCTGTGGTGGATCTTCCTCCGGCTGTGGTTCGGGTAGCTCGTTCAGAGGTAGCCTATGGTACGATTATATTTTGTCGGTCGTAGTAGTCTCAAGAAATATACTTGCCCCATGCGATGCCTCAAAGCGTTGGCAAAGTTGAATTCTTGATTTTGCGCAAGGTCTTCCACTTGGCCTCCTTTTAAAATGACGGTGGTTGGTTCAAGAAAGGCCATGCCGCGTTGAATGCGGACGTTCTTCAATTGCATCTGACAAAAATCTGTTAAGGTCACCTCGTTGAAAGTGCTGGATATGACGTACTTTGAACCCGTGTGGCGTTGTAAGCTTCAACTCATCAATCCGACGATATTCCAGGGCCTCCAAAACAGTGTGGCCGTCAGATAACCGAAGACGTAACTTGCCCCTGGGGTATTGGGGCATCGGGCCCTCGCCTTCCACATCTACATCCCCGTCCTCTTCGCCTTCTTCATTTCCAACACCAGCCCGCATGCGCTCCTCGCGTGCTTGCCTAATTTGATCAAGCTGAAAGGCGCTGGTGGATACGTCGTCCATATGAATAACCTCCAGGAGCACGGGTGGCCCCGTGAGGGTAGTACTCGTATTTAGGTCGCCTATGTTGGCTGGGAGTCCGGTATGCGGGAGCATAGAATCTTGGAGTGATGATCGAAGCAGCTGATGCTCTAGTTCTTTCAAAAACGCGGGCAAGTCGCGCGCTGAGTCGAGGTTGTGGTCGTTTGTTATCCAGTTGCAGCATCCTTCAAGCCATTCCTATATAAGTATCACGAATGAATGGTGAAAGTATGATTATGGTTTCTCGCGTACCGGATCTACGACCGGTCTTGGGTAGTTTGTGTTGAGCCAATCTGTGATTTGGCGCGGTGGTGGCATGAGTCGAGAGAACAAAGAAACAAGAAACAAAGGCCGCAACGCGTGGGGTTGAACGCGCGATAAGATTGAGCGATCACGTGTTGGCTACACCACTTACTCTGTTTTTCCCAGTGACATGCTCAGGCGTCGCATCCAAAAGCCTCTCAAAATGTTCACTCGGTCAGTGTCCTCAGCCCCGAAACTTCCTCGTCTTCCAGTACCGGACTTGCGAAAAACACTCAACAAATACCTGACATCTCTTGAACCATTTCTTCTTGAGGATGAGCTCCGAGGGGCCATGTCATTTAATTCTGCGTATGCTCTTCGCAAGAAGTGGGCGGACGAGTTCGAATTGGGGATTGGCGCGGTTCTTCAGGAACGTTTGGTCGGTTCGTCTTCATGAAGTAAATCCACATCGTCTACTAAGATTGTAACAGCGCTTGATAGGTTCTCACCAAACAACTGGCTCAATGACAATTTTTGGATGGACAAGGCTTATTTGGAGTGGAGAGCGCCTCTGCTCGTCAACTCCAACTGGTGGTTGGCATTTCACGAGGACAACATGATACCACAGAGCGCTCTCAAGGGGGAGACCAACAATAACAGGGCGGGGACGACGTTCTGGCAGGTCCGAAGAGCCGCTTGGCTTATACATCGCATGCTCGACTTCAAGGAAAAACTCGATGCGTGTGTGTGGGCTCTATTCCTTTTTGCTGAATCTAACGTCTTATTTTAATTGGTAGCCAAGAGTTGCACCCAGAAACAACTCGGACAGGTTCGTTTTCTCTCTATATGTTATTGCTTGAAATAGAATCTAATGTCTATAATAGGAATTTGGCTAAGGGAGAGCACTTCCAAGTTATTCAATATCGCACGGAGGCCCAAACGTCTAGGTGATACCCTCTCTACACCCCCTGGGTCTCCAACCCTTCAAGCTCGTTCTCTTCTCCTCATGGTCCACGATTGGTGCTACAGAGTTACCGTCTACCATCCACCAACGTCGTCGTCGTCTCCTGTTCTAATGTCCCCGAAAGAAATAGAAGCACGAATACGTGCTGTGATGCTCGACGTCGAAGAGCGACTAGCGCAGGGGGAAAGGGCTTTTCCAATAGGTGTATTGAGCGCCGATAATCGGGATTGTTGGGCTGATGTACGTTCCACCTTCTGCGCAAAGCCGCTGTTTCTCATACTCGTTTTATATCACCAGAACCTCGAGTACCTTCTTAACAAATCTCCAACGAATGAGAGGTCGTACGATGCAATGGTTCACTCCGTCATGGGCCTCAGCCTTGATCACACGACCTACACATTCAAACCATCTTCACCAGACAGCTCTTCCTTACCGACACATGCAACACATACTCGAACAGCAGCCCAAAGCCAACTCGATGCCCACCTCCACACAATCCGGTCAACCCACCTCAACGTATCCAACCGCTTTTTCGACAAGGCTCTCACGCTCATCGTCGACCCGTCCACTCGCGCTGGCGCAACAGGAGAGCACTCCCCATGTGACGCACTTGTACCCAGCATTGTTGCCGAGTACGGTATCGTCGACGGCGTGGACTCGGATGCGTTCCAGGGGCCCCCAGTTGCCATTGAAACCGGGGATGAGGCACCATGGGAGCGGCTCGACTGGGTGGCGGACGAGCACATGTGGGAGCAGGCGAGAGCATCTGAGCAACGTGCGCAGAAGATACTGGATGAGTCGGATGACAGTGTACTTTGGTTCGAAGGGTACGGAACGGACTGGATCAAGGACATTGGTGTGCTTTTTCTTTTTTCTGCTCTCACTCGACGCTCATCTTCCCTGACGGCTTTCTCAAGCCAAACTATCTCCAGACGCGTACATCCAAATGGCCCTCCAACTTGCATGGTACAAAACCCGGGGAGAGTTCACAGCGACATACGAGACGGTTCTGACCCGGATGTTCAAACACGGACGAACAGAGACACTGCGAACGTTCACGCGCGAGAGCAGAGACTGGGTCTTGAGCATGCTTGATCCTCGAGCATCGGTGCGTTGCTTTCCTGTGTTTGTCTGTCCCTTCTCTAATCCTTCAATAACGTCGCTAGAGAACGCAGCGCTACAAGTGTCTTCAAGTTGCTATAACAACACACGCCAGGCTCACTCGGGAAGCAGCGACTGGCCGCGGGATCGACCGACACCTTCTTGGTCTGCGGCTTCTCATGCGACCAATCAATGGTGAACACTCGCCGTTCTTCGAGGATGAACTCTTCGAGCGCAGCGCGCGATGGAAGCTAAGCACGAGCGGATTGAGTGCTGGACATCTATTCAAAGGTACCGGGTTTGGGGCTGTTTATGACGATGGGTATGGCATCAACTGTATGTATTTCCACTCTCGATCGGGTCATGCTCTGAGGCTCTACAGATTTGGCGGCCCCTGCTATGATCAAGTTCGGGATTGAGTCCAAGTTTTCAAGTGAAGCGACGTCAACACAGAGGTTCAAGGAAGTTGTTGTGGAGGTGCTTAACAAGATGCACTCAGTGTGTCTTGAGGAAAATGTGGCTGACATTACTACAAGTCATCTATAGATGTTTCTATATTTTCGTCACAACTAGATTAATCATAGACTTCAAGACTTCTTGCACAAATCTTAGGTTATTAAAAAAAAAAATGGCTCTGTTGTAATGCCTATCTGAAGTCCAATTTGACATAATTGGGAGCTTTTAGATACATCTGGGTCATGAGAAAGCTTTGAAAACCCTCTTGAGATGTTTTCAAAGCCTTCCCAAGATCTGGAGTTATCTAGAAGCACCCCTGAAACCTAACTAATGGAAAATGTCTCACAAGACCCAGCTCTTCATCCTTGCTCTCAGAACCTCTCCTCCTCAATATCCTCCATGGTCAACCAAGCCTCTGGCCCAAACTTATCCTTCAATGTTCCAACCAAACACTTGGATCCAGGGCCCTCCAGAAATTGTTTGCTGGTGACAATGAACATGCCAAGCTTGCAGCGTGTAAGCATGACATTTGTGCGGCGTAAATTGTTCAAGAAGCCCAGTTCACGAGAACGGACAAGGGAGATAATGATATAGTCTTCTTCATTCCCTATAAATTAAATCAGATGATATGTTGAACAAAAGAAAAAGGAAAAGAACAAGCCTTGGAAGGAATCAACAGCAAAACACTTGTCTTTCCAATCCAGGCCATCAACACTCATCATGTAATTTTCAATAGTGCTTCTCTGGAGGAGGTATGGAGTAATGATGCGGTAATTCTTCTCTTGGTCTTGAAGCTTCTGAGCAAGTTTGATAACTGCTTCCATTTCTGCTTCATTCTGAAACAGAAAGCTTGATCAGAGAGTAGAAAAGAATAAAGATAAGAACATGCCTTGAATGAATCATTCATTTTTCTCTCTTTGCCAGCCTGTACATTGATAAAGTAGCAGGCAGTTGTTTTTTCAGTAATGGGATGCAGAGGGTTTGATTTCAATTTGGCATCATAGACTGCCTCAGAGATGATATCTCCAATTTGAGGTGGCATACGATCTAGAGGGGTCAGGTTCATTAGTATATAGCATAATATTTGAAAGAAAACTTACACTGAGTATCAAGAAATACAACATGCTTGTTCAAGTGAGAGATCTCAAAAATACTTTGAAGATCTTGGAGATCCTCTTGGCCATATGGTGGTACTATGAAGAGCTATATTAATGAACAGGTAGAAAAATGGGGATAACCACTTACATTGCTTATCATCTCCAATAAAACATGCCTTCCGCAGGCTTTGGAAGGTTGAAAATACAGAAATGTAGTTACCAACCTCAATCTGACTTGCTTCATCCACAATCAAGCTTTTCATTGGTATATGATGAGTGAATTTGGGTATGGACCGGTTTGAGAGCATGCTTAAGGTGCATAACATGACCTGACAGCCCTTGAAGCGGGAGGGCCCAATGATGCCGAATTCATCAGAGCGAATCATGTTTGCCTGAACTTTGTGATAGAGGTGTTCATGCCTAGAAACAATAAATGTATAAGGGTCAAAATATTATACATTTCTAAAGATGACTGACCAGACACAATGGAAATCTTTGGAGACTAAGAGCCTCCAGTTGGAAAACCCAGAGGAGATCAGCTTCTCAGCAATGTTCTTCACTGCTACATTAGATTGTGTCACCAGCCAAATACCTCCTTGGCCAGCCTTCTCAACAGCATGGTGAACATAAGCTGCAATGACTGAGGTCTTTCCAGTACCAGGTGGACCTTGAACAAGTACAATCCGGTGATCGTCCTTGGGTGACATCATTGCATTGACAGCTTTCTGTTGGGAACCATTGAGACTAAGAGGTGGCTTTGATTCAGAGGAAGGGGAAGGAGGCTTGGGCGGTAATCTCGAAGGCTTTGTGGTTGACTTCCACTCCTTGGGCCACACAAGGGGAAGCCCATCAGCAGGTGGAAACCAAATGTTCTGGATCCAGGGACTGTCGTTGAGCAGCTCTCCAGAGCCTTGAAGAATGCGAAGAACAGTCGCAGCTCGTTGAGCCTCAGCAGTGGTGGGGTCGTCACGACCAATGGTGATGACCTTCAGAATTGCGTTATTACCTATCGTCTGTCTGGTGTTCAGGTTTGCAGATCTACCCTCAACATCCGCTGTGATGCCGGGGGTAACGTAGGTCCCATGTTCATTCTGGAGCTGTACACGAACATTCTATACACGACAATGTTTTATTAGAGCATGTGGAAGGTAAATATTTGAGATACAGATACCTTTCCTGCCCGAAATTTATCACCATAGCTTGCGGAGTTAACTTGCGAGCCTACATGGCTGCCTTGAATGCGATGGGTTTGCTGATGGGGTTTCAAGTGGTCAAGCCGCTGCGCGTCGTTGGCAATCTTGCCAATCATATCAAGAACCTATCAAAAATGTAGCTAATGCTGCTGAGGATGAAGATGAAGACGAGGCTTACCAGAGAACTAAGCTTCTTTGTGTCAATCCTCGGGACTTTCTCGAACGTCTCGGCCCCATTCCCATACCCTGCCAAAAATTGAGCGACCCAAGCTCTCATAGCCAGATCTGTGGTACTTTTTCGATCCTCTGCACTGTAGACCGGGTTGCTGAAGAGAGTTACAATGTTCTCTTTCTTCACTTGGATGTCCTCCCCGACAGACTGCTTGATTGCAGTTAGTGGCTTTCGGTCGACGGCGGAAAAGGCTGATTGAATGTCGACAGCATTGGTAATTCGGAGGTTCGTATCACAGTAGAGCGACATGGACAGCGGGCCGATGTCAAAGGCAAGTAGGTCGCCGACAGGACGACAAAGAATCTTATCTTCCAGGAGCGTTCTTCCTTTAACATCGCGCGGAGCCTGAGGTAGGCCAGGCGGCGGCCTGTTGTTTCCACCTCTCTGCGACTTGGGCTGCGTGAATTCAATGATTCGACAGTTCTTGTCGTCAGCGACTGCGAGCGCGTTGAGACGACCTTTCTCAGAGAAACCAGGCGAGATGCCAAGCGGGCGGGCGTGGTCAAAAGTTTCGAAAAGATCTGATGTAGGAATATCGAGTTCGCGGATTGTGTGGATTGGAATATGTTGGTTGAGTGCAAGTTCGGGACCGTCCAGGATATTCTGCAGCATCACCTGGGGCCTGCGGGAGGCCATGATGGATGTAAGAGAAAGAACCAATCGCGGGCCATACGCGGCGCCTAGCTGCCTCAAGGCAGCAAGCAGTCAAAGTCTATAATTAACGGAACGTTGAGCTGGTTCCGCTTTCGGATATTGCTATCGGACAATTTGAAATGCTCTCATAAAGCTCAATCGACATCAACTAGGTAGAGAAAAAGATTTAAGGTACAGCCGTAATTGACTCGTTGTATTAGATGAAGGGTACAAATGTCCCATACAAGATTTCACGGCTTTTGACCCAAGTCTCGTCACCGAGCGCGTTAGCCAACTTCCCAACCAAGGACTCTTGAGCCTTTGACTCGATGAATTTGCGACTCGTGCAAATGATCATGCCCTTCTTACAGCGCGTCAACATGACGTTCACCCGTCGGTCCTCCCTCAAAAAGCCTAACTTCTCAGAACGAACCAAGGAAATAATGATATAATCAGCCTCGTTTCCTGACAGTAGGTGATCAAATACGTTCTTCAGAAGATATATGTGAACTTACCTTGAAACGCATCAATGTTGAAGCATTTATCTTCCCATGGGAGGTTTGCGTTCTTCAGAGCTTTCTCTAAGTTTGAACGTTGAGGGTCGTAGGGAGTGATTATCCTATAAGACATGTGATGCTTGTCCAACTTCTTTGCGATCGCTATGACGGCTTCAACTTCGTGATCATTCTGTTGGCCATTAAAAAAAGAGATATGAACGGTTTCAAGCACTTACGACCCAGCTGCGACCGTTCGATACTTCAACCCCCCTGTGAATATCAGCGAAACGGCAGGTCTTGAGTGGTGATCGTAACTGATGCTCGCTTTTGAGTCGACCTTTGTAAACGTGAGTTGAAATGAAATTGCCGATCGGGATGGGCATTCGGTCTACATTCAACGCGTCACAGTTGTTTTGATTCCTGCAAGAAGGAAAACATACACTGCGTATCAAGAAGGACTGCAGGCCCACGGAGATGCGATGCCTCGAAGATGCTCTGAAGTTCACTGATATCGGCGTGTCCGTATGGTGGCACTGAAGCTGATCAGCAGGAAAACCAAATAACGTTTAATGGACTTACATTGTTTGTCGTCTCCAATGAAAACAAGTTTGTTGATCGAATTTCTAAACCGAGAGATCAGAGGGAAGTAGTCGCCGACCTCGATTTGACTGGCTTCATCAAATATAATTAGTTTTGGAGGGACGATTTGTGCAATCTCCGTGAGTCTCTCATGAGACATCATGCTAAGCGTACAGAGGACAACTCTAGAGTCTGATAACTGTCGACTAGCTGTGGTCAAATCAGTGCCAAAGTCGTCTGATCGGATGAGATTCTGGTTGATTTTGCCGTACAGATGCTCATGCCTGAATATGGTGGATATCGTGAAACTCAGGAATCAAATTAAAGTACAATGTAAATCGAAGTACTTACCATTCGAAATGGAAATCTTTTGAAACAAGTATCCTGAACTTGGTAAATTTGAGTTCCACAAGTTTTTCGGCGATATTCTTGACAGCGACATTCGATTGTGCCACCAGCCATATGGTTGTTTTATCACTAGCTGAAGCCATAACGCTAGTCACACTAGCAGCAATGACAGTGGTTTTGCCCGTCCCAGGAGGTCCGTGAATGAGAGCGACGCGGTCCTTATGCTTGCGTGACAGAACTAAATTCACGGCCCTTTCTTGAGAAACGTTTAGGGTGCGTTCAGAAGGAAAGTACAAAGTGAGGGGCGCCAAAGACGGGACTAAGGGCCAGGATATCTTTTCTGAAGGCAGCCAAATGCGCTGGACAAATGGATGAGACATGATATCGTCGGTTCCTTGCAAAATCCGCAAAAGGATGTTGCTACGCAAGGTCTCGCAGGTCGTTGGTGCCTCTTTACCAACCGTATATATGGAGACAATAGAGCCTTTCATAGGCGCATTAACGCTGACGGTTGATGTTCTGCCTTGGGTTCCATTGGTCTGCCCCCGAATATTCGAGACATTTCCGTTTTCTCTCGTTTTTATCTTTAGATACTGTGGCACCCCATTTTTAATACGCAACGAGTCGTAGATCTGGGCAAGCGTACCTGATGAGTTGCAGTCCTCCTCAGCTTGCTCTTGAAGCGGACCGAAACGACACTGAGTTCGCCTTTCCTGATTATGACCTCCTTGCTAACATCATTCTTCACAACGTCAGGCTTCAATGCGACAAGGCGGCTTGCGTCGCGGTTGGTTTTAGAAATTACTTGAAGGTGCTATGATCTCGATGAAAAAATGCCTACAACGTGCATGTTCCTACACACCTTTTTAGGGAACAAGCCGGTATTGATTCTTGGAATCTGAAAAACGTCTTCTATCATCGATGGCAGTGTAGCTGCTCTACATGCGGCCCATGCCTGGAGTGCGGTCGATGTGCTGGGGGTCTTCATCGATTCATTATCGCGGAATAGGCGTATAACATTGGTTTTGTTCAACACCATAATACCACCAAGGGACGCCATAAGGGACTCCAGGGCGTTACGATCGTCATTGGACACAGACAACAGGTCCACTGCTGAGTTCAATCGAATTCCAGCATCGAGAAATAGAGCTCCAACAAGCCTATCCATTCTGAATGCATACGTTGAGGTGCCGGGGCGACACAGAATCTTGTCACGCAAAGGATTCTGACTTGTGGATGGGGAGCTTGGTTTTTTGGGGTTTCTTGTTCGCGAGGATGGCTTTAGCGCACAAATCTTCACGATTATAACCTCCGATAACGAAGCTATGGCGAGGGTGTGTAAGACGCCTTTGGAACCGTATGCTGGCGCCAAGCCAACAGGACCACCGTTGGCACTACGAATAAAATCCTCGATTGTAGATGAGGAAATGCGGCTTTCCTGGATTTCAGTCACACGTATAGGCGGGTGAGCCTCCTTGTAGATTTCTTGCTCGATCGTGGAGGTTTTACTGCCTCCAGCCATGATTTAGGGAATGTAGTGAGAGATAGCGCCGAGAATGGGACGCGTTTAAATAACCCATGCTGAAATGCGGCATCGTCGTGCCGTCGAAAGGCTTTCCTGCGGATCAGCTGGAGAAGTTGGTCTCTACAACCACGACCTTCCCGCGTTCATTTGAATCTTGAGCGTCAATGAGTGTTGGAGGAGCACATACCAATTCAGATATTCCAAGGGCTATCATTTCAGCCGCGCACCAAAATTGAGGGTCCAACAAGTGTCAGTGACTTTACGGTGGGTAGAGATTTCTCTCAAATCAAAATTGTAGGCGAGAATTGGTATCAGGTTGAACGTTGAGCGTCAAAAAGCGTGGGAACACATAATTCGATCGCTCTTCCGCATATTATGTCAGAGGACAACTCAGCCTCTTCCTCGCTCTCGACTTCCATGGCCACTCCAGTCATTATCGGTGTCAGCGTTGTAGCGGCGGCAATCTTAGGGCGGTCAATGATGCGACGTGGCATTCTGGGTGGTAAGGCTGCAGCGGACCAGTGGGTTAAGGGAGGGTTCAAAGCCAAGATGGACCGCAAGGAGGCCATCGAGATTCTGGGACTCAAGTGCGTGGCTTGAGCATATTTTTTAATAACTTGCCCTCATGTTTTTAATTAGGGACGGACCTCTACTGCGCAACAAACTAAAGGATGCCCACCGACATATTATGCTTGCCAACCACCCAGATCGTGGAGGGTCGCCATACCTCGCAAGTAAAATCAACGAGGCAAAGGATCTCCTGGATAAAACAGAGGGACGTGGTCGCTGACACCCATTAACATGTCCGTATGATGACGATGTATTTTTCAATTGCCCACCGATTGACTTGTCGTCTCGTAGCGTTCTTGTATCATTACCATACTGGCTATCACACTTATAATGATAATACTCACTCAACTCTTCTTTCGGAGAAGCCAAGGGCACTCGATACGCCTCACCAGTGCTCGCTCGGTCACTCTGGAATTGGAGAAATTATTCTGCTGACTAAGCATTTTTCTCCTGCCCACGTCCAGTATGAGTGATTTACAGCCCTCAAAGCTCGGAACCAAGGAACAGTACGTCTCGTCAGTCGTCCAAGCGTTCGCACCTTCCAATCGGCGTCGCTGGTAGTTGGGACAGTGTTTACGAAGAAGAGCTCGCGAATTTCGAGGAGATCGGAGATGAAGGTGAAATCTGGCATGTTAACCGATCGTCATACAGAAGGACAACAGGACTAAGAAAACTTGTAGGTTTGGCACAGAGAGTGTAGAAAAGATGGTCGAATGGGCCCTTGAACATGTTCCTTCTTCGTCCAATGCCTCAATCCTCGAAGTGGGTAGTGGAAATGGAACGCTGTTGTTCGGCCTCCTCGATGCTGGCTACGACCCTACTACGCTCTCGGGTATAGACTACAGCCGAGGCGCGGTTTCCCTGGCGAAGGAAATCGCCAACAAAAGGCGAGGAGACGCCTCAATCATCTCGTTCAGCGAATGCGATTTTCTGAAGGATGAACCTAAAGTTTTGGAATCCACACAAGGAGAGGGCGAACCTGGTGTTTGGGACGTCTTGATGGACAAAGGCACCTACGACGCCATTGCTTTAAGTCAAAAAGACGAGAATGGGAAGTCTCCCGTAGAAAAATATCCAGGACGGGTGACGAGGTTGTTGAAGCCAGGAGGGTACTTCTTGATAACTTGTAAGCGGCTTTTCTTGAGGTTTCAATTGACGCTGATAATATCCTATTTCCAGCATGCAACTTCACAGAGGACGAGTTAAAGGCCAGCTTTGCGACAGAAGAGACGAACCTTCTATACCAGTGGGTGTACATTTTTCTGAGTGGTTGATACGCTTACTCAACTCGCTCCCTATAGCTCACGGATACAACATAAAACTTATACGTACGGCGGCAAAAGCGGCAGTATTTGCTCGAGTGTAGCTTTCCGAAAACGTCTTCCATAACAGAATGATATCTTTTGTGAAAAGTACTCATTGAGTGAGAATACCGTTCATCTTGGACTGTAAGGTTTCCCTTGCCAACGCAACCGCCCATCCCAGAAATTTACTCAACCCGTCCTCTTTCATTGAGAGATCTCGAAAGGCCTCTGTCATGAAATACACTAAGCCCGTCGCCAGATTTTCAATCCGCGCCGCTTTGATGAATATCTCCTCGACGACACTTCGGTTTCGGGTAAGAACCACCTCATCAAAGTTGGAAACAACGAGCGGCGCCGATTTTTGACTAGCGATGAACAATTGAATCAACAGTTCCTTGAGGAATTCGCGTGTTTGCGGTTTCACTTGTGTGAAGTCGACCGGCTGAGACGAGGTCAGATTCATCGGAGCATGGGGAGAGAACAACCGACCTTCAAGATGGCAAGTGTAACACAATCCTTTGCGATCCACCATGCATAGGCTCGAGCTACGTTCCTCAGGCGGGCTTTCGATATGCTCTTGAGATCAAAACCCTCGTCTTCCTTGGTATTTTTGATCACTTCAGCACCACCGACAGATGTTTCGCCCAATTCTCGAAGAAAGTCCCACAAGCAGAACTGTATCGTGATCTTGTAAGAGTGCGACGAACGACACAATTGTTGGCAAACGAGGCTGTAGTAAGGGTTGTATGATTTCTCCTACACAGGCTTGAGGAGCTGGACTTGATTAAGCCTGAATAACGTACCTGTCCACAGCAGTGAAGAACTACACGAACGATCTCTCGTTGTTGGACATCGGTCAGATTCAGTTGACTCAGTCTCTCGCAAGCGTCGACGTAATCCTGATATTTCAATGATAGATCAATCACTGAAGAGTGAAGCACCAGATGACCTACGTCGCTGCTCATAAGGACAACAAAGATACTCCTCCGGATGTCGGAGTTCATCCCTTGCGAGCGAGCAAGTTTGAGCAGCTCGCTTTCCTGATTTTCCTCCTTTCTTGCGGTCCCAGGAGCTCCGGCTGCGTTCATTTGCCTGTCTACCAAGGGGTCACCGCCCCATGCAGCGCCAACAAGCCACCATTTTCCCTTGCTTTCCGCGCAGTGGAGGTCCTCGAGGGTAACCCTCAAAGGCTCGTGTGCAAGCACTGCTTTCTCGCCTGAGTAAAAATGCTGACATTCTCACGCAGAACACACCTTGTCGGTTCTTTCCAAGACCGGAGAGAAACTTCTTCATCCGATCCACGGCTGCGCCACCTTGGTTCTGCGTTAAATTCCTCTTCAATTTGTTGTTCTTCAGGTTTGTTAACGTCTCGATCATGAACCGAGTGCGAGAGCTACAGAGGACATCAGGCTCCCTCAACCAACGATTCATGAGAGAGACGCACCTAAGACCATCACTCGTTCCAGAGACCTTGTTTTGCACAATTTGAATGATGTCCTTCAAGGCAGATGGATCATCCTGTCTAAGTTGTTGCCCGGAATCTTCATAGGTGAGGTAGGTGGATAGAAAAGGGTCAAATTAGTAGCTACTTACTCCGAACGACCTTTAGCAGAAGCTCGATGTTAAACTCCGACAAGGTATCGTTCAGCAAAGACTTGATGATATCGAAAACAAGCACGCAGGAGACCACCTGTAGGTTGTAGAGCTCGGAAATCAAGACGATTAAGTTCGAACATTCTTTTCCTTGCGTGTCGACCTCTTGTTCTGAGATTGTGGATTCTGTGCTCTTCGGTAGTGCAGCATAGTGCCGCTCGTAGGAAGTCACTGCAGTTTGCACAAAGTGGGCAGCTATAATGTGCGTAAGAACATATGACATCGAGATCTATGATGATGCACACCAAACTCGACTCCGATCAGTTTATGCAAACTGGACACGAGAGCAGTGTAGAGAACGACGTAAGAGTCGAGATGGGATGAATGGGACGAAATTCCATCGATAATCAAAGTGGTCAAAGTCGAAGTGACGTCTTGACGAAGCCACGTAAGTTGAATTGTTCCGACGGAGAGAGATAGGAAGACACACCATTCCTCCTTTGGCTTCTGAAAACTCCTTCAAGACTCTCAACAATGGCTCCAATATTTTGTTCTGACATTCTGTTTCTTATGAATAATCTCGAGGGTGGCTGGTATAGATGCTCTTACCGATTAAGAAGACCTTTGAGCTGTCTCGTAAGCTTGATCATAGCCTCTGAACCTTCGTCGTTCCCTTTCCTTAAATGGGGGGGTACATACGCTTTTTAATATTGAGTGGTTGGACAAAGTGGAGACGCCAACGAATTTACCTGTAGCTGGTTTCGGATTGATCTCAATCTCCGCAACCAGTCCCGCTGGTGGCTCCTCATCCCCTTCTGAGTCTTCAATACCATTCCATTCCTCGTCAGGATAGTCACCGTCTTCGGTAGAGTCACTGTCATTAGATTCGCTCGACACATCGGGTGCGTCTCCTTCAGCATCATCTGGTTTTGCCTACGACAATCGTTATTCCAGTTTAGTTAACAGAGTAACCAGACACACCTTGGACATTGACGCAGTAAACCCGTCAGCCCAATTCAATAAGTCTAAGGGAAGATTAGCATGAACAAGACAAAGTGAGAGTATTGTTGTTCATACCATCTAGACCATCGTCATCCGCAATCTTTTTCTTTTTCCCGCTTTTTGAATACCCCAACTGCGATTCCAGATAGGAAATATACGCGTCTTCCCCGTCGTCGACCCGACTCGTTGCCGCTGGGTGAGAACTCCGTTCTGCAACATGTATGACCTTGGACTTGGTGAGTTTTTTGGTCTTGATGACCGGAGCGGCAGGTTTGTGTGCTACAAGAGACTCATTCCCCTTGGTAGATGGAGTTTCGCTTGAGAAGGCCGCTACTCGAGGCTCCGCCGAGGATGCCTGGCGAGGTTTCTTGCGTTGGGGTGATTCATGGTGTTCCTCCTCAGCTAATCGTTTCTTGTTATTGACAGAAAAATAAGCAGCCTTCTTCTGTTTCCTAGCTTCACGCTCTTGCTTACGTGCATCCTTTCGAGGCACATGAGATCGAGATCGTCCACCCGCGACCGAAGACCTGCTATTGCTATTCCCTGATCAGAAAATGAGATTTATTGAGCTAAGGAGTCCAAAATCATGGCATACCAGAAGATTCCCCGAGCTCTTGAAGAATGCTTTGAGGCAGGCGCGTCGTCGAAGTCTTCTTCCTAATCGCCATTATGATATGGTGGGTCCGAGCGAAGGGAAGAGTTGGCTTTCACAACTACATACAACAAAACTTTATCAGTGGTCGAACAGAGAAAACTCGCACAACATACACTAATGGACAACCTCATTGGCTGGGGATAATTGTATCGTTCGCCGTTCCCGTTTCGCGCTTTTAGCAGCTTTTGAGTTGATGGTGGTTTTTTTAGATTCGAGTAACCGACGTCACGTGGCACTACACATTGGTTCAGAAAAACTAGTTTTCTACACAGATAAAAGCAATAAAACGACGACAGCAAAACTCGTCTCAATACATTTCCTTGGGTTCGTAAGTAAATCGTAACGCTCGTTCAAAGCAATCATTGTCCAGTTGTCGTCTAATCGAAATGGATTGGCTCAACTTTAATTGGCGAAGGCAACGCTGGCGCGCCTGAGTGTCGTTTCGTTGGTGTACCAGGTGGGCGTGCGGGGGTGTTTCGACCCGATCGTAGTTCTGGGTTCTTCGAAAGTCCGGACGGTGGCATGCCGATGAGCCGCGAGACGGTATATGGAAGCTCATATCCCGCACGGCAGGCATATGAGATATATCTCGCTAGTTCAAGGTGCAGGGTTGGGTAGTACGTCGTCGAAGCTTTTCGTGAAATCTGTCAAGGATAATTAATGGGTGACGTTGACAGGATAGACTTGCTAATGAACTTACCAGAATGATACGCTCCAGGCCAGAAAGGAAGAGGTCAGAGTGGAAACGATGGGCCGAATGGTCGTGGTCCTTGAGCATGTTGAGATCAGCGACGCATTTGGCAATTGAATTTATGAGCCTCAGGTGAGTGGTCTATGATTAATGCCCAATCAGTTAAGGAGAGACGGCCGTGGAATGATGCCCGTACAAAGTAGCCCATGGCTTCAAATTCTACTCCGCCCGTCATACCACCTGGTGCTCTTGGCTTCTCGACCCTTCCTTCGTCGGTCTCAGCTAAAATCCAGATGGTGTTCGTCGGGTGACAAAAGACCCAGAAGTAGTCCCGGCAGAGGTCCGAGAGTTCTTGCAAGTATGTCTTATAAATCCTAGGTTGGTGAAGTGATTCGATAAACGCGTGGGGAGAGATAGGAACTCCTGGACGTTCAGAGGGAGGTGGGGCAGGCGTGAGGAGAAGAGCACGGATAAGAGAAAAGAATGATTTGTGGGGTGGGGGAAGACTGATGAGGTTAGAGGTAACGAGGGAACTTTCGCTTTCCCAAGCCTCTCGATGGGGACGAGAGCGGCCGGACAGCAAGGCACCACCTTTTGTGCCAGTAGATGGAAGGGACGAGGGTGGGTAGAGCTCAAATAAGATTAAAAGGAGATCGGCGATGAGTTGTCTGGTAGCAACTTCGCCAGGTTTCTTGTCAGAGTATAAAAGTGACACGAGTTGAACGAACGGAGTGGGGCATGAGCTGCGCAAAGCAAAGCACCCAATTGAAGATGTGGACAACGCTTTGAAGCATCGCAGAAGTTCGTGTAGGATTTGATCATCGTGTTGTTCTTCCCTAAAGCGTCATTGAGTACGAGAACCAAAATGTTACGTTAACAATTTACCGCCATTCAACCTCGAGGATCTCGTTAAGCCGTGTGAGCAAAGCCGAGTATCCACCGAGTTTCAGAAATTCTTGTGACCAACTGGGTGGAAGTGATCAGAATATCCCTAGCGACGTGCGTAGTCGGAATTTTACCTGGCTGACTCGTTCCTCAAAAGCAACCTTAGCTTCTTGATGTCTTCAACATCCAGCTCCGTGCTAGATTGGCTCTGAAGAATGCTACAGAACTTGGTGGGAGAAAGGTTCTTGAGGGCTGGGGCCTTATCCTTTGCATGTCTACCACCGGCACTAACGTCCACGGTCGACGTCGATGATGGAAGGTGAACCTGACTCTTAGAAAACAACCGAGGGGCATCGAAAGAAAGGCCACGGGTGTGACTGCTTCCTTGCCGACTTATCCCCGTTCCGCCAGTATACGGAGAGTGCAGGGCGGAGACGTAGGTTCCCGCGAACCCGGCTGTGTGAGGGGGTTCAAGATAGTCTATGGGAGCGACAAAATGTTGGGGTGAATTGAATGACTCTATGCTGTGCGCCCGTCGCAAGCCCCTCGTATGAGGTGTAGTAGGGGGTGGAGACGGTTCTGGCGCAGGAGCAATAGCCATGGTTTGGGAAGATTTGAGCATAGCTGCTTTTACTGTTGAGTCCATCCCAACTAGCTTGGGCCGTAGTGTCACAGGAATCTGGAGATCATCCTGAACATGTCATTAACGACTGAGCATGCTGTGATCAATATGAGTCTCACCAGAAGTTTATCAAACGCCTGGTTTGTTTCTGGGACCTCCGACGGTATATCTTTCGATTTCTTCGCGTCCCCCCGTTTCTTCTTACTGATCCCAGCACCCACCTTTCCAACTTTTGTGGCTGGGATCTGGGGTTGCTGCAGACCAGATGTCGGCTGGTTTTCTTTGCCTGCCGGAACATCTACGGCAAGACTTGTTAGAAAAGTAAAGTCTGAAGAAACGACTCTCTTCGAAGGGAGGATGCCTTTGAACATGACGATGTGAAGAAGTTGAACTGTCCAAATTGGGCCATGGTTCAAATCTTGCAACGCGTTCGAGCTTCAGGTCACGTGACCGTTATGAATGCATCGTCACAGGTCACTGTCACCGTCGTCACGCCATCCAAGAAAGGAGGTCCCTTTGTCGTGGACTTGATATAAAGTGACCAACTCACCCAACAGGTTCTCTTCCGTTTTACTTGCTCGCTGTTCTATCCGCCGTTCAATTCGCAACTTCTGGTGTCGCCTTCCCCATGGTTATTGGTCGACTCCTGTTCTCCGCCGTTCCTCATGGCCGCCTGGTATATGAACAATAACGTCGAATATACCCCGTCTCCAGGTTCTTACACCTCGATATCACTTGCATAATAATAATCCAATCGACACCGTCGTTGCTTGCATTCATGATGTGATTGTCGCCCTTGGCAATGTCGATACGGGGCAATCTCTCACGCCGCGTCCGTATATGGACGGTGCTTTTTGTTCTCCACCTCTGCCGTGACACATGCTGCAAAGCCAATAAATCACCCCGCCTTCCCCATCAAGCCGTCACTATTGTGCTATCACGGCGCCATTGCATATTCTTGACTTCAAGCGGCTCTGGGCTCTCATGCATCATGCTGGACACCCGCGTTTATTGTTTTATGTCCGACCCGGGTTTTTTTTAATCCAAATCGGTGACAGTGCACAGAACAATTGCAGCGAACCCCTCGATGGGCTTCCCGCGAGCCGCGTCTTCCGGTTGGGAACGTATAAAATCAGAGGACAAAGCGTTTGGATTTTCAAGCCAGTAAAGCCCTCTGCTTGATTTCATCCGCCTTTTTTGCAAGCCTCGCACATCTTCCCAAAGACATGGACTCATTCACCACTTACTTCTCGCTCGCGGCTAAGGCTGAGGACATCTCATCACAAGCACCCGTCGACGAGGAATCCGGCGGCTCAGGCAACAATGCCTACTGCGTCATCGCATGAGACGCTTTTCATCTCTCATCCAGCATTGACGACTACATCTGTACACTAGAACATCGTGAGTCTCCTTCTGCTGCTCCTTTCTTCTCTGATACTCATCGACTATCCCCTCTAGAGCATGCATTTTTTTATGAGAATCTTGCGACACCTTGACCATCCGACTTCACGGTCATCTCACTTCGCGTGGCCATCATCCAACAAACCATTTCCACCACTCAGCACCACATTCCCACCTTTCAATATACCGTCCTCCTTCATTAATGACGACAATACCATTACCATTCAACCGCACCATTATCATCATTTGACACCGGCATCCACATTCATCGGGACTCTTTTTTTCTTTCTGCTGCAGTGCTTCCTTTCACTTTTAGAGGGACACCAAATTCGTAGACAACTTACTTTTGACTTCGTTCTATTACATACTTGTGTTTTGTGAAGGAGTTAGACAGAGACAATGAAATGCACATTTCGAAAACATATCATAAATATTCGTTGGAGTCTGAGCGTCGCAACGCGTATAGCACTGGACTCCAGCGACAATCGATCCGCCCAAAAGTTGCTTTGTTACAGAAGTTAAAAATACAAAAAGACATGTATTCGATTCCCAAGCCAAACCATATTGGCCTTCGCTTGGTGTAACGCGCCAGCCCTCAAGCCGAGCTATACTCAGCCTTGATATCGTCAGCGAGTTTCTCCGCAATAGCATAGCAAGCTCCAGCCTTTCCGAAATAAATAAATAAATCAACACCAACCCCAATCCACGAAAAAAAGTCACAAACCGTATGACCCGAAACAATGAACGGAAAAATCGACGCATCGCACACTCTCAGTCCCACCACACCATAAACCCTCAACCCCGCATCAACCACATCCCCCTTCTCCGGATCCGGTCCCATACGACACGTCGTCGTAGGGTGATACACTGTCTCCACGCGCTCCCGAATGACAGCTTCCAATTCCACGTCGGATTTAAGGTGTAGCTCGTGGTCGAGGTCGGCCCTGGTGAATTCGTGGTCGAGGAGTGCAGCGAGGGGTTGCGTTTGTGCGATTTGGAGGCAGAGCCGGACGCCGCGGATGAGTTTTTTTATGTCTTCTTCTGTGGATATGTAGCTGGTGGGAAAGGAGGCGGTAAGTAGGGTGGAGGAAGGAAGGAAGGGGGAGAAGTGGTGAACTTGCTTTGGGTTGACGCTTGGTAGTTCCCATGGATTTGAAGATTTGAGAAGTACGGCACCGGTGCTTGTTGGTCTAAGAAAAAGGACATAAGAGCTTCTACGCTTACAGACACTTGACGGACACCGTACCTCAGCAAGTAGACATGAAGCGCGAATGTATGGACATCGAAGAAGACACGACCGTGCTCCTACAAGTAACGCCCATAAGAATCTCACGCATGGATGCTGAACAAAGGAATGACCCACTTTGTATGCAAAAGCTGTAGAGAAAAGTTCTAGATCGGGGCTATCCTTCGCTGATGTACTATCCAGGAGTTTCTCGGGGAAGTACCGAGTAGGAAAGACATCAGGATCATCTGAGCGGATGAAAGCAGCCGATTCGCCAAACTATAACACAACAACAAAAATTAATCTCAAGTAATCTCAAAAGAAGAAGGAAACTGCATACATTCATCGCCAATGGTCCCCCAATTCCTAGAATATGATACTGCACGATCGCAGATGTCAATTTCACGACGTCCCAAAAAGATTTCGGTCTCAAGTACTTGGCAGAGTTATTGAGTTTGTCTTTAAAGTACATATCCACGACGGGGTGGTCGACGAGATTCTGGCCGACACCTGGAAGATCTCTGATGACTTGGATGCCACGCCTCTCGAGTTGGGCAGCTGGACCAATGCCAGAGATTAAGAGGATCTAGCGGCTGATTGTCATGTGGGCTCGAGAGATAACCAAGGCAAGAGAGACGAACATGGGGAGAGTGGATAGCACCACCACTAATTAGATTTAAATGAGGACGGAGTTATTTCGGTGAGAAAAACGCAGACTCACGAAAGGATCACCTCCTTCTCGGCTCTGGCTTGATACCTGGGCCTTGCATCTGAGTTGGCAAATTCGACACCTACAGCACGAGGTACGCCAGCTTCAGACGTTTCAAAAAGCACGCGGGTGACTGTAGCGTTGACGGCAACCGTCAAGTTCTTCCGTGCGAGGACTTCAGGTGTCAGGTACGCTGTCTCACTTGAGACTCGTCGATACTTCTTGTCCACGTATGTCACTATCTTCGAGGTTAATTTAAGTATCAATTGTTTGTTAGAATTCCACCTACTGATCTAGAAAAGTTCAGGACAAAAGTCCAAAATTAGAAGATGAATAACGTACCCGGCTAGCACCCAGAGTCCCATTTGGGCCATTGAAGTCGGGTGTGAAAGGAATGTTGACTCCGACACAAGCCTTGACGAATGCTTTGGACGCGTTTGTAACGGTATTGAAATATCCCACATTTACTGGGCCAGAGCTACCCCTGACTGTTGCATCGACCAGAGGGTAGTCTGGATGTGGGTTGTATTTCTCAAACTTGGTAAAGTACCTGTGGCAAATTAGCCGTTTCAACAGACTTGATTATATGCGTTGCTTACCGAGAGAAGTTGCTCCAGGCCCATGACTTGTCACCAGCGTAGGATGCCCACTGGTCAAAGTCCCCAGGGGCACCATATTGAGCCCTAATTCAACGTATCAGCGGCGTAAGATATAGTGAAGCGGAGCAATCACATCTGGGCATTGATGGAGGAACAACCCCCTAGCATCTTGGCTGCAATATCCAAGGATTAGCTCCTAAGTGCTTGGGGCAATAGTGGGGCTTACCTCTGGGCCAAAATTTCTCCTTCCCATTTGCTGCTGCCTGAGGCTCGGTTCGGAAAGGGTAGACATGTTTAGTGAAGAAGAGTCCTCCGTAGCCGATTGGGGTTCGGCTGTCACTAAGAGCGCGGCCACTGGATAGATGAAATTTCACGTTCAGTAGAAGAGGAGCAATAGAAACGCGACATACCTTCCTCCAGCTTCAAGCAGTAATACACGGATGTTTGGATCTTCGGAAAGACGGGAAGCCAGTGCACATCCCGAAGTACCTGCGATAGACTACAATTAGGGGTTCTATCGTCCAAGTTGCAAGGCATACCTCCGCCAACGATGATGATATCATACTCCCACTTTTCATCCCTCGCAGTCGTATTCAAACCGACGCGTCTACCCACCTGTTCGAGGTTGGATATGTAACGGGGTTTCGGTCGCTTGAAGACGAGACGAATCAGGAGGGCAAGCGCAGCTCCAGAAACGAGGGATCGCGGAGTGAGATGACCGCGTTCGAAGGCGATACGGATTATTTGGAGGAAGTCTTGAATAACATTAGCCATGACTGCGCGTGATAGGTTATTTGGCTATGTGCCATCATGTGTGTATATTCACATGCACATCAGAAAGAGTTGTGAACGGAAGTGTGTTTGTGTGGCTGTGTCCGCACAACGTCATGCGCACTGTCCTCTCCCGTATACAGCGACTCCATCGGCAATCCTAACCATACCTTCTCTCTTCACTACATCTCCCGTCCTGGCGCTGCCTGAATCACATACAGCGTCTCCACAATCACCTATTCTTTCTCCGTCTCCTCAGAAACACACCCTCGGAGCAAAGCTTTCCGCCTTGTTCTCTTTAAAGCGTCCCGTGCGCAGGCATACAGCGCCAACACACTCCGGACTAACAAGACAAGCAGTCGAGTCCCTCGCGGGAGGTGTTGGCATGGTAGAGGATCCGGACCCAACTTCGAACAATAACCAACCCAAACCCATTCACACAGCACCCTTAAACTCCACCCCGCCAACGACTCCACCAACCACCAACGACCCTCTCGTCCCCCTCTCAGACACGATGATTTCAGAATCACATCCCCCATACACACGTTCACGTCCAGATCCGAATCCACCGACTAAAGCAAGCCTCAAGGCGTGGTGGAACCATTTTACTTTTGCCCAGAAGGAGAAGGCGAAAAGGGAGGGCAAGGCCCTTTCTGCCTATCGAAGTGCGTTTTTCGCGTTTTTCACGTTTGGTTTTCACCCCCGCTGACCTGCTGCCCTCTGCCGTACTACTCAGGTCCAGACAACGCCCCACATCCCGTTTTTGGGAAACCCTTGAAGGAAAGCTTAAGCCACGCCAGCGTGCAGATCTCCACCGCAAACTCAAATGGAGAGTTGTACGTTTGGGGTTACATCCCCGTCGTGGTGGCCAAATGGTGCGCCCGTGTTTTTCCCTTTTTCTACATTTGAGCTAATCGATATCGTGTCAAAGTGGGTTGTATCTCAAAGAGAATGGTAGCTTATAGTTACTTCCTCGCGCCTGCTTTTCTGACGTCTATACATAGCTACGGAAGTTCCGGGCACGTTTCGCGTCAACGGGTCAAGTCGAAGAATGCGCGATCTTCAAGCTTCGTTTGAGACTCCCCCACGTGTTGCGTCTTGATCCACTCTCATCGTTTATCATCCACTGACCTTTTGTCCTTCAGTATGGCAAAAACCTCGATTGGAAACAAGAACATTACACGACTCACGATGTGGCGAGCGTCTTTCGAAGATACCTCACGCAAATGCCCGTAGGTTTCCTTCATTTGTCTTGTCCCCGTTTCGCAATGAATATGGTCTTTTCAGGAACCTGTAATACCCCATGATATGTACCATCATGTTCGTTTCTTTTCTTTCGTGAACGCCCCAATATATTAACGCATTGGGTATAGTTTCGAGACGCGCTAGGTAATTCAACTTTTGTGTCTCTTCCTTGTATTGTCTAACATGTTTTCTTTGTTAAGCAAAAGAACCATTTAATCAAGAAGAGGTGATCTCTACATACAAGTCGCTCATTCGCAAGATGCCAAGAGCAAACCAATATCTCCTTCTCTATGTCCTCGACCTACTATCTGTGTTTGCAAGGAAGAGCGAGAAGAATCTTATGACGGCTACCAGTTCGTCCATTCACCCCCATGATATAAAATCGTACCGTCTGATGCGCCTTTCTACTCACAGATCTAGCAGTCATCTTCCGTCCCGGCCTGATCTCGCATCCAAATCACGAGCTGTCGCCACAAGAACATGCACTCAGCCAACGCGTGTTAGAATTCCTCATTGCCCAACAAGACTGGTTTATGTTAGACATACCACCGCCACCTAATAGTACAGTTAGAAGGGAAGGACCATTGGGACGTAGGGATACCGGCCAAAGTCAAAGTGGGCCAAGTACGCAACCATCTCATGGGCAGCAGGTCGGGGGTAGCTCGTCATCGTTAGGACATCGGCAGACTGCTGAGAGTTCTGCACCAGCTGGCTATGTCCGGTCGGACACAACACCAACGACCGGCGTTGGCGGAATGATGCCCAGATCGGTTATGGAGGAACCTTGGACAGGAGGCAGTGGGGCATCAGATGTCGATGATATCATGGTGATTCCAAGTTCGGACGAGGAGTATTCGCATGTTGGCGGGGGAGGATGGAAGTTGGTGCCGAGAGCTCTTGCTGGCGATAAAGAAAGGATCAAGGCGATGAGGAGACGGACGACGACAGACAAGCATGGTGCGCTTTCTCTTGGTTTTAAGTCTAATGTTCAAGGCGCTGATGGGTTGATGACAGATGATCCGCCAGATCGGATGGCGTTCGGCGCTCTGGCAGAGGGTGATATGGACGACTCGCCGTCATTGGAGAGTTCTACGGTGCCAGAGCATGGTCATGGTGGTGGCGTTGGTCCCTTAAGTGTTACCAGAAGTCGGACGTTACCATCTCGAAGGAAGGGCGGTGGGGAAGGCGAAGAGAAGGAACAGAAGGAAAAGGAAAAGGCGCGCGTGTTGAAAAAACAGCGGAGAGTGTCAGCGGCTTTGGGAGGTCAGGGGCAACAGGGCAATTGGACTTCGTAAAGGTGCCTAGTCGTCAGCCGTTCGTCGTGCGTCCGCTTTTTTGTTTGCTTTTGGGATGGACTGTACAGCGTTTTTTCTGCTTGGACGAAGAGACGATTTTCTGTCCGTGTATATGTTTTTTTTAAGACTTTCTCTTTTTTTTTTTTTACGCCCACCCTTGTTGTTTTAACCGTATAATATACCGCTAATTGCCAGTGATCTATTTTTAGAGATGATAAAAATAGCTTACGCAGCAAAAAGGCGAAACGACACCTGGAAGCGGGCGTTGTTTCCGACACATTTGACCTGCATTTGTAACTGTATCCGTTCCCTTCCTTTTGCACCCTTACCTTCCCCCCTTCCCCTTCTACAATGCCAGCCTACAGAGACGATCCGGCCGCCCAGGACAGCTACTACGACACCGTTCCCGTGAGTGTGCTCTATAAATACACATATCACTTGACATTGATGATGGAACCGGTTTGTATAAACAGCTAGCACATGGCCCCACAGGACATCTCCACAACAACGACATTCCTCTTCTTTCAACCCCTCCCTCAGCCTCAGCAGGCGCATTTCAAGCATATCGCCCGACCGCTACAGACTCGACTGTCGACTTTGGAGACCGTCACAATATGAGTGCGAACAACCAAGGGTATCATGATTCCAGTCCGGAACTGGATCCTGAAGGGAGGAAGTATGGGTTCTCGAATACGGGGACTGCTACTGTTGGAAGCGGCGGCGCGCTGTGGACCGCTGATGCTGCGAGGCGCACGAAAAGATCTAAGATGATGGTTCGTCTCGCTTACTATGAGACTTTCTCAGTGATTCAATGTTGACGCCGGGTTGAAAAGATGATTGGCGGTGGTCTCGCGTTGATTGGGGTCATCATTATCGTTGTGGTCGTGGGCGTTGTGGTGTCCAAGAATAACAGCAAAAACTCCAAGACCTTGTCGACCTCGGGTGGCAGCGGCAGCAGCGGTGGTTCAGGCTCGTCAAATTCGAATTCGTCGGTGACGCAGACAAACCCGAATGATCCTAGTACGTTTGTGAAGAACCCAAAGTTGCATCAGTCGTTTTGGGGAATGGCATATACCCCTGCTGGATCGCAATTACCGGATTGTGGAAACTCTCTTTGTAAGTTTTATGTCTGTGGGTTTAGAGCGGAAAGTTGATATTTTTGCGTTGTTTAGCGGAGGTGATAACGGATATCCAGGTGTTTACTTTTTCATGATCTCTACCTTGAAGAGCTTTCTTACCGGTTACGATGTAGCTCTTGTCGCAATTGACCCCTGTGAGTCGAATGGTGCTAGCCCGTAACTTCAACTGACAGGTACTCAGCGCATTCGCCTTTATGGAGCTGATTGTAACCAATCGGCGCTCGTCGTACGTTTTCTTACCTCTACATCACTTTCTATACTAAAGACCAATCGTTGCAGCTTGAAGCAATCAAGCAAACCAAAGTGAACATGTCTGTTTATCTAGGAAACTACCCCGTCGCAACGGACAATGGCACCGCATACGAGCGTCAACGCGATCTCATTCAGTCCGCGATCCAGACCTACGGAACGCAACATATCGCAGGCGTCACTGTCGGTAACGAGTTCATGCTCAAGTGTGTTTCCGTCTTCATCTCCCAGAACTCGAAGCTCAACAACTGAAATTTTATATAGTTGGGTGACTGGTAACGGTGTGAACGATCCCAACAGCGCTGTGGGGAACCAGGGTGCAGCGATTCTTATCCCGTTTATCAACGACACGAGGAGCATGCTTGCGGCCATGAACTTGGGCAGCATGCCGGTTGGTACGGCGGACGCTGGTAGCTATTTCAACAATGAGGTATTGCAGGTTGTGGATTACGGGGTTCGTCTTGCAAATCTCCGATGTCTCGCCGACGCTTGGCTGACTTTATGATGCATTTAGATGGCAAATGTGCATCCGTGGTTTGGGAATGTCAGCATAGATGATGCCGCGGGCTGGACGTCAGACTTTTTCCAGCAGAATGATGTAGCCCAGGCCCAAGCGCTCTCTAACAAGCCAAAGATGTACATCGCTGAAACAGGTGAGTTCCTCTTCCTTTCTTCTTCTTGATCATTCGTTCATGTACGTCTCTTTCGCGCACTAGGATGGCCAACGGTATGTCTTGTTAAGTAACTGTTGACGAATAGTAATTGACGGTGCGGCATTTAGAAATCCTCCAATGCTGCGGCTGCATCAGATGGACCTTCCCTCGCATCAGAGGCCAATCTTCAAGTACCAGCCTTGTCTTCACGCATGACAGTAGCTCGCGGCTGACTTTTTCGCTTAGATCTTCCTTGATACCTTTGTGTGCCAAGCCAATAGCAATGGAACTGGATATTTCTACTTTGAGGTGCGTCGCTCTATTTCCGTGGGTAAATGAAATTGTTGTTGACGACACGTTGAACAATAAATAGTTCTATGATGAGACATGGAAGGTTCGTCAAACTCTTTCCCACCTCGATATCGCATTATGCTGACGTTGATCTTTACAAAAGGATGTAACCTTTGGTGGTGTTGAGGTGCGTTGCCCGTTGATTGACTCATTCCCCACCGTTCTAATTCCGCTTCATTTTTTTGCAGGGCTGGTGGGGACTATTCACCGCAAAGTAAGTCTCCCTCGTTTCATCTTTCACTTCCAGCTTCTCACCATTTTCATTTAGCCGCACCCTCAAAAACATTGAGATACCCAACTGCCAATCCCCATAAATAAAAACGTGAACACCGCTGCCGATCTTTGAAGTTTACCCCAACGAACTTATCTGTTCAGCACCTCTATTCCGACACTGACAGTTATAACACACTACCCCTCCATTCCTTTATTCTGTTACGATATCACGACAGATTTGGACTTACTTGGATTATTCTATTCGTACTTGGACAAAATATTTCCATGATCGGACCAAGGTAGCTAGCTCGTTAACAACCGCAGGTACAGCCTAACTTCATACACATCCTACCGTTTGGTTCGCTGTATTGTATATACTTACAACTACATACACTCTTTGTCACTGTGGAACCTTTTATGTTTTTGTTTCGCGGCAAAAGAGCGAAGAGTGCTGCGTGTTCGGAGCACTCAGTGAGTGACTATATGTGGCAAACAAAAAAAAAATTGAAAGCCATATTGCATTGACCGGGAGTCGAACCCGGAGCTAGGCCATGGGAAGACCCAATGTTACCGCTACACCATCAATGCTTGTATTTACTGAACGTTCGAAGAACTACAAGGTTTATGCGTATCCTCGTTGCCGAACGTCGCTCGGATTGCTCTTCTGATTGACTCGCCTGCGTGTATACTTGCGCTAACCCTTCACAAGTACTTATACTGATCTGGGGAGATCACAAAAAAAAAAAAGTCACACGTTGTATGTGCTCAAAATTAGGGCCCAACCGGGAATTGAACCCGGGACCACGCACAATCAGAGCTCCTCTAAGAGGAGCGGGATGAATCTCCCGAAGCGCGTATCATACTACTAGACCATTAGGCCAATGGAGGAAATTGACCTTGAAGAGACATGGACATCTTGGACATTTTATTGTGAAAAGGCTCAAAGGCAAAACTTAAAGCTTACAGGTCAAGACTGGAGGATGCAACGCAAGACAGACAACCTGACTAGCTTCTTGCACTGACAGGGATTTGGCAGGCTCGTCTTGCACAATCAGTTGCTTATTTTGAGGATATAACGCGTTACTTTGCCGCTACGTCAGCTCAGGGGCCAGGATGCACCAGCATACACACGTTTGTTGGATGGACATGAGGTCATTCTTGCGAAACCCCGAATGATACAAAGACGACTGAGAAAAGTACAATCGAAAAAACTTCGTCGGATGTGGAATGATCAAAGGGTCTTCATTGGATCGTAGCGAGCGCAATCGACAAAGTAGAATTGAACCCCGGCGCAGTCTGGAGCCGTCCATCTCCTTCTTTTGCCCTCGTGAAAACCTCAAGCTTGTTAAAGCCACTGTGTTAGAATCACTTCAATATCCATGGGCACATAGAGACAGTCGCGTAGACGCACCTTTCTTACACCTTCCGTCAGCAAGGCCGCGATAGAGTCCAGTGTGATGAGAGGTGGAAGAACGGTTCCCGAGATCGAATATAGCAGAGGGGTGGCAGTATTCAAAGTATTCAAAGGGTGCCATATGTCGATTAACACGAAAAATTCGATCGACACGAAGCAAAGACGGCTTGAGAAACGTCAAAAAAGGTATAGGCGAGGGGTCAAACGACACAAAAGAGGTGCTGGCAGAGGTAAAATGATGTTGTATGTTCAGGTAAGGGCAACCGGGAGAGGGGAATGGCGAAGGGAATAAGCCTCCTTGTGCTGCCTTCCAGTTCTCTAATCGCACAGAGCACACAACCCGCATCGATCCCATTTAAAGCTAAGCCTACTCCCGCTTTGAATTCCTCCTCTTCGCGTTCAACCTTCCCGCCGTGTCCCAAGCCACTTTCACAAGCCAGAAAAAGCACGCGAGTATGACGGCCGCCGTGCCTATCTCAACGGCTGCGAGGTGGGCCGTGTTTCCTAGTGGTAGTAGAATAGTGTTACTATTGGGGCCAGAACTTGGAAGGGGGTGAACAGGGAAACAACTCTTCTTGGGGGGCAAGGAGTTGAGAACGTGAGTTGGAAGGCTGAGATCAGGACACAAATGTGAGGGTAGATGGTCTGTTGGGTTTAATTGTAAGTCAGTTAGGTTTGGGTTGACTGATACTTGCCTGACGAGGACGAGTCGCTGGGACAGAGAAAGAAAGCAGTAGGCCACCTCAGCTGAACCTCCTCGTACCCCCCACTCGCGCTCGGACGTCCATAGCGCAAATGCATGGGAACATCAACCGTCACCTCCCTTTGCGCTACCGTGTCCGTACCGTCAACGCCAACGAGGAACTTCGTGTCCTCAGAAATAATAAGCACCTCCGTATCCGCCTCCCCTGTATCCAACGCATGTGCAGGCTTCTCAAGCTCCGTACTTCCCCAATGCCTGTAAGCATACGAAGCACGTCGAAGGGCTAGTTCATGGGGATCGACGAATATTTGAGGGGGAAGCGTGTAGTATAGATGGATAGTGCAATTTTGGTGGTGGTGCAGGAGAGTTAGGGTGGTTATTGAGGATGGGTGGAAGCCATGGGTGGGGTGCAAGTGGGATGTGATTGAAGGTGAAGGCATGACCTCGGCAGACTCGGCGCCGAGCTCCCCAGTCCTCTGACGCTTTATTCAAGTTTCCTCGACTGATGTCGTTCCACTATCACTTTCTCACTCGCCCGCCACAATGGGTGTTGCTCCCTCCAAGACCTTTAATCCAATCCAGGACCTCCCCAGTCTAAAAGGAAAAGTTGTTATTGTCACAGGGTCAAGGTCTGGAAGTCAATCCTGCAAGTTATGCAGCACACTGATGAAATTGAGTAGCAGTGGCATTGGCTTCGCAAGTCTGCAACATTTCTTGAGATTGGGCGCCAAAGTTCGTGCCTACCAGGACGTTCAACATTATTGTTCTAAAATGCTACGATAAGGTCTATATGGCTTCTCCAAACGAAGACCGCGCAAAAGAGGCTCTGGAACGCGTAGAAAAGGAAGGCCGCGAGCCTGGTTTTGGTGAGGTCGTCTGGCACGAACTCGACTTGAAGGACCCTCGTACTGCCAAAGCCTCTGCGCAAAAGTTCATGGAGAAGGAGAACAGACTGGATATCTTGAGTTGGTTATATTTGCTACATGGCAGATCTAGTGCTCACACAGTTCGTTCAGTCAATAATGCCGCCCTGTATTGCCTATCATCTTTCGCAACTCTACCACTCTTGACGGTGGATTTTATCTAGAATCGCCGACCTTGGAAATCCGCAAAAGAACCAGGACGACGTCCAAGATAACATGGCGGTTAAGTATGTAATGATTGTGTTTCGCGACCCTTCGCTTCTCATTTCCTTCACATTAAGCTACTTGGGCCCGTTCGTGTTTACGCGTACACTTTTACCTCTGCTCGAATCTACCGCAGCTAATGGAGACGATGTGCGCATCATCAACGTGAGTCTCCTTCTTTGCCTCTCCAATTTTCTAATCCCTCCTCGCATAAAGGTCGGATCATCTGGCCATAAAGATGTCACCCATCTCGATTATAGTTCTAAGGAAGCTTGGAATCATAAATTCAACTGGTCCCTGCTCCCAACAATGTCGCGATACAGTGAGTCGAGCCGCGTGAAATACTTGCTACACATGCCTAATGATAGCAGAATATTCCAAACTCGCCGTTCACCTGTGGACAAATTATCTCGCCAAACGCCTTGCAGCAGAAAACTCCAAGGTGATGGTGCTGCTTGTACATCCCGGTGCCATCCTTAGCGTATGTCTCTTCTGTTTAACTCACGTCCCTCTTCTCACCTCCACTCAGGATGGCGCCATCCGTTCTCTGAATACGCTGCCCTTCCCATCGCTTTGGATACGACTTCTCGGGACAATAATGCATCCTCAGGAACAAGGGGCCTTCACCACGGTGTACGCGGCATGTTCGCCGCGCGACGACCCGCATATCGTCAGCGGTTCATACATTTGTCCGCCAAATGTTACGGTGACACAAGCTCCGGGCGCCTTGGATGAGGAGAGGCAACGTCAGTTGTATGACTTTACGGAGACGTTGTTGAAGAGCATTGATGTGTAGCTTGGAAAAACGTTTCGACTGTATGATTTGTGGTTCCAATTGATGTTGTGTTGCAAGGCTGACACAGGTTTCCGAATTGAACATGCTCGCACGGAGTGATCTTCTCTGACACGACAAATCTGTGCTCCAATCAGCCACAACTGGTCCAATTGATGCCGCAAGGCTGACACAGGGTTTCGAGTTGAACACGCTCGCACAAAGTAACTTCTCTGACACGACAAATCTGTGCTCCAATCAGCCACAACTATTTTGGTGTATCATTGGCAACTTGAAGTACCACATGTCTCGGTGCGGAAGTGTGGAGTATCGAAGCAGGCTCTCAATTTCGACCGACAATCAACGCTCAGCGTGATCAAACTCTATGATGATCGCCCACCAGGCGTTGTGCACACCCAACGCCCGCAAGTGCGATTCTGCAACTGGATTAGATGTGACTGAGCCTAGACTCATCAAGGGTCAGCATGGTTTCGTTCAACTGACTTTTTCTTTTTCTTTTTGGATTCTAGAGATTTACGTGCAACAGGTCAACCAGTACTAAGATGCATGGGCGGCGTTAAAATGATTTGAACTGCGTTCGGCGCTCTCGGCCACCACCCTTACTTGTTTCTCAGCGCTGGCGGTTTCTTACCAAATGCACGACTCTCACGCTGCCTTCTGGTATGTCCAGCGACTTGATAACCTAGGACTCCGGAGCCTCTCCACAGCTCTCCACTGGGGAAAAGAACCATTGAAATTTATAGCCAGGGAACTGGTGGGAAAGGACGCCTTCGCAGGTCAAATCTCTCGTAAAGACACATGAACGGTTAGTCTTGCTTCTCCGGTTGCCCACGACGCCGTTACAGTCCGACTGCCCCGTTTAATGATTAATCCCACGTCACTTGATATATAATACTTATGTCCATCGACGCTTGACAGTTCCATTCTCGACCTCAAGCTTCAAGTCATGTCTGGCCCTTCGCCAGTTGGCGTCAAGATCCCAACATTTGACAAAACACTGGGAGCGTTGTTCATCGGCTCGAATATCGCGACAATGTAAGTTTTCAGCCCATATCATATCTTCACCTTACCTGAATCACAGTTTATACGGTGTCATCTGTCTCCAGACGTTCATTTATATTACAACTCCTCGAAGCCAAAGTGACAAATTGTGGCTCAAAACATTGGTTTACTTGCTTTTGTGAGTTACCAATTTCATTTCAGTATAGGCTGCCTACTCAACAGGTAACTGCAGCGTAATGATTTTCCTCGACCTTTCTAGTTCTACAACATATTGACGGCCCTGGAAGGCGTTGGATTCTGCGCAGCAGCTCGCAATGACTGCGGGAATTTACAAATTTTTAGTGTCCGATTATTTGAATCCAGCATTACTTCCCACTGGGGGAGCTCGGAGTGGTGAAGTGTATGCATATCACCTCGCTTTCTTCAGTCTTCGTCTACTAAAACTTATCTTAAAAGCTTTATTTTCGTAGGCCATTTTCTTGTGAACAAGTTTCAGCCGGATTTATCCCAATTTATTGCAACAGGCGCAATCATGCATTGGAGTACCTATCGTGCCTCGCACAATCGTATTCGACCTGACAATTTTGCAGGCAATTTTGGTCCTCTTCATCCAGCTGTGGGACAACTTTTCCGTCTCACAAGCACCAGATGACGAAGTAACATGAACTTACAGTTTCTTTTGCTGGCGAATTTGGATATTTAGTATACCTTCGTTGAAACTCGTCTACAGACTATTGTTTACCGGGCTGACGGTGAGTTATTCGTCCCCAAGTCCTTCCGTAGGTTTGGTACATAATTCCCTTGGCAAACAGACATCGCTTGCCCTGTTGAGTTTCGGTAACTACTCATACTTTGCTACACTTACAAATTTGACGGACAGATGTTCATTAGAGCCTCATCGATGGGTGCGTAACTAAACACTGCACCATCTCTGTCTAATTTTCCACATAGATCTGGCTGTTACCGGGTTTTATCATCGTCTCTTGACGGCGAACACCCAAAGATTCATAGTAAACATTGAATATCCCAACGTCATGCATATCTAACCTTGATGAGAAGCTGGCCTACAAACTCTCCACATCAAGCAGGATAATTTTTGACGTGATGATCACAATTGCGATGAGTAATTCACTCGCGCTCTTTGCCAGGATTTCATCTGATCATTCCTAAAGCCATAACTCTCCGTCGCGCTCGGTCAGAGGTTGTGGGCCCGTAAGAAACCACCATCGATGGTAACATGGAAGAGCTCACGTCAGTCAAAGGAGCCCCAGCACAGACCACGTTATTAGAATTTTGATACTCTTCACTGTCAACACAAACCTTATGACGACGTCGGTCATAGACTCTCTCTTCGACGTTGTGGAAACTGATGATACTCTATGATCAGATGTCTTTCAATCAGTGAACTAGCAACGGTGGGTTTCCCTATCCTCGCTGATTCTACTGTTCATGGTAAAATGACTACAAAAATAGTTCCTAGCTTTACCTCAAGCCACGGTGTATGGAGGTATCGGCTTCTTGTTGACCAAAAGTGAGGGTACAACTGTTGCTCAGACTGCACGGATACTCACGGATATATTTTTTCCAGCATATTTGAACTCTTTCCTTGCTCTGTTCGTTTTCCTCGTAACCACAAGAGTCACCAGCCGATCTAGTACTTTTTAGGTTAAACTCACGCGAATATCTCCGTGAAAAACTCGATCCAACCACATCTACATCGACGACGTTGCGAAGAGAACCAAACCCTACCTTTGCCGTTCTGCCACGATACAATCGTAGTGTGCGCGATTGGTCCCTTGTCCGTCGTATCTTCAACAAATTTTACTTACCTCTCTTTTGAAAGGTGATGGAGGGATCTTCGACCGCCGCGAACGACGGAGAAATTTATGAGTTAGATCATAATACTTCGAATTTCAAACCCGATAACAACGACAACAATAGTGTCTATGGCATGAAGGCCACTCAAGCGGACGCAAATGCACTGTGACATACGTACATTATATGTTCGGCATTTGCGATTAGTTGAATAGAGATTCAGTCATGGGAAAAGCTTCTACGCACATTTGTTCATTATTCAGGACACAGTAAACGAACGACAGCATCCAAGAGATGTAAGTACAATAATAATAAGAGATAACGGACCACCAACATCATTCATAATACTAATAACCGCTTACTGTCTATGATGCCACACCTTTCTAACATATTGCATAATTTTAGGCGGTGGGGGAAAGATCTCCCACCTTCGAAAAGGCTTCACGGTCAAAAGTTGAACTTATAAAGAATTAAAAAGACCCACCGGACAGTCAGATTTCCTCTCCCTACCACCGAGCCTCCCTCTCTGATTGGCATACCTGCACCAGTGACGACGTTTACGCCTTTCATGGATCTACTTCGGGGGTAGTCGATATAGATAGAAAGGTTCCGACCCTCAAGCCCCGCAAAGTCAATATAACCCCCTTGGAGGGGTAACGTGTCAGACCAAGGCAGACGTATATCCATGATAAGATCGTCCAAGACCCGCTTGAACTTCTGATGATAGGCTTCGTCGATGACGAAAACAATATCTTGCTGAGTGCCGTTCCGTGCCTCATTACCAACGCCGCGACAGAGAATTTTAGTGCCAATGCGGCACCCAGGCGGGATGTCGACGTCGAGAACGATACTCTTCGACCTGCCAGAAAGAAGGCGGCGTGTGATGCTAAATTGGAAATGTTTACCCCTCATGAGGTCTTCGAGAGACAGGGAGAGCGAATAGATAGATGCTCCCGATGAACCAACGCCCAGCGATGGTAATGGGAGATTGTATGGTGATGCTTGAACTTTCTTGGTCCTTGGTGGTCCTAACGAAAAATCCAATGGGGTCTGCGGCACAGTTGTACTGGGCGGCAAGATAGAGAAGGGCATGCTACAAACGGACTCAGCAACATTAAATTGAAAGCATGGCAACACTCCGAGCTACCTTCTGCGTGATCCAGTGACGTTCCGCAAATTTTGAGGGTTACGCGCCACTGGGACCGTCTGTTCTTGCCCATCTGAGGTCGCACTTGCCAAATCGTGAGATCGATTCGCGGGAATAAATGGAGGTTGTCGACGGAAGTCTGCGCTCGGAGCTGGCATCCGTGATCGGTTGGGGGGCTCTGTAGATCTTTGGAATTGGTCCATGGGACCTTTACGCTGGCCTTGTTTACTGAAAGGGCGAACACTCTCTGCGTGACTAGATGGCGGCGTGATAAGCGATTCCGCGCTTGAAGCAGCGATATGGATGACCGAACTCGAGGAGCGAGAAGACTCCTCGCTGGAAGACGAACTCATTGCCCGAGAAAGCGATGAGTGGGTTGCGCTGCGTTGACGATCAACAGAAAGATCTGGGACCTGTGTTTCCAACGGTTCATCCTGCGCCAATGTCCTATAAGCGTTATTGACCTGTGAAATGTTGTCAAACATGCAAGTCAAGTCAGAATCTGACCTCTCTACCTCAACAAATCGCCTCGTAGCTCTCTCCTTGTCCTCGTTGTGGCGATCTGGGTGCCATTTCAAAGCCTAGAGGGCGATCAGGGTCCTCTTCATGCCTACTACCGGAGGATGCCAACCATTGTCCTATAAGCATGCTTGATTTCATCTGCAGTAGCCGCGTCCGATACACCAAGTATCTTCCTGGGCGAGCGAGTCACAGGCATTTGGGTATTGAAGGGAGCATTCATTCAATCAAAGCGCAGCAAGAAATCCTTTGAGCGTCTTGCGAAGTGCGTTCGTTATATAGGCCAGAACCCCGATCTGAGATAGATATCATCGCAAGGGATTTGCGGCCATCCAGTGGTGCTTGGGATCGGAGATCAGGAGCAAAGTCGAACTAAGTAGGCTGAATGAACCTGTGTCTAAGCTGAGTCGTTGTGTGTGCATGCAGTGATCCCGCCTGAAGGTGATGTTTGACGGATTTGTCGGTAATGAAGCAGTCCAATGTTCAAACGCGAGATAGCACTGTCGAATTAGGCCTGATAGGTCTTCAAATGAAAACCTGCAGGATTCCGGCCAACAGATCCATCGATTTTCCAAGCATGCTTTCAAAACCCATACCCATGATACTGGAAAAAAGGAATAAAAAGAGAAGACTGAAAGTGAAAGTCGGGTAGTTGGGCCGTTGTTGTTCATGGTTCAAGGTTGGTTCAAGTTGGTTCGATGCAAGTTTAGCCTAGTAGGCGGGGGAGCCATTCCAGAAACGGTAAGTAAGCCCTACTACTGCCGCACTCCTTATCGATGCCAAATATCTACAAAAGAACCTCTGCAAGAAGAAACCAGAGTGAACATCCTAAAAGTTAAGTTCTTCCTTTTCTGTTCAACATGCAAAGATATGGGCGGTGTTCGTAAAAGAAGTCATCGTTCTTATCATCACAGCCGTTCGCAGCCTGAGAGGCTAGAGCGCCTGTTGAGTAACACACCCCGCAGCCGCCTCTTTCTGGGTGTTAATAAAGGCCGAATAGAGGGGGCGTCCAAGTTACATTCATTTGAAGCCTTGCATAGTCGTTGTTACTGCGGAGGCGCGTGTTTGCTCGCGAACGCCGAAAAATCTCTCCCTGCGGCTAAGTAGCAAAGAATGGGACATCGTGTGGGGTGTTAGCTGAGTTTAGCACGTCGGTTGGTATCGTCCGATCAGGGGTCTAAGTGACCGTAGCTTGCTGGCGTTGGAATGCCGTCTTGTCGCTGAACCCAAGTACGAAATTGTCTTCTGTGACGTTCAATCAAGTGTAAATGAAGCGAATGAGACTGGGGTTCTCCCTGCCCACCTTTGCGATCGACGCCTATGGTGTTGTAAGGTGTGATGACAGGACATCGTTCTTAATAGATGTTAGATATGGGTTACGTCCAAAACAATACTTGAAGCTTTGCCGGCGTATCATCGATTCTTCACAATCTCATAAGAATCGCAGTATCTCGCTGCTGGAAGAAAGCAGAAGAAGGCTCGCTCAGCTACGCAAAGGGCTGACTTACATATCAAGCTCACATGCAGAATAAATCCCATTCATAACTCATCCGAGTGTGTTTTGCCTACAAGATCACGAGACTCATTGTCAACTTATGCAAGGTGGAAAAGCAGGTTGCCGACTGACCAATTCGCAATGTCGACAGTACTGTATAAATATGAATGAAGCTGCTTGGCAGACGTTGATGTCCAGGTTACCTATTTTGTTTGCCAAGTACGGTGAACCTTGACTAGGGCATTATATAGTATCTGCTGTTAGTTTGCAGCACCTATACTACGCCAATGTCACATTGTAGCTGGGTGACTGGAAAAACGCTCGTTAGGTGTGGGATCGACCTTTCTTGGTATAGCCTGCTATTTGCTGTATTTTGAACGACAAATGCCAGAGACATATTCCTATGTCCAGATGGCAATTACTTATCACACTTTGTGGATAATTAAGAGTTGAACTTCACCTCTTTGAAACTACAATGTTTCACGATCAATAATTCGCCCGTTGTCCGAGTCCGCAGGTGAGGCCTTTTTGATCGTTCGAAGAGGAGAACCTGATTTTTTTGTTTGTTAAAAGGCATGAGCAGATATCTCCTCCATGTAAAAGATAAACGTTCGCCCAAACCGCCTCGTTCTGGAAGGGGGTCGGTCATTCCATCCTCATTGAATTGCCAAGTGTCCTGGACGTGCCTCGAGAGTTAAGATTTCTGTTGCCCTTTGCTAAAAATACCACTGATGAAAAGCGGTAGTTTTATTCCACCAGAACCTGTACGGCAGACGTTACAAAACCGATTCCACGGAGAACGCACGGCGGTCTTTGGCTAAACCAAGGGCTCGAGGTGAATGTGAATAATAATGTTGATCGTTGTTCATTCCAAGTTGAGGTTGTTGAGTGGCGATGCTGCGGTTGGCACTTCTTGCGGCCGCTGTATTCATTGAATCATTCCTTCCATACTCACGACTTTAACGATTCTCTGACGATTGTACATGTCTTTGGCCTGCGAGTGTACCCTCCAAGCTATCCAATACCCTTTACTATTTACCTTGCTTCATTGATATCGCATCCGCAGTTACTTATGCGCTTTCGAACTGTGTTGTGGAGTCTTCTTGTGCCCGAATGCTTGATCAACCGCGTTTTGGCTTACAATGCGCTTCCTAGGTGAGTATTGGATGGTGTTTCATAGTACAGCTAGTTTTACGTGAGCCTAACCAGGTGGGGTCAAGCAACCGCATTGATTACTGATGCTCTGTTCGTGTACGGAGGCAAGACCGACCAATTCAACTCTTTCTCGTACACAGCCGCACCCAACAATAACGACCTTTTGCTTTTATCTCTTTCTTCCCCATTTTCTGCCTCAGCGCCTCCATGGGAGCTCATAAGCCCCTCGGCTTCATGGGGTCCTGCTTTGGCATGGCATACCTTGTCTGCCATTGATTCAACCCGAATGCTCTCCTTTGGTGGCCAACCTGACTTGAACTCACCAACAGCTACTTTTGACGGCGCTGATTCGGCATCCCTTCTCGATGTGTCTAATATTTCATCGCCCACATGGATAACGCAACCCGTCTCATGGGCAAATCAGCCCATGCGTCGTATATACCACTCAGCAGTCTCCACATCTTCTGGTAAAATCGTTATAACTGGGGGAGAGAAGGCGGATGGTTCAAACAACCCGCTTTCTGACCATAGCGTGTTTGACTCCGCTGGACCGACATTCAAGCCGCTCCCAATACCCAGTGCCCCTCCGGATCTGTATGGCCATGCCTCAATTTTACTTCCAGATGGGCGTGTGTTAGTATTGGGCGGGTACAGCCAATCGCTCAATGCTCTCATCCCTCTATCTATCGTTTGGATCCTTGACAAAAATCAATCAACGTGGTCTACCGCCCAGGTCTCTGGTGACATTCTTCCCCCACCTCGCAGAGGATTTGCGTCAACTTTACTTTCAAACGGGAAGATCATTATTCATGGAGGGTGCGATGCAAACCTTCAAAATAACTTTGGCGATGGGTGGATTTTGGACATGACACAAAATCCCATGAAGTGGGCTCAAGTCGACGTCTTATCGCAGATAGGCTCACGTCGTGATCACTTTGCGATCTCATCTGGGGACCAAGTCATTTTTGGCTTTGGTGAGTATCTTCCTTACATTCAGGGCATTAAATGTTCATGTGGGTGAAATTAGGTTATCAGGATAATGGCCCAGCACCCGCTCCCTTACTAATTTATGATGTATCGAGTGGAGCTTTTGCCTCCTCGTTCACGCCTCGACCAGTGGCGACATCGACACAAACTCGCCCCCCCTCTCCAACCAATAATCCACATTCATCAACGACAGGAGTAGCGCAGCCCACGTCCACTATGGAACCCGACCATTCTGATTCGCATAGCAAGAAAGCGGCCCCGATTGCTCTGGGAACTACGTTTGGTTTGTTGGCCCTTGTTGCCGCCAGTTTCGTTGTCTATTACGTTCGACGAAAACATTTCGAAAACAGGGATCGGAGACATTTCTCGGGAATTGATGGAGATGACTATGGGGGCAGCGACGATCTCGGAAATGCAGGGATTATTCCTGCCGCCCATTATCATGAAGAGAAAAGGCGCAGTGGGTTTAGGCGGAATCTGAATATTTTAAATTCGATCGGCATGATGCGGAAGCCAGGGAACATCAGAAATACTCAAGAGAGACGGGATATGCTCGCGGACGAGGATACCAAGGACCTAGGAGAGTGGTATAATGCCAGGAAGCGGGACGGTACTGGGGGAAGTTCTTGGTCGTTGAAGAGTGCTTTCGGAAAGAGTCGTTTCCCGAGCTCAAATAGCCGCCGCGTTGCCTCACGGGAAGGAACTGATCCCTTTGCTGATGATGACTCTTTCATTCGGAATGAAGAGACCGGTTTTATTGGAGCCGCATCAACTGACGGACGACCAAGGGAACGTCGAGACATGAGCTATATCAGCATGCGAAGTAGCGTAAGCTATATGGATCCCTTCGCCGATCCTATTCAAGAAGGGCGAGAACCTGCAGATAAAGACCTCCAATTGTCACATCAAATTCGGCTGGTACCACATTCATTCCAGCAGCCTCCAGAGATCGAAACCTCACTTCCCATAGCTCAAGGGCATGGACTCAGTCCGCTTTTTGAACAGAGCTCCCAGAATACACTTCCATTGCAAGATCTTGACAATCAAGGCTCCTCGCTTGAAAACAGCTCATCCGGAGGTTCGACATCCCGCGTGACATCAATGACCTCTTTTGAGCCATCTCATCCCCTTCCTTTGACTACCACCATTGTGCCGGCGCACTCACCTCCCATGCGTCGAAGCGATTCGTGGTGGTCTCGGTTTGCCCGCTCGAATTTGATTGATCGAAAGTCCAGTGTATCATCCAAGCAATCCGTCGGCCAGTCAGAGTTTCTCGATCCGATGCCTCCTCCGAGACTGCATCCTATCGAGGAGAGCGTCAATCCCCCCTCTCATAATCGTATTTCGCCACAGCCGAGTTATTCTGAAGAGCTCTTCAGGAAGGAATCAAATACTCGAATGTATGGCGGGGGTCATGGCAAGTCTCTGTCATCGCTGCGCACGGCCGACTCAGAGGCCATCGAGCGGATGGCGGGGGCGATGGACGTGGTTCAGAGGATCAAGACGGGAAGTCACTATTCCAGAGAAAGTGGCAGCTCTGTTGGCAATTTAAGCATTGATACGCACAGTCTCGATGAAGCAAGCCCTTTCGGAGCCCTGGATATGTTTTCATCACCAGTGGAGGTGACGCCCACGGAACTTTCGCGGATGCTACCGCCAAACTCTAACACCAAAGCGCCTCCTACGGCAATCATTCCTCCTAAAACACCATCACCAGGTTCGATGGGCGTCTTTGTGTTTCCTAGTGGCGCAAATCGTCCGCGTTCTCCTCTCGCGAGTGGGATCGCGTCTCGGGTTCAGGCTTATGAGCAGCGGATGTCTCCAAACCAGTTGCCAAGTCCTACGAACACCAGACAAAGAGAAGAAAGGACGAAGAAACCGATCACAGTCAATTATGGGCTCGCTCCTAGACCCAGTTTATTCATTGCAAATCCTGATCACAAGTTATCGTCTTCTGGGGAGAGTTGAGGTGGTTCTCCGTGTCAGTCTTGTTTCGTGGATATTCCTGGGTCCCTGTTGTATTGCTTCCAAGCATTGTTTTGTATCCGTTGTGGACACATGTAGACCCTAATCACACTGTAGCTCACTCGATATATATAAGCTACGTAGATATCTTGAAGTTTGTACTTCTGTCGATGTATCAAATATACCCTTTCAAGCGATATAAAAGCTGATATTCTTCAGGATTCAATGGCATCAAATGATACCCCTTCACAATTATTAATTAACCACCTCCACCTCAGCACTTCAGTGATAGCTTCTCCTGCTGCGGTTGTAGCATTTATGCATTCCAACAATTCCTGGAACCACCGGTCCGAGTGTTTGCTCAAGATCTTCTGCCGCGATGAATCTAAACGTACAAGCGGGCACGGGCGGTGTACAAGGGGAAACAAGCCCACGGGGCACATTTCCCATGTCCAGGTGATGTAACCATAATGGATGTGTGAATGAAGTCTCTTTGTGAATACGATGTATTCGGCTACCACTCCCGCGAAACAGTGCTTGGAAGGAAAAAAGTACCGTACCAACTCGGAAATGCGGAAGCGCCACGGAGTTCTGTTATCAACAAGTCAGGTTCAGGGGAACTAAGTACAGAGAGTTTTTAATTCAACTATGTACCTGCAGGTCAGGTCAGGTCAATCCGACGTCTTCCCAATCCTCTGGGGATAACCTCTTCCATTCCTGCAGGGAAGAGAGGGCGAGCAGCACAAAATTTGACCTACAGACTCCTGCAGAGAGCCATTATTGCTAAAAAGGATTAGCAAGGGTGGTTACGGCACATAAGGAAGTTCTTCTCTCTCCATATGTACCTTCAAAAATATGCAGAGCCTCCGGAAAATTCCTTCTAACCAATCAACATCCAGCGGACTGAAAATGGACTCGTACGCGAGGTGAGGTGTCAGGGGAATTATATGGATACGTACGACATCAAGTCAAGTCAAGCTTGACAGATCCTAAGTCCTAAGACCTAGATTATGGGAGACGCGTTGTAAATCTAGGGGCACACTCAAATCCAGACCTCTGTTAGTCGTCAACAGAAACATCAATCAAACTCTTGAAAGATGCACCTACATTTCCAAGGGCACAAACACGGACCTATAACACCCTTATATAGAGATGAAGGGACGACGGGATGCAACGTTTTGCTGATCTCCGAGTCTCTTGTTCTTGAAGAGGGCTTCTTCGCAGCCGGCACTGAACAAAAGATCTTCGTAAACTACGAGACTAGCTGATTGCGGCTGGAATGCAAACGCAATTGTGAACGATAATAGACATACCTACAATCATCATGAGCATTGCCTTGACGCGATGACAGATTGTGTTTCGAGGCTGGCAAGCCAAGGCGTCCCAACTCATCAACGCTGCTGTGAAGTGGAGGCTGTGAATTGGTGTTGAAGAATGCCCACATGCGATGAAAATTGATTCCATCTGTTATGTCAAGATGATCGAAACCATTCCCTCAAAGTCAAAGAGAAGATAAGGTCATTACCGGAAAACCGAGCTAGCGCCGTCAAAGCGCCGGATTGAAGATTATGGGGTGCTGCCAATGAAAGCTGTAACTGTTTGTCTCTGAGGTTTTCGCCGTCTATGACTACCTTTGACACAGGAACGGAAGCGTGGTTTGATCAGCAGACTCGCAGGGCATGAAGGGGTGGGATAGCATCAGGAGACACATACAACGGTTGATAAAAGTAAGCGGAGGAGAGGTCGGAAAAAAAGATGAAATTAGCCTTTATGTTGTTGAATAGACGCCAACTTCCGAATTCGTGGTCACCGGTTATCGCTGGGTTCGAATTCAGAACGAAGTTGTTGGCTGATTTACAACCAAACTTCGTACCTGCACAGTCCGCTACGCTTTATTCCTCCGTGGCTCCGCTCGAAAAGAACCTCGAGGCAAACGAGTACCCTTTGCTTCAATTCATACGAAATTTCTCGGTCTTCGTTGCCTTGCTCATAGCTTTCGATGTGGAGTTTGCAATCTTCGGTTCATCGTCAAACGTTTTGGGGTCAGTACAACTTCTCAATAATGCTTCTCCCGAGAGCATCAAAGATCAGAGGAGATAGATCTCGCCTCGGGATCGGAGCAACGACAAACCGTTAATTATGGTGACCCAGATAAACCATAAAAGTTGCGACAATTGGGTGTGGATCGTGTATCATGATCAGCGGGGTATGTCGAAACGTATCAACAGACCCCTCTATGGCTTTGTGTTTTGACGTCGACAAGGCGAAATAGTTGAGATAGAATCTCGTCCGTCCAGGGTCTAGCCGCCAATAGAGGTTACCCTGCAAAAGCTTGACGGCAAGATATTCTGGTGTCGAGTTGTGTTTGTCCGAATCTATACAGTTCGGAGGTGACCGAGGTCTTGCCAATGTCATCTGGCGCTATGTGAACCCCATAAGCGCCACACTGATGGCCTTTATAAAGCACGTTGCGTAGATGTGATAAATGGAAGGTATCTCTCTCATGGCCCTCGGTAAATACATGGTCACATTGGTTTGCGACAATCTCAGCTTCCCTTCGTCTATAAAAAAAAATAACTGTCAATTGATTGGGTATTTGAGTTACAGGAGTACGAGTGCACGATGAGAGGTTTATTTATGCTTGCAGGCCCAGGGCTCGATTAAGCTGCTTCAAGTTCCGCAATATATTTCTTGGATTCTTCGTCATCGACCTTTTTGAGAATCTAGGGGTTGACGTTATTGTATGCTGAATGTAGGTATAGTATCGGGTCCTCACCTCCAACAGCTTGTCAACGTATAGTTTCCATGCGGTTTCCTTCGAAGTTCCTTTGACCTCGGACCATGCGTCCCTTCTCAAATGATCAGGTGGAGGCATATTTCAGAATTAGGAGAAACGCACCATTTCGCCTTTCCAGCAAAGTCAAGGAATCCACTGGGCCGTACAGTGGTATTATCGCCAATTTTTGCTGGGTATCATAAGCTGGGTGGTTCACAGATCAGATCAAATAGCGAACCTTGCTTGTAGTACTTGTAGAACTAACGTGTTGTAAGTACCCCTGAAGATCAAAAGCGTGAAGAAAAAGACAGACGTAAAGCTGATCCTCTTGCGTAGGCTTTATGGCACCCTCCTTGGGAAGAGCACCGATAATAGCTACAGCTTTGTCGAACTTTGCTTCAGACATGGCGGTCAGAGATAGATGGATGGATACGGTCAAGCTTGTGATTTGCGTGATAGGTTACCTTTTTGGGATTTACAACGGAATATATGTCTCAGTGAAATTCTTATGGATCCTCTGCACTTCAGCTTCAACCACCATTCGAGATACTTATGGATGCACCTAACATTCATTTAAATGAGCATTGAAAGAGTAATGATGCTCAAAAGCTTTTTTCATGGCATGGGTGACTGAAATTAAGTTGAGATTTGAATACAACCTCATTTTTGGACGCGCAGTAGCTGGTCTGCGCGGTAAATTTCTTTTGTCTAAAAAAAGTGAAGCTTCACAACTCCACCTAGAAATATCCAACACGAAGGAAAGGCTGGGGCAAGAGACGAGTGCGCGCTATGCGACGGCATTGAAGACGCACTTTGCTTCCGTCACGCTGCGTTACGCAGTGTTACCTGTCACGCGAGGATCCATTGCTGTGGCACTGGTTGAGTGGCCCAAATTGTCCTTTGAGCGTTCTACCAATCGCCGCTAAAGTGGACGTGTCATCGCTGCGTCGATTGTGACCAGTACTCTCAGTTATGCCTGCTGTACCACCGCCATCACCCCAGGAGATCCAAAGGAAACTTTCTGTTCATTCGGTGACGAGGGCCAAGGTGAGTGGGCGCTTGTAGATCTAATTAATTTCAGACCGTTCACCGCGACCCAGTCATCCAACCAGTCTGCGGGACCTGTGTCGGGGACAGAGTCAGACGAAGACGCGCTCAACATGTCCGATGTGTTGCAACCGATGGCTCATATCGGCAGCGGTCTTCATACGGGCGCGCCATCGTCTCTTCCACCTTTATCTTCCATTGCGGAGCGACGGTCGGGCAGTGGGGAAGATTCTGATGACGAAGATGTTATTGAAGGTGGCTGGAAGACCGCCGACATTAGAACTAAACCGCGCAATTCTGTGGATGAAAGCGTCATCAAATCGGGCTATCTATGGAAGAAAGGCGAAAGGCGAAAGGTACGGCAAGGCGTTCGTTGACTTTTCTTTCTAACCGATCCCTATTAAGACATGGAAGAAACGCTGGTTTGTTCTGCGACCAGCACATTTGGCATATTATAAAAGTTCAGCCGAGTATCAGCTTCTCCGGCTGTTGGAGCTTTCTGATGTGCATTCGTGCACCCAAGTCAACCTGAAGCGCCACGACAATACCTTTGGCCTTATTTCCCCTGTCCGAACCTTTTACTTGCGAGCTAGCTCACCTGCAGAAGTGCAACAATGGGTCTCAGCTATCGAGGAAGCCCGACTAACCCTGCTGGCTACGTCCACGCAGACGTCCGTTTCGACACCTATCCCTATTCCAAAGTCGCAGGAGCAGCCTCATCCACGAGGATCTTTTCCTGCGTCTGTGTCTCCCCCATACCCACCATATGCACATGCTATCACGTCGTCGGATTCTGAGGATGCCACGTCGAATATTCAACGTGGCGCGATTGCATCATCTCCGACTCGCACAACATTTGCAATGTCCCCCTCGAAATCGGCTACTGTTTTACAGAAAGATGCCGCCAAAGTCATTCTATCTGGCTATCTCATGAAGTGTGGTTCTAAACGACGGAATTGGCGGAAACGGTGGTTTGTTCTTACGGAAGAGAGACTAATCTATTCGGGGAGTCATATGGTACGTTTCAAGCTCTGTTTCTTCGCCTCATAGCTAATCCCAACATAGGACACTAAACCTCATCGACTATTTCCGTTTGGGGAGATTCTTGATGCTCTGGAGTACGATGTTCCATCACACCGACAAAACCCTGCCATCATTGCGCCCGCTATATCCTCGCCACCGACTCAGTTGGCACTCCCAGATATAGATGAGGCTCACGGGTCGCACACTTTCAAGATTGTAACCACCAAGCGAACTTTGTTGCTGTGTGCACCAAGCGAGGAGGATGAAATCAAGTGGCTAGGCGCAATACGTGCACTTATTGCAAGAAGATCAGGCTCTGGCGTTGTCCCTGGCTCAACCTCAAAATCAGTACCGCTGGTTCATTCATCTGATGCTGGTCCACCTCTCGCTTCCGGCGCGAATGTTGGCATCAAACCTAAGCATCGTCGTCTAAGCGCGGGGGGATCAATTGGTCTTGGAGGGGTTTCAATTACTGAAGAAGGCGCCCAAGTAAAGTCATAAGAAGATCAACGACCTGTTCCGTGTCACAACTTTTCTCCACCTCTATCGCACCCTATATCACCAACGCTCTAATTATTTTATTAAACCACGCCAGTCTGGACAAACCTCCACAACGGATTCTTTTCTGTCCTTTGGTGTCTTGACAAGGTTGCTCTCGGACGATTTCTTATTTCTGCCTTGTAGTAATATTTCTTTCTTCAACGACTGGTAGCTATTTCTCACACTCGCATTCACATTCGCACCTATTGTTTATCGTCATATTGGAATCTCGGCGACTATCAAACAAGCTTTCGTGGAAAGGGCACCGATTCAGATCCCATGTCAAGTTCCACTACTTATCTCTGCCGTCAAGGGCGGATAAATCGTGAGTGATAATGTTGCCAATTCAGGCGGTGGACATCGCCCCTTTCGAGTCATTTTGACTTGCACAACTACAGTTGATCTGTAAAAGGTGAACTTTACCCAAGCCTACGTTTGAAACGATAGCTTTTGTTCTTCCTTGTTGGAGTATGTGGACGCATGAACAGTATTCATTCAACGTCGAGCAAGTCGTTCACCGTTCTTGTTTTGTTTTTGTATCCGTGAATTCGGAACAAATCCCCTAGACATGGTTACGAAATGATTCTGTGGGCTGCAAGCTCGGCGGACTGAGAACGAAGGGTTGGCCAGTGCCCATTACGGCCTGTGAGTGTTCTGGTTTAGACAATTCGGGATGAGGGGATTGCCGAAGGAGGACCCCAGAGACCGGGTTGTTCAATAACAGCATTATTTTTAGGGTTGCCCAAAACAAACCATCTCTTCTCCGTACTTATATCTTACATGGCCTCCGTTTCGCTATCCCTCACCTTCCCTGTCTAATTTCCCCCTTGTACATCTAGTTGCATTGCTTTCTACGCTGTTCCCGATACCCCACGTCGCTGCTACGTTTTTCACGATCCTACTTCAATAATGCCTGCTGCAGCCAAAGTCTCGCAGTCCAAGAAAGCCGGAACATCCAAGACCAAAGGCGCGGTGCGCGCTAAGTCGGGATGTTACACGTGCAGGATCCGTCGCAAGGTTAGTTTCAATTTTATGATCGACGCCCAAGCGCCCGTACAGTATCGCTGACTTTGCTGGTGTGGCGTGGTCACAGAAGTGTGATGAGAACCCCAATGAACAAGGTCATTGTCGAACATGCGAACGCCTGAGGCTTCAATGCCTTGGCTTTGGTGCAAAACGCCCCGATTGGCTCAGGGTAAGGGGTACTTTGGAGGTATAATTCAGAAATTTGACGTCTTTTTCAGGAGAGCCGCAATGTTGTCGACCTACGAGAAAAGATCAAGTCTTTCCTCGCCTCTCAAGGGATGATCAAGGGGCACTCTGGATCTGGGCCCCGCAATGCTGATCAGGACCAGCCATTCTTGAGACTCACAGAAGATTCCTACCACAGTTCGTCGTCTGAGAGCCCTCAGTCTCAGACTCTTTCTTTGTCTCCTGATCATGATGATCTCCATCGTCGACACCATCACACCTCCGCCATGCGTGAGCAGCGCGAGCCCGCTTTCTATGCTCCTGCCATGGAGCCATACCCACATTCTGGTCGGTGGAGTCTCTTCTGTGATCTGTCCAATTCATGCTTATCTTTTTCAGGCTTGCACTCGACTATGAATCACGCAAGATCTTCCTCGCCCTACTCGAGCTCCTCTCTCGACGACTACCCTGCCACATACCACGGAATGCCTAATCAGTCCCATAGCTTAGTTGAATGTGAGACCCTGTACTATTAAATGTTGTAATAAATGTAGCACTTAACGAATTTCTTTCTTTGCCGTCAACAGCGTCAGCTCTCATTCCGTGCCGCAAAAGCTCATACTCACCCCTCTATCATGACCGTATTCTTTTTGCCGAGGACGAACCGCTGAATGGCCTGTTCGACGCTTTGAACGACACTGATTGGGTGCCACAATTTGCCTACCAACCCACTGGGACATATCTCCTTCCCAACCAGCTTGTCGATGACTTAGTGCAGTCATATGTCCACAACGTTATCAATATTCAATACCTACTCGGCGACCAAAACGTCCTGCCCAATATGATTTGGGAGGCCGTGAATCAGCATGATGTTGCACGACAAGCAGTAACGTTGCTGGCCAGAGTGTATTATGGACGCCAGCAACAGCCACAACAGATTGCTCTGACGGACCACATGAATAAAACGCTCCTTGCACAACTGCAAGGGGAGCTGCGCAAGGAAAATTTCGATGCTGACGACGCCATGGCCGCTCTCCATGTTGTGTCGATATTCCTATTCGATGGCGGCAAAGGGGCGTGGAACGAGTTTCTCGCCCTCGCTTCACGATATGTTGGCAATATTCTACGCCTTTCCCATTACAGAGGGTCTCGGGACGCGCTGCTCAACTGTAACGCCAAAGACGCTTTTATAATCAAGACCGTCTTGTGGTTCGACGTCCTTGCGTCTGTAACACTGCAGCGACCCCCCACAACTCTCACAGTCATTGACGAGATGTTTAACCCAATGCGATCCAGCATAGAAGAGACCTTTAACCCACAATATTCCATGATCTCGCCCATGGGCTGTGAGAACAAAGTTGTCTGGGCGCTCGCGAAAACCTCCGCCCTTTCCTGCTGGAAGAGGGACCAGATAAGAAGGGGCACTCTCAGCGTCCCCGAGCTCTACAAAAAAGCGATGGAAATTGATTCTCATCTCGAGAGAGATCCTAACCAGCCGTATCCCCCTCCCCTCAACCCTTTGGATGCCCGCGAAATCTCTCGTACGTTCGCCGCAGAAATTTTCCGCACCTCAACGCGACTTTTCCTCCGGACCATCGTCAATGGCGACTATCCCCATGTCAAAGATGTTCGACAGGGTGTCGAAGATACATTTAACAGCATCAAAGCACTTGGCCTTGATTACACCGTTTATCCTTCGGTAGTACGGAGCACAGTCTTCGGGTTATACATTTGTGGTGCCCTCACAGAAAGGCCTGAGCACCGTGCGACTCTTCGCACTTACCTCAGTACCGGATCGATGAGCAAGGGTGTTGGCAATTGTATCACCATCCTCCAGCTTCTCGAGGAAATCTGGAGCTCACGAAATCCCAAAAGCACAAGTCCTGTGGATTGGCTTGGTCCATTAGCGAAAGCGGACATTCTTCTTGTTTGATTTTTTTTGATTTTTTTTTTTTCGAACGGACTCTCTCTTTGCTTTCTCGACTGTGATGGTTTCATTTCCTTGAAACTACTACATACGCATATCTCTGACTCCCTCCTCTCCATTTTTATGCCGTCAAGGTTGTACAACATGTTACCACATACACATCATTTCATTCCCAACCGTGCATTTAACGTCGAAATAGACATTGAACCCCATCCCACTCTAGCCGATCAGCAGGATCACAATGAAACGAGATAGCCTCTCGGTACGTAAGAGATTTAACCAAAAATGCTTCCGTCAGCCCACGGTTGTTTTTTATTGTTTATCTGAGGCACGACGGTACAGCCGCAATAATATGATCGTGAGGCACATGGAAGCAGAGTCCTTTCAGATTCCCTGTTGCGAAGGTTTCGCTGTTTATGTAAGCTTTCCTCCGTGGTCCCCCTCCGAATTTCATTCGCATTCGGTGCGGTGCTATAACATTGTTCTTTCAAAAGAAGCTGAAGATGGTGGAGGAATCCCAGAATATCATACGGAAGAGTTTTTACCGGAGCCAACCGTCTGCCGGATCGCTTGCGTGGTATGTCCGATGAAGAGGGAGGATTGAAGATATCGCAGAACAAATGTAGACAGCCCTGGAGAGTGTCCAGTGGTGAATCTGGCGATCGACTTCCAGAGTTGGAAACGAACAGGGTAATGCCCACCAATAGCCAGTCTTCAAGTATCTCTACCGAAATAAAGGAATCGCCCCAGCCATGTCGGTGCTCTTTGACTCCTGCCTCGACGTATCTGTGTAAGCTCCTTGGAAACAACCCATCACCTGTCTCATCCGTGGAACCTTATATGGTCCATTCCTCCCCCTCCTTCTTTGTCGGTATCTGACCAGTGATTTGCCCGATTTTCCTACGGACCCTTTACTCTTAATCACGTATAACAAATTGCGCCGACCGCCTCAAGCCTTTTCTCTTAACTTGCCTCAGTGCCCTATCAAAAATACTTGAACTAGTCTCACTCACTTTCAACTTATCGAATGGCATACAGAAGCCATACTTCCTCGACTAGTGGAAGCCAGTCTCCCTCATCCTCTACCAACGTCTCCCCTGAAACACAGCCAACCTCCCTCGACGAGATGACTCCCGCCACCGAAGAGAACGATGCAAGCGGGCAGAGTGCCCAAGGAACGCCTAGCCGAACACGGTCACATAATTCAGGAAAAGGAGGTTGTTGGTAAGTTCGTTCGATATGTCCGTCCTAGCCGGGGTTAACACACCACTAGGACATGTCGCGTCCGACGAAAAGTTAGTGGACTGGCGATATGATTGAAACGCGTTATTGATCCGACCCACAGAAATGCGACGAGCAACGCGAAGGCGACTCATGTAAAACCTGTCGACGTCTAACGATCAAGTGTTTGGGTTGGGGACCAAGACGACCCGACTGGATGAGGGTGAGCTGAGATGACCGTTTCCCATATTGATCATCATCAACGTTCCGCCGCAGGATAAGAAAAACGTCGACGATTACAAAGCCAGTATCAAAGCCCAGTTGTCCCGTGCAGGCTTAATTCGTGGACAACCCCGTCATAACCCAATTCAAGCCTCATCACAGAGGCCGCGGTCGCGTCATGTACCGGCCACAGAAATAGCTTCTACCTCAAACAATCAAACTGAATATACATTTCACCAATATGGCGACGCACCTTATGGCCAGAACCATCATTCGCAGCTGATGCCCGGATTGTCCGGTAGGTGATGATGCAGTGCTGGCTGTGCGATCGAACTTAAGTTTAGATATTGCAGGAGCATCTAATTCAACGCTCGATACACTTACCACAGCACCGTACGTTGATGTGAACCTCAATGGGTTTGACCCATATTCCCCTTCCATGTCGTCATCAGTTTCGACCTTCCCCGTGGGACCAGACCCACTCGCTGATCAATTCCCACTCTTCCCTTCCCAGTCCATTGGGAACGACCACTTGGGGTTCTTAGAGCCTCCCTCTGCTATCTCTCCTTTCGCGGTCCCAGTTGGGCAAACTGCCCTTCATGAAGAATTGGTTATGCACTACTTTGATCATGTGTGCAAGATGCAGTTCACCTTTGCAGGCGAGATCTTCACCAACGTCACGTATACGGTATGACCCCTGTAATGTGTAAAAACTGCAGAAGGCTTACACCATTCTGTAGGCGGTAATGGATGAGCCACGAGGAGCAGTGACGCACGCAATTTGCGCACTCGCTGACCTTCACTCAACACAGATGCGGGTATCCCAAGGACTGGAAGCACCCAACCCTCATCCAGAAACGTCCACAGCAATGTACCTCCGACACGAGGCGCTCTTCAAGCTGGAGAGCAACAAGGAGCATCGAGGTGGATGGAGCGAAAGCGACGCAATCGCTGCGTTGCATCTTGTGAGCTTTTCTCAACTGTCGGGCGGAGGAGCGGACTGGGAAACTCCTTTCGATATTCTTTGCCAATGGCTTCTTCAAACTGGCTTACCCATTGCTGAGAATCCTCGCCTATCCTTCCCGGTCCTGAGCCCAGCTTCCCAACTCATTATCAAGACAATTCTCGTATGTCATTGAGCCTTTTCCCTGAGAATGTTTGCTCAAACCCCCTTAGTGGTTCGATATCTTCTCAAGCTTGTCATTGGTACGACCCCCCAAGTTCACGACGCTCTGGAAGCGCCTTCTCGATGACCAGAACGACTACTGGGGAAACAGTAGCACGATGGATATGCAGGCATTGACGGGGTGCCCCAACGATGCTATGCTGGCAATCGCCGACATATCAGCGTTGGCTCACTGGAAATCAACGCAACAACGGAATGGCACTCTGAGCTTCCCAGAACTTGTCCTACGTGGGAATTCCATTGAGCAACACATTCGTCGGTACCAAGCAGACCAGCCCACCATCGCGGACTCGGTCCAGGGGCTTCCTACGCCCGGCGACGCCATGCTTCCGACTGATGAACAACGAATTTTGGCGGCTGCGATTTTCCGAGAGACATCTATGTTGTACCTACACACGATATTGAGCACACCTACTCCTGGTACGTCAAACGAAATGATTTTTTGTTGTTGGGATGCTTACCTTCCACACGTTCTGAAGGCGTCCCCGAAATCAGTTCCTCTGTAGATGCCATTGTTGATCATTTCACTCGATTATCTCCTTCAAATATAGACCGAGCGCTGGTGTTTCCCATATGTCTCGCGGGTTGCATGACCAATGATTCGACCCGGAGAGATTTTCTCAAAGGCCGCTTCCGTGGGTTGAATGAAAGTTACGGGAACCTCCTCCAAACACGTCTTTTGATGGAGGCTGTATGGCAGAAACGCGATGTGGGTGGTGAAGCTGCCGATCTACGAGAGAGCATTCGCGAGCAGGGACTACAACTGCTTCTTATCTGACTGATATCTGCTTAGTGCGAACGTCAGCGTACCTTACGTGGACTCGGCTAATTTCCTTACTCTCGATCCCTCCCCTCCCCATCGACTGTATCGCTACGGAACAAAATTATATATTATTAGCTGTATTATTTATGCCTAGAAATGACAATTTACCTTCATCGCCCGATCTCAGATTTCAAGAGCGCCCGAGCTTTAAACAATGCAGCGCTGGGCACCAAAAAGGACTTGCGCGCAAGGAGTGTGGCGAGCGGTGATGAAGAGGGAAGGAGAGGCCCTTCAACGTGGCGTAGCAAACGCTGCCATTCCGTTCGACGATGGACGGTTCACCTTCGTTTTCACCTGGTCGTGTGCTTCATCAGATCCCTGCTTGGTCAATCAATTCTCTTCGTCAAATAGGCTCCGCGCGTAAGAATGAAACGAGAACATACTTGCTGGAGGTTTTTCAAGGCCTCTCGGGTATCATGTAGTCAGAACAGTTTCTCATAACTTATTCAGAGAACAAGTTCATTGCGGAACATCTGTATATCCCGCATTCGCCGGGAAAGGATACGGAGGACGTTAAAGCAAGTTGCCAGTGCAGAAAAGTGTAACATGAAGCTTTGCAGGTTACTTGACAACTTGTGCGATCTATGGTGTTTTGAGAGAGAAGGTTGGGGGGGGGAAGGAGTTGGGCACAGGTGAGGCGTTGCGAGTTTATACCGGTTCCACCGGGAAACATTTGTTTGGTTTGTTTGGCGTCTGTTTGGTGGCGCCTCACCTGACTCTTGCACTCACAATATCAAGGGGAGACAACCGCCAAGATTAGATATGGGCGCATTTTTTTTGTCAAGAAAGGATCTCTACAGGCGTCGCTTCCCAAAAATCAGCGCTCATTCGACGCCCACACTTCAAAAGCGACGCCACAGCGTTGCCTTCACTCGACTTGAAGTTAGTCTTCCCTTCACCAATAATAACTATTGCATGCCTCGTCATATGAGCGTAGTCTTGAGTGTTTTTCGTCAGTGTTGAAGTTGATGACCATTATTCGTCTTACTCAAGTTGATTTCCAAATTATAGGAACCCTGAAAAATCTCTAGCGGCCAGCACCTTTTGAGGAGAGCTTTTGACAGTGATAGGTACCAACCCTATGCCAAGAAGTTAGTGCCTTGTGCGGCGGCGTGCCGTAGAGACATCTACGGAGTCCTTAAGTTATTCACCCAAGGCAATGCCGAAATTTTGGTCGTGCAAACCCTCTTGTATTGCCACAACTCTACATAATATCGATGAGTGGATGTAACGATCCTGTTGGTCTGTCTTGCGAACCTCGCCCATTTATGCGAACAAACGAACCTCTGGGGATAAAAGGGTTGACTCGAGCTATCACTTCCGCCTGCTCATCGATGGCCAGTGGCTAACCCAATCCACACTCAATGTTTTCGATTCGAAATAAAATGTTGCAAGGCTTTGAACAGTCAAGGAATGAAATTTTCATGCAGGGGGAGATGTGATTCTGTGCGTTCATTTGATCTACCTCAAACATCTCTGGCATCTCGGAGTTTGTGTTGCAGGCTAATCTTCTCACCCATACACAGACATTGACGAGTACCCTCCTTGGATACTCACCAGTATTCTGTAACTGGATCATAACGTTTTGTAGGCAGCCGGTTTCTCATCTCCCAGGCGCGCTGTTTGTCATATCTTGTACGCCTTTCTCCGCCCATGAAGTTTGTCGCTACGCATCGGTATATCATAATGTAATTCTTGCAGAAAGAACAAGTACGGAGGGAATAATCTACCGCAATGATCTGGATTCGAATTCTAGTTCTAATCAAGACTGCTTGGGCCAACTATCACGACTTCGTTAACCGCGCCTTGAGGCCTACTGCAATCCTGGATGCGGTCAATGCTCTTCCGGCGTGAACCCTCTCCGTCTACTAAGCTGGGATTTTCACGTAGCCCCCAAATCTCGAGATTCTCTCCCGCAGCCAGCGGACCTGAAGGGCCCGTTACTGATGGCATCGTACTTGGTTCTCACAACATCTTCACCGATCTTTGGGGCTCCAGTTGTCGAAAGCAGAAAACTCATACATAACGGTTTCGTTGGGCTTCCGTGACGTTGATACTTGTGTTCCATTCCGCCTGCCAATGAGTTTCGACAGTATGGTGTGATCCTTGCCAGTTCGCCACGGATGAGGTATAGCGCGTATGGCGTTCGTTACCTTCTGAACTTGGTAATACTCTATTGGGTTGTACATTTGAGGGGTCTAATCTCACAGCTATCGATAGACCAGATTCCAAAACGCTCTGCTTAGTGATTTTATTTACTTTTGGAGCTGTCCAAACAACTATTACGGCCAGCCATTTGGCGGGCATTGCCTTCCCACCCCTTCTCGCTTGTTGCGTATATAGTCATAGATTCCCAGTCAGGTTGTTTGCACATACCCTGAGGCTCCACAAATAAACAGAATCATTAAGCGGAGCGTTTTAAAATTTGGTCTATCGATACCTCGTTAGCTGCAACGCCCAAACGATCGTCGATACAAATTTGGCTTTCCAGGTCCACCCATTGTCGAAATGAAATGAATTCATATACGATCAAGAAGATAAATCGAGAGGTCAGGCTATGACCAAAGATATACAAGAGTTGGACCAAACCTATATACTATTTGGGGAAACTAGAAATTAAGGTAGTCCATCCTCCCAACGTGCCCATCCCAAAGATGCCAATAAACAAGAACAACACTTCCGCATCTATGGTCGACTTCATAACATTTCCGATGCCCGTAATCCGATGTTAGTTGCGAGGGCCAAAAATAGGACAAAGCACAATACGGTGGGTCCGTATTTATCGTAATACAACCCATCCGCACGTCGTTCCCGCAGTCTGTACGACCGATAGAGGAAGATACCCGCAGCATAAGCGATAGAGAGCAACGCGGCGAAGGTGAAGAACCATGCACTGATTAAACCTCGCGGGTCGTCTGGGGGTATGAAGTTTAGCAATGTTGTGGCAATAGAGCCGATGAAGACAGCGTTATTAAGCCATTTCTGAAAAATCGTCAGAAAAATGAAAACGAGAGATTGCAAGGAAAACGGGAACGTACAAGGAAAGTCCTTTCCGCAGCAAAGTACACCTTCGGTTCTATGCGAACAGGGACTGCGATTTTTTTACCAGCAGGCGCAGACCAGTTACGTTCCAAAATACGGTCGTCCGCACCGGGTTTGATCCCGCCAAGTGCGGGATTTTCGCCTTCCGTTTCGCTATTTCCACCTTCATCGTTGTTCTCGTTATCACGATATCCATTCCCACTCTCCTCTGCTCTTCGCCTGGCGTCTCTCGCACCCCTCAGCTTCGTCTTCAACGTTTCATCAAACGCAGATGACGGGGCCAATGGGTCGATAGACAACGTCCGGGTTTTTAACGTGGATGAGATAGTAGACTTCTCGCGATGGTGTTTGGGCTTTCTACGGCGACCAACTTCGCTAGTCTCGGGCGACTCGTCCTCCTCATTGTTTCCCTCGGCTTCAAAGTTGCTTCTGCTCTTCTCCTTCTCCTTCTCCTTAGACGACGTGACGCCCTTCGCTTCGTCCTCTTCTCGTCTCTCCTTCAGCATCTGTTCACGGAAAGCTATGGCGGCTTTGACTTCGTCGCCACTTAGACCTGTGCGTTTGTCTTCATCCTTCGCTATTGAAAGGTCGGCGTCGTCATCCTCTTCACCTTCTGACAGAGGCTCTGTGTAGGAGGGCGTCGAAGGAGAGTGAGAACCAGCGGAGCTCTGTCTTGAAGTGCCTTTGCTGACGATGGTAGATGGCCGTTCAATCACGCTGAGGTAGCCGGTATCTGGTTTCAGAATATCGACGTCCACTGGATAAAGCACGCCTTGATAAGCCACGGACGGGGTTAACGATGCCAGAATACTTTACTTTGGGGAAGCCAGAATGGGACCAAGTCCACACGATTTGGAAGGAGAGTGGCGCAACCGTGTATAAATTTACTGTTGTACACATATCAGCGAGCCTCCGCATGGGCAAGGTAAGAGGACGTACCTAAACTTAGGCACGGCTTCGACAAGATGGGATTGAACGAGCTCTTGAACCCATTCTGGTGGTTGTTGGCCAAACTGGGTCTGCAATTTCACCTCCAGTACGCCATACCTGCAGGGCATTAGGAAGGGCAATTGTCAGAAGAAAAGAAAGCATTTACGCACTTGAATATCTCCTTGTCTTCAGGAGGGACTTGTTCAAAGGGAAAGTCGATACCCGCATCTGTGCGACGCCAGTTATCTTTTGAACGAGCCCGGCCATCCCAATTGTCCTCGCGGACCAAGGTTAACTCTGTGTCGAGGGAGATACGCACACGGGCGTCGCCAGGAAGTTGGAACGCAGTTCGGTTGTAGAACGAACGCATCACTAGGAAATTTCTGTAAAAACGAAGAAAGCGATACTACAAGCGAAAGACTCACCAGGTTGAAGCTTCTTCGTCAAGACAGCATACTGCACCTCGTTAGCAAGCTGGATCATCGAATCCACCTCCTGCTGAGACTTTTTACCCTTTTTCACGAGAGCCTGGAAATCGACATCGACGGTGTAGTCTCCACGCAAAAAGTCGTTGACTTGATGTTCTTTGAGAGGGAATCGAGCTTTGACGGATTTCTCTCCGGTCCAATCTTCTCTGTGTGTCTTACGCTCGACGAAAATCTACGATTTTCTTTCAAAATTACGAAATCGGGGATGTTCGCAAGCAAGCCTTACAGTTTTGTTGTCAATATCGCCATACCACCTAAGCCGGATAGCCTCTGCGCCTTCAGTTTTCTCCAGACGGCCTAAATAAAGTTCGAGCTCTTCGTTATCGAAGTATATTGACGTGATGGCTATGGAGAGTGAGAAGATGAGCACGGGTGGTTCGCGATATCACCTACCAGAATCCTTTGGTTCAAACTCCTTCTCGGCATTAAAAACTATGGGTTCGGGTTAACTTTGCCACCATAACTTCTTGTAGAATTACGCACCCAAGACGGGTAGATGTCTTAAGATGGCCAACTTGAGTGACACGAGATTGTCCGGATGTACCTAGAGAGCGTAGTCAGGTGCGTCCTGCACATCTGTACAGGAGGGTCACAACTTACCCAATATTTCGTTGTTTGTCTGACAAACGCACTTTGGTTGCCTCCTGCACTTGAATCACCCTGGATAGGGTGCCCCCTCGTCCGCACCAGGTCGTACAACTTGGACAACTTGACGATGAGTGCGTCCCAATTATATTTGTAGAAGGGTCGCTTTTCCAGGTAATCTTGAATGAAAGACGTTTTGAGTTGCATTCCGGTTTGTTTCTGTTAGCGAGGTAAGTATGAAATTTCAGCGAAATAGAATGTCGCTAACGTCGTGTTTCTGAATGGAGCATGGATAAGTTTGACATCTTGATAAGGATTCGAAGGACGTACTTTCAAGATCTTCATGAAGCCGGTAATATTCAGCTTGGTGTAGAGAGCCAAGTCGTGCACATCGGCAACGAGTATGGCTACTTCTTCCTCAAGACCGTGAAAACGATCTTCGAGGGCTTCAAAGGATTCGTCAGTGTCGTTTCCGTCATCATCATCATCTAGGTCATCATCAGAACCACCGTCGTGCGCGTAAGGATCCTCCTGATGCTGCTGGCTCTCAAGGTCGGGTCGAGAACCGGGGGGAGAAGTTTCGCCTTCCCTGTTTGACTGCAATTCCTCTGCCACGAGACGCTTAACATCTTTCTCCGCTTCCCGAATACGGCGAGAGAGTTCAGATGTCTGAATATAGGCCGTTTTAGCTGAGTTCACTAGGCGGGAATGATGAAACGCGCCTTTGACATCTGGAAATCATGAATCTTGTCAAGCTCTTTCTCGAGCAGCAAGGTAAACTCTTGCTCGTCTTTCGGCCCCCAACCGTGACTGGTTGTACGAGCCTATAATGAAATACAACGTCATAGGTGATATCAGCACGAGGTGCGAGGGTAGCGGACCTTTAGTTCACGTTTGAGGTGATTGTAATCGAGATAGAATGGTCGCCATTCGTTATATAAATCGGTCTGGAAGCTGGTTCAGTTCAAGGAAGTAAGCAGGAAAGAGTTAGACACTTACGCTAATTTTTGTACCGAACTTCATTTGAACGACAGAATCAGTTGCAGCAGAAGAATTGGACACTCACGCCCGCTAGAGCAGGGAAAGATGGCTACGTTGGCAGAGGCTTCGCAGTTTCTTATGTTCCCAGCCGCAGAAACGAAGAACGAACGTGCGTGCCAAGACCCGATGATCTCATGTCTTTATTTAGATCAGTCACAATAGATGTCAGTTGTCACCTAAGCCGACTAACTCGATTTTACTTACGGATACAAAATTCATCACAATTTTAGTCTTGACGATGTCTGCTGCCGCTCATCCTTCTTACTCCTCCACCTCCACATCTACTCGCCGTCCACGTCTCAATGGCCGCAGTTCTTCCTCGGGGGACATAGCGAGGACTAAGATTCTCCTTCTTGGGTTGCGCAGGTCCGCCGATCAGCCCCGCCTCTTTGTACTTCCACTGACGGACCCAGAGCGGGAAAAACGTCCATCCAGCAGGTCCTTTTCAACAATTTACCCCCAAAGCAGACATTCTATCTTGAAACGACAATTCGCATCGTGAAGCATGCTGTCGAGTTGGTCTCAAAAGCTCGACATTCATCTGAAGGTTGCTGAACTACGCGCTTCACTAGCACAGTCATTCCTCTTGAAATATGGGATTGCCCCGGAAACGTAACCGTGGAAACGCTTGGAACCCCTCTATCTCAATTCTCGACCATTATCTTTGTCATCGACATCCGAGTAAGCGTCTCCAGCGTGCATCTATTCAGCCTCTTAATTACCGTTCCGTAAAGGATTTATATAACAAACCGATATCAACACTCGTCGAGTTTATCGTCGCGGCGGATCAGCAGAACCCGAACATTGGCTTGGAGGTCTTTGTTCACAAGGCGGAAAAACTCCAAGATGATGATAAGATTGGTGCGCCTCTCCGTTCTCAAGCGCCAACTCGAGTTCTCATTCCCGTGAAGAGAGTTTCCGGCAAATCCACGAGCGTGTATTAGATCGCCTGTTGGATATTTCTCCGGACTATGAGCAGATTCAGCTCAACTTTCACCTAACATCTGTTTATGACCATTCCCTCCATGAAGCCTTCTCGCGTGTCCTCCACAAACTCGTACCCACTCTTCCATATCTCGAAGAAATCCTCAACGTGTTTTGCGCGGTGAGATTATTGTCTACACCCGATTTTGCATCATCTGAAACCCTCCCAGAATTCGCAAGCGCCAAAAGCGTTCCTTTTTGACATAAGATCGCGTTTATACATCGCAACAGATGCATCACCCGTAGATTCCGCCACTCATAACCTATTTTGTGACTACCTTCTCATGCTAAACTCATTTGGACCCCTATACAAGTGTGTTTTCAAAGTTTCTGCCGTACTTTAAATCTCATTTTTCACAGGTCTATGGGCCCAGGCCGCCAGCGCCAGATTTCACCACTGACACCACCACCCTCTGCATCGTCGAGTACTTCGCGCTCTTCTCCTTCGCTCTCGTCGTCTGACACGACATCACCCCCAACCACACCAACACCATCTACCGTGGAGACAACTAGTCGTAAACACCCCAAGGAGTTGTTTTATCCAAGCGCTGCTACCTCTCTTCACCCTGCAACTCCGGGAACTACGCTGACATACCACTTGATCACACCCTATCTGGCGCTCCTTGCGCTCCTGCCGACGAATGTGTATGAGGGGCGACGGGGTTTATTGGAGTACAACGTCGTCTTCTTCCGAGAGGGAGTGCAGGAGATTTGCGAGACGGAAAGGGAGGCGAGGGGAGGTGGTTAGGGTGTGGATGATTTGGAATTTGCGTTCCCTTGATCTTTGACATTGTTCCTGGTAGGCAAAGAGACAAGGGCGCCAGTGCTGACATCCAGAACCAGAAGGGTTGCTGGTCTCACAATCTTCAGACCTCGGAACTTTGTGTCAATGCTGCACTCCACGGTATCAGCAAAGTGTACTTTTTTTTTAGTACAGTTCATGGGTTTTGGGCAAAAGATCTGTTTATAACTCAATACTACCGTGGTCTGCGTCATCCTACTACTACTTAAGGACACTCTCGTGAAGAGCTACATGCAGGTTCGTTCATTCTACAAATTGTTGGGGAAAGCATAGTCATCGATCGAGTTGCCTTACTATTTATTACTCTCGAACGATGCCAGTGGGACCATATTCATGCGAACGATCACGTGACGTGTACGGAACCAAAATTTCGTTGGGGAATGTACGGTTTGGGTGGGGTCAGGGCCATATAAGTATATCTTCTAGCCCTTCCTTGGACCCTTTGCTAAGTTTGCTTACGGCGTCTGCCATCGACGCAAACCCTCCCCATCTTTTTCTTCCTACCACCATTCTAAAGCGTTGCTCAAGGTTTCCTGCAGCGATTTTACAAAAATGGCGGTTGCTAATGGAAGCGCCATCCATGCCAACGGTATTGCTACCCGGCCTCTGATCCTTTCCCTCGGCCAAATTAGAGTGAGTTCAACTTTTTTTTTTTGGGTGGTCGAGTATATGCGTCCTAACACGTTTGATTGTGCAAGGTTTCGATCCCAGTTTCTACTCAATCCAACGAATGGATCGCAGCAGAGGTCCTGCGCGAAGAATTCATTCACAAACAGTCTCTCCTAGATGCAGTCGACACGACTGCCCAACTCGATAACGAGCAAGACGCGGCCGTAGAGCTGTCTGCATTGTTCCTTGGACACGTTGCAGCCAGCCTTCACGAGGACCCTCAGTCTGCATCAGCACGCACCGCGTTGCTCCTTAATCTCCTCAAGCATTTTACGTCATCATACCTCGCAACCAAGGATATACACTCCTTGACCGCCTCATACGATACCGAGACTCGCAAGGCCGTTATCTCGGCATACGTCTCTGCAGTTGCTGCCCTTCAGCAGCGTGATATCCCTTTTCCTCGTCAACCAGAGTCCGCTCTCCTGAATGCGGCTAGTTCAAATAAAGCATCCATCTTCGCGTTGTTTGGTGGTCAGGGCACCAATGAAGTGTATTTTGATGAGCTCCAGAGCTTGTACGACGTCTACAAGCCTTTCGTCGCGTCGTTCTTCAAGACAGTCACCGAAGACGTCCTTGTGCCTCTTGCAACTGAACACGAGGCGTTTTCTTTCTACACGTTCGGTTTGGACGTCGTTTCTTGGCTTTCGGGAGAGACTTCTCGCCCTTCAGTTGCATATCTCGCTTCCGTTCCCGTTTCCTTGCCTCTCATTGGCCTCACCCAGCTTGTCCAGTATCTTGTCGTCTGTCGTGTGTCAGGCCTCTCCCCAGGAGAGTTCCGTAGCCGCATTGCAGGAGCAACCGGCCATTCTCAAGGAATCGTCGCTGCCGTAGCCGTCGCAGCATCAGGTACATTCGAAGAATTTACGAACAATTCCGTCAAGGCCCTCAAGTGGCTGTTCTTCTGCGGCCTTCGGGGTCAACACGCATTCCCAGTTACATCAGTAGAACCTAGCATCGTCCAAGACGCGACAGAGGGTGGGGAGGGCACTCCTAGCCCCATGTTGTCTGTCACCGGGCTGGGTCTGAAGGAGCTCCAGCCTCATATCACCAAGACGAACAAGCATCTCCCAGAAAACTCTCAGCTTTTCGTTTCCCTGCATAACGGACCCAAAGCCTTCGTCGTTACTGGTCCCCCAAAGGCTCTCTTCGGGCTTGTTACGAGTTTGAGGAAAGTCAAGGCCCCCAGTGGTCTTGATCAAAGCAAGACGCCGTTTTCCCAGCGCAAACCGGTATTCTCAATTCGCTTTTTGGTCGTTGGTGTCCCGTACCACAGTGATTATCTGAAGGGAGCCACTGAGAAGCTTCTTTTGGAAGACCTTGGTGGTAAAGAGCTGTGGGAAGCCAAGGACTTGAAGATTTCTGTATTCAACACGGAAGATGGTAATTTGAATTGTTTCGCCTGCCAGAGATTTGTTATTGACGATTTTCGTGATTATAGGCTCTGATTTGCGCAACCTTTCGTCGTCCATTACGCGTTCCTTGTGCGAGCAGATCTTTACATCACCTATTCATTGGACTAAGGCCACGAACTTCCCTGAGACGGCCACCCACGCGATTGACTTCGGCCCAGGGGGTACTAGCGGTATTGGCCCTCTGACTGCCAGAAACTTTAACGGACGCGGTGTTCGTGTCATCCTCGCGGGTGTGAAAGGGAAAGGAGATGCGGAGCTCTTCGATGCGGCAGATGTCAAATACGAGGAATGGTGGAGTAAGAAGTGGTCTCCAAGTCTCGTACGGACAAGGTGAGATTATAGCTTCGCGCGAGCGTATGGGGCTTTTCTGACACAGTTTGTTTTCTAGTGATGGTACCCTTCACCTCGACACTCCCTTCTCACGTCTCCTTGGGAAACCTCCGATCATGGTTGCTGGAATGACTCCGTCCACAGTCAAAGCTGGCTTCGTCAGCGCTGTCCTCGACGCTGGATACCACATCGAATTGGCTGGTGGTGGCCACTACAATGCTGCTGCCCTTCGATCCAAAGTTGCCGAGATCCAGAAGCAGATTCCCGCAGGTGTTGGGATTACTCTCAACGCCTTGTACATCAATCCACGCCAATTCACGTTCCAGTTCCCCTTGTGGCAAGAGATGCGCAAGGAGGGTCTTCCTGTAGAAGGTTTCTGTGTTGCTGCTGGTATTCCAACCACCGAGAAGGCTGTCGAAATAATTGAGGGTCTGCGAAGCGCTGGTATCAAGCATGTCGCCTTCAAGCCTGGCTCTGTTGATGGTATCAGGCAAGTCGTCAACATTGCCGCTGCCAACCCCGACTTCCCAATTATTCTGCAATGGACTGGAGGCCGCGCTGGTGGTCACCACTCCTACGAAGACTTCCATCAGCCAGTCTTGTCTACGTACCGCTCTATTCGTGCCCACGCCAACATTTGTCTCGTTGGTGGTTCAGGATTCGGTTCCGCTGATGACGTCTGGGAATATCTGACGGGTGACTGGTCTGTTGAGCGATTTGGCCTCCAGCCAATGCCGTTTGACGGCTTCCTCTTCGCCAGTCGCGTTATGGTGGCCAAGGAGGCCCATACCAGCTCTTCTGTTAAGGATCTTATTGTTGCGGCGTCAGGTGTCGATGACGGTGCTTGGGAAGGCACATATGCTAAGCCTACTGGAGGTATATTGACCGTCCGTTCGGAGTTGGGCGAGCCGATTCACAAGGTTGCTACTCGTGGTGTGAAATTGTGGAAGGAATTCGATGATACGGTATTCAAGCTGCCAAAGGAAAAGCGTGTGGCCTGGTTGAAGGAGCGGAGGGATGAAGTCATCGGCAAGTTGAACAAGGACTTCAGTAAGCCTTGGTTCGGGTGGAAGAAGGATGGCAACATTGCGACCGACCTCGGGGACATGACATACGAAGAGACTGTTCTGAGGATGGTTAGGTTGATGTTTGTTGCGCACCAGAAGCGTTGGGTGGATGTTTCTTTGAGGAATTTGACAGGAGATTGGTTGAGGCGTGTTGAAGAGCGTTTTGCAGGCGTTAACGGCAGCGGTACCAAGGCCTCGATCCTCCAGTCGTACACCTTGCTCGACGACCCCCTCCCATTTGCCGACTCGTTCTTCAAGAAATACCCTCTTGCTGCCGAGCAACTCCTCTCCGCTGAGGATACAGCATTCTTCCTGGCAATTTCGCAGAGACCTGGACAGAAACCCGTTCCATTTATCCCTGTGCTTGACGCTTCGTTTGAGGTTTGGTTCAAGAAGGTAAGACTTTTGTCATGTGATTACGTTTTCGAATAACTGAATACAACGATCACAGGACTCGCTGTGGGCTGCTGAGGACATCGAGGCGGTCTTTGATCAAGATCCCCAGAGAGTGTGCATTCTCCAAGGCCCTGTGGCTGCGAAGTGGTCCGTTGTCAAGGACGAACCAGTCAAGGAGCTGCTTGGAAATATCAACTCTTCTCTGATTCAACGGCTTCTCGAACGCAAGTACGGTGGAGACGCGTCAAAGGTTCCAACTATCGACTATCTTGCTGTGAAGCCTACCGCCGTTCCATCTGATCTAGCTGGCGTCCAACGCACGGAAGTCGATGAAGAAGTTACCTTCCAATTCGGTTCCATTCTTCCTGAGGCTTCTGCGTGGCTCGAGGTTCTTGGCGGTCCTGAACTGAACTGGTTGAGGGCTCTCACCACATCTACCACAATCGTCCAAGGGGTCTCTTACATCGACAATCCACTCCGTCGCATCCTTGCTCCTCGTCCAGGGCAAAAGGTTGTCGTGAACTACGATGGAGCTGTCCCTTACTCCGTCACTGTTTATGGTGCTGCGCGGTCGTATGGACAGCACGTTGTCGACTTCAAGGCTCTGGAGATAGAATACGATGACGAGTCGAATCAGATCGACGTTACTCTTTACGAGGAGCGCAAGGGCGTGTCTGTGCCTCTATCGCTTCACTTCGAGTACAAACCTTCGCAAGGCTTCGCCCCCATTCACGAGCTCTCTGACGGCCGTAACAAGCGCATCAAAGAGTTCTACTGGAAGCTGTGGTATGGAGACGACGCTACCCTCCCCAAGATCGACATCCATGAAGCTTTCGTCGGCCCGGAGATCACAATTGAGGCAAAGGACGTGGAACAATTTTGTGCTGTTGTTGGCAATCAGGGCGAGTCTTTCAAGACCGTCAGAAACGAGAACGTTCAAGCCCCAATGGATTTCGCTATCGTCACTGGCTGGAAGGTATGTTGCAGATCGCATTCCTTTGTAATTCTTCTAATTTTTTCTCTCTCTCTTTTTCAGGCCATCATGAAGTCAATCTTCCCTGCAGCAATTGACGGAGATCTCCTCAAACTCGTCCATCTTTCCAATGGCTTCCGCATGGTCGATGGAGCCAAACCCCTCCAGGTTGGAGATGTCTGCAAGGCGGAAGCTCGCATAGTTTCGGTCATCAACGCCAATGAAGGCAAGATTGTCAAGGTCAAAGGCCACGTTTACCGTGAGGGAAAGAAGGTCATCGAAGTTGTTTCTTCCTTCCTTTACCGTGGTCGCTTCAACGACTACGAGAACACCTTCGACACTACTGAGGAACCGGACTATATGGTACCTCTCGAGACCGATGCCGAGGTTGGAGTGCTTCAATCGAAGGAGTGGTTCGAATGGGAGAATGAATCTTCTCCCCTCCTTGCAGGGACCTCTCTCATCTTCCGCATCCAGTCCAAGGTCTTCTTCAAGGATAGAACTGCGTACCGCAACGTCTCAGTCTCAGGCGACATCTTCGTTCGCAATCAGCTCAAAGTTCTCGTCAAGGTGGGATCGGTTGACTTCCAGCAGGATGATTCGCAGGGCAATCCTGTCCTCGCCTATCTTCAACGCCATGGATCCCCTCAAGGTCTCATGGTGCCTTTGGCCAACGATGGTTACACCCTCACGAACGCTGACAGCAGCACAACGTTCAGCGCTCCTCTCACCAACGAGCCGTACTCGAAGATATCTGGGGATTTCAATCCCATTCATATTAACCCATACTTCTCCGACTTCGCCTCTCTCCCTGCTACTATCACTCATGGTCTCTGGTCCAGCGCTGCCACTCGTCGATATGTGGAGAACGTGGTCGCAAAGGGCCACCCAGACCGTGTCATTGCGTAAGTTTAGTTTCTTATATTACAGCAATCCTCTAATGTCTTCGTCCTGCAGTTACAACGTCAATTTCGTGGGTATGGTCTTGCCCGGAGATGAGATCACCGTCAAGCTTCGCCACACGGGCATGCTCGCCGGCAACATCGTTGTGAGCGTTGAGACAAGCAACAGTCGTGGGGAGAAGGTGCTCCAGGGAACCGCAGAGGTTGCCCAGCCTACCACCGTTTACGTTTTTACGGGCCAGGGTTCGCAAGAGCCTGGCATGGGTATGGATCTGTACAACAGCTCTCCTGCTGCGCGCGCTGTTTGGGAAGGCGCAGATGCCCATCTGCTTGCAGTTTATGGCTTTTCTATCGTCGAGATCGTCAAGGACAACCCGAAGGAAAAGACGATTCATTTCGGAGGAATCAAAGGTCAAGCTATTCGCCAACGCTACATGGACATGACGTACGACACCACTGACAAGGACGGGCATGTCAAGACGCTTCCTCTCTTTGCTGATATCGACGTCCGCACACCGAAGTACACCTTCAGCCACCCCAACGGTCTTCTCTTTGCCACCCAGTTCGCTCAAATCGCCCTTGTCGTCACTGAGAAGGCTGCTTTCGAGGACATGCGGATGAAGGGCTTTGTTCAAAAGGACTGTGCATTCGCTGGCCATTCCCTTGGCGAGTACTCCGCGCTCGCTTCAATCGCTGATGTCCTTCACATCTCTGCTCTCGTCGACGTTGTCTTCTACCGTGGAATTACCATGCAACGCGCTGTGGAACGTGACTCTGAAAACCGCTCCAACTATGCCATGTGCGCGGTGAATCCAAGCCGCATCTCACCATCTTTCAGCGACGCAGCTTTGCGTGAAGTCGTCGAGTCCATTGCAACTTTGACCGGTTCTCTTCTCGAAATTGTCAACTATAATGTCGAGGTAAACAAGTCGCATACAATACAGTCTTGTGTTTTAAGTGCTGACATCTCCTTCCAGGGCCAACAATACGTCTGCGCTGGAGAGCTTATTGCTCTCCAAACCATGACCAACGTCCTGAACTTCATCAAGGTTCAGAAGATTGACATCGCTAAGGTCAGTATAATCACGTAATTTACATTGATTTCATCATTTATTTTTTCCTAGTTGACGGAGACATATACGGTTGAGAAAGTGAAGGAGATACTTGGCGACATCGTCAAGTCTTGCTACGAAAAGGCTCAGGAGCAGCAGAAGGCCGAAGGCTACATCAAGCTTGAGCGTGGCTTTGCTACCATTCCCTTGCCCGGTATCGACGTGCCTTTCCATTCGCGTTATCTTTGGGCTGGTGTCCTACCTTTCCGTGCATGTATGTCTTTCTTTTCAGACCTACTCTTGAATGCATCACTGATTCACATCAAATTCAGATCTATCAAAGAAGATCAATGCCAATCAGCTCAACCCCGACATGTTGGTTGGGAAATACATTCCAAATCTTATCGCAAAACCTTTCGATGTTTCGCGCGAGTACGCTCAGATTATCTACGACCAAACTTCTTCGCCACGCTTGGACAAGGTTCTCAGAAAATGGGAACAAGACAATTGGGCTAGCCCAGACAATCGCCAAAAACTGGCTTATATCATTCTTGTCGAATTGCTCGCCTACCAGTTCGCGTCGCCTGTGCGTTGGATTGAGACTCAGGACCTTCTCTTCACCAAGTTCGCCTTCGAACGGTTGGTGGAGCTCGGCCCATCGCCTACTCTTACTGGCATGGCTTCACGGACTCTCAAGGCTAAGTACGAAACCGCCGACGGTTCTATCAGTCGGTCTCGTGCCATTCTCTGTCATGCAAAGAACGTGAAAGAGATTTACTATCAATTTGAGGATGAACTTGAGGCCGAGACTCCTGCAGCCGAAGCCCCCTCCAGCGAAGCATCTGCTACTCCTGCAGCAGTCTCAGTCGCTGCCCCACCGCCAGTTGCATCATCAGGTCCCGTCGCGTCCATTGAAGACGTTCCCGTTAAAGCCATCGAGATCCTTCTCGTTATTGTTGCCCAGAAGTTGAAGAAAAGGGTCGACGAAGTGCCTCTGACCAAGTCAATCAAGGACCTTGTTGGTGGCAAATCTACCCTTCAAAATGAGATTCTCGGCGATCTCCAGCAGGAGTTCTCTTCTGCTCCGGAGAAGGGTGAGGAATTGCCCCTCGAGGAACTTGGCTCTGCTTTGGGCACTGGCTTCAGTGGCTCGCTTGGAAAGTATACCACTGGCTTGGTCTCGCGAGTCATCGGTGGCAAGATGCCTGGTGGATTCAATTCCTCTGCCATCAAGGCATATTTGGCAAAGAGCTGGGGTCTTGGGCCGTCACGTTCAGACAGCGTCCTCCTCCTTGCAACGACTCTGGAGCCCCCCAAACGTCTGACTTCCGAGCCTGAGGCAAAGGCCTGGCTTGACGGCGTTGTTTCAGTGTATGCTCAACGCTCCGGCATTTCGCTATCTGCTCCAGGGGCTGGCGGTGCCGCTGGTGGTGCTGCTGGTGGCGCTACCATCAATAGTGAGGAATTCCTGAAGTTCCAGGCAGATCAAGAGAAATTCGCGGCCCAGCACGTCGAGCTGTACATGCGGTACCTCAATCGCGATTCCCGCGCTGGCGAAATTGTGTTCGATCAAGAAAAGGCTAACAACGTCACTCTCCAGGCCAAACTCGACAGCATCACGCGCGAGCATGGTGACACGTATATCGATGGTATCCAACCTCGCTTTGACCCTCTGAAGGCCCGCCATTTCGACTCTTCTTGGAATTGGGTTCGCCAAGATGCTTTACTCATGTGGTTCGACATGATTTTCGGTCGTTTAACCACCGTCGATCGCGAAATTACAGCCCGCTGCATCTCTCTCCTTAATCGTGCGGATCCTGCCATGCTTCAGTACATGCAGTACAATGTCGACCGCTGCGATCCATCGAAGGGAGAAACCTACAAGCTTGCCAAGGAATTCGGCCAGCAACTCATCAACAATACTCGTGAAGTCATTGGCAAGCCCCCTGTTTATAAAGATGGTAAGTGTCGGACTGTTTTAGCGATAAGTAAATGCTTAAATTTCTTTCTTAGTGACATTCCCAACCGCCCCCCATACTGAGGTGACCGAGAAGGGCGAGATTGTCTACTCCGAGGTTGTTCGCGAGAATGTGCGTAAACTTGAGGCCTACGTGGAAGAAATGGCCAGTGGCGACACCGTTTCTGGTGCCGTCAACATCCAGAAGGTTCAAGATGATGTCGTCAAACTTTGGACCGTAGTGAAGTCTCTTCCCGAAATTAGTGTGGACCAGAAGAATCGCATCAAGGCATTGTATGAGGGTGTCGTCCGCTCCCTTCACAAGGGCCCAGAGTCTCGCCCCAGATCGGTCACTCGCAGTCGTCGCTCATCTTCTCAATTCCTTCGTCCTCAGGTCACTGGAGTTCCCGCAGTTACTTCCCTCGCATCCGACAAAATACCTCTGCTCCACCTGAAGCGCAGGGTGGGTAGTACGTGGGAATACAGCAGCAACCTGACCGGCGTATACCTTGACATTTTGCACGAGATTGCCACTTCCGGAACGACTTTCAAGGACAAGAACGCGCTACTGACAGGAGTGGGTAAGGGATCAATTGGTATCGAGATTGTGAAGGGTTTGCTCGCTGGAGGAGCACATGTCGTGATCACGACATCCAGTTACAACCGCAAGACTGTCGAATATTACCAGTCCATCTTCCAGTCAGTTGGCAGCCGAGGATCTGCTCTCACCGTCGTTCCATTCAATCAAGCCTCCAAGCAGGATGTTGAGGCCCTGGTGGATTACATTTACGCCAACCTCGGCATGGACTTGGACTACATCTTGCCCTTCGCTGGTATCCCCGAGAACGGTCGCGAAATCGATGGACTTGATGACAGGTCAGAACTCGCCCACCGCATGATGCTCGTCAATCTCCTTCGCATTTTGGGCGCGGTCAAGAACAAGAAGGCTAGCAGGCACTTCGTTACTCGGCCTACGCAAGTCATCCTCCCGTTGTCTCCTAATCATGGTCTGTTTGGCAACGATGGTCTTTATTCCGAGTCCAAGATCTCTTTGGAAACCCTTTTCCAACGTTGGGCTTCTGAGAGCTGGGGCGAATACCTCTGTCTTGCTGGTGCAGTCATTGGGTAAGTAGTTATCGCATTTCTTTCTTTCTTACCTCATTCTTTTTTTCAGGTGGACTCGAGGCACAGGCTTGATGGGTCCAACAAACATCGTCGCTCACGAGTTGGAAAGCTACGGTGTTCGAACCTTTTCTTCGAAGGAAATGGCATTCAACATTCTCGGTTTAATGCATCCCCTGCTCTTCAGCATCACTCAAGTCGAGCCGATCTGGGCTGATTTGAATGGTGGTATGGATCGTCTTCCCGACCTCGCCGATATCACCTCCCGCATTCGCACCAAGCTCAATAAGAAGGCTGATCTCCGGCGTGCGGTTGCCCGCGACAATGCGGCGGATTTCAAAGTCATCAACGGCACAGAAGCCGAGCGACTCATCCAGACCATTGATGTCCTCCCTCGCGCTAACTTCCGCTTCGAATTCCCCTCGCTTGAATCTGCTTCGAGTCTGAATGAATTGTCCCATCTGCGCGGCTTGATCGATCTTGAGAAAGTAGTCGTGATCACGGGCTTCGCTGAGGTTGGACCCTGGGGTAGCGCTCGAACACGATGGGAGATGGAGGCACGAGGGGAGTTCACGATTGAAGGTTGCATCGAGATGGCTTGGATGACTGGGCACATCAAGCACTTTGACGGACGTTTGAAGGATGGGTCCCTCTATGTTGGATGGGTTGATACCAAGACGAATGAACCTATCGACGACAAGGACGTAAAGGGTCGTTATGAGAAGGATATTCTTGCTCATGCCGGTGTTCGACTAATTGGTGTGTATCTCTCCATTTTCTCGTGTTCTCTGCTTATTCTCGCATGCAGAACCCGAACTCTTCCGTGGATACGATCCAACGAAGAAGGTATTCAACCAAGAAGTCGAGCTTACTCATGACTTGGAAGCGATCGAAGTTTCCGACTCTGAAGCACAGAAATTCAAACTCCAGCACGGCGATAAATGTGATGTTTGGGCTGGTGAGAGTGGACAGTGGTTCGCCAAGTTCAAGAAGGGTGCCTGTGTCTTTGTCCCCAAGGCGTTCAAATTCAGTCGCACAGTCGCAGGTCAGATTCCAACGGGATGGGACGCTGGTCGCTATGGTATTCCCGAGGACATTATTGCACAGACTGATCGTGCCACCCTCTGGGCCCTCGTTTGCACCGCTGAAGCTCTCGCCTCGTCCGGAATCACCGACCCATACGAATTGTACAAGCACATGCATCCTTCTGATGTGGGAACGTCGTTGGGTAGTGGAATGGGAGGGGTCAGCAGTATGGCAAAGATGTTCAAGGATCGTCGTGACGAGCGTGAGGTCCAGAACGACATTTTGCAAGAGACGTACGTCTTTATCTCTTTCTCCTTTGCCCTCTATTTACCGCAATATCCTCAGATTCATCAACACTACTGCTGGATGGATCAACTTGTTACTCCTCTCATCCAGCGGTCCAGTGAAGATCCCTGTCGGAGCCTGGTATGTTTTTTTTTCTTACTTACCGCAGAATCGCTAACGTTCCTCTTAGCGCAACGGCTTTGCAATCCCTGGAAATCGCTAGCGACTGTATTCTGTCTGGCAAAGCCAAAGTCATGATAGCCGGCGGCTTCGACGACATCAGCGAGGAGGGTTCATATGAGTTTGCGAACATGAAAGCCACCAGCAACGCCGAAACCGAATTTGCTATGGGCCGCGAACCTACAGAAATGTCTCGCCCTGCAACCACCTCTCGTGCAGGTTTCATGGAATCTCAGGTAACCAAAACGACTATATCTAACGACATGTGATGCTGACTCTGGATGAAGGGTACTGGTGTTCATATTGTGATGAATGCGAAGACTGCACTGGAACTCGGTGCTCCAATTCGTGGTATTCTTGCTTTCACATCTACGTCCACGTTAGTTTCCCCTCCTTCCTCGTTTGTCAATCATCGCTCAACAACTTCTTAGTGACAAAGCAGGTCGCTCTGTACCTGCACCTGGCCGTGGTGCTCTCACTGTTGCCCGACAAGTCCCTTCAAAACACCCCTCGCTTATCTTGGATGTTGCATACCGTTCTCGTCAACTTTCGTTCCGTCGCTCACAAATCTCTCAATGGTTATCGCACGAACACGCTCAGCTGCAGGAAGAAATCGCATATCGCAAGGTCGAGGGGGAAACTATTGAAGACGACTTCTTCTCAGCTCGCGTTGCAAACATCGAAGCGGAGGCCGTACGCCAGGAGAAGGACGCTCTCGCCATGTATGGTATGCTAGAAGGTTCCGATCCACACATCGCCCCTCTTCGTCGAGCGCTCGCTGTTTGGGGTCTTACGGCAGACGACATCGGTGTGCTATCCATCCATGGCACCAGTACCAATGCAAACGTAAGTTCACAATAATCGCTCTCTATATTTACTTATAATTGCATTTAGGAGGAGAATGAAACTCGCATTTGGAATGACATTTTCACCACCATCTCACGGACTCCAGGCAACGCCGTGCCAATTGTTGCGCAAAAGAGTCTTCTTGGCCACTCGAAGGGAGGATCCGCTGCATGGCAGATGGCAGGCCTTCTTCAATCGGTGATCACGGGGATCATTCCTGGGAACAGGAATAGCGAGTAAGTGTCATGAAAAACGTGTCTGATACAATTGACTTAACCTGTTTCACAGCAACATTGATTCTCACTTCCAAGATCGGCAATTCTTGATGTTCCCGTCTAGGTCGATTCGTACAGACGGCATTCGTGCAGGTGTCATGGTGAGCAAATTTCGTAGTCATCCCCATTGTAGGCGCTTACCATCGTTTGAAGTCTTCCTTTGGATTCGGGCAAGTTGGTGGTACAGCCATGGTTCTGCATCCCCGTTATCTCTTCGGTGCTCTGGAGCCCACATATTATGAAGGGTATAAGAATCGCAACCGTGTCCGCGCCTTACAGTCTTACAAAGCCATGAGCGACATGATGATCAAGAACTCCCTCGTCAAGGTCAAGGAACACCCCCCTTACATTGGCGAAATGGAGGGTAAAACCTTGTTGAACTCAATGGCACGCACGACGTTTGATCCCAAAACCGGGGAGTACTCGTTCAAGAAGCTCGCCAACGAAGTTCCTCTGGATCTTGGGAACCTTAAGGCGGTCTCTGACATTGCAGCCGCTGGCGGGCTAGGTGTTGATACGCCAGTCGGCGTTGGCGTTGACCAAGGTATGCTTTCTCTGCTTGAGCAACAGTCCGACCACTCATCAAATATCATAGAACTTATCTCCGCCGTTCCTTCTCACAACCCCACCTTCGTGGCCAGAAATTTCACAGACGCTGAGATCACTTACTGCCAAAAGCAACCATCTCCCCCTTCATCCTTCGCCGCACGGTGGGCGGGTAAGGAGGCCGTCTTCAAATCACTTGGTGTCAAGTCAAAGGGCGCTGCTGCCGCGATGAAGGACATTGAGATCCTCAACGACGCATCTGGGGTTCCAACCGTTCACCTACACGGCGATGCCAAAGCAGAGGCTGAGAAGCGGGGTATCTCTAAAGTTTTGATTTCGCTCAGCCACTCAGAGACCGTTGCCATCGCTTTCGCTCATGCATCTTCATAGAAATTCTCATCTTGCTATCTCGTTTCCCACATAGACATAACCGCATTCCCTCGCATACCCTTTCCACTGTTGTGTAATTCTGTCTACTAGAAATATCATTCTCATTGTCTCATGGAACTCGAAAGTACCCGACAAGATGAATTCATGTAAAAAATACAACACGCATTCACGCAGGGAGTAGAATACCTGCCTTCCTATAAGTACAACAAATTCAACCGATAATGCATCATCAGTCCACGTAAAGTCCCTCCTGCGTGATATAATCAGCAACCCCCCGTGGCACATACTGTTTCCACACATCGCCTTCCTTTCCACTGGCCCCAAACCCCAAACGAGCGATCGAGTTTCGTACGGCGCTCGAACTGTACTTGCTCTCATTGTCACCAATATTTATCAGGAATATTCGTTCCGAGGTGATGAAGTCTTGAGCGAGAGCAAGCGCATCCTCTGGCGCAACGGGCTCTCCACCTTTCGGCGGTGTTGAAGGTTGCAGGGAGACCCGTCGTGCGCAGACTACTCGAGAGTTATCTCCCTCAGGCGAAAGAAACGTGTTCATGACGTCTATCATGGCTTTTTCGGACGGGTAGTATTTGGGTGAAAACAGGCGTTGGAGAGTGTCAAGACCGAGCAGGAAGGTCAATTGAGTGTCGGGGTGTGGAGAGGGTGCGAGTGAAGGGTATCGTTGCTTGAGGAAGTCAAGCAAGTTTTTGGACTTGCCTACGAAGGTAGGTTCATCCGTTATTGCGATGGCAACGTTCGCTAACTCTTCTGGGATCAATTTATTGTCCTCGGCTTGTGAAGAGACGGAGGGATTGTGCGTAACTATGTCTTTGGCGAGCAGTGCCATCATTTCCAGCCGTTGGAGATAGGTTGCATCACCAGGCTTTAAAGTCTTGTCCGCATTCTTCACTGAGAGGAGGAGAAGTTTGGCATCATAATCACTATCATCATCTGCTGTTCGATTCGGACGTGGAGAGTTGGCGAGCGCGAGGTGTGCTACCGTTGGCGGGTTGAAGGACGAATCTAGGATAGAGATTCTGACTGGGCGCTTGGTCGGTGGTTTATCAACGAGGGGATGAGGGAGTGGCCATTGTTTGTGGGGTATGTATACGAGTTCAATTGGCGGGTGCGACGATCCCTGTTGCAAACGAGAAAGTAAGTGGGCTGCAGTGGCGCGCAGGAACTTAGCGGTCATGGTGGGTTTACAACTGTCGTCCAGGCTGGGCATCGTTTCTGAAACGCCGCCAAAGGTTCGGGTGAGTTTGGATGGAAGTATAACCGAATTTCTAAACAGAAACCTGTTTTGCGGACGTCGCCAGTGAATGTACTTGCCACTGGCCTAGCAGTTGGGTGCGTTTTAGAAATTTAGACGTGGATAAGATAAGATAACACGGTAAATACCGAAGTCGATAATCATCCGAACGGTTTGGAATTTGGCAACCTCCTCACCCAGCATTGCCCACCCAGATCTCTCTAACAACCATGCAAAAAGACGAGGATGGCTTCTACACGCCAGGTTGGTGCGCAAACTATGCCGACGTGGGCTAATAACTGAGATAATCGCGTCCAGTCGCAGGTGCCGTCGATCCACCTGTGGCATTGGCTGCATCAAATCCTGAGGAGGAAAAACCTGGTACGTGCCTCCGAAGATGTCTGACCAAACCGAAATTTATGAATCGGACAACACAGGCGTGAACAGCGACCTCATCCAGTCGACTTTTGAAGTCACGGTTCGTCATTTCCTCGCCACCACATTCCCAGCTTTGACCCGTCCTCTAGGTCACTCTCGCAGATCAACAGCTAGACCCGAACTCCCCCCTTTACAGCGCAAAGACCTTTGAGGAGCTTGGACTGTACGTCGTTCCTACAACCCATCTTCGCTTTGCTAACTCACACGCTAAGGCAAGCAGACCTGCTGAAAGGAATTTATGACATGGGCTTCTCAAAACCTTCCAAGATCCAAGAACGTGCTCTTCCCTTGCTGCTTTCGAATCCGTTAGGATGCCCATTCTCAAAACGATTCATATCGCATTAATCACCCTTTGCAGGCCAACGAACATGATTGGTCAATCTCAATCGGGTACAGGGAAAACGGCAGCCTTCGTTCTCACTATGCTGAGTCGCGTTGATTTTTCGCTCAACAAACCTCAGGTGCGCTCTAGTTTTGTTCTCCAAGGGAAACCTCCATTTGACGACATTTAAATTCTCAGGCACTGTGTCTAGCGCCTTCGCGTGAACTTGCTCGCCAAATCATGTCTGTTGTTGTTGCGATGGGTAAATTCACGAATGTGCAAACGGAATACGCAATAAAGGACAACCTTCCACGAAATGCCACCAATGTCACCGCCCAGATCATAGTTGGCACACCGGGAACCATGACGGATCTCATGAGGCGCAAGGTATGCCTACTTCTCCGCTTGTCCCGAAAAGTTGCTTATGGATGAGTACAGGTTATTGACGTCACACATATTAAAGTATTCGTGTTGGACGAAGCCGACAATATGTTGGATCAAGATGGTTTGGGCGATCAAACCCTCAGGGTGAAAAAGTAGGTCTTTACATGCCTTACCCAAGGATCGAGCTGATTCTCCCCCCCTTGAAAGCCTCCTCCCTCGTGGAAGCCCAGTCCAAATCATCCTGTTTTCCGCTACGTTCCCAGATCATGTCCGTTCATTCGCAGCCAACTTCGCGCCCAACGCAAACAAGATCGAGCTGCAAAAAGAGGAGTTGAGCGTGGAAGGTATCCGACAATTTTACATGGACTGCAGAAACGAAGAGCACAAATACGATATTCTGGTTTCTCTCTACTCCCTTTTGACCATCGGCCAAAGCATCATTTTCTGTCAGGCATGTTGAACCACGTTTTTTTGGGAGTGATCTCATTGAGTTGTCAAATAGCATCGACATACCGCCGACCGTATTTCTCAGCGCATGACGGCGGAAGGTCACAAGGTGGCATCTCTACACGGAGCCAAAGATGCTGCTGAACGCGATGCCATTATTGACCATTTCCGCGAGGGACGAGATAAAGTTAGCCATTTTATCGCCTCCTTTCAGGCGGCTAGAACTAAAAAAAATTGCAGGTTCTCATCACCACCAACGTCATCGCCAGGGGTATCGACATTCTCCAAGTGAATATGGTGGTAAATTATGATCTTCCCCTTATGAACGAGCGTGAGAAGGGAGGGGACGGGATACCTGACATTGAGACGTACATTCACCGAATTGGTATGCGTTTCATTTCTGCCTATCGTCTCCTCATTGTTCAACGTTTTTTTATCAGGTCGGACGGGTCGTTTTGGACGCAAGGGTATTTCAATAAACTTTGTCCACGACAAGAAGACATGGTTGCAGATGGAACAGATAGAGAAAGCACTTGGGAGGAAAATCATTCGTATAGAGACGAACGATTTGGATGAGATGGAGGAGGTAAGGCTGAGGTCCCGTCAAATTTCCGTCCGAGCACAACTAAGTCTTTGGCACTTTCGCAGAAAATGAAGAAGGCGCTAAAATAGTGCCGACTTTATCTTACCGACCCTTTTGTTTTCTGCTCATTTCGTTATCTGGGATTACTTTCTTCTGTCCGACGCTCAAAGCGCTTTTGACGACTTCTACGACCCCTTTATCAAAGAATTGGCGAAAGGCCAGCCCTTTATTATTGAAGGACGTGATATTCTGTGACCGCCAGAGCCTTTGGTACTTAGTCTTGTAACCTAACGCTCCTTTTTTGAGGCTTTCCGCTCATCGGGAACTGGAAGCGCATCTCTTAAATTTTTCGCATGACAAATTTCTTTTGAAATATCCCATGAGTATGGAGCACCTACGAACTGAAGCTTGAATGCAGCTGGTAATGAGCTTGTTTGTGTTTGTTCTCAACGCTTTTGCTTTCCAAAAACTTACCGATTTAGAAAGACGGACCTGGACGCAACCTTCTTCATTTTTTCCAACCCTCGAGGGCGATGAGCAACCTCATCTCATCTGTCGCTTGGGTGCGGAGAGGAGTTTCTGCTCAACACCCAACAAAATATATTCTCGATGATCAAGAACTCGAGCGTGTCAGTGCTCTGGCCAGAATTGAGCTTGAGGATGCTCGCATTGAACTCGAACGCGCCCACTTGGCTGCACTATCTATGGGGAAAGGAGCGGAGGGTGACGAAGCAGATGATGTCGTCGACGATGACGATGAGGCAAACTGGGTCGAGTGAGTTTTGCAGGTTTCTCTGAGATGGAAGAGTGGCCGATTGATCGGCAGTTTTTTTCAGCGAAGATGGTGATGCTATGGACGTAGACTCTGGTCCTACAAAACCGAAACCAAAAACCGACGATCTATCAGAATATAATTTGGATGACTATGACGATGATGCGAAAACGACTGGTGAGAGATACAGGGCAATTTTGTATGCTTCCTCGCAATTGACGTTTTACAGCTGTTGGACCATTCAGTAACATCAAAGGTCTCACATATTACCGGGATAATGAAGAGGACCCTTATATCACACTCAAAGATGTGTGTCTCCCTGCCATATCCTTTTGAGTTCTCGCTCATTTATTTATCTTTCTTCAAGGAAGATAACGACGAAAGGGAAGAGCTAGAGGTGCTTCCAACGGATAACCTCCTCGTGGTCGCAAAAACCGAAGATGAAATCTCTCAACTAGAAATTTACGTGTACGACGAGTCAGAGGAAAATCTCTACGTCCACCACGATCTCATGCTGCCGAATTTCCCTCTTTGCCTTGAATGGCTCGATTTTCCTCCGGCTTCCTCATCTTCCAATTCAATACCAGGGCCCAACAACCCAGACAAACCAGGCTTCGGAAACTACATCGCTGTTGGCACACTCGATCCTGAAATCGAAATCTGGTCTCTCGACGTCCTAGACGCCATGTACCCCACCTCCATTCTCGGTCGACCAGACCAAACAAAGGCGCATGTCCCCACACCACTAGGGACGGGAAAGAAAAGGCGTAAAAAGGCAAAGCATCGTTCCGTGGAAACTGGGTACCACGTCGATGCCGTTCTCGGCCTGAGTTGGAACAAGATTCAACGCAACCTTTTAGCGAGTGCCAGTGCGGATCGCACGGTTAAACTGTGGGATCTCACACGAGATCCCACCATCAATGGAGGTGGGGAGGGTGGTGGTGGTGCGATTCGAAGTTTCGATGTGCACAAAGACAAAGTGCAAGCCGTGCAGTGGAATGCGCAAGATCCGACTGTCCTGCTGACAGGAAGTTACGATAGAACCATACGCACCTTTGATTCTAGAGCACCTGGAAGTGGTGTTGGCGCGATAGTAGGAAGCGATGTGGAGGCATTGAAGTGGGATCCTTGGGAATCGCACGGATTTTATGTGAGATCTCTTTGGCCTCTTGTTTTAATTACTTTTTAAATGGAATGCTACAGGCGTCTCTTGAAAATGGACTTGTCCTAAATTTCGACGCCCGCGCTCTTCCCTCAAACCTTGACAATCCTTCACCCGCACGCTTTACTTTATCGGCGCACGATGGAGCGGCTTCAGCCATCGATGTCAATCCTCACATAAAAGGCTGCATAGTCACAGGCGGAATGGACAAGCTCGTCAAAGTGTGGAACATCAACGATGAAGACGGTGGCAAAAGAACGGTCAGCCTCGTTACATCGCGAGATCTTGGAGTTGTAAGATCACATTCTTAACTCTCCCGATGTCATCTCTGATTTCTTTTTCCGCTCCAGGGAAAAGTATTCTCTACAGTATTCTCTCCTGACCATCCGCTGACCGTAGCGGCCGCTGGTTCCAAAGCGAAACTGCAGATCTGGGATGTTGGTGCTAATTTCGGGACACGAAAAGCATTTGCCTCAAAACTTCGAGAAGCTGGCCGGGTGCTCAAGGAGAAGGAGGCTAGTCAAGGAGGGGTCATCGGAGTGGTTAGCGATAACGAAGAGAGTGGAGATGAGGCGGAAGAGTAGCTTTCTGCATTTTAGTTCCTTAAAAATTGTGACTTCCAAGGAGGATGAATTCAGTTAGATTTGTTTTCAAGGAGCCAGCGACCAATAAAAATATTCCTTTATCCAGGGTATCAAACTATAGGCTGGACGCTGAAGAGTCAGCTACCAAAGTAGCCAGGTCGTAATAGTGAATAATGTAAGGGTAAATAAAGTGGCTACGTGTCTTGATGAATAACAAACATCCCGAACCCCCAGCTCTCAGTCAAACTTTCTCCTCCGGTAAGAGATAGTTCTAGGTGTTTTAGGCATCGTGATCATGGTCTGTATGACGTCGTTCAGTGACATGGAGATAATTGGTTTGCAAAGGAAAGACCTACGTGATAATTATGCTCAGGAACCTTTTCGATGCGTAGTTCCATATTGCGGATGACGGTGGCAATGATGGTACCCAGCTGGAGGTATGCAAACTAAGGAAGCGAGTCGTAAATACCAAAACAGAAGAGGCATGAAAGGAGATAACCCACTTGTTCACCAATACACCTATGTTTCCCCGCACCAAATGGCTGATAAGGGCTCTCCGTTCCCTTGCTGACGGCACCGAATCCATAATCGATCTTCTCGCCATTTACATCAGCGTAGGTGTCAAACGCTTGCGCTGCAACGCCTTCGGGATCGCTCCAGCGAGAGGGGTTCCATTCGTTGGCATCTTTCCACACACGAGGGTCCGTCTGGCTGACAGCAGGGCAAGCGAGAACATAGTGGCCCTTCGGCACGATGTAGATGCCATCTTTGGAAGGAGCAGAGATCGTAGCAGGGACTGCCACGTCGTCACGGACGTGGCGCATTATGCTGTGGATGGGAGGATGGAGGCGGAGAGTCTCGCGGATGACGGTATCCATGATAGGGAGAGAGCGAAGTTCTTCATAAGTCATTGAACGGAGCTTGCCATCAGGAGTAGAGAAGTGCTGGACTTGTTCTTGATACAGGGCGTCGCTGGAATTGTTTCGTTAGTTATCTGGAATCGATGAAAATGAATTCATGACGTACGCAACCTGGGGATTGGCGGCAAGGTGGAGTAGTGTCCATGAACCGGAGGCGGAGCTCGTATGTTGCCCTGCCATGAGAAGGGCAATCATGATGTGGGCGATTTCATGGTCCTTGAGGAGTTTGCCCGACCGGTAAGCCTGTTGCATAAGTGCAGCAATCATGTCGTGTTCGTGCTAATACCAGTTAGTTAGACGAAGGGAGAAATCATGCTGTGAACTGACATCATCGTGGCCAGCCCTGCGCCTCTTGATAATGTCAACATAGAATGCGCTCATCTTCGTGTGTGCCCGATCGCGCCTTCGATAGCTCGCAAGCGGCAAGTTGGGGAACAAAAAGTTAAGAGGGGTAAATCCACCGTCGAGGTCATTGTAGAGATGCGCAAACTCCTTGTCGAGGTTCTCCCGAACTTCCTTGCCCTGAAGAGTCCTTGATGCGGTAAGAATCGTGATTTCCTGCATGACGTTGACGACATCGAATGTGCCCCATTCGTTAATGTCGTTCTGCTGGAATACTTTGAAGGCGGCGTCGTTCCTCATAAACTCTTCCACTTCTTCCTCAATCATACCAACATAGGCGCGTAGATTGTCGGTTGAAAGGCCAACTTTGACGAACTTCTTTTGCTCCATGAAGACCTCGTTAGGGACATCGTAGACGACGTCCTTACCGAAGATGGGGGTAGTTAAGTGCTAGAAAGGACGATGAGAAAATGACAAAAGGCACGCGCGGGACGTACAGTATAAGCATCCTCGGCATTCAGCACCGTTGATTTTCCACCAAGAATAAAATTGTTCCCTCTAGGTCCCAGAGCAACGGTCACGCGACGACCAAAAAGTATGAATGTAAACACGTCGCCATACTTAAAAAAGAAAATCAGCTCAATGGATGGAAATGAACAATTAAAGCCGACTTACTTTTTTTTGACACTTGAAGAAAAAGTTCAGGGGGTCGTTTCCATACGAGATGGCCGAACCAATGATAGGAAGCCAGTGGAAGACAACAGGAGGTTCGGAGGCTCTGCGAGGAATCTAAAGAACCATTTTTGATGAGAGCAATGAGAGGCAAAAAACCAGTCGTGCTTACTAGTTGAGCAAGAGCGTTGAGAATTATAACGATTAGAGGGATATTGAGGACGGCAATGAGAGCAAAACGCGAGTTCAAGGGAGGAAGGTTTGCTTGTGCATGAGCAAGGTAACCCGACCAATGGTCCGAGAGTGGCATCGAGCCGTTCAAATGCGTGGCGAACGACATGATGGTGGGCAAATTCTTGACATCCCACACACGATTTTATATAGAACTGAAAATTCAGAATCGAACCATGTCCAAACACGGCAATAGATTAGATGAAAGTTTACGTGATTAGATCTACAGAATTTAGACTACACTACCTCCTTCGCCTCCACAATAACCTTTAGATTAACTCCAAGCTGGATATCTTTGATTTTCAATGAAAGCCGAGTTGAAAGAGGCCACATCTCCGCATTCCGTACAGTGCCTTTTAGCCCTAGACTCGGTATGATAACATCGCCCTGGAGTATATGCTCCGACTTATTTTGAAAAGGTACATTTGTCGCGAACCCTTGCAGATTTTCCAGCGGGTCATTCTCCACAGGGCCTGATCGCTCTCTTTCTTCCATCCACCGCTTCAGTTTCATCAGCTGCCAAAACGTAACGTGAACACGGTCCGCGTGTGACTGTATCTTCTCCTGCGATGCGTTGGCAGCAAGATAGTTAACCAAGGCAGCTTCGTCAAACAGAGGCTTCGTCTTTGATCCTATTAATGCATGGTGAATCTGCCAGTGGAACATCAAATCCGAGAACCGTCGCAGTGGGGACGTCACGCGAACATATCCCTCGCCCTCCGGAAGTCCAAGACTGTAATGGCGCTTTGGACTCAAAGAGTACCCAGCCTTGGGTACCAACAGCAAGTCAGGTAGGACGGATTCTAGCGGGACGTAGTTTCTAGGTGTTCGCAGACTCAAGATCCTCTCCAAGGCGGCCTCGGAGTTCATCTTCATTGGCTCGCCCGTCCGTCGTAAAGCAGGCAGACCTTTGTCTGTGCAGAACCGAGATGCGACACGGCAGGCAAACTTCATCATCTCCGCCACGAGACTGCGTGAGCCCCTGTCAATCTCGTCTATACTTGATACTGCAACGTTAAACGAGGGGAAGCCTCTGAAGCGAGAGTTCTCCAATGTCGGACTATTGAGCCCAGGTGGAAGCTTGAAATGCTCAATCTGGGCGTTTGGAAGGATATACATGACCACCCCGTCTCGCTGCCGCTTATCCACGGAGGAGTTAGCAACGCGATACAGGAGACGGAGGTCATTCTTCTGATCTGGCGTCAGCTCAATCTTGGTCTTCGCTGGCTTCGGCACTCCTCCATATGGATACCATTTAACAGCGGGGTCGAACCCCATAACTTCATCCACAGCATTATAGTTCAAAACGTGAACGTTACGAACGAGGCCAGCGCGCACTCTATAGTCCAAAATGTTACCTCCTGAATCCACTTTTGCACTGAACGTAAGCGTGCGATCTGGCGACCCCGAGCCCAAGCCTGAGCCCAAAGACATGCCACGTTGCGTCAACGTGCGTGGAAAGAGAGGCCACGAGCGGTGACACTGGTAGGTTGTTGACCCTCGAGCCATAGCCTCTTTCGCGAGTATGTGAGACGGTGGGATGATAGAAGCTGGATCCGCGACGTGTGTATGCACCCATGTAGCATCCTCTCCAGGACAAGCTTCAACAGAAATGCCATCGTCAAGTTCTTCGGCATGTAGGTCATCAATGACATATACGGGCAAATTCCCAAAGTCGTGCCGTACAGAATGTAGAGGATCTGCGGGATAAAAATCTTCTGGACCTAAAGGGCTATTTGGGAGAGGTTTTGATGCAAATGATCGTTTGACAATAGCATCTTTCTCCTTGACACGAGATGATGTCACTTCTGGTTCCTGGTCTAAATCAAGAGCGGGATTTAACGAAACGACGTCCTGCCAGGGGGCAATCACCCTAAGGTCGACCAGCATTCGGTAGACAAGATAGTCCGCTATTGGTGGGCCATGTGGATCGAGTAACTTCATGATGGCACTTTGTCCCAGAGAGTATGGATCCGACTGCGTTGATCGGAATGGACGCAACGAGCGAAGGAGGAAGGACAAGATGACTTTGTCGGAGTTGTTCCATATTTGCTCGGCTGGTTGCTGGCTCGGAGGTTCACTGAAAGATTCAGAATAATCCTGCTTGCTCTGTTTTATTACAGCCCTCGCCTTTTCGGCAAATTGATGTAAAGGCCCATTGGGTATCCTTTTCCAGTTATTGATAGCTTCAATGCAAGCCACGTCTTCTTGTGGACGGACATTGAAGGTTTGCGTTGACGTATAAGGTTCACGAGCTACGAAGTATTTCGGTTGGTCCATAATGTATTTGTGGGCGGCAAATACGGTCGCAACGGATGGCGTCTTATTAAGAAGCCTTGTCATCTCGCCTAACGTTGCTCGACCCCACTTCTTTGGATCATGATGCCTAGTAGCAGCATACAAGTTCATACGCTTGCCAGTGAGCAAAGTTTGCTCCTCCTCAACGGCGTTCTCGAGCGCCCGTAAGCGTTTAAGAACTTCTACGCGTGCGTTGATCTCGTGCTGGGAGGTTGCTATTTTCTCGAAGCCACATCGTATCGCCTGTTGCGCAGAAGTGAACGCGGGTATGGAGAACATGATATCACCTTCATTATGAATCCAAAGCTCCCCGTTCGCCACAAGGGTCATAGTATACCTTGAGGTTTCGATGAACGTTTCCCCAAGGACGACGCCATGAGCTAAGCCCTCGTTTCTGTAACGAAGGCGTAAATATAGGCTAAACCAAAAAAAGGAAACGCACCTCCTCAACTCGACGAAAGTTCCGGGAGAGCACTCCGTCATTGACATATCGCTCTCCTCACTCAAGGGCCCCTCCGCCTCCCCAGCAGCGAACTCCAGCTGTTCATTTGAAGGTGCACGCGATTTGACAGAGTCGAGCAAACTTTGCGCAGCGCGGTTCGCAGAAAGGTACTCCCGGCCCCCGACTTTTGACTGCTTTTCAATGAGTTTTTGCGTGAGAGTGTTCATACTAAGCCAGTCGTCAGGTTTGAGGTCCTGTAGCTTGGATGATGGAGTTCCTGGCTCATGTTCGTTGACTGACGATGACGATGCGAGTGAGCGGTGGTGTATGCGAGGGGCGGGCGTTAAACGACAAGGAAGGCTTGCTATGATAGTCTGGCATGAACGCGCTTGTCGCGTCATGACTATTCTGAACGAACTTGAACAAAACTTGAATGAAGGTCACCGTGACGATCAAAATTTCCAGTCCGGGCCGTTTCCCCATTCAACTCAATATCACCTTTCTTTCTAAAACACCAATCGACATTCGACACAATGTTCAAACGCGTCGAGAAACGGCGCCGAAAGAAAGAAGAGGAGGAAGAACTCGGTCTAGACGAGGACATGAAGGAGGTTCTTGGGATCCACGACACGGATTCGGAAGAGTCCAACTCTGAATCGGATTCAGAGCCTGAAGGCGATAGTGACTCTGACATTGAAGAAGGTGGGGGTCTAGGCGAAGAAGGGGACGAGCGTGAAGCTGAAGCTGAGGAGAGTGGAGAAGAGGAAGAGGAAGAAGACCCCTCCGTAACAGTCGCCCAAGCGCTGCAGGACCCCATCTACGTCGTATCCGTCCTACCAGAAGTAAAAGCCTGCATCGTCTGCCCCGGAAAACTTCTCAAAGGCGTGAAAATGGTCCAACTGCACAGAACCTCCAATGCATGTATGCTTTCGCTCATTAAGATCGCTGCAAGATGTAACTAACAAGCCGACCTCACACAGGCTCATGATCGACGATTGAAAACGTTTAAAAAACTTGCTGCTAACGCGGATTCAACTGGGAGCGCATGGGAGGTCCTCAAGCAACACGCAGAGGATAAACCTAAGCTGTCCCTTGTGGAACCTTCTGCTACATCCAAAAGAGCTGAAAAGAAGGTACGCTCGTTTCCTTTTGACACACTGCACTTTTTATAAAAAGATATTGTTAGGAAGCGAGCAAACTAATCCGCAAAGCTCGTCGCGAAAAAGCAAAAGCAAAGGCTAAAGCCAAGAAAGCAACTGAAAAGCAGCCTGCCCCAGCTGACGACACATCTGCGCCGAAACCCACGTCACCAAAGAAAGAATCTCAGGTTGCAAACGAAGACAAGCCTGCGAAGAAAAAACGTAAAGTAGGAGATCTGGCCAATTCTCCAAGGAAAAAGAAGGAAAAAGACGCAGTAACTCCATCTTCTGCGGAGCAAGACGAACCTAAAAAAGCTGGTCCAACGACCGAGGCCACAACTCTAGCAAAAGCTGTCAAGAGCATAGCCAAATCTACACATGACCGGGCAAAAACAGCGCGGTCGCGGGCGTCAAGCATGTCAAAAGCTCCTCGGAGAAAGCCTCTAGTATCATCTTGATTCCTCGTAGATACATGTAAGTAACGATACCCCATTGTTCCCGACAATACGTATACAGCGGCATAACACCACAACGGATTAACGAAAGGAATCGTGGAAAGAGAATGGTCCCAATGAAAATAAAAATAACACACACATACATACACGGATTCCAATAAAAGTATGCATGAATAGCAACCCCGCCCCCCCTCTTCCCTTCTACGCATCAACCACCATCGACCCCTCCTGTCCATTGTCCCAACCCTCAAACCCAAGCTCATCCACGCCCTCCATCCCACCAGCCTCCATAAACCTCCGAACATCCACAACCTTCACCGACACACGCTCGACCCCACCTAGTTCCACTCTGAAAGAATTTCCTTGTCGCTGAGTTTTTTCCATTTCCAACCACATTCGCGTTCCCATTCTTCAAGTGTGGGTGCGAGTGCGAGTGTGGAGGGTGAGAAATGGAATAATACTGCCCCGTCAAAAGACTCATCCGCTTTTTAGCAGGTCGGCGACGCGTCGTTTTCTGCTATGATTATAGGTGGTGGCGTAAGAATCCGAATCAGAGTCCCACGAGTCCGAGTCCAATTCGGCTGGTGACGGGGAACGAGAGGACGGGGGAGGGGTGTTGCAGGGTGTATATATACCGCGCGTGTTCTGTAAATTATGTGTGTCACTGAGGGAAAAAAAGGAAGGAAGAGAAGCTTACGAGCTAATCGGTCGTCTAGCTCGTCTCGTCCCAAATCATCATCCTTCGCAAACCCCAAGTGTTCACCTAGACTTTGTCTCGGAACGTCATGCATCCCTACAGAGGGCGCGCTCGGTAACTGGGATAGTTGTTCCAGAGCGGTTATCCTATGATCATCAGCTCAGTTTTGTCTGTCTCTATGAAAGACCAAATAGGCTCACCTAACTTTCTCCAAAGATCCATCCCTAACATTCAAATCATCCATATTATTCTCCGCTACTTCCAACCTATACCGGGGGCCAAACCCTTCAAAGTACTGATCCCAGGGTAAATTCGGGTCAATGCTGTCTTCTTTCCCAAGTGCACACGCCGTCTCGTACGTCCATGTCCGAGCTACATTTTTCACACCCCCGCCGAGGAGTATAAACGGGATATTCTGTTTTCGGACGAATTGGACGCAGCGCGCGTGTCCGTGCATCGTCAAGTTGAAGCAACCCAGCTTGTCTCCTGCTAAAGAGTCTGCGCCGCATTGGAGGACGATGGCGGAGGGTTGGCACATTTCTAAAATCTTCGTGATGACCTGCAGCACTCCTTAGGATTAAGATAAAAGAAGAAAAGAACACCAACGCACGGGCTCAAAAACACTCCGATACGACTCATCCGTAATCCCATCCTTAAGCGGGACATTAACCGCATACCCGCGTCCCCTCCCCGTCCTTTATCCTCCTGCGTCCCCGTCCCAGGAAAATACTCTCCAAATTTATGGAAACTACACGTCATAACACGATCAGTGGTATAAAACGCCTCTTCGACGCCATCGCCGTGATGGCAGTTGATATCGATGTAGAGGACGCGGGGGTAGAGGTCGAGGATGCCGAGGACGATGTCGTTGATGTAGCAGAACCCGTAGGCTTCGCGTTTTTTGGCGCGGTGTAGGCCGCCAGCCCAGTTTATGGCTATGTCGGCTGCGCCGGAGGTTATGCGTCGGGCGGCAGCTGGGGGGGAGGGGTGAGTTGGGTTCGAGAGAGAGATGAAGGAGGAATGTGGGTGTGTGCCTATGGAACCTCCTACGGAAATGGAGCAGAATTTGAAGAGGCCTTCAAATGCGGGGTCCTACAAGACAGTTCCTAAGCCTTGACGACACTTACATAAGTAGTCTGGTCCGCAGCGCGTCGGCACCTTCATCCGACGATCTTGAACCTCCACAACTCACGAACAACGAACACCACTGCATATTCTCGCGCAATCAACACCTGTACTTTCAGGTCAGCCAGACCACGCGTATAATTTTGTTGTGCATCTCCTCCGCGACCTTCGCGCCCCCCTCTCCGCTGAGAACAAGTTGGGACGAAACTTGCATCCACGTTGCCGCTGAACACGGCGATTGTATCGAATTGTTGATGTTTTTCCTGGATTTTGATTCCACTGGTTCCGTCCGCGAACAGGAAAACTCCCGAGGGTATGTTATGCCTTATTTTAAACACGACTGTCTAACGCATGATCTTTGCATAGGTTGACAGCCTTGGAAGTAGCAAAACCCGAATTCCTCATCGCTTTTGGAGAAAATACTGAAAACACGAAATCTGTTTCCGCTCTTTCCAACTACACCATTAAGCCAACTGGTTCCTTTGCGTCACTTGCCACATTTTTCGGATGGTCAGACTTTATCACTGCACAAGACGACACTGCATCACTTTACACTCCTTCGTTTCTCGACGTGGCTGTCACAGCGCAATTGGTTCTCTCTAACTTTCGTCGAACGTCCCCTATTGGTCGACACCACGATGATCCTGCTTACCTTGCTCAACAGACGAGCTCCTACTCAACAAAGCCAAACTCTTGTGCAACATTTTCGCGATAAGGCAAAGGATGCCGAGCTTGAGAGGAACGGTGCATCTCCTGTAATGAAATCCATGAAGCGCAGAAGATGGTTCAAACAATAAATTTATACCTTGATTTCCGTCAAGATTCGTTCCGAGGTAACGGTGCACCCGGACCACGGGATTCCCAATCTCTTCGTCCAGGTCCAGGTGTTCGCCAGAAATAGGAGATAGCAGAGCTGCGCAAGAGTTCAGAACGAATCGACGCGCTTAGGAACGCCGTTTCCCATGCGGCCAGAGGCAAAATCGCCATGAGAGGTATCCGCCCCATGCCCCCCAAGAAGCGATATCGCGATTCCGAGGATTCCCAAACAACTGCAGTTTCCTCGCTTTCCGAGTACCAAGCTGATTGGGTTCCTGCTTCCCCTCATGCTAACGATCGTCGTGACGTTGCGACCCAAACCACTCTGCTTGACGTCCTTAATATGAATCCTAGTGCGACTTCCCGGCAGCCAGGACTTCCTTCCTTGAGAATTTCGTTCATAATGACGACCCATGTACAAATCTTACCTCGTAGGCCTCTGGGAGGTTAATCGTGAACTTGAGGAACTCGAGGAGAAAGTGACGCCTTCAGACATTGACGGCCAAGACTATGGCTTTACGTTCTTCCCATCCAACATCAGACCAAGCTAGATTTGGTTCTAGACGTCAACAAGGAAAGGTGCCATGTGGACGGAAATACCCTGCCCAGGAACTGCTTGCCCGCTCAGGAGGCCTTTGATGCTTCCATCGATGGCATGGCATGACTTGAAAACAGTTCAAGATTGCGTGGCTTCCGTGAGTACATTAAGTCAGACCTTTCATTCAAGTCCTCATCTTCATTTATGCAGGCCGAGCAATTCGTCGAGTCTGCCAATGACTTCATCACCAGGTCTGAGCGTGTAATCGAAAGGGCAGTTAAGGTTAGTCATCCCAAATTACTTCCTGCTGGTCGCGTTGTTGAACTTGTATAAGAGAAATGAAAAGCAATGCTCGCCAAACTCCGTGCGTCGGAGGCGGGCGCACAATGAGATGATGGTGACATCTTTCAGCAACAAGATTTAGATACGGGTTCCCAAGAGAATGGAAGGCTGATGTTCCCGAGAAGAGGCATTACAACTGTTGCCCCCTCTGGTTATGACCCAGCACGTCAAAGCATTCTTAACTGAGTCAGTCTGTGTGCCAATATTCGATACGAAGGAACATCGATGGTGACTGGTGTGATAAAGCTCGGTTACGGTGTCAACGTCGAGCCGGGGAATGTGCCAACTAGCAACAGAGGGCATAATGAATCATAATTTAAACTCATGACGAACAACAAAATTACTGAAGTACACCACGACATTGTTCTCTACTGATTCTCACCTGCTGAGCTTTGAAGAATAGATCGAAAGATTTCGCGTTCTGTATCCTTAGCCTTTTCACTATCGCATAGCCTTGCGTGCCCAAAGTCAATGATCGTAACTCCAGAGTCACTGATGAGGATATTCTCCGGCCGAATATCATCATGGATAATACCTGCGTGATGGATGGACTCCAGTGTTGACATAGCTGAATCACTATTCGGGAGTAGACATTCAGTATTGGAAGAACAAGTCTCGATAAAGTCACAAAACTTACTAGTCAAAAGTTGACAGCATACATCCTGGATCCAGTGTAGAGATTGGAACACCTGCATAAATCGTGACAAGTGCACATGCAGAATTTTCAACGTCATCAAAGAAACCAATCGTCGGTGTGATGCCTCGATGGACCCCTTTGCACTCCAGAAGACGATAGAGTTCATATTCTCTCTTGAGGGAATCCCGCTGTTGGTCCTCAAACGCAAGCTTCACGACGACATCCAGTGAGCCAGCTCCTTTCATGTTTTTTGGCTTGAGGGTGCCACGGAGGGCTTCGCCGGTTGCACCTTGCCCAATTTCTGAAGTGACGACAATGGTCATACATTGACCTCCGTCGGTGCAGTGGCGTGGCGAAAATGGAAGACTGTTTGGTGGAATATTCAAGGGCAAGGAGCGGATGAATGACGCGGGGGTGGGAGAGTCATACACTCCAAACTGGAGATAGAGGTGTATGAGATCACACTGACTGGAGACGTATAACATTTGCTGGAAGTTGTCAACATCAATGGAAGATTGACATTGTCGAAGCAAACATACATACCTCCATGTCCAGTCTTTCAGCAGCTTTGCCACCAACGGCTGTATGCCTGCTGTGTTCAATGCCACCTGCTCCAGAACTGCCTGCCCCAGGGCCACCTTCTTCGGGACTACCACCTTCTCCGGGACCACCACCTGCTCCTGGACCACCACCTTCTCCGGGACCACCACCTGCTCCACCTGCTCCAGGACCACCTTCTCCAGGACCGCCACCTGCTCCAGGACCGCCACCTGCTCCAGGACCGCCTGCCCCACCGCCACCTTCACTAGGGCTGCCTGCTTCGGGACCACCTACTCCACTACCACCTCCACCCTGGCTATCGTCGGCACTTTTGTCATCCTGTTTCATGCGATCCATTGCATCTTGGACAGCAGCAATGATGAGGCCGACATGAATTTTGCCGTATCCAGGATCATGACAATCATGGGGTACAATAACATCGGATACGTAAAGCGTCTGCGAACTTCGGTGACGGATGCCGATAACTTCATGGTTACCGGAGTGGAGCACAACAACCGATGTGTTAACTCTTGTAGCTTGTGCCCAAGCCTGTGCAAATCGATATCAACATTATTTCAGCAGACATTTTTTTAGTATTACCTGCTGGATAAAGGAGTGTGCCCTTGTGTCCTTGGTTCTGGGAGCCTTGTAGGTCACATGGCTGGGATCCTCGTAGTCACTGTCATCAAATTTTTGTCGCTTTTTGCCCTTGTCCTTCATGGGAGCGCGCTCTTCAGTTGAGAAACGTGCGATTGTGGGTTCCGTGGAGAAATCCCCACTATCAGGTCTTTTTCGTTTTGCGCCACGGTTCGGGTCACTTGATGGTGCAAATGCTGAGGGACCTGCCATTGCAACTGGGGTAGTTTGTTGCGCGGCGGAGGCTCCAGGTTCCGATGGATTTGGCAAAGGTGGTGGGGGACCCATGCGAATATGCTCCATACGACGAGGTTTCTCAAGAAGAGCCCCCACTAGGGGTGGTGCATGACCTGCCTTCGTGGCTGATCGGGTTGTTCGTATAGTTTCTGTATGGTAAATTTGTGGAGTCTTGAATTTTTCGTCGCGTTCAAGTTTTTCACGGCGATGAGGTGGCACCATCGGAGGGCCCATGATTGTAGATGCGGTACCTTGTCGAGCAGGTTCTGATGGATGCGTCGCCGGTGGGGGCAATCTGGAGGGACCTGCACCTGTGTGCCCACCAACTTCACCCTGCTCCATCGCAGGAGCCATGGCTAGGGGTGGTGCGCCGCCTGCCTTCGTAGTTGATCGTGTCATCCTTGAATGGTCAATTTGTGAAGCCTTAAACAACTTGAATACGATGAACAGAATGTTGAATACAAGGTGTAACGGAACGTACATGGAGATTCCACGGGGGATCTACCGCATCACGTCCGACAACAATCTTTGCAGCTTGATCCCTTTCTGCCTTGTGACTAGCATCTGTGCACGGGTTGGATTCGCAAAGCTCCCAAGGAAAAGGATCCGTCGTTTTGGCAATATCGTCCATCACTTTTTTAGGCGCTACAGCCAGATTCTTCAACTCATAAGATGACAATGGCTTTTTATCTGCCCGCATCTTTTGAACAAACTCGCGGGTGGCGCCGTCCATCTTCTCTAATATTGCATTCATGTCTTGTTCAACCGTTGAAAAGGTTGATGATCTCCGGAAAGAATGTTCGCCATCCATGATTGCATAACCTTGGGAAGAAACGTCCGAGGTGAACGTGATGAGGGTTTGCCATCCTGGTACAGCGTTAGGATGTAGGAGTAGTGTTGAAGCCACACATGAGCAGAAGGTTTCAGTCGTTCCTTGCAAAAAGACAGCAACTCCATTTTCGTTGTCTACCTCAGTGGTTTGGAGCCGTAAGATGATATTTCTAAACGCGGCTGTAGGAAAACCTTCGGCGGGAGGTGGAAGGGCATCTTTCACAAGTTCAAGCACTGGATCTACAGTTCCCGCTAGCACCTGTGATAGAGATGGAAGGTGTACCACCCGCTTGAGGATTGCTTCATCAGAGAAGTGTTTTTCGTAAAACGTCCCTTCACGAGTCTTCGTGGATTGTCTTTTGTCAGGGTTAGCAACTAGAGGGGGGGGGTTCCAAGAAAAAAACTCCTCCAGTTCTTGAAGTATTGTATGTAAGTGAAGGAGCATGACTCGTAGAAGCCATGTCAGATTTGAAGCTTTTAGAAACTCAGATACGCACAACGAGTAAGGAAAAACTACCATACATTACATTCCTTCGACACAGATTTACGTTAATAGTAAAAAGGGTCATTGCCTTGGTCAATGGGTGAATTATAATATGCAGTCTGATTGTCAATAAACGTGGGTGGTGCAAGAGGCGGACTAGGCGATGTTTGCTGATAGTGGCGAGGTCGTCGAGGAGAATCATTGTGAGGATCCCGAATTGAAGGAGTGCAGCCCATGCGGCGTGCATCGTAAATGGCTGCATCCAGAGTCGAGTTGCAACCAACATTGTCCTGTGGAACGTGAAGTCTCTGTTCCTCCTCTGCCGTTATCTCTATCTTCGCGCTGAATGCCCTGACATCACCCCGCTGGTTCCAACTCTTGTGCCGTTCTTGAAGATGCCGATGGTAGTTGTACTTCCAATGAACCTCAACACAGAATTCACATCGTATGGGGACATTGGTACACGCCTTCTTTGCAGACATCTTCGCAGCGGCATGGATCATGAACTTGTAAGCTTTCGAGCAAGTTGACTGAGCCTTTCCACTCTGGATCGCAATTGTGCATTTACCGCCTGCGCTTGATTTACCGCAAAAGCCGCATGGAAAGTCTAATGATATCTAGTACAAAATACGCATGAGCAAACAACGCAACAGTCAGAGTTGTAGAAAAACGCACTGCCGCCAGATTCTCTTCACCGTGTTGAACGCCTCTATATCTTCGGAGAATGTGGCCACCCATGTGATTTTGCTGAAGTTCGTTGGACACTTTTTCTCCACAGATGTCGCATTCTTGTATTGTTTTCCCCACAGAAGGTGCCACAATCTCAGTTGTCGAATGGTTGATAACCCATGTTGCACCTTACAAGTATAGTCACGGCTTAAGACTTTGAAAAAGAACAGAGATGATTCTCACCATCTGTTGCTTGGTACGGAAACGGCGTGCTCGTCATGTCTCGGACTACTCCAAAAACTGGGATCTTCAACCGCAAGTCATCGTCATCTTCAATCTTCCTTCTAAGGCTGAGCTCCATTCGACACATATCATTCTCGTCCACTTGCCATGTGTTCCCGACTTCCTCTTGAAGTGCCTGGTCAAGCTGCGGGGTTGGAACTGACATAAACTGGGAGGAGTGCAATGGGTACGTCAAAGAACCATTTACCACGATATTTAAATGATGAAGGCTGGTCGATTGGGTTTGCTTTTGACGGGACTTCGATGCAGAGTTTAAGGCAACATATCGGGAATTCCAAACCCACGACAGTGTAATAGCTTGTGGATCGTTGTTGCTTTTGCGGATGATAGGAAGAAATGAGAGAATTTGGCCGGAAACCTCATACGGCGAATCGGGTAGCGCTATTTCATCCAACGGAGCACAGCTGAGGAGTTCGGAGCCGGATTTAAGGAGTGTGCATTGCAGAATTGCCAGCGCAACGCTATTGTGATTGACCGAGACCAAAGTTGCAAATAGCGACCCCAATTTGAAGACTTCATCACCAGAGAGGCCTGCATGAATTCGTGGCTTCGCGCGATCCCAGCTATCCCCACCAATGGAAAAACATCGAATGCGAAGTAGACGATCATGACTTTTGTTGTAGTCAACGTCGAGGGATCGATCGAAATAACAACGGAGGACAGATTTTTTGTGTACAATACGCCCCTCCACGTCCATCCAAGATGAATAAAATGGCTGACACTGGCTACTTGCCCTCTCAGCTTCAAGTTCTTCCTTGCCATCAAATCTTCGATAGAGGTATTCCTCGTCCAAATCCACAGCTTCCAGTGACACCGACTCTTCAGCATCCTGCCCCAGTGATCGGTCAACCCCTGCTGAGATTCCAGGATACTTGCCGTACAAAGCGGGATTCTGAGGATCTTTCAACGGACGCATGAGGTCGCATTTAGGATCTTGAAATATCATTGCGAAGTCGATGGGTAGGCCATCGTTGAGCATAAAACCAGCCTTTGAAAGGGCAGCTTTGGCTTGTTGCACACCTTCCTTCCAACACGCCAAAAGATCACACGATGCTGCCCGTAGATCTCCCTTCCAATGACGCGGTGAAAGATGATCCACATCGCGACTGCGTTTGAGCTGCAATCGATCAGGACGACGTTCCCATTTTGGATACTTGAGGTATATGTGGTCCAACCGTATCGCGCTACCTATTCGATTGCGCAATTCCTCAACATCAACATCTGGTGAATGGCCCCTTATCATTCGTACCCGCCCAAATAGCACCTCAAGTACATCATCACCAAGCAAACACAAAAAGACTTTGAGTTCGGATCAAGAAGTTTTGTATGCGCTACACGAAATATAGCAGTCCGGACCATACATTGTAGATCGCCGTAAAGATGTTGCGGAAGAAAGGCGCCCCCGTGCTTCAAAAACAAAGCACAAGCTATGTGGGCAAATTTAACGAGGCTTGTGATTTGCTGAGATAGCGTGAATTCAGGATTGATGAAGGGTTCAACAAGAGCCTCCAACAATTCACCAAGAAGGGAGAAGGCTCGATGGGTTGAGTACTCTGACGGATTCAAGTCAGAGTTGTCGATACCACGCAGGTCAGCCGTGACTCGGAGGAGTTTAATCGCTCTTGGAACATCTTGGGGGTCTTTCGGATCGAGGAGCGCGTGGATAGCTTCTACGATAGACGATGCTGGGTTAAGAAGAGCGTAGATCGAGTTTTCCGACCAATCGACATCCGAGAGACGTTCAAGCCACGAGCCGAGGAGACTCTTGTTGATAGTGGTCCCGTTAATCAAAATGCCTTCGCGTGCGCAGATTGTCTTGCAAATACCTAGTAGAAAAGAAAGGTTATGAGAAAATGAGTGTGTAAACCAAGAAAAACTCACGTTTAAGATCATGTTTTACATCCAGATCCTGCGTCATCCCTCCGCTCCCCGTGAAAAGGTTCAATCCTGGAAGATTTCCAAGATGTTGATGCAGGGCATCGGCAGCCGTGAGCTTGTGAGCCATGCAGTGGAGGTACAACGCTGGTCGCCGCTTGGGGTCACCATCCGAAGCTATGGACCAGATGGATCCATGCAACGCCTCGCCATATAGAGACATCTCCCAAGCTTGTCGAAGCTTCTCAATGAGGAGCGCGGAGTCTCGAAATGAGCCCTGTTTGCAAGTGGGCATCAAGAGGACAGGCCGTGCACCGTAATCCACATCGTCATTTCTTGCAAAGGCCGCAACAAAGACCTCCTGCCCCACATGAATCTTCCCATCACGTATCGCTTCACGAACAGCACGCACTATCTCCAAATCTGTTCCCATCTTCACCGAATCCCGCTTTGCATGTTCGCAGACACCGGCTATTTCGTCCGTGGCAGTGAGATAGCAGAGACGACCATCGCTAGCAATTTCGTCCATGGAAAGAGTGATCCCGCAACGTCTGTGTTCAGGTTGAGTGGTCTTGAACATGACCTCAATGTTGTGAAGGATATCTTGCATCCGGGGTTCCCCAATACTGATCCTCAGTTGGTATTCGCGACGACGTTTGGCAAGGGTGTTTCGTGACGGAAAAGCGAAAGGGGATTTTTGCAAGGCATAGAGCGTTGCACCACCACCGAGCTCGTATACAACCGTGGCAATGTCCAGCTCCATCTCGCTGAAGTTTCGAGCCTGATATTTTCCCTCGACTGACAACTGCGTCATCTCGAACAACTTCTCTAAGCTCCAGTTTTGATCCAGCCAATTTCTAAATAGCCTGGGCAAAGCGGGAACGTCGTGCGTAGCGAGGAATTTGAGGAGGTTTTTAAGTGTTGATTCAACTTGAAGAAGGCGGTCAAGCATCCTCGAGTCATTGAGAGACTAGTAAAGTTGTCAGGACACTGTATCAATGTATCAATGTATAATGTTAAGAACGTACAGTCAGCGTCGCTTGTTTCATTCTTTCAACTTTGCCACTTAGATGCTGTTGGGCCTGTTGGTGGCTGGGAAAGGCATGCCGCAGCAGTTGAGGTGGTTTCTGAGCCCTTTCTTGCACAGCCGAAACGAGGTTCCTTACCTCCTGACACGGTTTGCATGCCAAGAAGCCTTTGGGGGCATAGCCGGAACACGACAGTGAGCGAACATGGATTATGGAGGAGTCCGAGTTAACGGTTAGAAGCGTGTAGCCTGGCGCGACACCACAGGAGGGGTCGTGAGCGGCAAACGGATAGGTAAGATAAGGAGCTCCGAGCTCCCATTGGTAGAGAAGGCCTTGACAGCCATCCGAGCGGGTGGTGGATGGAAACGAGTTCGCATTTTGAGTGCGTTGTTCTGCGATAATACGATCTATCGAAAGGGAGAGCTGATATGAGCATTGTAGTACGTCGATCTGACAAACACACCTGCAAAATCGAGTCGGCACTGTTTACTTTTCTGATGATTCTTCAACGTGTTGGAAGGAGAGGCGACTCCTCTATTAATTGTCTTGTAGCATAGGTCGCAATTTACTTGCTGATTTGATGAAGTCGAAGTTTGAACGTTTTCTTTGAATGATTGTGAAGTCGAATTATGAACAGATCGTGAAGGCGAAGTATGGATGGGCGGAGAAGTGGATTCGGATAGTACACTATTTACAGCGTCAATCTGCCATGTGAACTGTATCGAAGAGGTGGACGCGTCTGAACCTAGACGCGTTGAGGGTGGGTGAACGAGAGCTCAACAGCGCTCATCGTTCAACGCTATTGCTGAGATTGAAACCTGAAGCCTGCCGTGCATCTGCCGCTGTCCGCTTTTGGGAGTACCCCCCACCCCTACCCCGTGAGAACGATGTGCACCGATCGTGGATCTGACGCCTCTTGCTGTCAAGAGTATAGTCAAATCTACACACGACCGAGCAAAAGCAGCGCGTCGCAGGCGTAAAAGTTCCTCGTAGAAAGCCTCTAGTCGCGTCTTGATTCCTCGTAGATACATGTAAGTAAGCTATACCCCCATTATTCCGAACAGTACAGCGGCATAACACCACAACGGATGATTAACGAAAGGAAAGCCATCAGGGTAAAAAGAGAATGTCCACAATGAAATAAGAATAGCATAACACCTGCAAAACCATCATTAGGGCACATCTTCGAGTCGCCTCTCATGCCAGAGTCTGTAGTACCCGATCCGTCATCTCAATAACCTAACAAATGAAGGAAGCTCAGCAAGCATTGAACAACGCCAATCAAAGACACAACAGACCTTATTTATATCGGGTCGTTCCTTCGGGTCGACCTTGAGCATACTATCAATTAGATCCCTCAATCCCCGCGAATACGCCGACTGTGGATGTTTATATTGCGCATTCAAAACAGCCATTGCTATCGAACCGCCCTGTTCTGTCGTCTGTGTGTTTTCAAAGGGAGAATGCGAGTAAGCGAGAGCGTAGAGGGTGCAGCCTAATGACTGTTACGCGACTTATGAGATTTATGGCAAAGTAGAAGGGAAGTGGGAGAGAGCGTACCCATATATCAACTTTCTCGTCAAGAGTTTGACCCGTTTTCACGTCGAATAGTTCGGGTGCCCGGTAGGACATGGTACTTTGTTCAGCTGCAATATCCTGACGCCATAAAATCAGGCTCCAAGTCCTATTCAGTCAAAAAGAAGAACCTACCTGCTGGTAGAGAGCCTGCGACCGATTTTCAATAAAAATGCGGGCCTTCATCGTACTACCAAAGTCCATCAAGATTGGCGTAACACCATCATCCGCAATCATCACATTGCTATACCACGATCATCAATTGAATCATTGCTGCATCAGAGAGCGCACTCACCCCGGCTTCAAATCCCTATGAGCATACGGAACCACCGCCAGCGGCGGTCCATCCTGCTGCTGCTCCTCGTCCCCATCAAACACAACGTCAACATCACCCTCGTCCTCCACCCTGTGCCTCGTCACAAGTGGGACATTCACCGAAGAAGGTCCATCATACGAGTACCCTCCATCAGCGTCTCCCTCGGGCTGCGGGAACCGCTCATCATTGTCCTCTTCCTCCTCATGCTTTTGGCTCTTCCCCGTGTTTTTGGCATTTTTGTTATTGACAACGGCAGACCGTGGCGTGGTGGGCCGATACTCATGCATAGCGCGGACGGCAAGACACGTCCCTTTGAAGAGGCGCACCATCTCTTGTTCAGGAAAGTGTTGCCCGTTGACGACGTTGGAATTTATCATGTCTTGCAAGTTGCCTCTCTGAGTTCAATGAAGACGGGTTGTAAAGGAGGGAAGGGGAAGTGCACACCTTGTATAGCGGTAAGAAGAGATAGACGATCTGGCCTTCGCCTTCTGGGTCTTGTACAACTGCAGAGTCCTACAACTGGAAATTAGATAAACGCGTTCGATGATGATGTATGGGTGAGGGGGAATCACCAATATTCGAATAATATTCGGGTGTCTACGTGGCTTGCAGATCAGCACATAGGTACACGGACACGGGCAAGAAAGTGCAGGAAACTTACTTAAACCTCCGATACGCCTCTACCTCCCTCATAACTTCCTTAACCCCCTCCTGCCCCGTCGGACACCGTATCTTCTTCAACGCAAACTGCCTCTGCACACACCACGCGACGTGTCAACACATTCAAATTAAACAGAATGAAACCAAACACACCCCACTATGTTCATCCTGCGCAAGATATACAAACGAGAACCCTCCTTCTCCAAGGACTTTCGTTATCTGAACTGTACAAAGAAAGCAATGTCATTTGATTTTCGTTGGTTGAGGGAGAATAACCGACATGTTCGTCCGTTAATCTTGACCTTTGGTGTTTGCTGGCAAAGACAAGACGATAGAGCCCAAAACGCGTCCTTGGCTTGATCTTTGAAGTTCTCGAGGGCGCGGAAGAGTTGGGGAGGGAGTGCCATGGTTGCGCAGGTTTCTTCTGACAAGAATCCAAAATGAACATTATGTTTGGCAATGACCGCCAATAGTAACAACCGGGCCGTACATGCCGCACAATTTGAGAAAGTTAAAAAAAACAAGTCCTACCAAAGTCCTACTAAAAAGCATAAAAACCACACTCAACCCCTCACCCAACCTACTCATCCCACCCACCCATCTCCCTCTCCCACTTAACCCTCCTCATCTCCCTCCTCTCCCCATCCGTCAAGCAAGCCCACTCATTAATCCCACCAACACTCTCCACCATCTCCTCCTCCCACCTCTCCTCCCTCTCAATCTCCTTCTTCGTCTTCTTCCGCGGGGGCGGGGGAGGCAGCGGAGGCGGGGGCGTACGTCTGTTGGGGTGTAAAGGCGCGATGCGGGAGAGCATTGAGCGTGAGGATTTGAGGTAGGGTGAGTAGCATGTTGAGGAGGAGGAAGAGGAGACGCGGGGGTGGGGAGAGGGGAATGGGGAGGAGCTGGGGAGGGAGTTGACCCGTCTGATGAGCTCGGACATAGGTGTTGATTTGACGCGGGGGGCAATGGTGTACCGTGATACAAGGCTGGGGAAGAGGGACGGTTTGGGTGTGGCTTTGGGCTGGGGTATACTATTCGACCCTGGCTCGACGTTCTCCTGTAATACATAGTTGAATTAGATCTGGTACGAAAGGGATGCAGAAAGGATACCATACCTTTGTCCCATCTCTGTCATCATCGTGGGCTTGCTCAGGCGGAGCCATATCCTCGTCCTCGTCAAGGATAGCTTTACCCTTGCCCTTCTTACCAGCATTCTCTTTCCCCCTCCTCTTGGCTACTGCGTAGTCTTCTTCTTCTTCCTCAACTTTTTTATCATCAGGCTCATCCTCCTCTTGATCAGATAGAACGACCATCTTCCCTTTTCCTTTCGGTTTCTTCTTCGTTCCGACATGAATCTCTTCGTCCCCCAAGGAAGCGTCGTCTTCCCCTAGTGCACCCCCTTGGGCAGGTCCCTTTTCCCCTCGCGCACCACGCTCATGCCCTCGTGTAACACCCTCCTCCCCAAGAGCAGCACCAGGCTTCTCCTTCTTCCCCCTTCCCCGCCCCTTCCTCTTCTGCTTCTTCTTCGGACTCCCCACCTCCTCTACCACCTCCTCGTCGTCCACCACATTTGATTTCCGTTTCTTCCCTGACCCAGACGATCCAGGTACCAGAGCTGAGGCAGCAGGCGGCGAACCAATCGCTGGAGGCATCACTGGAGGTGCCAAAATATCAATCGATGATGTCGTCCCACCCAAAACGCCTTCACCCTCATCTTCCGAGTCGTTGATGAACTCGTTACTCTTAAAAACCTCCTTCTCCTTTTCCTTCTCTTTCCCTTTGCCCCTCCCCTTCCCTTTAATCTTAGGTGGTGGCACCGTAATAGTCACCTCAACCTGTCCCACCCCAGGGCTTGTCTTCTGCTTCGCCTTGCCCTTCCTCTTCCCCTCATGAGGATCAAAGTCCATGTCCATCCTATGTCCATCCCCATCCCCACCGTCCACTTCCCCCTTCTTCTTCCTCGGCTTCTTAGGCTTTGGCTTTTCAACGGGCACGGTGGGTGGTAAATCCGTTAAATCCACCACATCCCGTTCGAGCGGCTTTTCTCGCGAAGGAATAGCTTCAGGAACGGGCAGGGGAGGAGAAGAACTGGCAAAGAACGTCGGTGGGGGTAACATCAATCCCTTGCCTTTCCCCCTCTTGTCCATGTGGATAAAGCCCTCTCCGTGATCGGATTCGTCCAACTCGTCTACCCCGCTCGCCTTTCTACCATCTTTCTTAGGTGAGGAGAACAGAGAGGAAGGCGAGGAGGTAGGGGTGAGCGGGTCGTCAAAGTCGGTCGTCGGTGGGTTTTGTAATACCTCGATTGGGGGCTGGGACGTTGCAACTGAGGGGTCTGACGGTGGGAGTGGGGAAGGTAGGAGCCGGAAAGGGATGGGAATGGGGCGGGCTGGTGATAGATTGGTTGGTTGTGGTGTTGAGTCTCGGTTTGGTGCTGGTGCGGTGCGTTTTGCGATGGGTCGAGGCTTGGGTTTGGGTTTGGCCGTTGTCGTCGGTTCAGAGGGTTTGGACTTGGACTTTTTAGATTTATTCTTGGATGTGGAAGGCCTTAGCGCGAGCTCGTCAAAATCATCGTCAGAGTCGCTCAGTTCAATGATATCGTCCCCTGTGTTGAGTGTGACGGGTTTCGCTCGTTGGCGCGTTTTCGCGCGATCCGCGATGCTGGACGTCATGGGCAAGTTGTCTGGCTGAAACGCTGCGAGGTAGTCCGGCTTTCCGGTCATCGGATTGATAGGAAACGCTAGCGCAGATTTCTCAGCGTTGCTTGATGTATCACCGTCTTTCTTTTTTTTGATGGGGCGTGGCTTGGGTCGTGGTTTGGGTATAGGTGTTTCTGAGGTGCTGGCAGGCAAAATTGTAGAGATGGTATCAGGTACGACAGTCGACATCGTTGAGATGGAAGACACGCGGTTGTCGTTGGTGGATATATGAGATGGGAGACCACTCGCTCCAAGGATTGCTAGATGAATGGGTCAGCCACTAAAGAGAAGGGTAAAGAGCGTCCGAGTACCTGAAGTGTCGTGGTTATCGAATTCGTCTTCGCTGTCTGCAATGACCTCGTCGTCGTCCATGGTGGTGGTCGTTGATTGAGTTGTCGCGTGACTGTGACAGTACGCGTTTGGTTATATCCGTCATCATGCCTGGTCCGTCCAACGCTAAAAGAAAGCCGGCAAAGTCCAAAAAGAAAAAGGCAGCCAAATCGACTGTTAAACCAACGGTTGAAACCACAATCGTCACAGAGCCTTCAATTATCCAATCAAGCAATGGCTCGTCATCGTCTCCTTCGCCAGACCTTCTCCTCCTAACTCCTCCACCACTATCCATTCTCTCATCATCCATTTCTATCCCAGACAAACACCCGCCCTCGTCAATACCTCAGCTTGACCTTCACCATATAGAGGAAGTCCTCTGCCAAAAGCCTTTCATCCACGATCCGGGGAATGGTCCCCGTGTACGGGACACCCGCGCCTTCTTGGCCTCATCGTACTTTTCGCAGCCCCCTGCCTTGGATGTACGTCACCCTATATTCGTCCTACAATTGAAAGCCAATTGCCATTGAATCTTAGATCCCACTATGTGCCGAATTCGCACAAGACGAGGTGTTACAGATGTTATGCACCGTCTTACCAGAAGAAACCGCCTTGGTGCGCACCCTAATCCCAGAATTCCACAGGCTTCTCATACCTTTCTCCCAGATCTTATGGTACAACAAAAGCCGAGCCACCTCCCGTATCTGTCCAGCCTGTCAGCGGCTGTACCACCTCGGAGACACCCTCCCCGACCTCGTAGAAGACGAATACGACTCTGCCCCTCCTTCCCCCACTCGCGCGAACCGAGCACCGCCCCCTCAGTTAGGGCGCGAACAATCCATCAGTGGCCTCTGTACGCTCCTCTCTCTCTTTCCTCCTTCCCCTCACTAAAAAACCCTCCCTCGTACATAGGTTCCCCAGTCTGCTTCATCCTAGCCTCATTCAACCACCCCGGCGCCATAAAATCCGCATGGGGCCGCATGGCAGACGAGATGGACGACGCTTCTTGGGAGTTACTCAACGCCCCTGGCGTCGACGCTGCCCAGGGAGACACAAGCCGTACATTGGGTATGCTTGTGAAAATGACGAGGTTGCATGATTTGGGGCTCGCGCAACTTTGTTTTGATGAGGCGGAGGTGGAGTTTTTGGAGGAGCGTCGGGATGCTGACGAGGATGTGAACCCTCAAGGGTTTGACGAGGACACGCCTTCTGAGCTTGATCTTGGTCTGGCGCTAAAGGCACTGGCGTTGGTTGACCAGTCGTAAGTATACCCGGTTTATTTATTCAAGCAAGTACATAACTCTCTTCTCCTTTTTTTTCATGGCTGATATTCATGGGTTGTTATCTCGCTTTCGTGTAAATCGTTATTGATAATATAAGGACTCAAGTAGTTGGACTGGTTATCTTGGATGCGTGATCGTGGAACTGGCAATGACATAGCTTCACAAGTACTTGATCCCACCCAGCGCTCACCAACTCTGGTTCAATACCACCCTCACTCGAGAGCAGCTATTCTCAAGTTTGCACCAACTACTATCTCAAGTTTACACCAACTAGATCTCATGACTCCTCTCCCTTACAACTCGGTTCCCGACCCTCTTTTGAACGTTCCTGAAGAACTATGGTTAGAGATCTTCTACCACGCGACAGTTGGCACATGCGTCGATGATGGCGTAGACTATGTCCCATTCGCCGCCATCCCTCTCCAAGAACGCGACAGTCCTAGCGTCCAACGGAGGTGCTTCGTGACCAAACACAGCTTGCTTCTAGTTTGCAAGGCATGGAATGCTCTGGCTACGGAGTTAGTTTATCGGACAATACGAATCTGTCACGGAACCACCGCATTATTGGATTCTGTTCACATGGATACTCCCAGTGAGAAACCCAGAGGTGGAAATGGTCGTTTTTTGTTCGAAAGGTCGAAATCAACTCGAGAGTCCAGGACTTTGATCCGTTCAATCCAACCATCGTTGCTCAGATTCTAGCTCAGTGTCCAGGCATGGTCTCTCTCTCCCGGCCATTCGCCTTTGATGGCATGAACCTAGCTATCTGCAAGGTTCGAGTGAACGATGGTTCGCGACAAAGTCCACATACACAGGTCATCCCTCACTTCCCAACTCTATCCGCTTTACGAAGGGTGGACTGGTGGCTACCATTGGCCATGCCTTCCCGGCGGTCTGCTCTCTTCTCAGTTTTTCATGACCTTCTGGATGACATCATCAAACATGCCCCCAATCTGCAATACCTTACAATTGGCGGGCCAGCCAACTCATACTTATCTTCACATCAAGACTTCTTTCCACCCATTCTTTCTCTTCGCAATCTGACTACGTTGAGATTCGAATGTGATGAGAAATTGAACCACGGCAACGTGACTTGGCAGCTCCCAAACCTCACACATCTGCTACTTGGGGGCTCGTATTCTGTTGCACTTCCCGTCATTAAGGCATGTGGCTCTCATCTCAAGGTTCTTGAAATCATCCGAAAGTCATCGGGGGAAACAACTACATATTTCCCTGGCCTCTTTCACGACTTCCTGTCCAGAACTCCCAATCTAGAGGAATTCAACTTCCCACTCGATGGCTCCGTCGATGTTTATCGACCATTACCACCCTACCCTTCCACTTTGCGAACTATTGGGATTTACCTTGGTACTTCGTCACCCAATCGGCTTTCCGAACCAATGTTCGACTATTTAAAGGTCCCACATTATCTTCCCATGTTGACGCAGCTGGTCTTCTATAATCATAGTCGATGGCAAGAGGACTTTCAACAACCAACATTTTTGCTTGTTAAGGAAGCTTTAGAAAAACGATCTTGCAGTATTGAATTTGCTTAGCGTTGCCTAATAGAGAAGCGATCTTGGACTTGTGTATGACTTGCGTGTACAGTTTTATGTCCAGAGCTCCCAATTTAGAGGAATTCAACTTCCCACTCAATGGCTTCGTCGCGAAAGATCAATCAACGCCACCCGTCTACCTTTCTACGTTGCGAACTATTAGACTTTACCTCGGTAATTCGTCACCCAATCGGCTTGCTGAACCAATGTTGAACTTTCTGAAGGTCCCGCACCATCTTCCTATGTTGAAGCAGCTGGTCTTCTAAGATCACGGTCGATGGCAAGGGGCCTTCCAACAACCGACCTTTTTGCTTCACAAGCAAGCTTTTGAAGAGCGATCCTGCAGCATTGAATTTGCTTACTTAGCTTTGGAAGAAATTTTGGACTTTCCTGTGCGCTTCTACCATCGCCACCTTCTCATAACACCGTGGCCTGTTTACATGTCGTTAGCTGACGTCTATTAGATTTATTGAAACAGCGGAAACCTTGGAACAATGCATTTCAGTCATTTCAGTGTTCTGCAGCAACTAAGACCCTCATTGGATATGAGACCCACCTTTCAGGTCCCCGTATGAAGCTTACAATTTACTTCTTTGGAAAAAGATGCTTGCTGGCCGCGGCTGCACTCCCTGCATCTCGTTTGCCTTTTGTCGCGATTCTCAACGAGTTTAAGGGCGAAGTGTGTAAATCGATATTGAACTCAAGTAGTTGGACTGGTGAATGTCGCCATGAAATACTGTACTCCGTTCCGTAAATACGCAGGCATAGGTTTAACGTGCACAAGTCGCGACGCCTTGCCTTCTTTGAATCAGACTTGGCCAAGCTGTGAGTGCCACAGTCATATAACTGAGACTAGATGTAAAAGTAACAAAGCCTCAACGGAAATATTCTCTATTGCGCCGTCGAAAACTTGCAAGGTCTTTGGAAACGTAAGTATCCTCCCCGCCATGCGTCGCAAAAAAGAAGAAGAAAAAGAGAATATTCACACGAGCTGTCCTTCCCTCCACCCCTGCATCAAACACCGTCGACTATAAACAGCAGATAAAGCTACCATGAGCGCTTCCTCCCAGCGTCTCTACACCACATACCCCACCTCCCTCTACACCCTTGACGACGATCAATTCTCTCTCCCCAGCCCAGATCGCGAAATGAGCTCTGCCCGCAGCCTGAGCTTCTCCCTCAGCGACGTACCAGAGGAAGATCCTGCATCCCTCGCGGCCAGTGGACCGTACGTGAACAATAGCGCTGCAAATTCTACGTCTACTTTTCATGGCGGTGGAGGGGGAGCGGGAACGTCAAGATCCCGCACGACGACGAGTACAGGCCAATTGCAACAACGCACACCGAGCATCCGGACACTAGGGAGGAGCTCCACCGACCCCATACCCTCGCCTCCATCAGGCACCCCCTCCTCAAGTAACGTACGCAGAGCCCAATCTTCTGGATCCACGACCCGCACGGGGGGAAGCCGCTCCAGCACCTCTGCCTCTGCTGACCGCACCCTAAGAAAATACAGAAGCACCCCACGACTCCCACACGAGCGGGACGTCGACCTCGCGCCTAGCACTGCGATGTATTGGAGTCGGGCACCTGTATGGGGACATCTCCCTTCTAGGACGATGCGTGCGCATAGTGTTACGCTTGTTGATACGACTGCGTGGCTCTACGGCGGATGCGATGATAAGGATAGTTCGAAGGACATCTATTGTTTTGATACGGGTGTGTTTTCATTTCTTACTCTCTTGCTTATGTCGTGTGCTTATGTTCTCGCAAAACAAGAAACGATGCAATGGACGCACCCAGATACAGTCGGCGACATACCACCACCCTGCAGAGCGCACACCGCCACGCTCGTCGATAAGAAGATCATCGTCTTTGGCGGGGGGCTTGGGCCAGTGTACTACGACGCCACTTACGTCCTCGACACTACCACTCGACGCTGGACACGGCCCACTCTTCTCCCTGGGCCGCACCCAACAGCACGGAGAGCCCACGCAGCGGTATTTTATAAAGGCAAAGTATGGGTATTTGGCGGTGGGAACGGGTTGACCGCGTTGAACGATGTGTGGACGTTGGAGGTTGGACCAGGGGGTAATGGGGTGGTGGGGCCTACAGGGGAAAAGGCGATGCGCTGGGAGGAGGTGGAGACGTCTGGAAAGAAACCTAGTGCGCGGGGGTACCACACGGCAACGCTTATCGGGAACGTCATGGTTATTATAGGTGGGAGCGATGGGAAGGAGTGTTTTACGGATGTGTGGTTTTTGAACCTGGGTGCGTTTTCTCTCTCCTCTTCACTCACTGACACCAACTAATCAATCGAAAAAGATACCCTCGTATGGAGCATGGTAAAACAACAATCGCCCACGCACCGCAGACTCGCACACAGCGCCACGCAAGTCGGATCGTACATATTCATCGTGGGGGGACACAACAGCAGCGAATACGGCTCTGATCTCCTCCTCTTCAACCTCGTCTCCCTCCAATACGAACCCCGCACCATCCTGGGGAAACCGCCCAGCGCGCGGGGGTACCATGCGACGATTCTTGCGGATAGTCGCGTGTTTTTGTTTGGGGGGTATAATGGCCAAAGTGCGTTTGATGATGTGCATGTGTTGGATTTGGCGGCGGGCGCGTATTTGCCGCAGGTGACGAGTTTTTCGATCGAGGCGTAGGTTGGGGGGGGGGGGGGGTTGCATGCACTGATTGTATTATATATTAACGTTGATATTCTGTATCTTTCGTTGTTTTTTTCTTCATTTGGAAAAGTGGGGATCAGAGCCAACCTCTAACGCGTGTCTTGAACTTCAGAGGAGTGGACAAAATTAGAGTAAACAGTTGACGACGGGAAAAATTTCGGTCAAAGGATATAATTTCGAATTCTCTATCTGGGGAGTCGAACCCAGTTTTTGCGCGGGAATAGAAGAGACATTTGAACAAAGCAACCGCGTGTATTACCAATATACGAAGGAGAAGGTTAGATTGAGGTTAGAATTGGGAGGTTTTCTACAATTATTAGGGACGCAAGTGAGGACAAGACAGGAGGGGAATGATACACATCCTGAGAAACGTTCTGACGACTCCGTCCAAGTAAATCTGAAAAAAGATACGATGGTGAATTGGTTCACTTTGCCAATTGGTGAGCAGTGCAATGCAGTCAACGAGAATACTGAAGTCCGTGTCATCATTCTCTGTCAATCCTTACCAAATCCTTACTTGCGAAGTCTTGAAGAATGGACCGAAGGCAAGCGTGCTCTCTCTCCTTGGCGTTTTTACTACTGCTCTGTTCCGCGTACGCAAAGTCGATGATTGTAACCCCCGAGTCGCCAATAAGAACGTTGTCTGAACGGATGTCACCATGGATTACACCTGCACGGTGGATGGACTCCAACGTTGATAGAGCTGAGTTGCTAACAGTAAAACGGATCAATAAGGATTGAAAACGAACAAATCACGAAACATACCACTCAGAGATTGACAACTGTCAAAAGTGGAGAAAAATGCATTAATATTCGACGAGACTACTGAAGTCCATGTCATCATTCTCTGTCAATCCTTACTTGCCAAGTCTTGAAGAATGGACTGAAGGCAAGCATGCTCTCCCTCCTTGGCTTTTTTACTACTGCTTTGTTCCGCATAAGCAAAGTCGATGATTGTAACTCCCGAGTCACCGGTAAGAATATTATCTGAACGGATGTCACCATGGATCACGTCTGCACGGTGGATGGACTCCAACGTTGATAAAGCTGAGTTGCTAGTCGGAAACGGATCAATAAGGATTAAAAACGAACAAATCACGAAACTTACCACTCACAGATTATCAACGTTCTCCCCAGATGAGAGATCGGAACTCCCGCATAGAGCATGACTAGAGCACAAGCAGATCCTTCCCTATCATCAAAGTGACCAAGCACCGTTGTGATACCTTGATGAACGCCTTTCGACTTTAAATGGAGATAAATTTTGTATTCGCTCTTGAGATAATCCCGCTGCCAAGTCCTGAATGCAAGCATCAGGACGACGTCCAGTGGTGTGACTCCATCCATGTCATCTGGTTCCAGGGTGCCACGGAGGGCTGTACCAACAGAGCCTTTCCGAGGTAGCCACGATGGTCATACATGCATGTGGTTCATACATGCGGTCCGGTGGATAAAACGGAGAACTGGACATTGGCAGAGTCAAGGGCAAAGAGCGAACAAATGAGGCAGGGACTGGAGAGTCATATATGAAGTATTGGAGGTAAAGAAGCACGAGTTCGCGGTTGAGGGCCGCATTTATCAATTTCTGGGGGTCGTTCGAGTCATCGAGGGATCGACGTTGTCCAACTAGAAGTGAACGCACCTCGGTGGCCTCAGGATGATCCTCAGTGAGACCTTTCCCTCCTACTGAGCTACTGCTAAGTTCTCCCATACCACGACCATCATTCTCACCTTTGCTGTCATTGCTGCGGTCATTTCCAGAACCCTCGTCGCCGCCATCGGTAGGTGACTCCTGTCGCTGCTTGCGATCCATCGTATCTTGCGGCTTGCCGGGAGGCGATACACAGGTCAACGGATGAGTTCCAATGATGTCCGAGAGTGTGTCTGAGACTTCTGATGCCAGATACCATAGTAGCATCGGCTCGCCCCCAGGCCACAGTTTCGTCATATCCTGGACCTTGGACTTCTCAACTCGGATATTGTTGCTGAGTGCCAAAATATGCCTCAGCGGATCGGTGGTCATGGATGAAAGACAAGAAGATAGTAGAAAAGGGCATGCAGGTAGTGTGCGGAGCTCATGCAGAGGAATGAGGATACATTCGCGTCAAGAAACAAGGCGTCCAGGACTCTAAGGTGGCAGCTTCCCTACGAAAGACGTTGAATATCTTTCTGAAAGCGACATTATCCTTGATTCTATGGGAAATCAGCCTAAATATCAACGAGCAGCATTCAGTGAGCATATCAAAGTCAGTAGCAGTCTCCAGTGAGTCTCACCTAAAACATGACCTGTCTCCTTGGCTTTCTCCTAACCTCACCGCCTAGCGTCGATGATTGTGACTCCTAAGTCATCAATAAGGATATTTTCTGGACGAATGTCAAGCGGTAGCTCGGTTTAAGGATTCTAAAGGTGCAACCAATTGCGAGATATTGGAAGAAAGTCTGAATATGCTTCACATGGCCTTCAATGTCAAAACATTTTGCCTCCTCTTGGTAGCGCGGAGTCCGGACAATGGTGGTGGTAGGAGGATGCGGTAGAAACGTGATCGCGAGCCTGATTGGGAACTAGACCAACTTCAGAATCACCTTGACTTCACTGCTTGATCACACCCAGCGCTCACCAATTGTAGTTCGATGCTGAGTAGCCTCTGAAAATCCCTCGAGAGGACAGCTATTCTCAACTCTTGCACCAACTCTCATGGCTCTCCCTCACAACTCGATTCCCAACCCTTTTTTGAACGTTCCAGAAGAGCTATGGTTGGAGATCTTCTACTACGCGACAATCGGTACATGCGTCGATGATGGCGTAAACTATGTCCCTTTCGCTGCCATCCCTTTCCAAGAACGCGACAGTCTTCGCGTTGAACGGAGGTGCTTCGCGACCAAACGCAACTTGCTTCTAGTTTGCAAGGCATGGAATGCTCTTGCTACGGAGACAGCGTATCGGTCTATACGAATTTGCCACGGAACCAACACATTATTGGATTCTCTTTACATGGATACTACTTCCAGTGAGAAAGCCGGAGGTGGAAATGGTCGTTTTGTCCGAAATGTAGAAATCAACTCAAGAGTCCAGGACTTTGATCCGTTCAATCCAACCATCGTTGCTCAGATTCTAGCTCAGTGTCCTGGCATGGTCTCGCTCGCCCGGCCATTTGCCTATGATGGCACGAACCTGGTCATCTGCAAGGTTCGGGTGGGCGATAGTTCCCAACAAAGTTCCCATTTGCAGGTCATCCCTCATTTCCCAACTCTGTCCGCTTTACGAAGGGTGGACTGGTGGCTTCCATTGACCATGCCTCCCCGTAGGTTTGATCTCTCATCAACCGAGCTTTTCCAGGACCTTCTGGGAGATATTATCAACCATGCCCCCAATCTGCGATACCTTACACTCGGCGGGCCAGCCAACTCATTCATTTTTTCACAACAACCCTTCTCCTCTATCACACCCATTCTTTCTCTTCACAATCTGACTACGTTGAGACTTGAATGTGATGTGAGATTTGGCCACAGCAACCTTACAGCCAGGACTTGGCAGCTCCCAAACCTCACACATTTGCTAGTTGGAGGCTCGTATTCTGTTGCAATTCACGTCATTGAGGCGTGTGGCTCTCATCTCAAGGTTCTTGAAATCATCGGAAAGTCATTCTGGAGAAGCGCACCCTTTTTTCACGACTTCCTGGAGTTCCTGTCCAGAGCATCCAATCTAGAGGAATTCAACTTCCCACTCGATGGCTTCGGTAAGAATTATCGACCACTACCACCCGTCTACCCTTCCACGCTACGAACTATTAGACTTAAACTTGGTGATTTGTCACCCGATCGGCTTTCTGAACCATTGTTGGATTTTCTAAAATTCCCACATCGTCTCCCCATGTTAAAGCAGTTGGTCTTCTATGATCACTGTCAATGGCAAGAGGTCTTCCAACAGCCAACGTTTTTGCTTGCTAAGCAAGTTCTTGAAGAGCAATCCTGCATCATCGAGTTTGCTTAGTGTTGTCCAATACTAGAGATTCAGAAGGGATTTTAGTTGTATATGTCGTACTAGAGGCGAAGAAGCACGAGTTCGTGGTCGAGGGCTGCATTTATAATTTATTCCTGGCGGTTTTCGAGTCATCGGATCCTGCCAGGCGGTACAGAGAGGTCAACATTAGTGACTGAGACTTCTGATCCCGTATACCATATCATAAGGGGTGCAAGGCCGTATACTCAGGCTAGCGCTATAGCTCGTGAGTAGGAATCGGAATTTTGAATGGCTCCCTCATTGTTCATGTAGGTTTTCGTGCAACTTCTCTTTGCTCGGCCGTGATGAAGCAACCAAGCAGCGGAGGATGGGTATTTTTTGTGGCATTGAGTGCTGAATCCGCAGCCAGACCACCGGCTTGTCACACGCAGATAAAACTATTTGCTTGAGAACCAGCCGAGGAGACAATTTCAAGATTGAGGGCGCGTGATTGGGCTAAAACTCTTGGAGTGTAACATTCAACTCTCTAAGTTGAATAAATTCTAGACGAGGGAGAATTTGGGGAGAATAACGAGGACGCGTTATTTGGTCTTGTTTTCGTCGGAGCCTAATAATAAAGCAGTGTTCCAGCGACTTGCACTGGTCTTGCACGGAATCGGCGCAAGAGTTGGATGTCCGCCGCACCTGCTCCAGATGTCCCTCCTACCGCAAAACAACACCGTCATGCTTGTCTGGACGACTTTCTCATCGGCGAAGAGATCGCCTGGGGCTCGCTAGCCACCATCGTCGAAGCCACCCACAAAACAACACACAAGCGCTACGTCATCAAGATCCTCGACAAGCTCCAGCTCGTCAAGAAAAAGATGACGCGCTCCGTGCTCGCGGAGAAGGAGGCTTTGGTCAAGCTGGCGTCTAGGCCGCAGCCTCATCATCCTGGAATCATTCGGTTACATTACTCGTTCCATGATGCGTCGTCGCTTTACTTCGTGCTTGACTTGGCCCCAAATGGGGACCTCAAGCAGTTGGTGCAGAAGACGGGATCCTTGGCGATGCCGTGCGCGAGGTATTACACTGCCCAACTCACATCGGCCATTCAATACCTGCACGATGCAGGCGTCTCTCATCGCGATATTAAACCTGAGAACGCGCTACTGGATGAGTCGATGCGTATTAAGATTGCGGATTTTGGGTGTGCGTATGTAGGCCCGGATTTGGATAGTACGTCAGATTCTACTGCTTTTGAACAAACGATTTGGCTGATCCTGCAAAGCGCATCGCACGAATACGTTTGTAGGCACCGCAGCGTATATCTCGCCAGAGTTGCTCTTGCGCGCGAAAGCAGATCCGAAGGGGTGCGTAGGCATCACTTAGTCTTTGTTTCACGGTTTGATCGTGGTATTGTGTAGCCCGGATTTGTGGGCCATCGGCTGTACCCTCTACTTCCTCCTCTTCGCAAGTTATCCGTTCTCAGCTGCGACGGAGTACCTTACGATGGAGAGAGTGAAGAAGCTGGATTACTCGATTCCTGAGGGATGTGATCCCGTCGCTCATGATCTCATCAAACGACTTCTCGTTCGTCTCTCTTTTTTTCCAATCAACTCAGCGATGTTCAGGGGTTTCTAGGTACCTTTTGAAGACCGGATAGGCCTCTCACCCCACTCTTCCCCTGCCGAACTTCGCAATCACGCGTTCTTTATTGGACCTGACGAATATGAACCTTCCTCACATGAAATTGAAGGGTACATCGACTGGGAGACGCTCTGGACTATACCTGTACCTAAGATCGTCGCGGGTCCTTTTAAATCTAACAACATGTCGGAGGAAGATACAGTGGATCTTTTGTGGTCCAGGTTTGAGGAGATCAGCTTGTCGGGGGCGTAGGCTTCGTTTCATGGGCTGGTTGCCAATCGTCTCTACAATATGGAGGAGTTGAACCTAGGGAGACCCACTCTTGTGTGCACGATATAACACTGCAGATCCCTCGGATATCTTCGTTGGCAATGAAAATGTACCTCGAAGGGAATGGTCAAGATTGAAGGGCAGTGGAGGATAGGGCGTGCATGAAACTCTGTGCTTATGCGATCTGCGGCAAGGAGGCGAGGACGGGAGAGGCATTCAGGCCTCAGGCCTCAGGCCCCAGGGTTCGAGGGTAAGCTGATTAGCAAGGACAAGGACTTCTTGGGCTCGAGATCTCTCGAAGAGACCCGGCAATGTTATATGACATTCAATTTCATGGACAACTAGCACTCTAGCACTAGCATTTATATCGACACAACTAGGTTTTTTTGTGGAAAGTCCATGAAGTCCCTCCATGGCACAAGTGATGTGTCAGTAATCACGACACCGCTAACGCGTTTTATCTGGAACGCGTTCCAGATATGACAGAATAGTACTCTCCTGAACTGTTTTTTCCGCCATGGATCCAGCCTATCTGAACAAGAGTGAGTGGCGCCCATCGTTCCCATTCATTACAAGTCCTGAGCGTTTCCCGCAGAGATCGTCGACCTGAGTGATGACGAGCTCATTGCCCTCGGGTTCCAGGGCGAAAGTGAGCCCGTTCGTCTTTATACACGTCCATCTCTCTCTCATTATTGCCCGTAAACCTTGTAGACGTTGCTCCAGGTATCAAACGTATGGTTGACAAGGTGAAAGCCGACCCCATTCACCTAGGCAGTAAGTCTCTCCATCTTCTTCTTTGCGCGTTTAATTCCCCACCTTTCGTTTTCAGCCGTGACCTGCTTTATGGTCGACTGTCTTAAGCGCAGATACACCGTTCAGGCTTCCCCACAAGATGCTACTCAGTCGCCTGCCTCTCCTACCTCTCCCGTGTCTGCCACCCTTAGTCAGGCCGAGACTGTCTACCCAGAGCTCAGAAGCGACTCGGACGCCCACACCGTCGTCGCCCCCAACCTGATTTCCAAGTTTGAGATGAAGTACTGGTACCACGGCATCTCCGGCGACCCTCCCAAGCTCTTGTGGCGTTCCGATCTCAAAAGTAACCCCTTCCCCAACCCCCCGCCTGGGGCCAGGTTCTTTAAGATCCCTACCAAGACCGCCCACGGCGTCTTTAACACGCCGCTTAACGACGTGTGGGACGAAGTCGCTCCTCGGATCCTTGCGTCAATGAAGGCCCACAGCCTTAAGTACTCCGCGCTCAAGACGGTTCGCTTCTCGACCGTTGAGGACGGTAAGGACGAAACTCTCGGCCCCGTCGTCGTGTGGATTGCCGTTCGTCCCAACACTACCAACGCAGGGGCTGTTCGTGATGCTACGCCAGACATCCTCCACATCCTCGCTGATGTGCGGATTACCGATGTCATCGTCGAGTGGTACGAGGCGTCGGTCGTCAGGCTGGTCGGTCCACCTTTGATGAGCGTCGAGGACAACACTGACCCCAAGTTTGGCCTCAATCACCCGTTCAACACTGGCCTAGGCATCCCCATCGCTAGGCAGTCCGACGACGCGCAGGGCACCCTCACGCTCCTGTTCAAGGAAATGAAGACGAGCAGTGGCGAGCCAAGCGAGAGGATTCTCGCCCTCACCAGCAAACACGTCGCCTCCGTCGACACCACACCGATTACAAGTTCGACGGGGCCAACCCTCAGCACATCCTCGTTTGTAGTAATCGCCGTCTTGCTCATGCCATCACCGAGATCGAGGATGCAGTCACCGCGGGGCACAGCGACGTCGTCATACTTGCCGGAGAAATCGAGGCCTTGGAGTCAAAGTTGGGCACGCCCAAGGAGAACAGGACGGCTCTGAAACTCAAGAAGAATGCTCTGAACGCTCTGAACGAGGACAACCCCATGCTTCAGACCTTCTTTGACGAAGTCAACGCCGACTGGTAAGACACCAACGGCCGCAGGTTTGGTGTTGTCGACTGGGCTCCCAAGATCTCAGCCAGGGTTGATGACTGCCACTACACTCGTGACATCGCCACGTTTGCGGTCTATGGGGAGAAGCTCAAGAATTTTGAACGTAACATCGTCGATCTAGGTGCCTTGCGTTCCATTTCTTTCCATTCCAATCTATTTACTAACATTGAATTCTTCAGGAAACCAATACACCAGCCGTCAGCTCGGGGATCACTTCTGGCCCGTCGCTGCCGTTCTAGAGGGTAGGACGATCCCAGCCAACCGGCAGCTTCCCATCCGTTGCGCTCTTACTGGTCGCCGCCTCAGCAATCCCGACACACAGGACAAGAATGGCAATCCCCTGTACATCGTGGGCAAGTACGGCAACACGACCAAGCTTACCTTGGGCCGCTACTCGGGCATGGACGCCTATATCTGCACCGACCTCGGACTCGAGTCTAGGGAGATGGTCGTCTATAACTATCACAAGACTTTTGGCAACTTTTCGGATTATGGGGACTCGGGATCTCTTATTTTTACGGGCGACGGCGATGCGCTTGCCTCGTTGCACTCGGGAATGCCTCGAGGCACGGACAACCATGTTACTTATGCTACGCCTATTTGGTGGGTTATTAAGCAGGTCCTGGTCGAGTATCCCTTCGCCGAGTTTTACGGCATCACTTGCAGTTTTGACTGAGCGCAAGCATATCTATTATCTTCGTCCACTTGCTTAATCTCACTATCGGCCCAATCGCTCGTTTGCTATCTTTGCATTGTCGGCAATACATTACATGAATGCCTAATTAACATTAACTCTGATTTGACTATATGTATGCACAAGCCAAAATAAATCTAACTGAGGCTCATTCTGTGGTAAGGACACGCTCAAAGAGGCTGATCAGCAAGGACATGGACTTCTCAGACACATCACTCGAAGCGACGCTGGAATTGTTATATGCTATGTATACAGTCAATTTCATAGACAGCTAGCACTAGCATTTACATCAGCATAACTATCAGGCGTTTTTCAGTAAAGTCCCTGCAGCCCCTCTATTAACCCAAGTCCATCCTCTCTTCAGCAGAAAAACACATCCTGACTTCCTCCGCAACAGCGTCATCATCGTCCTCATTCCAATCACTCGTCGTCTCCCACTCGTTCTCAAACTCCACGTCTTCGTCGTCCAGGAACGACACGAGCCCAGGCTGGCCCTGCGCCTTGAACACAGGCTGTACCCACCGACGTTCTCGTAGTCTTTTATGCCTCTCCCTGTCTTCTTCGATGCGCTTGAACACGTCACTGCGAGAGAGGGACCTTCGTTGGTGGTGGTGATGGAGTTCGGATGGGTGTGGGTTTGAAGGACGGTGCTGGTGGTCGTAGTCGTTGTTCAGTTCTGTAGAACCAGCCGCGTCTTCATGTCCCGCGGCGGTCGAGGAGCCGTTGACAGGTACACCCCTTCCATTGAGCCCCTCGATGACCTCGTCGATGGTGGCTGGGTCAATCACCCTCTTACTCCTCCAGCTCTCTAGGATCTGTTATTGCCATCAGCTTTTCCCGAAACTATTGGGTGGAAAAAAAAGCGTACATACCTGTTTGGTACTGATGAGGTTGGGTAACCCCTGCCTACCCTCCGGCACCACCAACTCCACTATCTTGCGCAGGTCACGGGTGACGTAGACCACGTATAATCCGGATGTAGCACCACTACCACCAGCTGCTGTGCTCGTACTTGGTTGAGCATTCGAGTTCGAGGAGCTAGAATGCGATACGAGGAGACAGGTTTCGCATAATGAATCGAGGAAATAGAGGATGTTGATACGGGAATTTATCGAGCCCTGGATCGTTCGTCGTTAGTACTTACCACTGTTACACACAGAAGAAGAATTAAGGCGTACCTTTTGACATTCTTCAACGATACAGTCCCATAGATCCTCGCCGCACGCTGGGAAATGTTTCACTGCGAATCCGACGACTTTTTGGATAGATTGTTGGGAGCTAACTAGTTCAATGCATCAGTTTGGTTAAGATGAAAAAGGGGCAGTACTGACGCGTTAAGTCGTCTAATCAAAGCCAGAAATTGCATTCTCACTTCGAATGGGTCCATCGTCGTAGTGGTTTTCAAGGAGATGCGATTTGGCGTTGTTTTCGTTGAGACTTGCCCAGTACTTCGTGTGGCACGTGCGGTCAATAGCCATGGCACCGTTCTTGCCACCAAAGGTCGTGATATCGGGTATTAAAGAGAAGATTGACTCGCTCACCGTTCAAGGCAAGCGATCCTTGGAATGAATACGTGAACTTCGTTGACATTATTACAGCCGACAGGTTATATCTTGGAAGTGCAACGGGGAACTTGCACATATATAGCCTCAATGAAGCTACAAGTGCGTTAACTACGCGTCCTTTCTTTCAAGTCCTTGACGTCCTCCGTTCAGATGACACGAACGATAATTCAGTGCAATTGGTGGAGGTCAAGAAGAGCCTAGTGAGAAAGTCAATCGAACAACTGGGGTTCATCAAGGAGGTCAACTCCGTCGTAGTTCTATCAGGTGCGTTCTCCCATTTACTAGCGTGCATATTAGCTCAATAGGTCCGCTAGAGTCCACCGTAACCCTCTTCCCGCTCCCAACGCTATCGCCACCCACCCCACTGGTAAAAGCCAAGGCCGCATTCTCCTTTGGCATTCATTCCTCTGTTCAGTACCTCTATCCGAATGGGAAATCCGACAAAACTCCAGAAGAAGCCAATTTCAACAATCCCAACAACAACCACAAGCCGATTCCCACAATAGTCACCCAGCTCGTCGTGGGGTGTCGAAGGAAAGTCGTCATCTATTCTTGGAATGACGGGGAGCCTCAGGAAGCCAAGGTGGGTGTCTCTTTTGTACCCGTTAAACTTGCATTTCTCTCAATTCTCGCACTCCAGGAAGTGTCTCTACCGCACTCTGCTCGCGTCATTACGTTCTTGAACCCCGATACGGCTTGTTTTGCGTATTCGTCAACAGAGTACGCCATTTTCTCGATATCGACAATGTCTGCGGTCGATGTGGTCACTCCTCTCCCCGTAACGTCCTCAAAGGGTACTTTGACGGGTCTGACTGGCTATATGACCCTTGGCCTTGGAGCAAAGGCAAAGCCTGCTGTCGTTCAAGCAGGCGACTCAGAAGCACTTATTGCCAAAGATAGTATGTCTTTCTTACTTTGTTCATATGACTTCCACTTTCTCATCCAAAACAGCCGATGGGCATTTCATAGGACCGGACGCGAAGGTCTCACGGCCTTCAGTAATCGAGTGGCCAGCTCCTCCAGAAGAATTGGGTTAGCCTTTTACGAAAACATATCTTCTGTCTTTCGTTGACGCGTCCCTTCAATAGCCATTGTCAGTCCTTATATATTTTCCATCCTTCCCCCAGGAACCGTCCCAATATCTCCAGCTGAAGCCTCTCCACCCATTGGGACGACACAAACCCAACCATCCTTTATACCATCCGCCGTCGTCCAGATCCGCTCCTCCCTTTCTCTCCAAATCTGTCAAACCCTGCCGTTCCCTTTCTCAAGCCCCACAACACCCAGTTCCTCGGCCGTTCAACCCCCTTCAAACGCTGCAATACGTCTAATGACGACCTCTTCCTCCGCTAAATTCCCTCTTTTATTGATGACGACGCCTACGGATCGTACGGCCGCTGCCGCTGAGGGCAGTTCCATATGGCAGTTCAGTATGAAGTCTTGGTCAGAGCAGATCGACGAGTTGGTGCTTGCGGGAAAATACTCCGATGCATTGGCGCTTCTTGATACGATCGACGAGGCTTTGCTTCCAGATAAGGTGGATACCCATACCTTTTTTTTCGGCTTCAGACTTCTGACGTTGAACAATTCTTGTAGGGTCAAAGACGAATAAAGATCCGGGCTCTGAACGCCGTTGCTCAATTTCGTGACTCTAAATTTGATGCTGCCATCGACACATTCATCGAGTTAGATTTCAACCCAGCCAAAGTTGTTGCTTTATACCCTGATGCTGTTGCAGGCCGACTGTCCGTCCCTCAAGACGGTTGGATCCCATTGTATGGAGGACCTGCTCCCATCGACCCGGATGATTTTCAAGACTCAATTAAAGTGGACGACATTGAGAAGCCAGGACATGAGAGAGCAGCTACTGATTTGCTGGATACGATAAGCAGTGGTACGGGCTCTATTGGGGGCCGAATACGGAAGACTGGGTTGGGGATGTTCATGCCGTCTGCAGCTAAAGACGACGACACCGCGTCCGTTATTGGCAGACGGAAATTTGTTCTTCACGGTGAGGTTTTTTCCCAGGTAATACCACAACTCTTTCTCATCTTTTGACACGGGTAGATGATCTCCACCGTTCAGTCGAGACACTTGTACGCTACCTAGCCGATCGTCGACCGAAGCTCAAGGCTGCTTTGGAAGTCGTCAACATCACACCTCAGACCCAAGCGGAGAAATACCCACCGCTCTCAACTACCACCGTCGAAGACTTGTTCGCCCTCCCCAACGCGCCTTTATCCGCTCTCACTCCTGAACAGCTTCTCCGGTTCGCGCAGATCGTGGACACGGCGCTCTATAAATCGTATTTGATCATTCGACCGACTTTGCTGAGCTCGTTGTGCCGCATTGCGAATTGGTGTGAGGTTTCTGAGGTTGAGGAGGATTTGAGGGCGCGTCAGGTTTGTCCCCATTGCGGTTACGCGGATTTAGTTGGAAGTTGACTTCTTATTTAGAAATACGCCGAACTCCGGGACCTTTATTATGGGAAAGGCATGCATGCGAAGGCGTTGGGTCTCTTGCGAGAGTGAGTTTTCAATCATGCTTTTCGTTCCCGATTTCTTTCTAAGGTAAGGGACGTAGATTGAGTGAAAAGGAGACAGACATGGAAGACAAGCTGGAGCCTTCAATCACGTACCTGCAAAAGCTGGGCCCTGAACATATTAAGCAGATTTTTGAGTCATCAAGATGGGTTTTCAGCATGGATAAGACTCTCGCTTTCAAAGTACGCATTTGAGTTCTCTCCACTCTAAAAATATCCTTAACTTGGCCTAGATATTTACATCGGAAGACGTGGAACTTCCACGACAACCCGTTACAGATTACCTTGAGAAGATCGACCCGAAATTGTCAGCCCAATATCTTGAGTATATCGTTGCAGACAAGCAAGAAGAGGACCCTGCGTTCCATGATCGGTTAGCGGAGCTTTACTTCAGCATGACGATTACTGCGGGGAAGAGAGGGGACGAGAGTAAGTCCTGCGTCGATTCTGGCGACTGATCTGACCTTTCCGTTCAGAAACACGAAAGGAGGCGTACGCAAAGCTACTCAGCTTTGTGGATACAAACGATCGATTCGGTGTTGATAGGCTGTATGGTTTGCTCTCGTCTACAGGTAACATCCTTTCTGACCTTTGTTAGCCTATTAAAGCTGAGTCTCTTTTTAGATCTCTATGAAGCAAGAGCCATCCTTCTTGGGCGATTGGGGCGGCATGACCAAGCTCTCGAGCTGTATGTTTACCGTTTACACGATTACTTGAAAGCGGAACAGTGAGTCCATCGACTTATCTACCTTAACCGTTACTCAAATCGGCCATAAGGTATTGTAAACGTGTTTATCAACCTGGCACAGAATCAAGCAGTGTATTCCTTACGTTGTGCCGGATATATTTGCGACCAACGGTTGAAACGTCAACAGACTTGTTGCAGCCCGCTCTCGACCTCATCAGTCGGCACAATCCCCGACTCGACGCCGTAGAGACGTTACAATTGTTACCCCCTCTGGTTACGACCCAGGACGTTAAAGCATTCTTGATAGAATCGCTTCGTGCACCAATATTTGATACCAAGGTTGTTAGCCAGATCAGCAAAGCGAGGAAAGATCAAGTTTCGAGAAAGCTGATGGTGTTGCAGAGCAAGAGGGTCAAGGTGACTGATAGTCGGATGTGGGTTGGGATCGTCCAAAATCATCTTCCGTACTGATATGCATTGTCATAGCTGCCCACAATGTCACAAGCGAATAGGGAATAGTGTTATCGCGGTTCATGCCCCTCGGTATGATTTCAATTATGGCAGTCCGTGGAGTGGTTCTTACCTTATTTTTTAGCGGCGAAGTTACTCATTATCAATGTCGAGAGTTGTTTTCGCGGCATTTGAAGGATCATTGATGGTGACTGCTGTGATGATGTTTGAGGACATCAGCATGCCATTCTACATGGTAACATGTATAGGATCGATGAGGCCTAGGGCTTGCATGACACTCCAATTGAGCGCATGTGATCCTGAAGCACCCAGGACACCCAATGTGGAATAACAATACCCATTTTGCGCAGAAATTTAACAGGTACACACTTTGCGTGGCATTTGTATGCACAATTACATCCTAAATCACTGTTCATGTTGGAATTTCGGGAGCTTTACGAGCATGCGCAATGCGCCCCATCTTTGGATTTCGGTTGGATTTCGGGTACACTCTTCTATTGATTGTTTCTGTGGCTCCATAGGGGTATTTCACATTTTCCCCCTTATATTTCGAAATCTACATATATATATAAGGCCTTGTACTGTAGTTAATCATCCGTTTGCCTCTGTCACCTCCAGAGACAACCAGAAATCCTATTCCCTATTTTGTCTTGATTGCACACGAAGACTAGGCTTGCTGATTTGATTTCAACAGTTCACCCACAAAAAGTACCCTAACACTGCTAGGGCACTGACAACCCATTTCGATAACTTGCCTTCCAAAAAACTTTGATCAAAGTTAACCATGGCGGCCTTTCGTTGCCGACCATTCATCACGATAGATGCCGCCAGAATGTTAAGAGGCATACTTACAGACACTTATTCGATGCCAGCATGCTCTGGGAGAGAGACTTCCTCGACAATGACGGCGTATTAGATTATGGAACGGCAGCCGTCATGGTTCGATATGGGGTCCGGAATGGACCGGACCATGGTCATTTCATCCCCGATAGTGTCGAGCCCGAAGAACGACGTAGAAAAAGCATAGAGACGTTACAGCTGTTGCCCCAAGCACCTCCAAGCACGTTAAAGCCTGTTAAAGCGTGCTTATAAATTCTAAGACACTTTCCGATCACCTGATCATGAACGTCAGCTACGAATTGATTTTTCTGTTCGATTGATACTGAACATTTGTTTTCTCATACATTTTTTGGCAGAAATTATGCAGACTATGATGTATCATGTTGTAGCAGTAGTGGAGTGCTCTCTTGACTTGAATGAATGTATCATTGAATGTGGTAGAAGAATGTGGCAGAAAGACGGAGACTTCAATAATTGCAATATCAATAATTCGAATTTCGTAAGTACATCATGATCTCGATTCCCATTTACTTATGTATGCCCCATCTTATCATTACTAGCTCTGCAAACATATCCGCGACGTGAAGCTGCCGACAATGACGATAAGTACAGGTAAGTTTTTCGCAACCAGGAGACAGTATGCATATGAACGCTTTTGCGCAGTTGCTCGAATTATGCTCTCAGGTGCTTACCACCCCTGCGTCGCTGGCGTTGTAAATAGGTTAGTCAACGTTAACATAGGACAGGCATGTCTCCCCTGAGGAACATTTCGCCCCCAATGGCCACGCTGATTCCCAAATTTGTCGCTCGGAAACATCACACTCCGGATTGTCAAGGCCAGTCAACGTTGACATTAGGATAGGCATGTCTCCCCTGAGGAACATTTCGCCTCCAATTGCGAAGGCCACCTGATTCCCAAATTTGTCACTCGGAAACATCACACTCCGGATTGTCAAGGCCAGTCAACGTTGACATTAGGACAGGCATGTCTCCCCTGAGGAACATTTCGCCCGCAATTGCGAAGGCCACCTGATTCCCAAATTTGTCGCTCGGAAACATCACACTCCGGATTGTCAAGGCCTGTCAAGGCAAAAATTCCACGTTCCAGCCATCCGCTCAGCTTTAGACAGCCCACATGGTTCGAAACAGTATAAAGAGTGACACCCTCAACTTGTTTTCCTCATTCCCAGAGCTCACATTTCAAAACAAATCACACACAGCCTACAATGCCTGTTACCAAGGGAGACACTCTCGTCGTTGACTCCGCCACCCTCACTCAGAAGGAGGTGAACATTCTTTGGCAGCAATCCTTGAAAAGCAGATCTCAGGAGTACTACCTTGTCACCTACACCAACACTACCCGCGGTAAGTTTCCAGTTCCCATAATTGGATTAGTAGATCTTATTTTTCTCTGCGTTGTAGCCTCGGAGGGCGAACATTCGGGACTCCTCTTCATCCAGAAGAACATGCTCGATGCATTCAAGGCAAAGCATGTCGCCGGAAAGACGGAAATTACATTCATAGTCGATGACACCTTCCAGTACGGCCAGGATAAGTCCCAAAGTCACCGTTGGCTTGCATTTCATGACAAGAGCCAGAAGATGTATCAGGTATGCAGCATCCCTTCTTTTCTGATCGCAGGAGACTACTTACGCATTGTTTGTCCTGACTTCAGCACCGCTTCGTCGAAAACACACTCATAAAATTCGCTAATGCGGGTTTAGATATCGCAGAGAAGCTCGGAGTCCCTAACGCGAAGGACGCCTCCAGCGTCAAGAATTTCATCAGCAACTATGCGGGTGACTACCTTCACAACTTCTGAGCATGGTTGCATGGTCCAGAAACGATGACACATACTTTTGAATCATTGGCAGTCGTAGTCGTAGTAGCGAATCGCGTCGAGTCGTTTGATGTTTTGAATTTGGACAATGCTGCAAGTCATGTATGTGTGTTTACCTTTGACCGAATATATCAGCTTAAAGATGATGCCGACCAATCAAAATCAAAATTCATGCCTGTATGAAATGAATTCAAGACAGGCATCCATTTGCCAAACGCACCTTTTACCCATATGATGAGGGCCATGACCTTTTCTTTGACGGGGTCAACCGGGTCAAGACAACACTGCTTCGAGTTGCATTCACGCAGCCGATGACGGTCGCGAACTACTTTGCAATCGGCGAATTCATAGGTCCAGCAGATTCTGATTGACTGCTACGTTCTGTTTGTTACAGACCTGGGCAATTTCATTCAGGCTGTCGCGTTCTGTTGTTCATTTCATTTCAGTTAAACACAAGACCTCAAGCGGTAAAGAAAACCGTCAAAGAATTCGACTTAGCTCGGTATAAATCAATTTCATACTTGATCAGTGTTCGCAACTACTTACGGTACAACCGAAATCCCAAGATGTCCTTGTTCGGCACCAGCTCGAATGAGAATCGAGGTAGGAGGTACCGATGTGACTAGTTTTGCGGTCCAAATTGATGACATTTAGTTGTGCTATCTAACAAAGGGGAAAGCGACTGACTTATCTCCAAAACTATTCCACTGAAAGTAAAGGGTCATAAAAGCCATCTGCTGAGTATAGATAAATCCACTGGTACGTGACACACCTGCTAAGAACGTCCATCCTAAAAACTCAAAATTTTCTGTCAACCCCACGCCCATGATGGAACTCAACAAAGACGACCCACGTACTCGAAAAAATGCCCGGCATCTTTGACGCCAACCATCGGCGTAACCACACAGGCTCGATCTTGGGCCACGATTCGAGGTAAGGGAGGACGGAAGAAAATCCGGCCGGCCATGGGTCTTTTCAAGTTGGGGAGCCAGAATGACATGATGGAGAGAGAGACGCACAGAACAGTCTGCAACGCTTCGTGAAAGTCGGGTCTTTTCATTAGATGAATTGAAGCTCGTCCCGAACTTCGCCTTGAGAAATGAGCTCGAGCGCAGCGCTGGACATGTAGCATAGGACGTTAATGATTCTCCCCTTGTTGGAGCCGGGAGTGCCAGAGCCGATTTCTTGAGTGAGTTGAATTTTGTCCTGGAGCTGGTAGGGTGGTGTTAGAAGTGAGGGCAAGGTGGAAGGGGAATAGCAGAGGGAAAGGGAGAGCTCTCCGCGTGCAAATCCGGTATAAAATTTCCCTATGATAAGTAAGTCAAAGGAAGGTAGACAATAATCAACACATCTCAAACTCACCAAGGTAAGTCTTGTTAATGACCGTAGGAGTGGGTAAATGGTTATACAATTCTTTTTTGCGGATACGCCTTGTGTGTAAGTAAGTGGGCTGGGGAGGTATCCCATCTTACAGTGTTGGGTGTGGCGAGTCTGTGAAACGAAGAAGAAGAAAGTGAAGGTAAGAGGCTGGGAGGGCTCAGGGCGAGGAGTATGTACCAGAAGCGAAAACGAAAATCTGGCGTACACAATATAACGTCAGATGCCAGTCCGTTATCTAGCCGGAGCACCCTGCATTTTTAGTTCAGAATCAATCACAAGCAATGCGATATTTTTTGTTTCATGCCTAAAACAATGGGGGAAGAAGCTCGAATGTCCAAACAGTCGAGGGATGTAATCACAAAGTATTTTAGCTACTCTTGACACTGCGACAGATAAAATGGAAGAGCAAGTTGACTGCATGGAAGAAATCGACGCCAAGCTCGGACGCAAGGAGGTGATGTTGGAATATCCAAGTAAACCAGGGGGACCCGCGTCTAACTTTTGCTGCTGGACGATGTCACCATCCGCCCATTGTGCGCCCGCCTCCGACGCACGGAGTGTGGCGAGCATTGCTTGTCGTTTCTAATTTCCAGGTTCAACAACGCGACCACCAGGAAGGAAGTTGGGATGACTAACCTTCACCGCCCTTTTGATTACACGCTCAGCCCTGGTGATGAAGCTATTGGCAGACTCGATGAGTTGCTCGGCCTGCATAAATGATGATGAGCAACTGAACGAAAGATTTGATTTATTCTACTCACGGAAGCCAGGCAATCTTGAACTGTTTTCAAGTCACGCCATGCAGAGTGAAGGACCAACTGTGACGTTCTCAGAGCACCATCGATGGACGCATCAAAGGCCTCCTGAGTGGGCGGGCAGTTCCTGGGCAAGGACACTTCCCTCCCCACATTGCACCTTTCCTCGTCGACGTCTAGAACCAGTTCAAGCTTGGTCTGATGTTGGACGGGAAGAACGACCCGTTTGAGCCAAGCTTTTAGCCTTGAAGTCCCCTTCTTCTCCCCCTTCTGCTCCGACTCCAATTCCCTGAGCTTGTCCTCCAACTTCTTCTTTTTCTTCAAAAGATGCTTCACCCGCGAGTCGATGGTTGATCTTGTAGAGCCGTAGTCATGACCAGATATGTCTGAAGGCGTCACTTTCTCCTCGAGTTCCTCAAGTTCACGGTTAACCTCCCAGAGGCCTGCGAGGTAAGACTTGTACATGGATGGATCGTCATTATGAACAAAGCTCTCTAGGAAGGAAGTCCAGGCTGCCGGATTTGAGCGGGAAGTCGCACTAGGATTCATATTCAGGACGTCAAGGAGAGTGGTTTGGGTCGCAACGTCACGACGATCGTTAGCATGAGGGGAAGCAGGGACCCAATCAACTGGGTCATCGGAGAGCGTAGAAACTGCAGTCGTTTGAGAGTCCTCGGAATCGCGATATCGCTTCTTGGGAGGAATAGGGCGGATACCTCTCACAGCGAGTTTGCCTCTGGCCGCATGGGAAACGGCATTCCTGAGTGCGTCGATTCGTTCTGCACTCTTGCGCAGCTCTGCGATCTCTTTGAGAGCATCATTTGCCTTGTCGCGAAAATGTTGCACAAGCGTTTGGCTTTGTTGAGTAGTTTCGGTCAGGAGCTCGTCTAGTTGAGCAAGGTAAGCAGGATCATTGTGGTGTCGACCAATAGGGGACGTTCGACGAAGGTTAGAGAGAACCAGTTGAGCTGTGACGGCCACGTCGAGAGATGAAGGAGTGTAAAGTGATGCAGTGTCGTCTTGTACAGTGATAAAGTCTGACCATCCGGAAAATGAGGCAAGTGACGCGAAGGAACCAGTTAGTTTAATGGTGTAGTTGGAAAGAGCGGATACAGATCTCGTGTTTTCAGTATTTTCTCCAAAAGCGATGAGGAATTCGGGTTTTGCTACTTCCAAGGCTGTCAACCTATGCAAAGATCATGCGTTAGACAGTCATGTTTGGGATAAAGACATAACATACCCTCGGGAGTTTTTCTGTTCGCGCACGGAACCAGTGGAATCGAAATCGAGGAAAAATATCAACAATTCGATACATTTGCCGTGTTCAGCGGCAACGTGGATACAAGTTTCGTCCCACTTGTCCTTAGCGGAAAAGGGGGCACGGAGGTCGCGGAGGAGATGTGCAACAAAATTATACAAAGAAAGTGCGTGGTCTGCTTGACCGGAAAGTACAGGTGCTGATTGCGCGAGAATATGCAGTGGTGTTCGTTGTTCGTGAGTTGTGAATAGCGCCATATCGGCTCCTGCGTAGTACAAAGTGTCTAGAATTTCGATGGAGAGGGATTCCACGGCGACGCAGTGATGGATGAGACTCCAGCCTTTCGAATCGGGAAGGTTTATGAGAGCGGGAACGGACATCGGATACAAGGCCGCAGGCGCCGACGGAGGTAAGGGAGGAGAGAAAAGGATGCAATGAATGAAGGACAGGTCGGATGTGCGGATGGAAGAAATGAGTGTATTGGTCAACCTTGAAGTTGCTTCGTTCGTAAAGATAGAGAGTTGTGGAGGTTCGAGATCATCGGATGAAGGTGCCGCCGCGCTTGCCAATTCTAAAATGTGCTTGGATTCCGAGAACAGCTTTCCTCGATCCGCGGACTAGACTAAGTGTCGGCAAGGCAAAAGTAACGAGGAGCAAGCGATGACTCACTTGACTTTCTCGCCGTCTATGACGACGTAAAACGGTTTCGCATAACCAAAGAATCTGAGGGTGGGCAAGAGCAAACTGAATTGATGTGCGGTGATTGCGATCCCTGGAATCTGGGCGGGCTCCATGGGACAACTAACGGATATGAGCACAAGGGTCAAGTGGGTACATAGGAAAACATACCAAGATCTGGACCACGTCAAGACCACCATCACGAGCAGCATCTGGAAGTGGTATAGGTCAGAAAAGCAGAGCTGAGTGAGAGGCCAAGAATAAGTCTTACACATCAAAGCTGTCGCACCGTGGCAATCCATCCCATCCACAGAAACGCAATCAGCGCTTTCCTCAAGGAGAAGACGGACAACTTCGGGCATGTTTAGCCAATCAGCCATACCAAGAGGTATAGTCCCGTTCATAGCGTGGTGAGGTAGGTTGAGGGTGAGTAGCGAGATATGAGGGTGATTGAGGATGACGCGTATGGCGTCTAGACGCTTGGAAGTCATGAAAGACGCGTTAAACGCGCCGAGATTTTCCCAACTGGAAGGACAATGACTGCTAGATAACCATGTCGCGCAAAATCAGAGAGAAAAAACACGTACTTGTCTCCAGCAATGGCAGACATAAGCGCCGTCTTCCCCTCAATGGTCAAGGCGTTCACGTCCGCACCTGAATGAAGAGCTGAGGAACGCCTTCATCATCACCCGCAGCCGCAGCGCGTTGTAGACCGAAATTTTCGAAAGAAAGTTCGTTGGTGTCCATGTAAGGAGGACATTGTGAGACGGAGAAGTAGGAGGATGGGTTGATGACGGATTCCCGAAGCTCTTTATGTGTAGCTCAGAAGTTCGTGACGACGAAGGTGCGGGTGGAAGAGTTGACGGGGGAGGGAGAAGGCACACCGGGAGGACAAGGTAGAGGATCGCCTCGAGGCTTGGGGTCGAGTCTTTTATGCCTCATTCTGTCATCGATGCGTTTGAACATGTCGCTGCGAGAGAGGGACCTTCGTTGGTGGTGATGCCGGTGATGGAATTCGGATGGGTGTGAGTTCGATGGACGGCGGTGGTGGTCATGGTCGTTTTTTTTTTTTTTTTTTTTTTGGATTCTCGAGATTTACGTGCAACAAGTAGTCTAGTACTAAGACGCACGGGAAGCATAAGGCTTCCCTTAGATGTGAATATGTCCGATGGGCCTCCATTTAAGTGGATATTAGTGACCGTTGTGTAGCTGTAAGGTATAGAGAAAGTCAAGGTTTGGGGTATAGGGTCCTAGGGATGGGAGTCATGGTCTGGTGCACCTATGTGGCGCTTGGGCAGGGGTGAGCGCTCTGCGCTCGCGAGGGTTTGTCTGTGGGTGCGGGTAGCGTGGGCATGTTATTATTCAGCGTCTGAGTTGTCGTCCTCCGAATCTATGTCAGGTGGCTCTGGCTCGTCGAGGAAAGAGGGGAGCCCCTTGGGCGTGTACTTCGTACCCGTGAATGTGAAGGCGCCTGAATCCCTTAGGAACTCGGTGAGCGCAGCTATGCCCTTGGGGGTGCCTAAGAGCTCTGGGAGTGCAAGGTCGCGGTTGAATTCGCGTAGTTTGTCGCGTTGGTCCTCGTACCGTGCGCAGTCTCTGATGATGTGTTCGCGGGACTGGGGGTCTACCCCACACTCGCAGTTGGTGCTCTTCTCTGGGAAGAACTGTTTCCGGAATTCCCCAGTGTATGCGTGTCCTGTGCGGCATTGGACTAGGCGCCCGAAAATTTCGCGTTGGTCCTTCAGTTCGATGAAGTGTTTGGTGGGTTTCAGGGACGGGGGGATTCTGTTGGATATTGCGAATCTCCCCTTATGTGGTGCCCTCTGCCATTCGCGCACCCAGTTGGATTGGGTCGAGGCCTTAGCTTTGCGCAGGGCGAACGCCCTTGACGTGCTGATTGGCGCGTTCCACGCCAGTTGTGTGGCTTCCTTGGCGATTTCGTCTGCCCTGTCATTGCCCTTGATGTTACAGTGGCTTGGGCACCACTCGATTTCGACTGTGTGGGTTGGACTGTTGTCCAGGAACTTGGTCATCTTGCGGTGGAATTTGACTGCGTATAGCTGCCCTGGTTGTGGTTTTGGATCGAATATGGCCCCTGCCGCCGCCGCGTTGTCGACAAAGTAGTGTACGCTCGTTATTTGTGGGTGGTCCTTGATGTATTTCGTCGCCAGGTCTGCTCCCATCTTTAGTCCTGCCATTTCTGCATCGTATACCTCTGCTCTCCCCCCCAGTCCCATCCTCCCCACGAAAACCTCCTCCCCTTCATGGAATCTGACCGCTCCCGCTCCTACCTGAGGGAAACCCTTCTTCTTCACCATTGACCCATCCGTGTATATTACAAGGCATTCTTTCTTCTCTGCGAGGTGTTGGTATTTTTCTTTGTGGCTATCTACTAGTTTCTGTTTTTCTTTTTTGTCTTTTGTTTCTGGTTTGCATACGTTAATCTTGACCCGACCATTGAACCTTGAGCTCGTTCGTCGCCAGGGTGCCACTAGGTAGGGGTTGATCCTTTCGTGGGCGTGGCACGTGTGTTTTGCGATGTCAAGTAGGTTTGTTGTTCTTGCGCGGTTGGTGGCTGAGTTGTTCTTCAGTCTGGGCTGTAGTGGTGGGGGCGTTGTCTTCTCTCCGACTTTCCTCCATGGCTGCAGGAGACGTTGAATGATTGGGCTGGAGGTGCTGAGCTTGTTGAATCGGATGGCACAGCGTTTCACGTGCAGGTTTACTTGGTGTCTGATGGGTGGGATTGAGGCCTCGACTTCGAGCGCCTCGATAGGCGTGGTTCTAAATGCCGCGCATATCAGCCTCAACGCCCTTCTCTGTACCTTCTCCAAGGGTTTTATCTGGTATTGACGGCCTGTCCACCAAACTGGGCACGCGTACAGTATTTTGGGCAACACACATGCCAGGTAAAGGTGTCGTAAGTGTGTTTGGCTCAGGCCGCGTATCGTGTTCGCTAGCATCGTTAATCCGCTCACTGCATTCTCTCCCCGGGCGGCGAGGATGGTAGCATGTTTTTGGAACCGTAACTTGCGATCGAAGTAGACTCCCAGCCACCGTACGGTCGACTCGGGCTTGACCGTTCTGCGTTCCCCATCTCCGTCGTCGAATGTTATTGAGGGGCTCCCGTCTTTCTTTCTCCTGGTGTAGTGCATAAGTTCTCTTTTCGCGTAGTCTGGAGATAGCCCTGCGCCCTTAAGCCACGCTTCTGCCTCGTTGTACGCTTCCTTTAGTTTTGCAATGTTGGTATCGAGGGACTGAGAGGACACATAGAGCTTGCCGTCGTCCACGTACATTATGAGGTGTACCTCAGTCGTCTTGTCTGGGTTCGGGTCTTGTACTGTTGCCCTGAGCTGGAACTTCTCCAGAAGCTCTGCTGTGTAAAAGGCTGCGAGGATGGGTGAGATCGGGGAACCTTGAGGTATGCCGTTTACCACATGTTCCATCTGCCCTCTCTTGCCGTCTATACATATTGCTGCCTCACGGTCGGAGAGGAAGCTGGCTACCCATTTTACGTATGCCAGGGGAATGTGTTTCCGTCTGAGCTCGGTTAGGAGCCGGTTGTGGTTAACGAAGTCGAAGTACCCTTTGATGTCGAACGTGAGGGCTGAGGTCACCATCTTATGGTTCCAGGCGCACTGTACGTCGTTGGTGAAGGTCAGGAGTGCATCGTTCGTTGAACTGTTGGATCGCCCCCCGAACTGGTTTGCTGGGACCATGTTGTGCTTTCCGGCTAAAAATGTGAGCCGGCGTGCCACGATTTTCTCTAGTATCTTCCCCAGACACTCCAAGAGGGTGATGAGCCGGTACGCCCTTGGGTTTGAGTAGTCCGGTTTGTTGGGTTTTCTGAGGGCGACTGCAATGGCCTTCCTCCATGCTTTTGGGTGGTATCCTGCTTCAAGGCACTTCCGCATGAGCAGCACAATGTATTTCCTACCGTCTTCGCTCCTCCATGCCCATTTGACCACCTGGTAGTTTATCTGTGAGTGGCCAGGTGCTGATGATGCGCTGGTGCCATTGATTGCTTCGCCCACTTCGTCAACCGTAACCTCTACATATGGGAGGTCGTCCTCCTGGGGGTTTTGGAGGTCTGGGTTGTGTTCGTCCTCAAGTCACGGTGGTGGTTGGTAGAGTTCCTGCCTGAGGGCGTCACACTTTTCTTGGTGTGATATTGCTTTGGGCCGGCCTTCTCCTCTCGATATTGGTGGGGAAGGGTAGTTGCGTGTACCTTTGGACCAGTTCTGGAATCCCCAGATGTCATCTGTTGTTGCCTGCTGAAGCTTCTCGTTGACCCAATCCCTCTTCTTGATCCTGCACAGCCTCTTGAAGTAGTTCCGTGCCTTCCTTATCTGGGCTCTGATATCGCCGTTGAACTCGCTGATGATGTCGTGGTGTTGCTTTTGTTCCCGTCTGGTCTCGTTTACGCGTTCGGCTGCCTCTGCCAGGTCCTGGTCCCACCAAGGTTTGGCGTTGGCGCATGGCTTCCGGATTTTGGCTGTGGTTGACGTGGCCGTTTGCATGGCCTCCGTTAGGGCATCTGCACACCTGTTGAGGGTGACTGGGGTCAGTTGCTCTGCAAGGAGGAGTGGTTGGAGGTCGTCATGGGATTTTGCAATGGCACTCTCCAGCTCCTTGATCCAGTCTGCGGGTTTTACCTCTTTCAGACAGTATTTGATGTCCAGTGGGTTGTCGATTTCCGTCAACCCGTGTGCGATTGTGAACTTGATCCCCAGGTGATCTGCATCGTGGGCGAGGTCTGGGTCTATGGCCCACTCTTGGACTGTGCCTTCTATGACCGCTCGTCCGCTTACAAACGTTAGGTCGATTACGGACGCTTTTTCGCGTGCGTTGCGTGGGGGGTGGGTGATCTCACCTTTTTTATTCAGCATGGTGTAGCCTTCATCTGTCAGCCACTCCACTATGGGCCCTGAAATCCTCGCTTCATCGCTCCCTACTGGCCCTCTTGCCCACAGGTCGTGGTGGAGGTTGAAGTCCCCAGTGATGATGACTGGGTGGTCTCTTGGTAGGCTGGCATGCTGGAGACGATTGAGGGCACTGAGTTGCCCAAGTCTCGGGTCGTTGTATATGTTGATGAGTGTTGTGAGGGGTTGGCCCTCTTGTGCGATGTCTAGGACTTGTATGTCCCTGTCTTCTAGTATGTCAGTACGCAATGTGACAGAGAAGTCTGGCCTGGTTCGATAATAGGTTAGTGTACGTGGTTTCTTGGGGTTACCAGTGATGTTGGAGGTTGGCGCGATCGGGTTCCATCCTTGGAGTGCAACCGGTCCCTGTACCTCGTTGCCTTCCTCAGTACCAATGAACCCCCAGGCGGGCTCCTGTAATATGATGATGTCGAATTCTTGGACGTGTTTGTTCAGGAGCTGGATCACTGCATTCTTCTTCTTCTGCGCATTTAGTTGTGCCACGCGTATCGGTTGAGTGGTTGTTTTCCCTTGGTTTTGCATAATCATTGGGAACGGGCATCTTCGTCAATTTGGGCAGCTGGGGTGATGTCTTCAAAAATACTGAACTGGTTTTGGCAGGCTAGCTGCTCTGGTGAGATTTTCTGTGAGGTTAGTGTGGGGTTCTTCGGTGATCTAGGTTTGCGAGGCTTTTTACCAGTGGCAACCTTCCATGGGTTGTCTGTCTTCAGGGCCTTTCGTTCATTTGCGCGGGCTGTACCATATTTTTCTAGTCGGATGGGACACCTTCTTGCGTCCGCTGGGTGGTCTTTTTCAGTGATGTGTGAA